AGACATGGGAACATCGGGTCCAGGATCCCCCCCCAGTCTCCAGCCTCCGGGGCACAAGTCTGAGAAGAAAACCCATCGCTGGCCTTTTGTCACCCACCCAGCAATGGCCAGGGTCAAGGGCTGATGGTGAGGTGTTTGACTGAAACCGGGCGGCGCAAGTTGATTGGATCCGGATGTGTGGACGTGGTCACTGATCGGCTTTGCTCGACCCCCGGCCCGGCATTCTGGTTGGGCTACCACATGGGGAAACTCGATCTTTTCTGGAAGCGAGCTGGTGGACAGGGATTCCGTCCTTGGCTGGGAGGCTCGAGGGGAGCGACTGCAAATTCACCGATCTTCGGGGTGGGGGGTTTGCGTCCTCGTGGAGAATCTCCTTTGCCTGCCGGAGGAAACGAGAGAGGGAAAAAAGTGATCTCTCATCATTTTGGTGCAAAGCTGGCGAGGGCTGGCAAACAACGTGGAGAGATGTCTCATCGAATTCAATTCGAGCGGCCCAGTGGGTCTTTTCCTTGCTTGTTTTCTTTTCCTACCTTTCCTTCTCCTTGGTGCCACTTTGACCTATTCACCGCTGCGGCTGGAGGCACCACGCAGGGCGAGAGCGCTGGGCAGGGTTGAGAATTTGGGTTCTCCCGAACTGATACGTTTTATGGTTGACGAATGAGGACAGAGCCCGCTGGTTGGTGTTCTTTCTGACCTTGGTGTGGGCGGGTCGGCCACATGGTTCTCCATCAGAGTGGCACTGGTTCCGGTTGGCTTGTCGCTCGTCATCGTCGCCCACACAGATGGGAAGATCCGACAAAAATTCCAGGGGCAGCGCACCATTTGTTTCCCACTACCGAAGCCGGAGGGCCTTGGCTTTTGGGCAAAGCGGATGATTCCCCGGAACGATAGCCCCTTGGATGGGGGATTACGCGCAGGCACGTGTCCTGGCAGGCAGGTGGTACTGTACGTATGCACGTCAACTGAAGTCGACGACAAACTGTGAGGTCTGCGGCCATCCTCAAGACCCAACGCTTCGGCCCAACGGACCAGTTGGTGCAGGCGGGCCACCGGGCATTTCCCGCGGCGGATAGGGACAAATGCTGCATGCCATGCAAGCAGAATGATGCGAGCGCAGTCAGGAAGACGTTCAGCTTCGCATCCTCGCTCAGAACCGTATTTTCCAGTTTGTTGCCGTATTCCATCTGTATCCGTCCTCCGGCCGGGACGCAACCACACAGCTGAAAGGAGACGATAAACCTACGCCACCGCCCAGGAAAATTAACCACCCGATCGATCTTGAGAGTTGCCCTTCTGCTCGAGCCTGTGCAACCTTGCGAGGGCGGTGACTGGCCGAACGGAGCATCGGCCACCCAGTCCCGGGAATCCGGGACCTATCCGCGCTGACAAACGGGTCGAGCGGGCCCAATAAAAAAGCAAAGGTTCCCAGCGGCCTGGCTGTGCAACGGAGAATGGGTGAGCAGGTGGTGTGATTCCGAGCTCCGCGATTGCTCAATTGCTTACACTAGAAACACCACCGAGCCAGTCGGCGGACTCGGCGGGCCTCATCAGGAGGGTCGGGTGGCTTAATTCCGTCTCTCTGTGCTCACCCCGCAGTCATCGTCGTCGTCGTCGTCGATATACCTCGAATTCCTTGTCGCGATGTTGCACAACGTCGACCGGTGGCGGTTAGGCCCCATGTCGTGGAACGCGGGAGTCTTGTCCTGTTGGTTGAGGAAAGCCGGAGGCTGCGACACTGAGGTGGCTTGAAAATGCAGGATTACATATGGCCGCCGCTTTTGTGGTATTCTTTTGGTGGTATTGGCCCCTCAAGTCCCGAAACGGACTTGAGCTGCTCCTGTTTTTGGTTGAAGGCGTTCTTTTGTGGGACGAAAGGAGCCCAAGCCAAAGCCGAAAGGCCTGGGTTCTGGTTTGCCTTGCCCGAGTATAGAAAAAGCAATGGACATCCATGCATGCTATCCACGATCTCCATGATCTCAGGTGCGATTCTTTGATGCTTGGGTGAATGATTCTTCGGAATGCCCCTCTTCATGATCCACGAATGACTATGCCTAAATATGTAGTACTGTGTACTGTGTAAATGTCGTGCGACTTGGAAGCGGTACTTTTGTCCGGATATATGGCCACGGCTTGCGGGCCGGGGACCTCTCTGACAGTGCTTTTATCGGTACGGTGGTGTCGTCTTTCAAGAACAACGTGTTCCGTCTGAGGGGTCTCACTGCAGCTCCCGAAGGTTGTTTGCATGCGCAAAGCCAAGGCAACGAGTCCCTTTTGTACACAAGGTGACAAACTTGACGAGAAGCATCAGCTTGACGAGGGATTATTGGCACGTCGAACCTCCGAAGAAGAAAAGGGTTACGGCCTGACTGCAGTGGCTGTAACCTCGACTCAGTCCCATCCCACGTTGCGCGCTGTGGTCGGGCCGTGGGTAACTGAGATGCGGGACCGCACCTTCCGGTTGATGGGCCGAGGGCGGGCGTGTTGAATCTTCGACGGCAAGCACTGCCCGCGGCTGAGGAGAAGAAAGGCTGTTGCTATCGTGACATCGCAAGCTGCCCTGGTCCGCCGGTGGTAAATCTTCTCGGAGAAGGCACGATAAGGATTCGTTGAGTTTTTGCCTCGGTGGCCTACAATCTGACTTCGGATTCGGTCATCAAGACGAGCTCCATTTTTGGCTGTCACCCGCCCTCATTCCCTTGTTTTGCGCTCAATTCAACCTTCACAGCTCCTGGCGCCCCTCAGCCATGCCACCATCCCTGGCACACCAACCCAACCCCACACCGGCGGACGACAAGTCCCGCAATTCTCCGGGTTCCGGCATCGTCAACGATTCACCGCTTCTCAACCGCCCGCCCAATCAACGCAACAAACTTCGCGTTCATCGCTCGGTCGTGCAATTCTTTCCTCCCATCGCAGGCTGCCGCGGCCCAACATCAGACGAAGCGTGACGAAATTGCCATGAGGTTACCCCCCTCCCTAGCACTTTCGAGTGTACGCCCTCCCCGCCTTGCAGGCACAGCCCTTCTCTAGTGGATGACCTATCACCACCGAGGACTCGGGCAGGATGCGGCATGTGGGTATTCATGCAGCCGTGCCGCCTTGCTTCGAGGGTGTCTTGTTGCTTCACTTCGTGTTCAATTGAGGCCGCGAGACCCGCAGCAGGAAAAAAAATGACGCCGCCTCACTTTTGATCCCTGAAGAAGCTGGTTGAATACACTACTTTGTTACCCCTGGACATTCGTTCCCCTCAACCCCGCCTTGACAGTGCCCGAGGCAAAAGGGGAGCAAGCAACGACAACGGCGGCAGGAAGAGCTGGAGGAGGATCTGGAGCAAGAACGGGAGCCTCGCAAGCGGGGCAGTCGGCTGGTGCGTGTTGCCGCGGCTTGCGACCAGATGTTGGTTAGTTAGCGGGAGCAGACCAGGCGGCCCTGCGAATGAGGCGTGTTCTCTTCCGCAGCCCGGCCAATTGCCCGCCGGCCGCCTCCGAAGCACCCGCCGGAAGATGAAGAAGGCTATCACGCTGCTCATCAATCGACCGGGAGCCGGCGTAACAGCACTCCCTAAAGGGGCTCCCGCGCGGTCGCCGTTTGTTTGTTTGCGGTTGTGCGATGACCTGTTTCGGGACGCCGCCCGTCGTCCCGCCTCCGAGAAGTAAAAGAGCCTGTTTGTCTTTCGCGGGCCCGTGAATTCCCCGGCATCTCTTGACCATCCCCCGGTGTGCTCTTCAGAGTTCCCGAGTTGCAGCCAACCGTCCGTCGATTCCCCGGCGCGAAGGAGGAAAAGGAACAGCTTCAAAGCTCCGAGTCTCCGACGCAACCGCCATTAAGCACATTCGCGGTCCCAGCAATTGAGGAGCCTGCCGTTGGTTAACACTCACCAGGTTGCCATTGGGCCCCGTCGCAGGGCCGGCGCTGTCCATCCACACGGTAGAGGGGTGTTTGAAAAGACCAGACGACACACGCCTGCGCTTTGGATCGGCGAACAGCCGGACGACCACCCCGGAGCACCAGGGGTATGGATGTACCTCAACGGTGGTGGAGGGCCGTCTGTCAAAAGTATCCCGCGTCCCAGCGAAACGGTGACGAGCGCATCGACCCATGAAATAATCCCTGCAAAAGTGCAAAGGATGTGTGCGACATGGGTCCAACCAGCATCAAGACGTGAGAGGGAAAATGGCAGTCATATCCACGGCGGGCCAAGGCCTGAGAGACCCCTGTCGCCGTCCAAGGATGCACTCGGTCGACACTATCCGCCGCAATCCAAAATGTGTACCTTTTGGTATGTCCTACCCGAGCTTGCCCAACTGCGGAGTAGTGTTCCCCCCAGGATCGTCTGGCTTTGCCTAGGAGCCAGAAAACGGGAGTTTGTCACCGCTGTTTCCATGTTTCCTTTCAAATAATTTTATTCCTGGATTTTTGCCCGCGTCCCACGCAAGGGTCCCCACACTGTCAGTCAGATGGATGATCCGGTGACCTCTCTTCTCAGCCCTTCCGCCCCCTGGACAAGCTTCCATGGGATCCGCCATGCGAAGTGGCTCTTGGTGGATCTCGTTGTTCCTTTTCCCAAGGGGAGGAGGGATGGGGGACGATATATACGTCCACTCCCAGCTCTCCGATCACCGTTTTAATTTTGAAGAGCAAAAAAAATATATTCTCTTCGATCTTCACCCTGTCCCCAAAATCTCCGCCTCCCCCCCTTCGATCATACATAAAGAGTCCTCAACCAGGCTGCGGCCCGCTGCCTAAAACGGACCCAAACTCTCATTGTGGTTCTCATACAAACCTAACCACATCAAGTTTGTTTCCCAGCCCAACCAACCCACCCACGGCTGTTCTCCATACCACGAACCGAAGCCCCCCTTTTAATCTTTTAATACTCATCACCCCCCCTTCATCTTCATCCATCTACACGTTCATCCCCGACGAACCAAAGTTTGTTCAGGTTGCTGCAGATATAAACCTGCCACCTTCAGTGTATCTCCTTTTGTTCAGCCACAGTCATGAGGACCAGAAGAAACGGTGCCATGGCTCCTGCTGAGTCACCCCCATATCCTGGGAAGCAGCTACTGATTCTAGGTGAGACTTATACGGAATCTGATTCAAGTTTGGGGATAAGGGTAACTAACACGACGTAACCAGCGCTTTGCCGGATATGCGAGCCCATCGCGTTCATGTCCATCTTCCCCTACATTTACCACATGGTGAAAGATTTCAACATAACCGATGATGAAAGTCAAATCTCCTTCTACGCTGGCATGGTCACCTCTGCTTTTACCTTTGCCGAGTTCTCTACGAGCGTCTTTTGGGGCAGACTGAGCGACAAGGTTGGCCGGAAACCTGTCTTGTTGATGGGTATGGCCGGGACTGGTCTGAGCGTGTTGATCTTTGGCTTTGCGCCAAGCCTCCCCGTCGCCCTCTTTGCTCGTGCCTTGGGCGGGTTTCTCAACGGGTGAGTGGTATCTGCTAATGTTAGGATGCTGTGTTCTTGAGACTAAGAGGAGCAGTAATATCGGCGTCCTTCAGACCACGGTCGGCGAACTAGTCACGGTCAAGGAGCATCAAGGTGAGTCGAGCCCCGGTATCAAGACGTGAGGGTGGTCATGGGGAAGAGAGACTAACACAGAATTCCAGCTCGGGCGTACGCTGTCATGCCTCTCGTTTGGTGCGTCGGGTAAGTTGCGTGAAGCGGGGCGCAAGTTGCTATTTCATGTGATGAGGCACTAACACGAGACTTAGATCGATTGTTGGCCCCATGATCGGAGGAGCTCTCGCGAAACCGGTCGACACGCTTCCGTCCATCTTCACCCCAGGCAGTATTTGGGACCGCTTCCCCTATCTGCTTCCGAATGTGTTCAGCGCCATCTGTGTCTCGCTCGGAGTTGTTATTGGTCTCCTGTTCTTGGAAGAGACTCATGCGGAGAAGAGGAAGAACCGGGACCGTGGGGTGGAACTCGGAAAGCTGCTGGTCTCGTACTTGCCGGAACGGTTCAGGGGGGCTAGTAAAGGGCTGACAACGAAGAGTGCCGAGGAGCAACCTCTGCTCTTTGAGACGGAGGAATCTTTGCCGGGATATCTCACCACTGGGAACTCGGCTGGTCCTTCATCAACAGCTAGTGGCCCCGAACTGGTACCGATCGATGCGGAAGAGTTGTGCGCCCGGAAATCGAAACCGGAAGCCCGGCCTGTGGGCAAGATCTTCACCAAACCTGTGGTGATGGTCATCGCCTCGTACGGCATCCTCGCGTTGTAAGTCGCTACCACCCCGGTGTGTGAGACCAACAACCGCCACTAACAAGAGCCCCCTTTATAGCCACACGATGGTGTTCGACTCCTTGCTTCCCGTCTTCCTCAGCACCAACCCACCAGACGAGAAGATGCCGATTTCCCTCCCCTTCAAGTTCGCTGACGGCTTCGGCATGGACACACGTACGATCGGCGTCATTCTATCTGTGCAAGGTATCTACTCGATGGCCTCGACACATTTCCTGTTCCCCATGATCACCGAGCGGCTCGGCCCTCTCCGCCTCTTCAAGCTCATGTCTATCCTCTATCCGCTGCTGTACTTCTTCACGCCGTACATCGTCCTCCTTCCCGAGAGCCTCCGCATGACCAGCGTCTACATCATCGTGGTGTGGAAATGCACCTTTTCGACGCTCGCCTACCCGGCCAACGCAATTCTCCTGACCAATTCGGCCCCGACGACCCTGACACTAGGCACGATCAATGGCGCGGCTGCCTCGACGGCTAGCTTGTGCCGCGCTCTGGGACCGATTATCTCGGGCCTTCTGTACAGCCTGGGGATGGAGACCGGATACTCGGGTCTGTCGTGGTGGGTCACGGGCCTGATAACTATTGGAGGTATACTGGTCGGGATGAGAATCACGGAGCCGAGGGGGCGAATGGACGAGAAGGACGACATTGAGGCGGCGCCTGAATCGCCACAGGGACCTTGGGATGGAGCGGCGACGAATACCCGGCCAGTAGAAGGGGAAAGCTAAACTCTCAGCTTATTCTTTTACCCCTTTTTTTGTTTTCCTCACATTCCCGTCTTGGCATGACACCTTGCGTGAGGTTTCGTCGTCTACATTATCCTACCATTTTTATTTTTGCTTTATTGCCTTTTTATCATCAAATCAACATGTTCAGGTGCCCCCAGGGGTTATCCAGCGCCGCCGAAACATAGATGGGCGGCGCGGGCGACGGCGTTTCACGGGGTTTTCCTTATTTTCCTGTTTATGAGCGACTGCATGATGGTGGTTGGGGGTTGGTTGGTTGATGGGTCTCTTGTCTTGGAATAGAGTGGTGTAGCCTTATGGAGCAGGTTCTCGGGAGACACACGCGGAAGCAATTGACCTTTTTTCATCTCTTTTTTCCTAAATTACGCGGGGAAGATGGTCGGTGAACAGTGGCGTTTCTCCCATGTCTCGGTGCATCTATTGATTGGAAGGACGGCGGATGGGGGGCGACTGCACAGGGCGGGTTATTGGTGTCAACGGTCTTCTCTCTCTGATTACTTTTGGGTGTCTCCATTGGTAGCTTGAGACATGACGGATGACGGGAGAAGCAGCGGGAGGAGCGGCTCGAGAGCCGGGCACGAATTCTAAGAAGTGGCGTCCTGCCTCTTTCGGCTTTCAGCAGCAGCAAGGGACTCGGGTGATTCGGTGGCGATGGCACGACAGCAAGATGGGCGGGAATGCATGTTTTTTGTTTTGGTCTTTTTTTCTTTTGCTCTTCATACACCTTTCCTCTTTTCGGAGCATCCCTTACGTGCAATATACCCTCTTCCCCACGTTATACCACCTCGTTGTCTGCGTGTATTTGTTTGTTTTCCTCCATTTATTCTACTTTGGGTTCCGGACCCCCGACGGTTTGCCGATTCTTTTAGCAGACGCGAAGCCCGCTCCTTCCTTACAAGGGGTAAGCGTGGGGTATCATGTTGTCCCTCGTGGCGAGGGCAAGCAGCCTTCTGCAGGAATACACTACACTCATTCGGCCATGTACACTACTCGTCTCACCTCTGCTATTATTTCGTTTGCAAATGTGGAGGTGGCCGCTGGTACTTTCGGCAATTGATCACCAGGTTGATCTTTGAAATGCCATAGAATTGGTCTCAAAATAGCACTTTCTTGCCAAACTAGTGTACCGCTCAACTCCACCGCCTTTGTGATGTGCCTCAGGAAATGTCTTGACTAATACGTTCTGTTCTGTCTAGGTTGACCGCATGAATTGAGCGGTCGCTTACAGGTAAGGCGCCTGCAGGCTGGACGGGTCCTTGTCATTCCCAACGCCTGAGATGAAGGAATGGGACGATTCTGAAATAATACTATGGCACTATGTAGGCCCTCGACAAGGTATGTGCATACCTGCCTATGTACACGCCTATAAAGGTACCTCAGGACCTAGAGACCAAGACTGGAAGTGAACAACCCCACAGTCTCGGGCTATTAGTGCCGTTCTGGGAAAACCTCAAGATGGAAAGACCGAGGGCAGAAGAGGGGCGAAAGAGGAAAGAGCGCATGGAAGCTGGATGGAAACATGGAAAGAGCACACGCGCTGCCCCCCACTCTCCCACTCTTGCTCCTGGTCAGCGCGAATAAATGGCTGGGTTGTTGTTGCTGCGAGTGGGAAACATTCGCATCACGTTTCGTTATCTCTCGAAGCTCCCCCCTGCTCTCTTATCAAACTGGGGTCCGCGGCCGCCCCTCTACGGATACGTTGCGTCAATTGGCGGGGGTTGGTTGGGCTGGGAATCGCCCTGACCCTCGGTCGGTACAGGGGGGGGAGCTGCATCTGCACACAAAAGCTCCGCAGCCCACGCCTTGCGCGGGTGGCTTTTTGGCCAGAGCCCTGCCACTGCCGTTTCGCGAAGAAGAGGGCAATGCGCTCACCCCCGAGACCACCGGCCGCATCGATCGCTTCATGATTCCGACTCGCTTTCTTCGTTCGATGCTGCTCAACGCCGCCCGACGCGCCGTCCCCATGCCCGCCACGCACGTCTTCACCGAACCGTTAGTTTGTTGTTAGATGTACGGTCCCGGCTTGTCTCGGCTGCTAGACCCCGCATCACAGAAGGCCGGCAGCAAAGTTGCATTTCGTCACAGACAAGAGGATCCTAGAAAGCCAACGTGAGAGCAAAGTTGGAGACGGGCAAAAACAAAGCCCAATAATCACAACGACGGTCTCCCGATTAGGCCCCCGATTGTCTCGATTGTCGACACCGCCGTTTCCCCTGCCGAGCTTGCTGAGCCATGGGCCCCGCGCATTGCAGCGACGAGGAAGCGGACGAGTAAAGTGTATTATCACTTTTATCTCTCGACTGTGAATCTAACTTGGGGAGCGCCAAGACCCCACCACACAGACTTCCGTTCTCAGTTTTACATTGACGGCCCCACGATCCTTGATCACGACGACAAACAATAACCGGAAAACGGCAAGAGGTGGTTCTGGACCAGATCGTTTACCGTTTCGACGGTTTCGACGGTTTCGACGAGCGCAGCAAGTGTGGTGGGCAAGACACAAGGCAGGCCACATGAGGGACGCGAAACACACGAGACAACAGAGCCGCCCGCACGTTCTTCTTGGCTGGATAACATCCGCTGTGTGGTAACGTTGACGTGCCTCCGCACGCCGTGTGTGATCTGAGCTGCTCCTCAGACCCGGAACGGCTTGACTCGCATCGGGCCGCACCGAATCGCCGAATCATTGCGCCGCACGTCACCACCGGATGTCTCAGAAGCGCTGCAGGGAAACGATGCCGGTACCCGAACGCGAACCCCCGTCTCCGGACTCCCAACCCTCCAAGCGTGCTCGCCAATCATCCGCCGACCATGGCTCCCCGGCGTCACTCGGCTCGGCCGCCGGCGCGGCGTCTCCGACGGGCGAGCTAGTCCACGACGGCCCGCCGAGCCACGGGGCCCCTGCCGGCTCCGCTGCGGGGGGCAGAATCGGCCAGAGCAGCAGTTTTCGAAACGTCAGCGCATGCAACCGCTGTCGCTTGCGCAAGAACCGCTGCGACCAGCGGCTGCCGAGCTGCACGAGCTGCGACAAGGCTGGGGTTGCCTGCGTCGGGTACGACCCCATCACCAAGAGGGAGATCCCGCGGAGCTACATCTTCTATCTGGAGAAGAGGGTCGAGCAGCTGGAGGGGCTCCTGGGCACGAACAACATCCCGTTCCCCCCCGCGCAAGATCTGGACTACAGCTCCAAGTCTGCAGCTAACGGGGGTGCTATCGGTCTCCGGTCACCTGCGGAAGGGCCCCAGTCGGCCCACTACTGGGATGCCGCGGACGCTGCGAGTGGCGGTGGGAGGGGGGAGACCGGCGGTGATGGCGCTAGTAGTGGTGCTGGCGCCAGCGGCGGCATAAACAACAATGGCAGCAGCAGCAGCAGCAGTAGTAGTGCTAGACTGCAAAGGATCGCCTCGAAACCCGGCCCGGCTGCCGGCTCGGGGTCCTCCCAGGATCGGTATCTCGGCTCGACAAACGGCATCTCCTTTGCGCGCGTGGTGTTCGCCGCTGTGCAGTCATCCGTCACGGATCAAAAGTCGAATCCGGACCGGGCAGCAGTGCGGCCATATGCCAGGGCTAGCTTGGGAGGGAATGGTGCAAGCAATGGCGTTGCCCCAACCGCGGCCGCGGGGACCAGTGCCCGGTCTGGGACGTCGATGCGGGAATCTTTCTTCGGGCTTCACACCAAGCCCACGATCCACCCGGCAACGTTCCCCGATCGACCTCTTGGCTTGAGGCTGATCAGTCTCTACTTTGAGCACGCGAACCCGCAAATACCTGTCCTACACAAGGGCGAGTTCATGGAAATCTTCGATGGGGCGTATGCCGACGAGATTCGAGGGCGTGGACCACACGAACTGTACGTGTTGAACATGGTGTTTGCAATAGGGGCCGGGATTCTGGTGGGCGACTCGAAAGGCGAGCCGCCGTTAGCGGCAGATGTACCACCAGGGCCCAGGCAGTGTCAGCCGGAAGAATACCATGCCAGTGCCATCGTACATTTTGAGACTTGCCTTGGGACCAGCGGAGGTCTGGAGGACTTGCAGATGGTCCTCTTACTAGCCAACTTTGCGCTGCTGAGACCTGTACCCCCTGGACTGTGGTACATCATTGGTGTGGCCGTGAGGTTGGCTGTCGATCTGGGTCTGTATTATGAAGACGGCAAAGACCAAGACATCGCCAGCCACGCTGGTGCCCAACAGACAGAGGCTATGGCCAGGGAAAGGGGGAGGCGAGAATACGTCCGGGATCTGAGGCGCCGGCTTTGGTGGTGCACCTACTCGCTCGACCGTCTGGTCAGTCTCTGCGTCGGCCGGCCGTTTGGCATTTCCGACCAGGTCGTCACGACCGAGTTCCCCTCGCTCTTGGAGGACCGTTTCATCACGCCGAACGGCATCGAGCAGCCGCCCCCTGACCTGGCGCGGCCGAGTTACAAGTTGGTTGCGCAGCACTATTTCCGCCTCAGACTCTTGCAGTCGGAGGTCATCCAGGTGCTGCAGTTCCGCCAGGCCCAGGGAGCCTGGGCCAATGGGAAGGGTTGCCAGAACCCTTACATGCACTCGGATTTGCCGTCGCCGTTTCTGTCCAAGTTCGACTCGTTCCGTTCGTGGCGCATCGATATCGACAGGAGGTTGTACGAATGGAAGAATTCGGCGCCCCGAAGCGAAGACACGGGCGTGGCGTTTTCGGTCGACTTTTTGGGTCTGAACTACTGGCAGGCGATCATCCTGCTCTACAGGCAGAGCCTGAGCGTGCCGACCGTCTTTGAGGGCGAGTATGATACCACGAAGGAGGTGAATAGCCCGGCGGTGTACAACGCTGAGCTTAGGGAGGACGAGGACAGGGTGTATCTGAAGGTGGCTGAGGCCGGGCAGAAGATCTTGCGCTTGTATCGCCAGCTGCACTTGAAGGGGTTGGTTAACCACACGTACTTGACGACGCACCATTTGTTTGTGGCTGGCATATCGTATCTCTATGCGATCTGGCATTCTCCGATTGTCAGGAGCCGTTTGGTAGGCGAACTGGATTTTGTTGGCCTTGTGTCTTGTTAGCCCTGTGTGTCGGGTGATTGCTAACCTATCGTGTGTTTTCTTACCCAGACCATGGACGAAGTAGACTTTACCATTCTCGCAGCGACATCCGTCTTCAACGATTTTATGGACAAGTGCCCGCCCGCCGAAGCGTGCCGCGATGCGTTCGACCGAACGGTCAAGGCCACGCTCAGGATGGTAAACGCATCTGGAGGATTCGGCCAACAGTATCCTTCCGCACATGGCAGCGCAGCCACCAGCGCCGTCAACAGCCCTGATATCAACCGGACCGACTGGAGTACACGCGGAGACAACGTATCAATACTGAAAACACCCCAACGCACCCGCCACCACCGCCAGTCACCATCCATGGACCAGCTGCCTACTGGCATATCTGATCCTTACTCTACGGCCCCAACCCTCTTGAATGCCTTCCAGAAGGGGGCACAGTATCGCTTGCCGGGCGGAAGCATGATCAAGGCCGAGCCTGAACCCTTCTCCCACGTCCGCAACCTACCGATCCCAGCACTTAGAAGTAACACCGCCGGTTCTGCCGACAACACCATCATCAACAATACACCCACCACTCCCAACGCCACATCGGCCATTGACCAGGCACAACTAATCACCTCTCCCTCCGCATTGCAACAGGGACCATTACCACCACTACCACCCCCGCAACTGGGGTCTGCATCATCACAATTAGGTTCGCCACTAGCTGAGATGGCGACTACAGCAACCGCCACCGGCGGATTCCTCACACCCCGACGTCAACAACAACAACAACAACAACAACAACAACAACAACAACAACAACAATTCAGCCCCGGGCCGATGACCTTCACCGATCTACAGGGGGGCATCGATTTCCTCCAAAGTATCGACTCAACCGACAACGTCAGCGTCGCCAGCGGCGGTCCTGCCGTCTCTGCTTCTTCTGCGTCTGGTATCCCTGTCGGTAGTGGCGGTGGGATAGATAGTACTGGTGCAGGGAGTGTAGGCGGGGGAAGTGATGGCGTCAGCGCGATGGAGGGTGTTGATTTCGGTGGGAGTTCTGGTGCCGGTGCTGGTGGTGCTGGTGGTGGGGGGTTGGATACCACACATATGGATTTTGGGTTTGGATTGGGTTGGGAGGGGCTGTATCATGATTTTGGGGGTGGGGGGCAGCAGTTGGATTTGTTTGATGGGTTCTTTTTTGGTGGGGGCGGCGGAGGAGGTGCTGGGGGGAATGGAGCTGGAGGTGGAGGTGGTGCTGGGAGTGGGGGTGGGTGATTATCAGGGGGGTAATAGGGGGGAGGTAAAAAGCCGATTATGTATTCACCTAAAGATGTGATAGATTTGGGGTGGGTGATTTGGTAAAAAGGGAAAGCGGTGTTTTGATCTGTTGGCTATGACAGCATGTGCTGTATGTACATTGACTACGACTGCTAATGACTACGAAGAGAAATGAGGTATGACCTGTGGATTTCGAATTAGTCGCCGTAATCTCGTATCATTGAATCACAAGGGGGTATTGGAACGGTAATGTTAGCCACGAACAGCCGTCTTGATATACGTCAAGATGGGGGTAAAACAGTGGGATATAAAAGGGCAAGTTAGGCGCTTTTCATCACGCACACATCACTTCGTGGCTCCTATTTACTACCTCGCTCTATGACTGTCTCCTGCGTTACAGTACGGCTTTTATCTTTATCCCCTTCCACTCCCTTCTCCTTTTCCCCAACCCCCAACCCACCACCCACCGGTCTCCCATCCCCATCAAACTCTGCCCACCTAAAAAACCCACACCCCTCCCTCCCTACCACCGGCACATTCCCCGCATAACACATCCAAAAATACCTCCCCCTATTCTCCCTCCGCCGCGTCACAACCCGCAACACCGCTGGCACGCCGCACGGACAGCGCGGGGTGAACCGGGGGTGGAAATCCGGCCGGTAGTGTCGGTAGGTGATGTTGATGCGGCGGTTGCCGGCGATGGGGTGCGGGTCGATGGTTAGGGCGGGGGTGATGCTGTGTTTCCAGTGTTCTTGCATGTCGGCGTGCATGATCAGGAGGGAGTTGTGCGGGAGGTGGATGGCGATTTGCCCGGTCAGGTTGGGGTCTTGGGGGGTTGGTGGGGCTGGTGTTGTTGTTGTTGTTGTTGTTGTTGTTGTTGTTGTTGGGGCTGTTGTTGCGATGGGGGTGGTGGTTTGGGGGAGAGTGGGGATAGGGGCAGCGGGGCTGGGATCGTCGTCTTGGGGTATGATGCGGCGGACACGGAACTCGCGGGCTACGCCGAGTGAGAGGGAACCGATGACGGCGCGGGGGCCGAGATATGTGAGGTGATCGCTGTGCTGTTGGGGAGGATGTTAGCGAGAGTCGGAGAGCAGGTAAAATCCTAAGGGCGGGTTCGTTGGCATACCCAGCCGACACTCTCCTGTGGCCCGTTGTAGCAGTTGACAAAGGCCGCGTTCGGGGTCCACGGATCTGGTGACTGGTACTGCAGTTTCTTCCCGCCATAGTGAGTGCGAATGCGCTCTTGGATCTCCCCATTGACCGTTTCCTGGACCCGTGCCTTGACCTTCTCTAGTTGTGGGGTTAGGGTTCGGACATCCTGTGAAGTGGTGAGTGAGTGAATATTACGTGACAATAACACCAAAGAAGTCTGCTATCTACCGTCATTCTCGCCCCGTTGTAAACATATTCATGCTTCTGCTCCTGCATCTCTGTGTAGCTTCCCACGTAGAAGCCCGAGGTGTGCGGGCTCGAGACGATGTTATCAAACAATTTGAAGGTGATTTTCTCAAACGTCTTGGACTCTTCCAGCAGCTCCCGCAACAGCGAGTCTGCTTCCTCGCTAGGCAGAAAGTTGTGGATGATGGTGCAGGGCGTGTGTTCACTGATGTCGACGGGGTCGTACAAATGGAGCGTGGCTCCCTTACGGGACAGTATCTTGGCACGTTTGGATGGGGTAGAGGCGGATCCATCCAAACCAACACCAAAGGACCGGAGCGACGACTGCGCGGCCGATGCGGTGCCTGACCCGGGTTTCTTGGGCAACCGTGCCTTGAGCGTCCGTGATGTGGCCTCGACATCGCCATCATGGGCCAGCAAGATATCGAGAAGCGTCTCTGGATCGACGCTGGGATGGAGCGACGAAAGGATCGCCAATTTTACATCGGTTGATTCTTCATGAGCCGGCGCCGGGTCTGGGCTGGATTTTCGCTTTTTGCTGCTTCTTATAATGAAAGCGTCCATTCTTTCAGATGTTCAGTCCGGAAGGGCCGTTGGAGTGTGACCCGGCGAGAAAAAGACCCGCGCGGCCTCTACATAGCTTTTGTGAAACCGTAGGCGACGAAAAGAGACCCTTGACGCGTTTGCTGCTGTTGACGCGGTCAAAGCGCGTAAAGTGTGGGGTGCAGGGGAGCGAACCAGGAACGGTGTCACGTGGGGCACTTATTTTAAGTGTTCAACAGGGTAAGCACATGGAAGTCCACTTCTGCTCCCGGTGGGACGGAATGCCAAGCGGAAAGTTTGACGGCGAACTGATGGAATGCCATGCGTTACTCCGTAGTTATGTCATACCTTTTCTCCTATCCGGAGAGGTAATTGGGTGCCGAAAATTCGCGTTGGCGTTTCTCGAACCGTGGGCGTTAAAGATAGAATGGAGGGAAGGCGTGCGCAGGGCAAGCAGGGTCGGCAATGCTAAATGCGGCTAGTGCCAGGTTTTTCCGGTACTTGTTCAGGAAACTTACCAGAAAGAGCAGCATAAATGGCGGGGCATTTGAGAAACAGCCGAGGCCTCGGCCCCGCCATTAACCTACTCAATCCGCCCATCTTCCCGGCAACCTGCGGCAACCCAGTCGTTACAGAGGAACCTCGTTCCAGTGCCCAATCAAGCCAGCACATTACGATAAAGTGCGACGGCAAAGCGAGAGATCGTGTGCGTATCATCTTCCCTTCCCCTTGCTACGATCGCTCTGTCGATGCCCCGAGGCGACTAGCCATGGCGTCCATGCTCGAATTCCGCACGCCGGGCTTCAACCCGTACGCCGTCAAGTACTCGCCCTATTACGACTCGCGCCTCGCTGTTGCGGCTTCCTCCAACTACGGAATAGTCGGCAATGGCCGCCTTTTTGTGCTTGGCCTGGGGCCCCAGGGCATCCAGCTTGAAAAAGGCTTCGACACCAACGACGCCCTGTATGACCTGGCCTGGTCCGAGATCAACGAGAACCAGCTTGTTGTCGCCTGCGGCGATGGCTCGCTCAAGCTCTTCGACTTGGCGGCGGGCGATTTCCCCGTCATGAACTTCGCCGAGCACAAGCGCGAGGCCTTTTCCGTGTGCTGGAATCCAATTGCCAAGGACAGCTTCATCTCGAGCTCCTGGGACGGCACCATCAAGATCGTGAGTAGTTTCCCTTCGGATCCCCCCCCAAAACAACCGCATACCCCAGAGCCGTTTCGATTTAACATGACGGCCCTTCCCCCTCTCTCCTCACGCAGTGGTCTCCGTCTCGTCCGACTTCACTCAAGACCCTCCCCGTCGGCAATTGCACCTACTCGACCGCCTTCTCGCCGATGAACCCGTCCATCATCTCAGCCGTCTCGTCCGATTCGCACATCCGCGTCTTCGACCTGCGCACCCCCGTCTCGGCCAAATACCACCTCACGACCGTCATCCCCGCGCACGCTCCGCCGCAAGCACCCACCGGCCCCGGCGCCGGTCCAGGCGCCCCCCTCCCGATGCTCTCGACCGGCGAAACCTTTGCGGGCTCCGTCCCCTCCGAGATCCTAACCCACGATTGGAACAAATACCGCGACGGCGTGATCGCCACCGCGGGTGTCGATCGCTTCATCCGTACATTCGACCTCCGCAACCCGACCGGCGGCCCCACTGCTGTCCTGCCCGGCCACGAGTACGCCGTCCGCCGTCTCGCTTGGAGCCCGCACGCCAGCGATGTGCTCGCCAGCGCTAGCTACGACATGACCGTTCGCGTTTGGTCCGACGGGTCTTCGTCTTCTCCCCCCGCCGCCGCTGCGCCTGGCTTGGGCCAGTCGAATCATGTCATCCCTGTCGGTAACCAGCTCGGTGTGATGAATCGGCACTCGGAGTTTGCGACCGGTGTGGATTGGTGTCTGTTTGGTGCCGGTGGCTGGCTTGCGTCGGCTGGTTGGGACCAGAGGGTGTTGGTTTGGGATGCGCATACCCTGTTGAGGCCGTGAGGGCGGTCACCCAGCTTTGGGGATTCACCCCGAACAACCTCTGCCTTTCCTGGTGTGTTGGGCGACTCGATGTTGGTTGCTCATCCTGTTTGCTTTTTTCCCCCAGTTGTTGCTCCTTTCTCCTCCTTCCTACCCTTCCTTCTCTTGTACTTTTCTGTTTTTCAGTTTCTGTTTTTTTGGCTTCTGGCCAACATGTTCGCTTATTGTACCGCCTGTGCCCCGACGGGCAAATGGTTCGATGTTTCCCCCTCTTGTCCTGCAACACAAGCGGTAGAGAAGGAAGAGGAGGATGAGAAAGGCGCAGCGAAAAAGTGCAGCAAGCCAGGAGGCGATTTGAGGAAACCTAAGGACCTTTGCCAGCAATATTGTATATGTGTGTGTAAAATGTACACACCTGTGTGTTTAGAAGCAACCCGAATGGGTACGATGAAGAAGAGAAAGAGGAAAAGGAACAAAAAAAGGATGATACCCCCGATGGAGAGGAAAATGGACCGAGGAGAAAGTGAGGAAAGGACCGGGTCGGACGCGACAGAGGAGGAGCGCAACACAAGGGTGGACGACTGACTCACTGGAGGGGGTTGGAAAGAACTTTCACGTTCAGGCATAGCAATTGGGTTTGTTTTTTTTCGAGGCTGCTCAAGGGTTTTGTACATGGAACAGGGGTTTGTAAACTTGTTTCTTGGGGGTGTTGGGGAGTTAGTAGGTAGTGTGCCACTCGCTCACTGGGTTGGGGCTTGTGTTAGACTATGTCTTTGGGAGCTATGGGGGAAGGTAGCACACAGTAGTTGTTGGGTCAAATGCACGGTGAAAGATGAAAATAAGAAGGAAGTGTTCTTCTCAATCTTCCGAGGCTTACCCGAGAAATACCATGTTTATGATACATGTGCCTGTTATGGGGTTTGGTTCAAGGCAATTCACATCACGTAATAGGAACAGTGATACTAAAAGACATCCGCTTCATTACATCTCTAATCGTACAAACAAGTACAATACCTGACCAAAGACCGAAGAAAACGACCTACCACAAAAGCAAACCCACATGATCTATATGTACAAAGACAAGACGGAAAACATTGTAAGGGAGATGAGAAGAGATGGGTGGATGGGCGGGTCCGTCGGTACGCTTTGTCTAGGGTGAAGAGGGAGGGAGAGAGAGGAAGAAAAGGACCGACTGAGCGAGGAAAAAGTGACGGATGCAATGGGAAGAGAAGAAACCATCCATAGAAAACAAGATCCCCGACCCAAAACCGTCCCCAAGCCAACCCCCCCCCAAGAGTCTTCCCAAGTCATGCCCAGCCGTGTTCATGCCGCCAAAGTGCTCATAAAGATCGATGAGTTTCATTCTCCTGCCCGACGCCGGCGTTCATTGCATTCTTTCCGTTCGGCCTTTTTTTCCCTTCCCGCCCCTCTATTTGGTCGTCGGCTCCTTTTTGTTTCCTCCGGGTATGTATGTTGTGCTCTGCCGCTGCCCCAGCTTGGGCCTACCGCCTTCGCAGAAAGCCAGCCGATGACACCACCCAACAAGCGTTGTCCGTCCGAGCAGGCCGGCTTGTTTTTGTCCCCGGGACAGAAAATGAGAACATAAAAACCCCCAACACGCCTGTGAACGCCGTTTCTTTTCCGTCTCATTGCCCCTGGTCTTGGCTTGACGGCCTGGATGAATAGGGTGTCAGGTGATGACCCCAATACATACCCGCAAAGCCGGCCAGGAATATGTGATCATACAAACGCGATGGTGTTTGGTAAAGGGAAGCATGCGTCGCCGCCTACTTAGGCCGCCCCGCTAAACCTTTACGCTCCGTCTAGAAGCTCGCGGGTGGGGGACGGCCACGGCCGCCGCGGCCCTCCTGCTCGCGCTTGCCAGCCCACTCCATCGCCTCGAAGCCGTCGCGGGGACGACGCTCGGGCATACCGCGACCTCCGCCGCGACCTCCACCGCCAAAGCCACGGCCTCCACCACCACCACCAAAGCCGCGACCACCACCACCACCGAAACCACCGCCACCACCACGGCCGCCGAAATTCCTGTCACGGTCACCCCAACCGTGGCGACTACGGCCGTAGTCCGCGAATTCATCACTAAAGTTCAGACCAGAGACCCGCCTGTAGGTGGGAGCCAAGCTTGTGGGGGCCGGGGGGGGCTCGTCCATACCCCAGCTGTACTTGGCCATGTTGTTGACTTCGTCGACCATGGCCTGGCGGTCGTGGATCTTGCGAGCATTTCCGAGGAAAGCGGAATAGGTATTGGCCAGCAAGCCTCGGGGGGCCCGAGAGGCAATGTTCTTGAAGTCAGCAAAGGTCTGGGGGAGCGGGGCCGTGCTAGAGGCATCGGCCGTGGCACTCTCGAGCTCGTTGTGGCGCTGGATCGGCAGGCCACGGAGCTCGTTCCGGGCCTCTGGTATCTCAGCATCGGCCACAACGAGGTATCCCACACCTTCCTTGCCGGCACGACCGGTACGGCCAATGCGGTGGATGTACGAATCGCGGTCTTGGGGCGGATGGACTTGGATGACGTGCGTGACGTTGGGGAAATCCATGCCACGGGCAGACACGTCCGAGGAGACGAGGATGGCCGACTTTGCGTCCCTGAAGTCTTGGGCGGCTTGGGTACGGGCCCCCTGAGTGAGCTTAGAGTGGATGTCGAGAACCTTGGGCAGGGATCGGTCCATCCCTATGCGGCGGAAGATCTGAGAGTATAATTGGACCGAGGCAGTGGTGGGCAGGAAGATAACGGCCTTGAAAGGGCGTGCATCGGGGCCTTCCAAGCCCTTCCGGGTTTCACGGCGGAGCAGCTCGAGCAAGGTAGGGCCAATATTTTCGAACCCGCGGCAGGGAACGATGAACTGCGGAACCCTCTCGTGGGTAGGTGTTTCATCTCCGGAAACAGTCTGGACGAATTCGAAGTTGTGGGGGTTGATGAATTGGCGGGCGATCCCAACCACGTTCTTGGGCAAGGTGGCCGAGTATAGGAGGGTCTGGCGGGGCGTCTCGGAGGTATCCGGCAGGAATCGAACAATGGTCTCAAGCTCAGCCTTGAAACCGACGTCCAGCATCCGGTCGGCCTCGTCGAGCACGAGGGCAGTAACGTTGGTGGCCTCAATGCCGCTCTGGGGATCGGAGAGGAGATCGTGCAGACGGCCTGGGGTAGCCACAAGCAAGTGGCACCCCTCAACGTGGACTCTGCGAAGCATCATGTTCTTCTGGGTACCGCCCACCGCGGTCTGGACAATGACGCCGGTCCCCTGGCAGAGCCTCGTTGCCTCCACCCCGATCTGTTCGGCAAGTTCGCGGGTAGGTGAGAGGATGATGGCGCGGATGTCCTTGGCGCTGGCCCTGCGACGGCGGGGCATAACCAATTCCGGGTCGACGTCAATGATGCGTTGCACGATAGGAACGAGAAACGCAAGGGTCTTGCCAGTACCCGTCTTCGCTTGGGCAACGCTGAATAGAAGAAGAAAACCAGGTCAGTCAGGCGGTCCAGACAAAGATTTCTCCGGGGGACACAAAAAAGAGCGCGGGGCAAAGTAAAAGATATAATTTAGACCAGAGCTTGAACTTACACATCCTTGCCGGCACGGGCAGCATTGATAGTCAGACTCTGTACTTCCGTCATGTTCTCATAGCTCATACCCCGGGTGATGGACGAGACGAGGCGTTCGTGGATATTGAGCTGGGGCAGGTCCGCGAAGCGGGTGATGCGAGTCGTCGGGGTACCGTCGCGGTATTCCCGAGGAGCGGCGGACTCGCTAGAGTAGAAGCGGATGAGAGAAGTAGCAGGGCGGTAGACGGTGGCCGCACTCCGGGTGGTGTGAGACAAGGCGAGGGCAGCCGAAGAAGCCCTCAACGCCGCAGCGTGGGCTGGGCGGACGGCCAGGGCGACGCGGGATGCGGCGGCCTGCCGTAAAAGGCTGGTCTTCATCATCTTTGCGCTCTCAGTCGTCGGCAATTTACAACAAGAAATAAAGCGGCAAATATCAACCAACTTCAATGCCCGACAGCAGAACAAACAACGAAAGCCCGTTGTTGTGGTCAAGACGACAGACAATAAACGAGGTGTGTCGTGTCGGGTCGCTTGGAAAAAAAAAGTAGAGGACCGACCGATGCGGCAACGTGAGAAGAAAATTTCCAGAGGTTGCTTGGGGGGGGGCCACCGACCGGGTTCTCTTATCTTATCTGGTATGTCGCGTGGGTCTTGGCACGCAGTCGAAGCCACTCGCGGTCTTCAATTCTTCCCAACCCCACTCTCAAGCCCCGCACTTTTCAACCTCGCTCCTCGCTTTAAGCACAAACCGTCTGATGTTGAGCCAAATATTCTGGACGGGAGTGTTGAAACAGTTGAGTTTCATTCAATTGATCGAAATCAACACCGCAGTAGCAAAACAGAACTCAATATACCTTGCGGTTCTGGCTTATTGGCAAATTTATTCTGCTAACAACACTTTCTACCCCGCTTTCGAGTCCGTGGTGAAATTCTGTCATCTCTAAGTTATAGGTCGTCATATCTAACCCAGACCTTCCTTAGCAAGTCAACCCATATAATTCATTAAAGAACATTCAAAACGCCTTTCCCAACCCCCTTATCCAACATAGTCTTTAAGCTTATTCTAAATCCCGTCTAACATTCCGTCTAACATGCCATCTAACATGCCGTCTTTATGTGTCCCCAGCGCCAATGGAAAGGAGGCGAAACGAACGTGAGCGCTCGTGTCTCTACTCTACACGAGAACCAACGATTCCCTACCCACACGCTATACAAACCGATTCTTCTTCCTCGGCTTTTCACCATCCCTCTCCGCCATCCCCGACACAGCCGCAGCCCGCGCCACAACCTCACTCTCCGGATTCTCCTCCACAATCCGCTCCCCAAACGCAAACAGCGCGCTCCGCACCCCGCGCCCAGCATGCGCCGACACGGCCGCAATCAACTGACCCGGCCAGGTACCCCCCAGCCAGCGGAACGCCGCGCCCAGAGTCTGCAAAAACCCCGTCACCGCCATCACCAGCTGCGGGAGATACTTGTGTTCCTGCTCAGCCTGCACAAGCTGGCTGCCCAACGCGGCCAGGCGCGGGAGGAACCAGGCGCCGGCCATTGAGAGCAAGCAGATGGCGAGGAAGACGCAAGTGTGCACGAAGCCGCGCTCGCGGAGCTGTAGGGGCCGCTTTTTCCCGTTGCTGGCGTTGGCTACGTGTTCGAATCTGTCTGCGAGGGTGGCTGGCATGGCGCGGTGCAGGACAGCGGCCTCGTTGTTGTCAAGGTCGCGGGGTAAGCCCCGGAGGATGTGTTGGGTGCCATTGAGGTAGGTGGACCGTTCAAAGTAGGAATCGCAGTCCTCGACTGGGTTGCGGTTTTTTCTGTCTGTCTTTTGCTGCTGGTGCTGCTGCTGCTGCTGTTTCTGATCGATATGCTCTCGGATGGAGTTGAGCAAAAGATCGAGACCTCGCCGTTTGTTAGTCGCCGGGTTTGTATTTGAAAAAAGGTGAGCTCACACAAACCTTGCCTGGCCGATTTCCAGTTGATCCCAGAACCTTTGGTAACCGGCTCCGGCACGGCCGGGAACGAACCCATCAACGAGACCAGTCCCTTCCCCTGTCCAAAAACAAGTTCTGCCGTATGTACATCCGGCCTGGACAACTGCTCTGGACGGGGCTGCCCAGGTACCCAGACCATTCCCGTTCCCGTCACGTCCACCGGGTCGGCGGCCTCTTCTTCCCCATCAAGATCCTCTGGTTCCTCGAACGGCCCCAGCTGGAAAGCAGGTAAAAACGCCGTCAGCGGGCCGGTGAGGATTGCCGACCCGGGCAGGGCCAAGGCGATGGAGGTGGCCGCATCGGCGGCCCATTGCCAGCGCTGCGGGATGAATCCAACCATTCGGGACGCGCGCTGATCGTCCCTGGCCGGCGTCTGCTTGGTGTAGGTACTGTGTCCCATATTTACAGTTGTTGGTGCTGTCGATGCGATTGCCACTGGTGTATCCCCTCGTCCTATCATGTGCGAGGTGCCGCTGCTGACATGACGATACTCTGCTCTGTGATGGTGGTGGCGACGCTCGATTTGTTTAACCGGGTGAGGATATGTCTTCCCTGGGAGGTTGATAGACTCAGTATGGAGGTGTGGACAAGAAGAAGGAGAGCAAGCCGCACTGGACCAAGAAGTGGAGGAGGAAGAAGCAGAAGAAGAAGAATCGGAAGCGGAGACAAGCACGGTGCGCTCTGAAGAAGCCCACATCATGGTTCTGCAATAGCGAGTTCCTCGCCTACATCAAATTGTGCACGGGTGACAATGGGGGATATCCGGGCTCACCGGGGCAAGAACGGTGAGCCCCACGGGGTCGGATCGGACGTTTGATAGGGGGTACATATCTATGCGGGCGGTGTCAGGGCGGTGGGGGGTTCGAGCGGCCTAGAACCGGGAGTCTAGGCACGGCAGGATCTCGCCTCTGTAGTGTTGATTTAACGGCCTCCCATATCATTTATTGCAACGCCTGCAATGCTACCTCTTTCCCGTATTTACAAGAATTTTTTAAATAAACTTTTAAACACCCCACGGTATTCCAATGGGTGGGGGTTGGAAAGACCCTCCAGTTCAAATCATGTGGCGACCGTTGAGGAAAAAAAAGAGAACATCTCCCGAGCATGTGAAAATAGGTGGGGCCTAAGTCTTTATCTTATCTTCTAACACGCGGCCTGGCAAGCTTGGGCTAAATATGGAGCCTTTGCGCCCCAGCACTTAACATGACACAATCACTTTTTTGCCCCCGTATTCCTCCTCCATCTGTTAGTGTCTCAGAACCTCGGACGACAAACAGGATGCGGGATGCATTCAGGGTTTAACGCGACTCAGTGGATAAGCCCAAGACTTGAGGGCCATAGCATTTTTGCCTTCACATAGTTAATTAGGTACTTGCCAAGGTTGAAAGGGACCAGCAAACCCTGTATCATACAAGGTAGCAGTTACTTCATTCTATACAATAATACGCTGAGGTGAATAAATGGTGCCTACCCAGTCGAGCCAGTCAAACAAGCAGCCAGATAGTATCTGGGTAGGGACCTAAGGTATAAACAGAGCCTCTTACAGTTCCCGTTGCCTATGTGCCAAAACAACCCCCCCGCCTTCCAATATCAGACTTCCCGCCGGGGCACACCCCTCCTTGCCCGGGGTTTCGTACTCCCTCCTAGAAAACATATCACGCAAGAAGACCCTCTCAACTCCCACCAGCAGCAGCCTTCTCCGCAGCAATCTTCGCCTCCATCTTCCTCCTCGCCTCCAAAATCATCTGGTCCCTCCTCTTCTGCAACAACGTCTGCCTTTCATCCCGGCTCGCACTCCACGCCTTGCCCTTCCCCGTCACCGCCGCCACCGCCGCAGCGCCCGTGTCTTCTGCTACTCCCGTGCTACTACCAGTGCCGCCCGTTTCCGACTGCTCGCCTCCCGCCGTGGCGGCGTTAAGCTTGTCTTGCAGGTTGTATCGCGTGATGAGATCCGGATGGACGGGCCCCGGGGCGGGCTTGCTTTGCTGCTGTGCTCCTGCGGATCCGGCGCCGGCGCTGTTGTTGGCTGCGCCGGGGGGCGGAGGGGGTTGGAACGTGATGGGGGGCTGTAGGGAGAAAGAGGGGTTAGTTAGCACGGCTCCTCACGATAGAAAATTCAGAGAGAAGAAAATAAAATAAACCCAGGAACGGAAGGGAAGGTGATCAAAAACATACCGTCTCCAAGCGCCCCGCCAAAACCCTCTCCGCCGTCGCCGCCACGTTCCCTCCCGTGCGCTGCAAATCCCACAGTGCCGTCCGCCGGTCCACCTGCGGGAACATCTGCTGTATCCTCTCGGCGGCGGCCTCGCGTGCCGCCCGCGCCTGGGGTCCGTCCCTTTGTTGCCTCCCCCCGGCTGCTGACGAGGAAGAGGAGCCAGCAGCGCCCGGTGCAGAACTCGGGGAGAAAAAGAAGTAGCGGAGGACGATGCCGGAGATCACGAGGATGGCAACGAGGGAGGGGAGGTTGATGTGTTGGTCGTCGACTACGTCGGCCATGATGAGAAGGGGGGTGTGGGGGGAGTTGCGCTAGAATCGGGGTCGTTCGTGTATGAATACGGCGTTGTCTGCGTCGTGTTGTTTCGGATTCCCCTGGGCTTGGCGGTGGGTTGGGCGAATTGCCTTGCGATGCGAGCAGCGGGGGTGATCGGAGTAGGGGACGGTCGTAAATTAAAAAAGATGAAGGTGAAATTAACAGCGCACGGCTGGATTACTTGGTGTTCTTTGTTAGGGTACCGCAAGACTCGGTCGGGTGCGTCGGTTCGAAGGTGGCACGCGAGCGCAATGAGTCCGAACGTTGAGAGAGTCCGTCTGCGATTGCGCTTAGGCAAGGATGCCTCGGATGTCGAGCGAAATGACTAAAACGTGTCGGAGATGCGCAACGCAGTCGAGAGTGTTAGTGGCTGAATTAAATTAACCACCCGCTAACAACGATGGCGATGACCGGCGAGAGGGATTATTGTGTAGGAGTCATTAAGTAGGAGAAGGAAAAGGAAGATTCGACCGGACGGCGTGGTTCGGGCGAGGTATCAGGTCTGGGGCCTGATGATCCAATCGTTGCCAAGAAAGGAACCCCTGTTGCTATTGCGCGGTTTGTGGGGCCAGCAAAACATCATTTCGCAGACTCGACAGCTCTTACTTACATAGCACATACATGCTCACGCAATCCGGTACCACTTGTTAGCTAAAACTGATCCATTCACCCAAGGCTGTTGCCGAGCCGAAACATGCAATAGGTATAGGGAACTTATGCAACAAGTAACTCAGAACTCCCAAAGAGAAGGGCCCTGAATGGATTGTTTTGCGCCAAACCCTTCCCCAAATGGTGCAACCGATCCCCGCGACCATGGAGAGATTTAGTACATACACCCCCTAACCCCAGAAATCAACATGAAAGCCAGCGCAACCGTTCCGTCCTTCATGCTCACGTCCCCCAACCCCCCGTCTGTCCTTTTTGCGCTGACAACGCTAGGCGACTATTATCTGCCACCGCAAGTTAATGCTCAAGCCCCTATGCTAGGCAACTGCGCGGTGGAAGTAGTATCGAGGTCCGCATAATACAACACCAGCTCCCGCTGCAGATTAAAGTGGTGTCAGTATAAAGAGAAATCGAAAAAAAGAGAACAAATATGCTCTCAAGAGTGACAAACGCCATCACGCATGGCTTACCCTCTCCTTGCGCCAGTTGGCGGTGTCCCAGATTATATAATAACCGCGCTCATGGGTAGGACTCAGCGACTGAGGGACCATAACATCGTCCTTGGTCAGCCATATCTGTAGCTTCTTGTGCCAACGCCAGTTGCGATTATTCAACTCGATGGCGGCCATCTGCTGCTTGACGTCACGCGGACAGCTGTAAAAGATCCACATCAACGTCTCCTCGTTGAAGCTCGAGATTTTGGCCTCGATCGGCTGCACGTTTTTGACCTGGTAGCAGTCCGGAAGGCGAAACTTTGGTACCGGCGACCGTGGCGGGACGTCGTCGAATAGTGAATACGCCTTAGTGGACAACATCCTAAGACACATGTTAGATATCAAATAATGAATAGTGTGAGTCGTTCGTGGGGCAACACTCACTCCGTGGATCGCATATCTATGCCCAACGTCGCCGGGTCGAGGCCGCAAGTAAGCGCGTTGTAATCGGCATAGTTGTTCATCAATGTGCGAAGCCCCTTTAGGCCCCATTTATCAATGGGCGCCATGCCTTCCAACGGATCTTGTACCTGGCTGGCGGGGGTCTTCTCCTCCTCTTTGCCCTTGCCGGTCGGGGGGTCGTTACCAATGGCGCCCAGCGGATTCCTACCGCTTACCGAGTCAACTGAATCCTCACGATAGCCGGCCGGTTTTTGACGCGACTCATCCTCGACTGGGCTGCGCTGATCTTGGGGTCGTGCGATTGCTGTTGGCGAACGGACGTCTGTGGCCCTCGAAGTTGCGGATAGTGCGCTCAGTAAACCGTTGCCCGCTTGATTCGCCTGCATCGTGGACCTGGTGGCTGAACCTTGGGTACCAAACCCCAGGTTAGACATCAGATTGCTACCTTGTTCTTGCCTGCCAATCTCACCATTCGCGGTACGATTCAACGGTGGGAACTCCTCGGCAGCACCAGCGGGTGCGGGGATAGCTTGCGAACCGCCTGCTTGGGTGCCAAACCTGAACGGACCTTGATTGGATGAAAGGCGCGAGGCGAAAAGATCCTCTTGCTGGCTCTGAGCTGAGATCGGAGTGCCGCCTCCTCGATGGACCCCTCCACCGACGCTACGAGAGCCTTGTGTTGACCACATTGGTGTTTGGCTTGTTGAGCTGAGCTGGGAGGGGTTGGATAAAGACGGAAATTCCCTAGAACATAGAAAAACAATCAATCAGTTTGAGTCCGGCTTTCAAACCAATAAACTTCATCGCCAATTGAAAAAGAGAATCGTGAGAGAACGAGGATCAGGCCGAACTTTGGGTCGTGAAAGGGGTTGTAGGAACCCTTCACTATCGAAGCATACGGAAGGCCCTCAGAGGGTTTCTGTCCTTCAGGGTCCGCTTCTTTCGTCTCTTTCATTTTGATCGAAAGCTTCGGCTTGTGGTGCTGAGAGGACGCCATTTCGACAGCAGGTAGTAGGCAGGCGGCCAATGAAACGTGCCGAGAAAAGAAGTGAGAATTATCTTAGGGCGGTATGAGTCCACGAAAGAGTGCGCCGCCCCGCTATCAACGATGACACTGCGGGGATTATCGATCCACAGAGTTTGACGAGGGAAGTTGAAGTTCGGGAGAAGTTGTTCCAGTTGACGAACAGTTCTCAACTTCGGTCGGCAAGGCGACAAATCCCCAAGGCTGAAAGGTGGAAGGCAAGAAGGAACCAGGAACGCGAAATGTTGCCAGAGCGCCTTCAAAACAAGGCAACCACACAACCCCAATCACGGAAAACCAAATAAAAAGGGAAAGAAAAGTCACTTACGACAAGTCCAGCGGTGTTGCTGGCTGTGACCCGGCCACACTTTGCGCGAAGCTGACATTCCCCCCTATTTGCCTGCCAGCCCCTCCTGGGAGCACATTTGCACCACCCCCCATAGGCATGGCGCCGAACGCCCATTGTGCATTTCCTACCGGCCCTGCGACCTTTGTTAACCCTTTTTTCACGTATTCCACGGCTTGGCAACCGTGGCGCCAGATGTCACTTCACCTCCAAGCTTCCCGTTAGGTAACCTATTCGAGACAGCACGACCGGACTGCTGTTGTTGTTGCTGGCCCCCGAACCCGCCAGGTATGCCGCGCATTGTTTGTGGTACAACCCCTAGTATTCCAACCGTGTTAGCATATCCAGTTCTAACATATTTTTGGCGGTGTGGTTTGTGATGCTGTGGATATCAAGGAACAGCCATGCGCAGCGGAAACCCAGAGCCTTCCAACCACCTCAACACCAGAACCACGCCCCAGCACAATCCCACCCTAAGGAAAGTCCAAACAGAAAAGGGGGGATATTCAATGGATGGAACAAAAGCTCTTTTCATCCTTGACTACCCCCCACCGTCTCAGCCGCCCTCGAGAGCATCAAGCCTGGCTGGTCTAACAACCGCTTCTCGCTGCCGCAGACTCCAGCCCAGCCAGCAATCCTATTCCCTCCAACCAAACCAAATGCATCCCATCGTATTCCCACTCAATGCACAGGCGGCAGCTGGGGCGAGGCGCGGGTAGACGAGGTACGCGAGGTAAGGAGGGGCCATTCGAGATCGGAATCGGAGATGAACAAGTCGAGGCGAGGGGGGGGGGAAGGCGCTTTGCCAGCATACCTGGTCGATTCATCATTAAGGTGTCTGCGCTCCGCCGTGGGGTGCGCTCGGTTTTGTTGTCGAGAGGAGTTGGTGGTTGTGGCTGGCTCGTTATGTTGCGACGTCGCCGTTCGTTGTCTTGCTGTGTGTCGTTCGCGGTTGCTGGCTTTAGGGACTGCCGGGCTGTGGTCGAGGATAAGTGGGACCCGAGCGCTGGAGTTGAGAAACCGCCCACCGAGTCGCATCGCAGGCGAAACCTGATTAGATACGGTACAAAGGTACTTGGCGCACGGGCTCCCGCCTGCGGTTCTCCCTGCAAACATGGGGAATTTACTGGTACACACTCAAGACACTGTATTTTGGGTACTGGTATTATACCAAGCGAACGGTAATGCGTAAAGCCAACCTCTTTCACCTGCCCTTCGGGGTAAGAGTGGCCAATCGAGCGCGTAGTAGCTGTCTTCATGACCATTTCCTTTCATTCTTTCTCCTATTTTAACTTACTATGTATCCTCCAACCATGAACCGGCCCTGGTTTCGATTTTTTAAAATTGCTGTATTTTTCGCTGGGCCTCAAGGGGCAGCTATACTACACCTGTTCCCGCAGAGCGCCCTCTAGGCTTCCCCTGAAGTCAAAGTTTTCCAAATGCCGCCCGATCAAAATCATCTTGCCCTCTACCGGGGCGTCTTCCTCCTGCGAAGGGTTGCCAAAAATATCAAAAATCTCTCTGACGCCCTGAATGATATTTTGCTTCCCATCGGTGGCAGAAAACCGGCCCTTCAGCCGGTGAATATCATACGCCGGGCCGCCAGTTCGCTCATGCCCGGGCAAGACATTTTCCCAAAGCACCGACCGCAACCATGCATCAAGTGCAGATTGTTGCTTCTCACTCAGCGCCGGAATAGGGACAGATATCGTCGAAACGGTCTAGCGAAAAGAGTAGGTTAGTGGCACTAATTTCACGTGTGATAACCATCTTCCCCTTACCTTGTCAATATGGCTGTGGCCAAGACCCGGGCGGTCAAGTTCTTCTACTTTGTCGTACGCATGCAGGTCTAGCAGGAATCCCTCAAGCTTCGGCACGGCGCTTTGGCTGGTGACGAATATTTTGGCCAGCCCGTTCATGGACTCGATCCTCTCCCTCACTGCCTGAAGCTCTGCCTCACTGACCAAATCGGACTTGTTGATGACAATAACGTCGGCGTGTGAAATTTGCACATGGGCGGTAGTCATGACGGGACCCGCTCCGTGAGCGTCGTCGCTCTCCTCATGGCCTTCCACCTTCCCCGCGGGGTCATCCAGGCTGTGCAGGATGTTCTTGGCGTCCACGAGGGTGACGATGCCGTCGAGGTAGATGGTGCTGCCTAACCCGTCGTCCATCCAGAACATGGGCGCAATGTTACCCGGGTCGGCCAGGCCGGTGGTTTCGAGAAGGATGTAGTCGAATTTGCCCTTCTTTTCCATCAGAGACTCAATAGCGTTTACTCCAGTGTCTCTACCGGTTACATGGTTAGAATGTGTCCCTAGGCTGGGGTCGAGACATCATCGGTTAATACTCACTTCACGGAACAGCATATGCAGCCGTTGCCCACGTCCATCCACTCCTCAACTGACTCACCATCCTTATTGATAGTGAGTGACTTTTCAATATCCAGAGCTTTTCTATGTCAGCATGGTACCCCTGATGTGAGCCGCGGTTAATATCAGCTTACAGTCTCCAAACTCTAGATGTCACCTGTTAGTATGTTCCATATGTATGTGTTTACACGGTTAGGTCAGACTCACCATTCATGATGACAGCGATCTTTTTGCCATGTTCGGCGGTCAGAATGTAGTTCAACAATGTTGTTTTGCCAGCTCCAAGGTATCCTGTCATTCCGTCAGACACTTCAGTCGCTAGGCCGTATGGCGTCAGGGGAAAGGGATGTAAATACGCACCCGTAATGAGTGTAATGGGCACCTTGACTGGCTTCTCCTCAGGCTCTGGTTCGGCACCGGTGCCGACCAACTCCGGCGGCGCATCGTCGTCCAAATCCATATTTACCGCCAGATTATTCAAGCTTAAAACGAGAGATACCTCTTCCCAGTCTTAAAAGGAAGATGGTTTGGAGGAATCCTGTCCCCATGGTGGGGCTCTTGCTCAAGAGTTGGCAGTTACATGCAAATAAGGAGGCGTAGATGGCGGGGCAATTCTCCTAGTTGCATGATTTTCCAGAATCTGGCCATTGGATTACGTAACCAGGAGAACGAGGACAGGGGTCTCGGGAGCTCGCTTGCTGCAGCCTCGCACGCGTCTGCGCTTTCGCAAGCGCCTGGAAATCTTAAACAGAACAACAACCCAAGTCGGACCCCTTTCCACTCTGCGTCACGGCCCCGCAATCTTTTGTTGGGTGTTTTGTACAACAGGGGCACTCGGGGTTTCACCGAGAAATTATTACCTGACATACCTCAACAAACGACTCGGGAACATCTCATTCTCCACCGAGCCTAACGACCGAACCATTCCTCGCGGTCGCTCTCACAACACCACCCCCGCAGAGAACAATCGCAAACCCTAGCCCGAGACCTACAGGCGCAATATAACGACCGCCTTTTGATCCTCGCCTCAATCTAATTCTCGAGTGGTCATGTCACTACCACCGAGCTCACCCCGGCTCCCCAGCCCGCCGCCCCCGGCTGAGATCCAACTCGGCCCTCAGTCGCCATTGATGGGCCCCAATGCTTCGCGACAGTCATCCCAGATCGAGCAAACCGCCATCAACACCAATGCCAAGCGGCGCATCCACCCAGGCACCAAGGCGGCCGACATGGCTGCCGGGCCTCCTCTCGTGCCATTGCAGGAGCTCGACTCGGCCTTCCAGCTCCAGGAGCATCTGGCCGCCCTACACGACTTCCACACCTCGGGCCGCACCATCCCCATAACCCGCGACATTGCGAAGCTTTTGGCCACCCCGCCCCCCGGGATCGACAAGACCCTCTGGCTGTTCGAGCTCTGCCGCTTCCTGATCGCCCAGTGCAACACCCTGATCATTGGCTTCCTCTTCGACAACCCACCATGCAGTGCCGCCACCTGCCCCGAAATGCGCGCAGGTGAGTGGCAGTTCCTGTGCGCCGTACACGACGCCCCCAAGAGCTGCTGCGCCATCGACTACTGCTGTCACACCCTCGATTGGGCCACCAACGTCGTGACCAACCCCAAGATCTTCCCGAGCCGCTTCGTCGTCGATGCCCACGACAAGAACACCGCCCTCAAGAACCTCGTCAATGTCTTCCGCCGCCTGCACCGCGTCTTCGCCCATGCCTGGTTCCAGCATCGTGGCGTGTTTTGGTCTGTGGAGGGTCAGAGCGGTCTCTACCTCTTCTTCAAATCTGTGTGCGACGCCTACGACCTCCTACCTGCCGAAAACTACAAGCTGCCACCCGAGGCGGAAGGCCTGGATAGCAACGCCGGTACCGGTGGCGATCTGAACAACGATAGAAACGACAGACGGCAACCACAGCACCAACAGCAAACACTCGCCCCGATCTCTATCGCCAAGCCCCCCGGTGCCCAACACGATAACGACGATGGGGATTTCTCGGGTCCCAGCAGGACCAACACTCGGAGACACATCAAGAGTAGCCCGTCCACCGGCAGCGCCGTCACCACCGTGCCCGAAGCCGACGAAGACGACAGCGACCTGTCCCACCGCCTGCGCGGTATGCGCTTATCCGCCCCACGCGCCATCACCGAAGAGGAGACGAACTCCCCGAGCAGCAGCAATATCCCCGTGATTGTGGAACACAGGGCCGTTGAAGCCTCGGAGCAACCTATCCGGCCGTCCAGCGTGATCCCCCCACCCGGGCCGGGCGAAAGCGCGGCAGGGGAGGAAGCCCAGCCAGCATTAAACTCGCCTGTTGAAACCCCTGCGACTGCGACTGCGACGGTGCCAGAACACGAGTTCGCTGCTGAACCCGAGGCGCCAAACCCACCTGCCCCTGAAACGGAGACGAAGATGGAGACAGGGGAGGAACCAGCAACCGAGACAGAACCCGAATCGGAATCAGACACCACACAAATTCTAGACCCAACCTCCGAAGACCAAGATGACCCTGTGGAGGAGTCCGCCCAGAAAGATACCCCCTCAGAACTATCCGATCCCGAACCGGTATCGGCACCATCCGCTGAACCCACGGAGGCCTCAACAAACCCAAGCGAGAACGCGGACGAGGACACAACAACCACCACATCAGCCAATGAAGAAGAAACCCCTGAGACAGAGACAGAGGCAGCGGCAGCGGCAGAGGAAACGATAGAAACAGAGTCCGTCGCCGATTCCGAGGCTGAGACCGTGACCGGCCCCGTGAAAGACGCAGAGACGGAGACAGAAGAAGAAGACGACGACGACAACGATGAAGAGGACGATAAAGAGGACGTCAAAGAGACGACAGAGGTAGAAGAGAAACCGGCGGAAGAGGGTGAAGAGAAGACCGCTGAGACGGGGAAAGAAGCGGACGAGGACAAGCAGGAGGAGGAGGACGTTCAAGAAAAGGTAAAGGAAACGGAAACAGACGAGGCAGACGCAACCGAGTTCTCCCCCGCTGACGCTAAAGCAAAGGAGGAGGGAAACGCCGAGGTCAAAAATGAGGATGACGATGGTGGTGATAATGAGGACGATGAGAAAAAAGAAGAGGAGGAGAGTGACAAGGCAGGGAAAGCGACGGCCGAGGATAAGGAGAAGGAGAAGGAGACGAAAGCCGATTAGGTGTGGGTGCAATCCTTCCAATGAATGAATAAAGAATGGATGTGGTCTTTGATAGGGATAATTAAAGTGATTTTAAGGTTTGGGGAGGAGGTTTGACGGGTTCACGACTTATTTAAAATATTCTACAAGCTGTATTGTTGTGTTAGCGTACTTGTGTTGGCTACGTGTGTGTTTCCGAGGTTGAAGGCTGAGGAGCGGCGTACTATGTAACAGTTACATGGCGATATGAAAGTATGGCACCCCTTGAACGTTTGAGAAGTAAGAGGAGGGTCATACATAATACATTCTCTTTATGTGAGGTCCTAAAAAGTGAGTGAAGTGTAGCGCGAAGAGGCAATACCTCCCCGGGGGCTCGCGTACGTACGGCTCTCAGTGTTGACAGGTTGAGCAAGGTAAGCATCTGATATATTCCAATTTTCCCTTTTCCCATAACCGATAACTTGAAAATAAAACAATCCTAGAGAAGACAACAAGCCACCCGGATTCCACCCACAGCACCACCATACATACATACTTCCATGCAATCCTTTTTCTATATCTTCCTTTTTCTTTGTACTTCCCCTTTCTATGACACATTCATTTGCCAAGTTATCCACGGATTAATGGCGTAAAAGAGAAGTTCATGAGAGGGCCGGTCAGTACATGTACCCTTGCCTAAACAGGCTAAGTAGCAGACAACCAACAACGCCGGGAAGGAGAATTAGGGAAATTGTTCAGTTAAGAGTGCTTTTTGAAACATGATGTGAACTGAATAGCGCAGGGTAAAGCCAAATGATTCTCAGATCGCCAGCCCAAACAGTAAGATATGATAAAAAATACAAGTGGCCGATTTCGAGCCTCGATGAAGTTAAAAGTATGGGTAAATAAGTACAACAAGAAGAATTGAAATGCTAGAAGGAAAAATAAAAAACAAGAAAAGAAGTGAGGCCGAACCAAGACGAGAGGGCTACCAGGTATTCGGATTGTCGCGTGTTCTCTTTCAACCCGACGGAAACGTCGTTCCGGCTGTAATTATGTGAGGGCTGTTGGGGATACAACGACACAAGACCGGATCTAGGAAGGCCGATCCCCATCGGTTGGCCAAGACCTGAGCGAGGAGGAGCCTTGCGCGAATAACCGCATAGTAGATGGGCTGAGGGGGAGGACAGCAACAAGGCTCCGGAAGGAGAGAGACGGGCCATGCCGAACATCCATCAGACCGAGCCGGCTTTCCCAGCCGAGTTTCCGGTCCCCTGCCCCCGATTCCTGGTATGCTGCAAAGTTGATGTGGGCTTGTGCGCCCGAAATATCACGGCATCCAGCCTCGTTAATGAATTATGTAGAGTCGTCAAAACCACACTGGACGACGCCAAGGCTGACAAAGACGGCGCTCGACCAGCCGCACTTCCGTTGGGGATATAGCGTCGTCGACTTGTGCAGGGGACAGAGAGAGAGAGAGACTCGCTGGCGGGCTGGCGGGCTTCTTGTGTTGTGCATGTCCAGACCCTCTCGACAGGCCAGGGAATGGTAGCCGACGGAAGAATTCCGCGGACTACGCTAGTGTAGTGTAAGCCGCTTTCATTGATGATCCATGCACAGAGTAAGCTCGAACTTGTCTTGTCGTTGTTGTGTGGAGTTTGACGCGATGTTCCCAAGACATCCCCGTCCTCTGGGACCCCGGCTCAAAGATGTGTTTCAGATCATCGAAAACAGCTTGATGGGTGATCCAAGCGCCAGCCCCTGCATTCGCATCAAGGGCTTGACGTCGCAGGGCCACACTATCGGGTCGAAAAGAAATTTGTTCAGGGGGGGTGAGTGGTCCCCTCCACAAGTAGGAGCCGCATGATGAGCTGCCGAGACTTCCCAACGACAGGTCTCGTTTCCTCTGTGGTTTGGCGGCTGTTGATCAAGATACCGCGCGATTGACCTCCGCGCTTCGCGTCGTCTGCGAATCCCAGGCCCGGTGAATGTCCTGGAAGGTCTTACTGTGTAATTGGATGGTCGAGGTTGTTACTATCACCACCACCACCCTCTCTGCGCTTGTTGTCGCTGTTCCTAGCGCCTGCGCTACCGTTGCACCCCTTCGCCTCTGCCAAATGTTCTTTTTCCTCCTTCCAAACTGAGTTGTAACGGCTGAGCGTGGACTGGTTCCTACTTCCATTCACTAATGTTGGCTGATTTGGTCGCGACAATGCCACTCGGTCGCCCCCCATTATACCCCTGTGTTCGCCCCATCTTTGCGTCCATCCTCTTCTGCCTCAATCTGCATCCTCGAAAACACGTGGCGGATCTGTTGCAAGCTCTCTCGCTGGGTAGCTAGAGCCGTGGCGTTGCGTTCGTCCGCAATAGCCCGGATGTTTTGTAGCAGCAGGCTGAACCCTTCGTCGTTAGGAAGCCACCACCGAAGGCAGCTGTCATCTTTAAAGAGTTCGGCCATGCGAGTGCGCATCGTGATGGGGGATATGTACCTATCCGCCCCCTAGTCAGTCTGGTTCAACCCCATTCGTTTGAACTTGATGTATTTGCCCCTCAGATCCCCTGAGATGAACGGCTGAGAGGTAGGAACACTTGTCCAAACCGTATTGTCCCTGTTCTTCAACCACTCCGGTACCGCCGTGGGGAAATGAAAAGAAAAGGAAAGACCCAACTCACCCCATCGATTCAAGGTACGCAAACTTCCGCCTAATCCACATATGATGCTTCGGATCCCGTCTCATGTACAGCGCTGCAATCGCCAGGCATGACTGCAGAACCACCAAACTCCCCGGCGGACTCTGTGGCCACAGTTCCACCGTCTCACAGATCTGGCATATCGCGTATGCGTGTTTCATCAGCCGCGCCCGGTCCTCGTCCGTCAACCTCGCAGCACTCTGGCTGACGTGCATAAGGGAGATCGAGTGGTACTCGCACGTCAAAATTGTCGAGGCGAATAGTGGCGGTCGAAATAAGATGCCCGGCGCGTACGGGTTGACAATGTCGTCGGGGCTGGGTGTCGGGTGGCCAGGGAACTCGTTGACGTAGAATGCGGGATCGGTGAGTGCTGGATCCCACGATTTGTGCCAATCGTCCCAAGACGTGGTCATCTTGCGGTGCTCCACTGTGTATTCTTCATCCGTGAGCTCCTTCTTCGCGCCCCGGGCGAACAGATCGGACATCTCTTGTGACCCTAGTCGTACCCGTGCTGAACAAGCCTCGATTTTCCACGACAGGTTGCTCGGTTCCATTGCTGCCCGTGACTCGTAGTACTCCACTGATGCCGTGTACCAATCCCGCGATAGCGAAGTCTTGAAGCTGCCCATGATACCCACAAAGACGTCGAACCGGGTGTACCACATCAAAGCAACGCGGCCGGCAGGTGTTTGCATGATGGTCTGTGGCGTGAACAGCTGGTTGAGGACTTCAAAAGCTGCCTTTTGGTGGCCCATCAAGTTGACCCAGTCGCCCAAGTATTCCTTTCGCTTGTTAATATACGGCCATCGGCTATGATACAATAGCATATTCAGCAAACAACAACAAATGAGCCACGTACCTCGATCGTCGCAAGCTGTAGGATCGTCAACAGCGTGGTTATTGTGTGCTTCTCCTTCTTCAGGCACTCCAAAAGTAGCGTAACGCTGCGGCTGTAATACTGAAGAAATTCATGGACTCTCCCCGTTGGATTCCTGAGGGCGTGATGGTAGGCAGAGAAGCCCACCACTGCATACAGTAACGCCTCGTTCTGGATTGCCAGTCCCGGTAAGATCTTTTGGAAGAAGTCATCTGCGTCCTCCACCGCGCAGTAGTGATAGTGTGTGATGTTGTCGTGGAAGTAGTTAAGGTAAAACTGCAGCTCGTGTGGAAGAAACGTCCAGTCAGGGCGGGGGGTTGTTGCCACCGTTGTTGATCCGTCGGAGAACTGAAACCCGGCGGGCGTGTGGGCGCTGGTGACTCCGGTCGACAAGGACGGGGATGAGCTCTTTGTCCCATCGCAGGACGGGGTCTCCGATCCCTGACGGCGCCCGGCAGCCATCCTTTGTCGACCGAAGGACGACGTAGTGCTCGACCTTCGCAATGGGAAATTCGGCAACGACATCTGCGAGGTGGCGCTTTCGGGCTCGTCTTCGTCTTCGTCTAGAATCGGATCGAGTTTCATCTCTTGGTCTACTTCGTCATCGTCCTCTCCCCGAGATGAAGTCGGGCTCGCCTGCTGGCTGGGCCCAGCCGAGTCTTTCGACCCTTTTGCAGGTGGTGGTTCTGGATAGATGCATTCTCTTTTCCCTTTCCTACATCCTGTTACATGTCAGCAAAGACGGGTCCATCCGTAAGAGTCCCGGATGCCGACACTGGAAACATACTCTCGCAGATAGGATGGGTCTCGTCGCACTATCAAGAAACAAGACAAAAAACAGTCAGTCAGTCAGATACGCGGGCATGTGGCCAGCCAAAGCTTGCAATGACAGCGATATGAGGTTGAGTGTTAGGAAGGGGGCTCAAACCTTGACACGCCGGCTCCGGCAAGTGTAACAACCAGATCTCGTGCGGCGATGCTTGATGTGATCTAGACCCGGTGCCGACTTTCTCCTGCTTCGTTGCGCCTTGGGTGCGTTGAACATGATGGGCTCCGGAAATCCGGTGTAGTACCCCAGACTCTGATACGAAGTGGGTGCTGGGGAGCTGCCTATCGGCATAATCTGGGGCTGAGACAGATGGCCAACGCCATCGAGCTGGTTTGGGCTGGGTTGTTCTCCAGCCCCCACCATCGAGGAGAGAAAGTGGTGATAATAGTCGCTCATTGCGATCATTCGGGGCGGCACACTTGCATCCGTGATGTCAACTGAGGCATAATAATCGGGACATCGAGCTGTGAGCATGCAACCGGTGGTGAGGTTCGACCGGACCGTTTATCGAGCGATTGTCGTGCAGTTATGCGCTTCAGGAGTCGTGCTGCGGGTAGAGGATAAGCAAGGACGGACTGGCCGAGTGGCCCTTGTGTGCCAGTAATCCGAGGTCGACGCAGTCCTCGGCCGAGAATCCCGACGCGGCGGCTCTCCTCGGTCCTCTTGGAGTCAAGTGAATCTGGGTGCGGAGTTGAAAGAAGAAAATAACGGCTATGGATCTCCTAACAAGGTTAAGAAGAAGGGATCCTTGCTGGATGTGCTCGTTCAGTGACGGAATGCACGATGGCAGGCAAACACCATCATAAGGAACCCCCCTGTCAATATTACACGGCAATGCGGTATGAAAAGACCACAGAGAGAGAGTCGTCCGTGGGTGTGAGGCGGCAAGACGATGAGACTCGGGCCAGTGGGAGGTGGCGGTGGTGGGGAATCTCTGTTAGGGAGGGTGAGTGTAGTGCTCAGAGGTGGGCGGCCTGAACACTGCGTTGTTTGGTTGAGTCTCCGCGGGCAGCTGTAGGAAAGAGAATCTCAGGGAAGCTCCAGCGTCCAAGTGGCAATCTCCTCTCGTTCTTAGAGGGCGGAGAGCTCGTCTAGGACTCTGTGGAGGACGCCGGAGGGTGGGTCGTTGGATGGCTCCCGCTAATCTTGTGAGCACCTGTAGGAATCGGGGGCGGCTGAGCTCAGATGGCAGGACGAGTGACTGGTGTCATAGAGAACAAGCTGTGATACGGTGGAAAGCTGCCGTCGACGAAGTCTTGGACAGGCGCGCGGAGCTGCGGACGGGATACCACCGTGACTGAACGATCGATGGACCGATGATTCGATGGAGACGGGTCGAGTTAACCTTACCCTACCCCAACTTAGTTATAACCCACCCCTCAAGGGGCGGCAACGCTGGCGGAGGGACCCGCCGGTGACCCAACGGTTCTGGGTCGGTCGAGCGTCCGGCGGTTCGGGCCCAGGGAGCCCCTCAGACCAGGACAAGGGTGGCGAATGGCGGCGGGCAAGAACTTCAGGCCGCCAAGACGATTCATCCACCCTGCCGCGGGATGTTACTGTCCCCTGGAAAGGAAGAAGCAAGTTGTCGGAGCAAGGTATTTCGGTCTTCGGCGAACTGGGACCAAAAAGGGAGCTCGTTCAGTAACGGTTGGATCAGGTTGGGCGAGGGGTCTGGTGAGTTGTTGGAATATGAGCTGTTCTGCACGGAATCGAAAGCGTTCAGCTAAAGAGGCACCAGTCACAGCGTGTGGTGTGGGACGGCGTCAAGGTGACTCTGCAGCGCAGCGCGCGGTTGTTGTGGGTGGGCGGATGGAGAGATAGATGAGCGTGCGTCCGCGTTGATGAACTGCGGCCACCAGGACTTGAATGTAACTACCATGTAAGTAGGTCCCCGCGAGCTCATGCGGCAGGGGGCCGGCCGCAAGAAATGGCCCCAGAGAAGGAAGGAAAATATTAAACCGACGCCCGCTGTCCAAGCCCGAAGGTTAAAGATGGAGTGTGGGAGAACTACACTAGTAAGGACTTGTGTATCGACTCGCCCAATTCGATCTTATTAGTCGATCGGACAGGAGATGCCGGAAGGGACACCGGGGTGTGTCGTCTTGGTTAGCTTGATCCAAGGCCGGGCTCAAAGACGAGCGGGGCCAGGGGTGTGGGCGGGAAGAGAAAGTGAAGGAAGGGGGTTCAGTCGGAGGGAATTGAGACCCTAGTTCAAGGTTGTTCTCTGGTGTCTGGTGTGGCTCGAAAATGGGGCGGCTCGGCACGACCAACTGGAGAGGAGGACCTATTACATACACTACATGGAAGTGTACTCGAGCTCTCTGGTCCGCGAAGTTTGAAGGACTTCAAGATTGAAACGGCGAACCCACATGCGTTAACTAAACAAAGAAGCAACGCCGTTTGGCTTCCAACCTTCCTCCCCATCACGGCAACCCACATTTTGGTCGGCCATAGAACCGGGGCAATTTCTTTCTTTTTTCCCCTTTTGTTTGAGCCTTACGTCCAGGCATGGGTTGAGATTTCAAGAGTCGGCTAGTCACGGGGACCAACTTATCGTTATCACCGAGTCTGTACTATGTACGGTCCGACAACATGAGCTCCTCAAAATGCGGTTTGTGAGAAGAGGGGAGAAGTGTTTGCAAGATGGCAAGCTGCACAGCGAGTACTATCCGCGGGGCAAGGATAGCAATCTCACCACCGGACTGCCGGAGAGGTGAAAGGAATCGTGGGGTGGGGGGATCGAACGATGCCACAGATCGTCAAGGCGCTGGGGAAATTGACTATGTGGTGTAGTGTAGGCGGGAGCCCAGACCCAAGTTCATCAAAGGGAAAAACCGCCGAGAATGAGGGAAGAGCTTGGTCTGCACGAATATTGCCTATACTGAGGCCAAGGACGGGCCGGCATATCTGTGGGAGGATGTGAGTTGTCTTCATCGTTTGATCGTCGGCGGCCGGCGGTAAAGGTTCGTGGGCCTTGCCTCGAAGGTTCGTCTGATGTGTTGTAGTGCAACCTGGCCCGTGGAGCTTTGCGGCACAACAACCGTTGGTACCTGGCATGGGGTGGTCGCCTGTTCCTGGCATTGTGCTGCTGGGTCAACGGCTGGGTCTTGAGAAGAACCCCTGCTAACGTTCTTCCCCACCACAGCACCATTCCGGTGGGGCCCGATGCTGAACTGAGACAACGGCTCCGATGGGCCAGCGTGGGAACCATGTGCTTGCCGCGCATGCGGCCTTGAGCAGAGAGGCCGCGGAGCCAAGATGTCATTGACGTCGTATCCTTTCCAGAACGAGGAGCAACGGCAGGACAGAATAGAGATTGCAGTCCAGTCCAGGATTGTCGACGTCCGGCCGTGCAGGCAAGCGCTGCCATGTCCACCAAGGTTTGGGACGATACGACGCCCATGCAGCCAGAAAGCCGCGCCAACCCGTAAGCAGCCAACCCCGGTCAAGGCCCGCGACCGTCGGGCCTGCACTCCCAAGAAGACCAGGGTTTGTCTGTCTGCAGAATTGGATGGAGGCTTGCCCGCGGCAGCAACGGTGGAGACAATCCGATCCAGGGCTGCGCGACAGATCAGGACGTGGCGGCCGTTCACGGAAGACACACCACCCAAGCCGGTCCGTCAAAAGGAAGAGTTAACTTTTAGGCGGAGCACACCGCCGGCCGGAGGGAGCCCTCGTCATCGGCAGATGGGTTCCAGTGGCATCCGTAGGAGCGAGCCGTCTCCAGGTGGCGCTCGCCGCTGAGTCGCTGGGCTCATCGGGAAACCAGAGCTCCCTCCCAATGCCACCCTGCAAGGTAGCGGCTGGTTATGGGCGACGTTCGCGGAAGGCGGCGCACGGACGCGGACGGAGAGGCTGGATGCTCGACGACTGTTTCTAGTAACTAACTCGGCGTGTTGCTGGCATTCATAAAACGATGCGTGGGGAATGCCACCTCGAACCTCCACAATCTGCGTTCCTTGTTTGCATGATCGTGACCGAGAGGTCCGCTTTCCGTACTAAATAATAAATAGAAAGGGGGGTGGCTGGGCAGTTTGCAAAGCATAGTTATGATTTTAACTGTCCCGGCTGGCCGGGCGAAACTTCTCGTCTCGAAATCTTGCATCTGCAATTCCCGGCGCGCGGGAATGCTACATTCATCTCGGGCGATGGGGTGGGTCATCGTGGTGAAGTCGATTATTGCATTGGCGCATGAAAAAAGGGGAGCAATGAAGTCAAGGAGTTGTGTTCTGTCGGATTCGGATTCGGGGGTGTTGCAAGAATGAGCAACTCTGCCAGCCCTGATCCGGCTCTGCGTGCCTTCCCCCCATCAGCAAAGAGCACCTGCCAAAGTGAATCGAAGGAATCAAGGAGGAAAGAGTCGATTGTGGAAACGCAGTGCAAGCCCGACCCATACCGCTGGAAGGGGGTCCCTCGCCCCTGCCTATAAATCAACGGCGTTATGAGCACAAATACGGAATGCACGACTTTGTTTTCTCGACCTCGAGTGGCCGGACGGAAATCACTGCTGGCACATGCCAAACTTTGTTGAAGCCCTTTCCCTCCTTCGCCAATCTTGCCAGCACCGCGGTAATCATAATCCGGAATCTTCCACCTGCAACTTTGAGAGTTGCCGTCCATTTTGCAAATCCTCAGGAATCCTTCTTTTACCGCCCGACTCTCCATTTTTACTGGGGCCGGATGCGTCTCAGATGCGCCGCCTTTTTTGGTGGCGTCGTCGTCTGTGGGGGAGGTTGCGGGTTTGGTGGAAGGACGCTGAGAGTTTTTGCGTGTCCTTGCCCAATCTGGCCACGGGGGATTAAGCCCTGCATCCCGGCGAGACGGAATGGCTCTTCTTGCATTGGGAGCCCTTGCTCGAAGCAATGCCGTAATTCCCATCTCCTCGGGGATGATCTGGTGTTTTTGCAAAAATCGGCAAACCACCGCTCAAATCAACCAAAATGAGCTTCCGCTCTGATGCACCAATGTCATGCGCCTCAACACCATGCCAGAGTTGCGGTCTACTATGTATGAACAGGAGGCGTTGTTGAATTTGCCAGGGCTCCCGGCCGTGCCTCGTGCCACGCTCACGATCAACCCCACCGACCGCGGTTCACCTCTTCACCGGCGAGGTGGAGTCCCTGTGCCTCTGCGGCCCGGCCAGGGGCCACTTAACTGGCGCCATTTCTGTTGAAGCGGCGTCAGGTATCCTTTGCAAGGACATTATTCCGGCCACCGGGAGCTGTGCGAGCGAGGAAGCGACTAGGTTTATGGCTAATCACTTTGTCAGTGACCCGTTCTCTGTGCTTCTATCTCGCAAACTTGGGCCGTCCATCAGAGAGCAGGAGTCTAAAACGGTATCCGGCGTCATCTACTCCCACTGCCCGAGAGGTTTTACTTGTAGGATGATTCCTAGCAGGGAGTACCCTAAGCCGCGAACAAAATTATCGGGTCCCTCATTGAGACCAAGCAAGAACATGTGTCCCCTAGGTCTTACGTTTAACGCCAGGCGCAAAACACAGTGGTACAAAGAGTTTTATGGTCCTAGAGTCTGCGGTCGTCCGCAGATGGCATAGTTGCGGAAGACTGAGCCGCGATGGCTTTTGATAAGCTACATTATCCTCCCATCCAGCCTTCTCTCCATAACCACTCACCGGGACGGGAGCATCAACTAATCTTTGTACAGCCGTTGCTAATAGACTAGGCATCATGGAACCTCCTACGGGCCGACTAGCTTGTTCCTCGAACCCAAGTCGGACTTAAGCTGTCAAGCGGCCACCGTGTTATGTTGAGTCATCTTAATTACATATTATCATTCCTGAACAAGAGGTATTGGAAGTCCAGGGATGCAAGCCTTCTAACGTTAGGTTTTGTCTCTCATTCGTGGGATGGTCGCCGTTCATTCCAACTAATCCCAGAGCTGCGTTGTATCAGAACCAGGAGAGATCCCGCATGTTGCCCTCGCAGACGTTCCGCCCCTTCATTGGAAATGCGGTTGCAGCTGATGCTCCTAGTTGCCTGTGTCACACCGATAGGTACAACTGCATAGACAAGCGGAGCGCATATGCTACCTGTGTCACGCACTTTTCGTGCAAAGAACGCCACCAGAACAATTTCTACAGTACACTAGGGAACACTGGGGGTGAAACAACACATCACATACAAGTTATCTCGTCCGTGCGTCGGCTTGTCAAAGGTTAGTTCCCGCCTGAGAGCTGATTGACAGGTCCGTCCGCAACTTCGGCACGAGATCCCGGCCGTGGGACGAAGTACCTTGGGTTTGAAGATGCTCGACCAGGTTGGCAACTTCCGGTCAAGAAAAACCCCAACCAAACCCATTTCCCAGCGGTAGATCGCGGGCGGCAACAAATCGGGTGGGCGGGGCTAAAGACCAATGGGTGAAGCCCTGCGCCAAATTGCCGGACCGACTAACGCCTCATCCGTCGGAATTCCCCCCCCCAGTACAGGACACACCTGCGCCCGATGTTTGTTTGAGGAAGGCATCGGCGCTGATGTGAGTTAGTGGGATGGCTCTCGTTTGTTTTTGCTCGATGTGGCTTCGACATCACGACGTTAGTGAGTCCATCGTCTCATGAGAACGAAACAATGTCCATTTGGAGATGTTCGATATATTAGCCCCAAGTTCACTTGCCGCTGCCAAGTACCGAGCTCGGAGGCGTCCTGTGGTTTGGGCCGGCGCTTCACACGAGATGCATGTTGTGTGTGCAGCAACTAAGGTAAATACGGATTGTCAAGGTCGGGATGGGGGATTGTTGACAGACCTGCGGAGGGGTGTGTTGTGGGAACTTTTTGTTCGAATGATGCAGCTGCTAGGGTGGTATTGTTGATGCATTCGCCTGCAGCATCTTGCAGGCGGCTAGACTTCCGAATAGGAGGGGGTGCTGCTCAAAAAAGACAAAATAATGGCACAAACAGTGGCGCTGGTTGGGTAGGGATTCAACCAATGACACAGACTGAAGTTTGTTGGAGGTTTGGACCTCTGGTTGGCAAGCGTGACAAGTAACATCAACTTAGGTAATTGTGACACTCACCTTAAATGGCTGAGAGTAATAACTCAACTCATGAAGGGTATAACAAGCCTGCGCCTCAGGAGAGATAAAATGGTTAACGGACACGATCGTTGTATAATTTCTTTCCCCAAGTTGGCTGCCGCCGCTAAGGTACCCGGGAAGTCTTTCAACTTGCCCTGTCTGTGCTTCAAAAAGTTGTTCAGGATTATTGACAACATTGCTTGGGAAATTCGAGTGGATGAATGAATGAATGATACTCTCTCTCAACTGGGGTTCTTCATATATAATGCTCGAGTCAATGTTGTAACGGTTTCTACATTCTGGAGAACCTAGTTTTTACCAAGAATATGCTCTACACTTTCATCTCGTTCCTTAACTTACGTTATATTTTAGTTTCGGCTTTCGGAGTTCGCCCATCAGCAGCTCTGAGGTCATGCGTCTCACATTTCTGTAATTTCACGTAACTTACCTGACTTTTTGTGCACATATTTCTCTAACTCCGTGTAAAGACCGTACCCAAAACTTGAAACACTCCCATCACCAGTCACTTCACCACCTACTGCTTTTTTTTGTTCCCCGTCAAAACCTCCATTTCTAGCGGCCCCGCTGCGCCTTTTACCGGTAACAACTTATTTGCAAAGCGACCGACAACTTTCTCGACGGCGACCGAGAATTGAAAGAAACAAAAAAGGATCCCACAAAGATGGAGGACGGAGGCCAAGCTCAGCGGGCCTGGGCATCGAATCCACCAACCGCCTTCATCTTCCTCATCACTGTTTTCGCCTTTTTCTTACCAATTCTAATTTATTTCCCTCCTTTCCCTCCTTCCAAGAGGGACGCACTTCTCGAAACACACGTCCAGGTGGGAATCCAGCATCCATCGGAATCTGGCTTACGGAAGTCGACCCAAAAGCACAATGCGGGCCGATCCGTCCCGGTAACGGCCGAGGGTACGGCTAGGAACAACGCAAAGGACGGAGTAGAAAAATCACCAAGAACATCAACCGATGGCGGCCGTATTCGCAGCCTCTGGATCTACCCGATCAAGTCCTGCCGCGGCATCGAACTCCGCCAGAGCCGCGTGCTCCCCACGGGGCTCGAGTTCGACCGCCTCTACATGTTCGCCCAGCTCCGGAGCCCCTTCCCTGCCCCGAGCTCACCATCCGCCGACGGCAGCGGTCCTGTCGACCACACCTGGCACTTCATCACCCAGCGCCAGTTCCCGCTCTTGGCAACAGTGCAGGTCGACCTTTTTGTGCCCAAGGGGGAAGCGGACAGCGACAAGGCCGCGTCTGAGGCGTTTTTGTTGGTGCGGTTTCCCTGGAAGGAACGTGGGCTGCGTGGCGTTCTAGAATCGGCAGCTGCTAAGCTGGCCCGCGGATGGCGGGCACAGTCGGAGAAGGAATTCGTGCTCCCCGTGGCGTTTCCTGTAGGATCATCATCATCTCGGTCGCCCTCACCGGTGCCTCCGGGGTCCGGTCAGGAGAGTGACGCTGAGGAAGGGGAGGACGTAGAGGTCGAGGAGAGTCAACCCCGCGGGTACACTCATGAGAAAGTGACTATTTGGCGCGACACGGTCAGCGCGCTGAACATGGAGGCGGAGCTACCTCGGGAGCTGCGCTTGTACTTGGGGGTGAGCAACCGGCTCGGCCTTTTCCGTGTTGACCCGGCCCGATTGCGCGAAGTCCGCCGATGCGCGCCGACGCCGGCCGAGGCCGGATACCAACCTGTAGCTGGGTTTCAGGATGCGGTGAGTAAGCCTATTTCCCCCCCCCCTTTCTCTTTTCTCAGTTCCTTGTCTGTTTTTCTGTTTCGAATTTGGGGGATGGCCCAGTTTCTTGCGTTAGCTCCGGCGGTATTTTTTTCTGACGGACGAGCTAATTGTCATGATTTGGTGCGCAGTATCCCCTGCACCTCCTGAATCTCAAGAGCGTCCATGACTTTGATGCCAAGATCGACAAGGACAAAGACCTCCAAGAGCTGGACCCTAGGAGGTTTCGGGCTAACATTATCGGTGAGTTGGTTTCTACACTATCATTCCATATCAACTGCCGTTGTCTTGGGCTTTACCCTTTTCTATTCTTAACCTTTTTCTTTTTTTGCGCGGGGGATGGGTTTTTGAAACGATGCCTCCCGCGACGCCGTTGCACTCGGCATGTCGATCCCCCGCCGCGACGGCGCCAAACCGTTGAACTTTCCCACCTATTGCTCGGTCCGCCGAGGAAAATCACTAACGCAGATCACCAATCTCCCAGTGGACAACAACGACGATAGCAGCCCCTATGACGAGGAGACCTGGAAGAAAATCCGATTCACCCCCGAGCCCGGCAATCGCAAGGACAGCAACGGTAGCAATGGCGAGAAACTTGACACTTCTACATTCCACGTGTCCTGTCGGACCGTTCGGTAAGCCGCCGTCCCCTGTACACTAAATTTGAAAGCACCGCTAACCCGTCCTTCCCTAGCTGCAAAATGCCCAATGTGGACCAGGACAGCGGTTATCGGCACCCTGTGCAGCCAGATAAGGCCCTGAGAAAGTTTCGAGAGGTTGACGAAGGCGCTAAACGCATGGGGTGCTTGGGCATGCAAGTGACGCCCTTGTTTACTAACCCCGGCCTACCGGAAGGGCGTAAGAGTTGGGTGGAGGTTGGGATGTCCGTTGAAGTGCTCGAGCGAGGACATCATGTGTACATATTGCAATAGTCTTCGTGACACGGTGGGCTTGGCTGGGGTTAGCAAGTACAAACCGGGGGTCAAAGGCTGTATGTACAACACTGTACTCTGATGCGTGATACAAACAAAGACGAGGTAAATAACCAATAATATAATGGTGGGCGGTCGGCGGGAATTTGACCGATAATCCACCTCATACTAAACGTCATGTGTGTGTTAGTTATACATTGTGTGTGATTCCATCATTTCATTCTTCATGACGTATCCGTCGACGACAAACAAAGCAAGCAATAGCCGTGCTAAACGAGACAGATATATAGATAGATGCCCGTACCCCCCCGCCCCCTCCCCAACTCCAAACATCCAACCGAGCATTCATTCATCCATCCCCTTTCCAGCCACCCTCTTCCCACAACAAGACCAAAACGTGAAACGGAAAACCAACGAAAACAAAAAGAAGCGAGGGCGCGTAGAAACAGTACAAAATCACCTCAAATCCGCCGGTGTCAACGCCTGGACCATACTCGTACCCTCGCTAAAGCGGGTGCGGAAGATACGGTTCGCATTCTGGAACATGCCATCCTTGAGCGAGACGACGATAAACTGTGAGCCACGGAAGCGGGTCTTGATCAGGCGACCGATGTTTTGCGTGTGCGACAAATCCAACGCGGCGTCGACCTCATCCAGGATGTACATGGGCGCGGGCTTGAACTGGAGCAGCGCCATGATCAAGGAAAGGGCAATGAGGGAGCTGTGAAGAGAAGAGTTAGAACAGGGTTTCTGTGGTTCATGGGTGGGATATGCGTGCGGTACTAGTAGAAAGGGGGGACAAACCGTTGACCACCGGACAACTCGGTCAGAGACTGCTTCCAGACCTTGCCCAGAGACACCTTGACCTCCAACCCGTCCGAGATTGTCTTGCCCTCGGGCGGGTCCAACTTGGCAAAGCTCCCAGGCAGCAGCTCGGAAAAGATCTGCCCAAAGTCGCCATTGACCTTTTCCCACGTCTCCTGCAGTGCCTTTTTCTTGTAATCGTCGAGGCTGATGATGGTCTCCTCGATCTTGCGCTTGTCGCGGATGACGGTGCGCATCATGTGCTTGAGCGACACCTCCTTCTTCTCCACGCTGTCGATCATGTTCATGACCTTGGGGTTGATTTTCTTACGCAGACCTTGGCTGCGCTCTAGCAGATTCTTGTGCGTCGCCTTGCATTCGGCGATGTTCTGGCCCTTGAAGTCGTAGGGGGTCCCTGTGCGTCCGAACTGGTCGCGTGCTTCCGCAATCCATTCGTGTTCCTCCTCCATGCGCGACACGCTCTGCGCCGCGGCCTGCTGTTCCTTGTGGAATTTTTCGACTTGGTGGGCCAGCTTTTGTTTCTCCAGTCCTTCCTCCGTCAGTCGAGAGTTCTTGGAGCGCATGGCTTGCTCAAGTGCGCGGAGCTCGTCGTCAAACACATGCAGCTTGGTGCGTTCCTCCTCTAGTTGCGCCTGCGCGGTGTCGTGTGTTTCCTTGAGGTTCTGCTGTTGCTTGAGAAGCTCTTCCCCTTCTTCCTGGTGCGCCTTTAGGGCAAGGTCAATTTCTTGAAGTTGCTCACGCGCAGCTGCGAGATCACCCGACACCTGCTCCGAATCGAGCTGTGCATTTTGGAGTTCTTTTTGCAGCGTCTTGTTGGACGCCGTCATCTTTTCGACAGCAACACGGAGCTTGTCCACCGAGGCCTGGAGCTCGACCAGTTTGGCGTCCTTGTTGTTGTCGAAATCCTTCATGTCCTTCTCAATTCTTTTGACATCCGCGCTGGCCTCGGCTTGCCGCTTTTTGGCTTCCGTGCCGGATTCCTTGAGCTCGGCAATCGTTTCCTTCATCTTTTGCACCTCCTGAAGGATAGACGAGGACGAGTTCCCACCAATTTGTTCCTCCGCAAGCTTGATCTCGTGCGCTTTGAGGTCGAGCTCCTGCTTGATCTTCTTGGCCTGGTCGAGCCGGGACTTCTCCCGCGCAATCTGGGACTGCAGCTGGCCGAGCGAGGCCTCTGCCTCTCTCAGCTGCCTCGTAATTTCGTTGAGCTTTTGCAGAGTGACCAGCACACCGCTCGAATTCGGAGCACTACCACCCGAAAGCGTACCCGATGGATCATAGGCATCGCCCTCCAGCGTGATACTCCGCATCCGAACGTTGGGATCAAACGTCACCCTCTTCGCGGTCTCGCCATCAGCGCAAACGAGGGTGTTGCCGAAAACATACTCCATGGCTGCCGAGACTTGCTCGTCGTACCCCACTAGAGACAGCGCCAAGTCAACTTTCCCCGGCGCAATTCTCTGGGCCGTAGCAACCGTCTGAGCTGACGCCCTGAAGGTGGAAATCTTGTTGAGCGGAATGATGGTGACACGCTTCCGTAACCTCCCACCTTGCAAAAGCTGGGTGCCGGTGACTTCGGTATCAACAACAACGTTGTATAACCGCCCACCAGCGCAGATTTCGAGCGCCGTGGCGGCTTGCGTGAACTGCTGGTCGAGGGAGAAGAGCTGCGCCACAAGACCCTTGACTTTAGAGCGGTCAAAGTTGGGCACGGGGTCCGCGTAGTTGAAATCAATGTTCGCCACCTTGCGCTTGAGGGTGTCGGACTCCTGTCGGAGATTTCGGATGGTTTGCTGGAGCTGGCTTTCCTGCTGGTACATTTCTTTCTCCGTGCCTGGTTGGAACCCGAGTTTCCCAAGCTCATGTTCCAGCCTTTGTGCCTGGTGCTTGAGTCCCTCGAGGTCTTTGAGCAGTGCGGCGTTCGAGTCCTTCGCCCGCATCGCACGAGGTTCTTCCTCCTTGATCCGCTTCTCGAGATGGGCGATCTTGATCTTTGCTTGCTCTTGTTCCGTGACTGCTGCTGTGACTCGATTCCTGGCGTCCTGTAGTTGTCCTTGGTATCCATTTTCTTGTCCTTCCTTGGATGCGACGCCGGTTTGCAGGGTTTGTAAGAGTTCTTCTTTTGACTCCGCTTCCCGGCTCTGATTCTCCGCGGCCTCTTTCGCGGCGTCATGTTTGGCCTTGATCTTGTCGTATGCTTTCGTCTTGTCTTTCAGGGTCGCCTCCAACTCGCCAACGGCCTTCTCGCAGCCTGACCTCCTCTCCTGTTCCTCGGCCATGCTGTTACGCTTGAGATCCGCCACTGTAGCAAGGCGAACGAGCTCATTTGCATGCTTCTTAACTGCCTCCTCGAGCGCCTGCGCTTTGCCCCCCTTGCGGAGCTCCTTGTCCCGCTGCCCCTTGACCCGTTCCACATCTTCCTCTAGGTTTGCAATCTCGCTCTTGAGTCGCGCTGCTGACTCCTCCAGGTCCTTCTCGCGTTTTTTCTTCGCCTCAAGGTCTGAAGCGGATTGCTTCAACTTCTCCTGGCACCGAACGTAGTCGTGAGCGACCACCACTCGGGTCAACCGCTCGAGGTCGTTTTGCGTTTGCTGGAAATCGAGGAATGCGCGCTTTTCGGTCCGTAGCTTTTCGAGTTTGGGTTCGATCTCATCGCGGAGGAGCTCCGTAATTTCCTGGAGCTTCATCTCCTTCTTGCCCATCGTCTTTAACGCCTTGTCCCTCCTATCCTCAAACATTCTCGTGCCAGCGGCCTCCTCGATCATGGCGAGAATCTCGACGGCCTTCATGTTGAGCACCTTGGTGATTCGCCCCTGCATGATCAAAAAGTTCGGGTTGTTGATGTTGAGTTGGACGGATTGGAAAAGATTTTGAACTGTTTGTTGTTGTGCGCGGTGGCCATTGATCAGATATTTTGTCGTTCCGCCAAGAACAATTTGACGCGTAACACTGATGGTCGCATATTCATCGAACCCGATGGGCGAGCGTTTCTTATCCCGGTTATCGAACACGATGGTAACACTAGCCTTGGTGACGCCTGCTTGGCCGCGCTTGTAGATTAAATCCTATAGAAGAGAATGAGGCACATTAGAGACCGAGTTCACCAATGTTCTCGCAGCGGTTAGGGTCGGATCAAATACTTACCTGCAAGTTCTGCGCGCGGACTGTTGACATGTTGGTGATACCCAAGACAAAGCAGATGGCATCCAAAATATTGGACTTTCCACTGCCGTTGAGGCCGGTAATCGAGTTGAAGCTCTCGTCCCTAATGGTCGTCAGCCGCGTCCTCCGCCCTTCTCACGACACGATTGTCATTACCATCCTGATATCACGGTGCGCACCGCGTACGACTTAAAGCCCTGATGTGGGGGTTAGCTGCGCTCGCGATATAAGGGCAAGTATGAGGGGGGGAAACGAGAGGGGGAAAAAGGAAAGAGTCTCTGCCTACGTCGATGATGAGTTCTGTCACCCTCATGTTGGCGTTTCTGAGGAGGTCCCCTCTCTCTACCAACAGTGTCAACCGGTTCGGGGGTTAAGGTCTGGCGCGCGTCGTCGCAAAACCGATTGTCGGAATACGCGGCGCCCCTCCTTGGAACTTTGGCACAGTATTTGTTTACTTTCTTTGGTTGCCGCCCCGCAGTTAAACGGCCCGTGCACCAGATTTCTTGGTAGCGTATTTACAAAACATACAGCCTACGATGCGTAAATTACGTGTTATCCTGCCTGCTCCACTGCGATGGCCAGATGCCGTCCGAAGATCGTAATGTCAGACAGGCCCTCGCAAAATGTTTCGCAATTCAATTTTTATGGTCTTTCTGTATCTTTTTAATGCTTGTATCTTGCCTTATATTGCAAGACCGCGGGATTCTGCTTTCTGAGCGGTCTTCTGAACTAGAGTTAGAGTTTCGAGAGGGTTGTGTATGAAGGCTAAAGCCCGTAAGGGTCAGGTTATTTGCTTTCCGCCCACATTGTCGCAGATGCCCGACAAAGGTGGAGGGTCACCCCGCAGGCGCTTAGCGGCCGTGGCAGCGTGGGCCACCTGTCAGAACAACTCGGGTTGGACCAGCTCGCACTCCACAATGGGGGGTTCTTGGCCCAAACCGGGGCCGCCACCCGCTGTTGCCGCAACTGGAGCACTGGAGCGGGACTCCCCGAGGGAAACCAAGGCACATCGTCTCCCACGCCCACACCTTGGATCTCTCAATCAAAACTTTGGGGACACACTGCAGCTGCAATTCGGCATTCGATGTCTTCGGTCGGACTGAGCCTAACCCGTGCCCTAACCCGGTTTCCTGGATGTGTCCACCCTGGGTCAGGACCGTTTAGCCGCTCGACTTCCCCGATCGCTGTGCAATACGGCTGATTGAATCTACTCGCCGGAGGATTGAAGCTACATTCCCTCATTCGGTGTGGCCTGGGTTCGATCGACTTATCGAAGCACTCTTCGCCAAATTACCAGTGGCGGGGAAAGTAAACCTCCAACCCATCCCAACTTAGGTACCCCCTAATCGACCATTCTACACCAACGCAGCCAAATTCGAGCTACAGAGATATTCGGTTCCTTTGAACACTTGACGCGCGTTCTCCTCGCCTCGCAATCCAAAACGTCCACGATCTGATGCGCACGCCTACTTTCCCTACTATCTCAGCGCGCCGAGGCTCTGGGGCCTGACTGGGAAGATACCCGAGGCAATGCCCCCCTCCCGGAGTTCTTCCTCCAGCACCCTGATGCCGGCTGCACGCGATTCGGACACTGCGTCCATCCGTCCTCGCAACCGCCGCCTCGTCAGCACCCAACACGATGGGGGGTCGTCTTCATCCCTGGTGACCACCAGCCGAACCCCCAGCCGTGGCGCTTCCCCCATACCGCAGGCACGCATTGGGTCCGTCACAGGGAGGAATAATGGCAAAGTAGATGTGGTACAAAGCCCTAATCGGGGAAAGAATGCCGGCCTTGGCCGTGGATTGCTTGACGGATCATGGACGCCGAGTTGGGCCTCCGTTCAGGAGCTGGCTTCATCCCTCCTGGCTGGGGGAGGGCCAGATGCTGACGGGGACTCGCATCATGTGCGCGGCAGGGATGGAAGCAGACCACGACGACCGACAGTGCAAACTGGGAATGGGAAGGATAGTCGGTCCGCAACTTGGGGGCCGGCACCACCAAGCGAAGGGCGACCGCGGGCAGACGATATTGGTGCGGGGTCACGGGCCGAGAGAGAAGCTGCGCTCAAAGCCATGCGGACGGCCAGCGTGCTAGAGAGCCACGAAGGGGTCAACGGAGGACTCGATGTTGCGAGACGTTTCAAGAAACGAAGTTCGGACGAAGATTTGAGGAGCACTTCGGAAAACCAAGAGACGGAAGAATACCTGGCTTACATCCACCACGTTCAGAAGAGCGATACATATGCCGGCGTTGTGCTGAAGTATCGGTGTCGGGAAGATGCCTTCCGGAAAGCCAACGGTCTCTGGTCACGGGACAACATCCAGGTGCGGAAATGGTTGGCTATACCGGTGGAGGCCTGCGAGGTCCGAGGGCGGCCGTGCGATCCGCCAACTAACCCGTCGTCTCGGGTGGATCTACTCTCGAAAACCCCGGATGCGACCGATCCGTTCGGCGGGGACGCTCAACAAACACAGGGCTTCTTCCCAAACCACTCCCAGGACAACCGTCAGGAACAAACACAAGTCACTGACGATAACAAGCCGTGGACGAACGTACGATGGGTATCCCTCGACTCACACCCTCATCCAGTTGAAGTGGCCCGAGTACCTCGGAAATCTCTCGGCTACTTCCCCCCACGACGGAAGAAAAGCGTGCACACACTCTCCACGGTCTCTAGCCCGCGAGTGTCTAGTGATTTACCCAACGTCGCAGCTTCCGAGCCCGCCGTCGATAGCCCCCGCAGTGCCTCCTCTCGCCGGCCTAGCGTCCTCACCTCCCAGCGCCTCGCCGCAACCACGAGCAATACCCCCAACCGATCCCGTCTCAACAGTACCGGCAGCAGCGCCAGCGCGGACGCCGCAGACCCTCGGCCAGCATGGATGCGCCGCCCAGGAGGCGTCGGCTCCATGGGCCGCCACGTGCGCGCCCCCGGCCCAGAGCGGGACTACCTTAACACTTGGACCAACAAACACATCCCAGGTCTCAACATTGACTCCCTCCCGTCCATGTCAGTCATGGGCTCAGAAATTGCCCGGTTCGGCTTCCACCGCTCCGCTGAGACCTCCACCGTAGCCATCGCTGAGAGTCCATTCGAGGACGGTCGCGATGCGTCGAATACTGGCAAACAGCAAGGCACCGGGCTTGACAAGGCGGCGCTTGCGGTCGAAACCTGGTTGAGGGGTGCCTTTGAGCGGGCTAGGCAAGGGCCGCTAACTCCTGTATTGGGGCCTCGGGGAGGCGGAGGAAGGTCAGGTGGAGGTATGGGAGCTGCGGGAATGGGCCCGGCCGGGGTTGGCGTAGGAGGTGTTAGTGGCGGTGCCATGATACCGGATGTTGGTGGAGATTTGATCGAATTAACAGATACGGGCAGTGATGACGGACGTCATAATGCGGCCGCCGGGGCTTGGGAAACAAGTGATTTGCTTGGCTCTCCACCCTCGGCGGGGGCAGGAGGCGGTGGTGAGTCGTCGTCAACGGTTTCCGGCAGTCGGCCAGGACAATGGACTGCAGGTGTGCGAGGCAGGAATAAGAAGGCGGATTAGGGATCCGATGGAAGAAGGCCTGGGAGGGAGAAGAGGAGGATTTGGACGGTCGGGTTGTTGTATTCGTGACGAGGTCCCGTCGTCGTCGTGGGCCAGTCAGTTGGTATCTCGGGGGTTGTCATTGTGGAATGAATACTTCTTAACATCTTAGCATGCAGTGGGCCGGCGTTGTTGAGTTCTATTTGGAGAAAGGCGATGGCGGCAGCGATTGACGATTTTGCGCCGGCACATCTTGCATTCTCTATTGTCTGTTTCTTCACTTTCCCTGTTCTTTTTGTATATAGAGCGAAAGAAATCAGTGGCTAGACCTGAGCATGGCAGTTTAGTGTTTTGTGGGGGACTCATGCGAATAATATTCGGTTTTATGGGATTTCTTGTCTTGGTACGGCTCTAGTTGCTTGATGCCTAAGGAGGTTAAAAGCGCTAAAATACACATTGTCTATCTAACCGGTATTTCAGGATGTTGTCATCTTGTCTCTTCGATCTGAGGATGCGATGTGGATGCTAGTTACATGTGATTCCTTGATCCGGGGTGGGTGTCGGACTTCCCTGATAACGAGGTCTTATCGGTCTGCCCCCTGCGCAACCGCGACCGGTGTTGACAACCAAAGTACCTCTTCCCACAATCCTACAACAGAACACTTCCACCACCACCCAAACCCTCTACTAAGTAACGAAACCAACCTCCGGTGCTCCCCGGGCATCCCTTCCGGTTTTAGATCGACAAGCCGTTCCCCTCCCGTTTTCGCCCGAACCCCCAAAAATCAACCGAACAACACCCGCGCTCCCGAGATGCAAGGCCCCCCACGACGACGATAACCATGCCCATCTGCATAGAGTGCCGCCACCCGGTCAAGACGCTCTGGCGCGAGGGCGGCGGCGACAAGTCAGGTGGTCACAACATCCGGTTGACGGTATGCAAGAACTGCGGGCGGTTCTGCGACAAGTATGTCGAGCATGACTTTGTCGTGCTGTTTATTGATCTGGTTTTGATCAAGCCGCAGGTGCGTGAGTTCAACAGGAGAGGGGTTGGGAGTGTTGGCCGGAGGGTTGCGAGGCATTGGGGGGTTGAGATTAAAGGGCGTCAGCTGATGTGGAATACGAAAATAGGTGTACAGGCACTTGCTTCATAATACCTTAATGAAAGAAGAGGACAAGTTTGCGGTAGGTACTATGCCATTGACCACTCTGGTACACGTTCAAGCTGACAAGAAACTAGCCTTCGATAATACGACTCGGCGTGCTACTTCTGTTGTTCGACGTCTACCTCACTTGGGCGCGTATCGAGCGTCAATCTGTTCCCGACGCCGGCAGTTCCGACAAAACCACCAATCACAACAATAACAACAATGCCAACTTGGGCCGTCTCACGCAACAACCCATAGTCTTCCAATACATGTTCTTCCGTACGAGTGACCCCTTCCCTTTCTAGTCAACCCCCAGAATATAAGCAACCAATGAATATCCACAACCTTTACACCCAGGCTAATCACCTTCTGATCATCTAGTCATCCTCTGTGCCCTCTCAACAATCGCCTTCCACAGCTCCATCCGCTTCCTCACCTCCTCGCGTTACTCCCCACTCAGCTTTCTCGGCCTCCTCCCACGCTACACCCGCCCCAACTCCGTCTCAACAGCCCTGCTCGTCTCCTCCTCGACTAAACTCTTCCCCATCCTCATGGTGATTTGGGAATACGACGTACCCGCCGCGGCCCGCTCGCTCGGCTGGGCCGTCGTGGCAAATAACGTCGAGGCGCTTAAGATTCTGCTCGACTGCGGGTATGGCGTGGCGGCGCTGCTGGCGATGGCCGGGGCATTGAGTCGCTGGGCGATGGGTCGTGCCGTGCTGTGGGCGGCGGGCCTGGATGGGGTAGACTCGGCAGGCGAGACGGGAGTGGCGGAGGATGGGCGGGCGTTTGTGGCTATGTTGATGTACGCGAGGGAATGGGCGGGGAGGTTGGCTGTAGGTTAGATGCCGGGCTGGCTTTGCTGAATTGAGTTTCCTTGCTGCTTGGTTATTTCTCGAAATTGCGCTTTTCCAATTCTCACGCTCCACGCGGTCCCACGATCGAGGAATCGCAATCCCTCGGCGTGACTGTGACACGACGACATGCTTGCCTGATGCAACGACTCTCTGTATTGGCTCCGCCTGCTGTATTGATGTACACTCCAGACTTTGCTATCTCCCCTCCCAAAAAAACACTGTGTATGTCAAAAACTCAAATCCGAAATATGCCCGCCCTTCGCGCGCCCCAAACGCCGTCCCAGATCTGTATGGAAGAATGCCGTGGGTATTCGTACAACAGCAGTTGGTGATGATGAATATAGAGTAATAGTGATGGTATTCGCGCGCCGACGGCGAGAATGGTGGTGATGAACCCGCGCCCAATGTCTTGTTGTCGTCCTCGCTTTGACCCTTCCCGTAGAGCCCCCCTGAGAGTGCCGCTCTAATGGTGAATGTACTCCTTGCGCAGGTCCGACCGTCTCGGTTCGATGAGCGGGTGAAGTTGGGCAAGGAATGTCACAGCCCACATAAGGAAGCAGCTCGCGATGGAAAGGATGAGGGAAGACCGCCAGAGCCTAGGATGGAGACCACATTAGCTCGAGCCTCCGGGCAGATCCTGATCTTGCTGGATGCGAGACGCGACAGAGATGGAGGAGGACGCAATCGATGCTGGTTCGGAAAACATACACTTGGTTTTCGCCCTTAGGCGAGAAGAACCATGCCGCGAGCGACATGGCGACGACAATCACCAGCCCGATGATGACACTCCACCTGCGCGTGTTGGTGTTAGCCTCGTTGCATCCTGCTGTTCGGTTCGACTGGATAGAAGCATGGGGCGGCGTACCCGTTGGCCATTGTTTCGTATTTCAAGATTGTGCGATGCAAATGTTCGACGATAAGTTTCCACTAGTGCGAAGGGTGTTGCACGGCGGATAGCGAGCGATCTTGGTAGTGTAGAAGAGTAAACCGACCTCGTCTTTCCAGCGGTTGGTTGGTTGCGCGGCGTTTGGAGGTTGGCCGAAGCTCACGCCGCAGCAGCCAGGGTTAGGGGCTTGGCTGATCTGCTTAGTCATTCACAAGAGACCAACCCAAACATCAGGTAATCCTTCGGCCGACATGGACAGGGTTAGGGTTATCAGTATACTGTCAGACTGTTCTCTCAATGGCAGAGGAAGAGATGTTCAAACGAGGGCTTCCACTGGTAAACAACTGAAACCTTGAGGTTCAGGGGTTTAGCCACGGAAATTCGGCATAGGATGTTTCTAGGTTCTTGCTAACGCTACTTTCCCCCTCCGGTGTGATTTCGATCACTTACACAGCGCGTCACTTGTTACTTGTTCTCGTACTTCAGCCCAGCCTCCTCCCTGACAGCTCCATAGATACCCGCGATGTCTCCTTTCTCACCGTCATGCTTCTTCACCTCGAGAAGGTGCGCGTTGGCAACCTCGAGGTTCTTCATGCGTACCCCACTGGCCTTCGCCAAGTTAAGTGCATGCCCGGCGTCCTTCAGGGCAAGGTCCACGGGGAAGAGCGGGTACGACATCTCGTGGTAAGCCCCGGACTGGATGCGTGTCGAATAAGCCACAAACGGACCAGGGAAAATATTCTCAACGAAGCTGTGCAGGTACTGTGTGCCGAGTCCGGACTTTTCAGAAAGAACCAGGCCCTCGGAGAGCTGCTCGACCATGTTCGCAACAAAAGTGTTGCCGATCACTTTCAACTGGAGAGCCTTCTCGTACGGCTCGCCGCTCATGTCGATGTCGTTCCTAGACATAACACCCTTGAAGTATTGACGGGCCTTCTCCACAGAGGCCTCGGGCCCTGCGAGAACACCAACAAGTTGGCCAATTTCGGCCATGGCTGGGGCGCCAAAAACCGGTGCGGCGACGAACTCAGCCCCACGGTCAGTGAAGAGTTTGGCGAGGCGTGTGGTGGTGTCGGGATGGATGGTGGAACACTCCACAAAGAGCTTTCCTGTGATATCCCCAGCCTTGAAAATCTCCTCCGCCACGGCTTCGACGACGTCGTCCTTGGCGAGTATCGTGAAGATGACATCAGCCTGGGCAACGCCCGCAGTGACCGAGTCGACAACTTCGGTCTTGCCGCTGGGGAACTTCTCGCTGAACTCGATGGAGCGCTGTTTGGTGCGGTTGTAGATGAGGACGGGGTGTTCGACATCGGCCTTTTCTACAACATTCTTGCACATCCCCTTGGATCATGGTTAACATTTTGTCGGCCTGACACACCAGCAGTACATAGTGGTTAGTCCGCACATACCCGTCCCATATTCCCCAGGCCAATCCAGAATGCCTTCGGCGCCATGATGACTGTGAGGAGGATATATTCAGCGAAATGCGTGATAATCGATACGGGGGTTGTTGAAGAGTAGTCTGGTTGGTTTTAGGTGATTTGTTGCGTATGTGGTGTTTGACATGTGTAACGGATCGGGATTGCGGTTGAGTTGCCGTGACAGATGGTCTTATACACTATTCTCGGGAATTGCACCGCACATTTGCGGGGAAACCCTTTCCCACTTCCCTCACCCCAGACCCGGAAAGTGAGGGCTTACAAATGGCAGGTGCAGGGTCCATGCCAAAATAGTGAAGTCGACAGCTCCTTCCATGATAACAGTGCTGGAGTTGAACGTCCTGCTTAGTCCCTGCTTACCTGATGCGCAGCCTAGTGAAGTGCAGTTACAATGTGCCACTTGTTGAGCTGACTACAAAAGTTTCCCCGGGACTGGCCGGGTTGGTGAGCTGTTTGTAAGAGCTAAACTGCGGGGTGTTTGAAACTTGTGGGGTCTGGTCAGTACGGTGGGCAACGCCGCCTACACCGAGGTGTTTCGTAGTGCAATTGCACTATCGTCACCGTACATGGGCGGTATTACGTACACCGGAAAAGAACCTAAAGGAGTATTTTGAGATCCAGGAGACCATTCCGCCAAGAACAAAAACGGTGTGGTTCCACATGCCCTGTCTTATCTGATGATCTGATAACTTTTCTTTCTGCCGAGGAGCCGGGGTTGACAAGTGGGTTTCTCTTGCCTTGACTCATTATCACCGCCCTCTCATCCTCCTTCTAGCAGTAGTTCAACAAAATATTATGTGCACAACTTACATTTGAGAGTTCATTTATTAGCCGGGCTACCTCGTACGGGGACCCGGGAAATATCCATTGCGCGCTCCAATTCACTCGACTATGTTTATCAGAGGCGGCTTCGCTTGGAAGAGAGCAAACGCAGTAGTCCAGGTGAGGAAACATCCCGATGACGATATTTTTTGTCTTTCCCTCTTTATGGGAAGGTATTGTTTTCCCTTGAAAACCCTGTCGAGCTGACTTGCTATAAGGCTTCGGCCCGCGTGGAGAGACGGCGGTCTTTATCAACGGAGAATGGCGCTCAGTCTGGGAGGGCAGGCTCTTTTTCGGCAGTAGGAGGGAAGCACAAAAGAGAATCGGACAAGGTGAGAAGACTCTGTCCTTCTTTTCATCCCGACTGTTTCTAAATCCTCCCAGCAATTCTTGATCTCGGTGCTCGAGTCATCTGCCACCAACCGCGACGCCAAGGGTTATATCAACACCTTCGGCTCCTCCTCAAGTACGGGACCAAAAAAGGCATCCGCCTTCACTACTGTCGTCCAAGATGGCTTTCGAGGCCAGAACGAGGCCCCGCGTTTTGTCCAGGGCCCCGTGAGAGTGTCAATGGCGGACGATGGTGAAATACCACACATCGCCATTGTGAAGCTCAAAGATCCGCAAAAATGGGATGATCCGCTACTCGATGGAATCGCTAGAACGATCACTCGTCTGAGGGATTTAGGGTTGCGAAGTGTGATCGTCCTGGATTGTGATACCGGTCAGGGTGAAGGTACCCAACGACAAGTCTTGTCCCAGCAAACAGACCGTGTTATCCGGGCGATTGGGCAATATGGGTCGCCAGGGGCCGAAATGGTCAGTTCAGCGATCTGGAAGTCGGCTCGCGAGTCGCAAAGTGTCTCGTCGGTTTATTCCTCGGATATCCATGTTGGGTTTGGCCAGGGATTCAACACACCAATCAGACACGGTCATATCGTGGTTGTCCCGCCCAGGGCTCTCTGTGAAGAGACCATGGCATACGCCCCGGCCGATCCAAACGAAGTGGTTTTTGCTCTGGCTCAGTTCTTTTCTGGCCTACAGGCAAACAGCCGCTCAAACGTGGGAGAAGGAACCGAGAGGAGTTTAAACAGCCATACCCGGAAAGGATTAGTGGATCGGATTATCATCATCGATCCTGTTGGAGGTATTCCGGCAAACGGCTACGGGGATGGCGCGCGGGTCTTCATCAACCTGGAAGAGGAATTTACCAAACTGGAGGCAGCACTTACTCAAGGCGAGGCAAATCTATCAGGGGATGCAAATGCCAATCATCTCGACAATCTCAAACTGGTTAAGAAAGCCCTGGCAATACTTCCGTCGACGGCATCCGCAGTCATAACTAGTCCGGCTGAGGCAGCCAATTTACGGCTCTCGACTACCCAAACTAACCAGGTATCTGGGGGGCCGTTGGTGGGCGAAGTCAAGACCAGGAGGTGGCAAAATCCACTCATACATAATCTCATCACCGACCGGCCGATATACTCGGCCTCGCTGCCTATCGGTAGGGTGAAACCGACGAGCCGGAACCCGGATATCGCCTCAGCACGGATGCCAACCACCACCCTAGCGAAAAAGGGCTTGCCCGTCACTATCTTCCCGGATACCCGTTTGGGTTCATGGACGCCCCCGACACCAGGAAAACCCCGACTCCGACTTACTGACACATGTATCGACCTCCCTCGGCTGGTCCACCTTATCGAAGACTCATTCAACCGGAAGCTCGACGTTGAGCACTACCTCCGCCGCGTCCAGGACAGCCTCGCTGGGATCATTATCGCAGGAGAGTACGAGGGTGGCGCCATTCTGACGTGGGAACGGCCCTTCGGCGTAGACGAGGAGACCGCTTTCGGCACGGGCCGGCTCGTCCCTTACCTGGACAAGTTCGCCGTGCTCAAAAAGAGCCAGGGCGCGGGCGGCGTAGCGGACATTGTGTTTAACGCCATGGTCCGCGACTGCTTCCCTAAAGGTGTGTGTTGGCGCAGCCGCAAGAATAATCCCGTGAATAAGTGGTACTTTGAGCGGTCGTGTGGAGTACGTAAGCTCCCAGAGAGCTCCTGGGCTATGTTTTGGACCACACCCGAAGCGGCCACAAGCGATCAGTTGATGGGAGATTATGAGGACGTGTGTCGAAACGTGGTACCTTCGTGGGACGATACGAAGCCAGCAGATTGAGAATGGAGGGTTGAAGTGATACAAACGGAATGTTGGACTGGTTGACCCATGTTCTTCAGAGAGAACCGCAACCGTTGTGAATTATGTCAAGTTACAGTATTTTAATTTCACAGTAAAACTTTAGAGCATGAAGCACATGAAAGGGAAGGGGAAAAGGAAAGCGGTCGCCCAGGGCGTAATGACGTGCCCAATCATTTCACTCCTTACCCCAATGAAGCAGGGATTGTCGGTCTCGAAATATGGGGCATGGCGCGGCTTGGCGACCCCCCACAAGGCAGCGACACGCACCGCCCGCATCACTTGGAAAAGCTCCCCCTTGTTGACGATAAGGCGATTCTCGTCAACAACCCCATTTCTTCATCACGCATTTCGCATTTCGACCGAAATATTCCAAGACTTTGTCACTAAATCCGCCAAGATGGACGCGTTCAAAGGTTTCCAGAAGAGCCTCACGTACGAAACCCACCACTGCGACCCCACGCTCCAGCAACTTGGGTCGCTGGATTACTGTCACATTGACTGACACCGGGCAGCTCGTTTGGCGGGCAAATCACGCCCTTTGCCTCGCGCACCTTTCAGTACACAAAGGAGCAGTTGGGCCAGGCTGATGACAAGGTTCGCCATGCTTTTGTGATGTGAGGAGAGGTGGTGGTGAAGACAAAGAGGACGAGACAGAAGTGGCTAATGCAAGCCGACGATAGACCCAGCTCCCTCCCGATTATATCGACCTCGAGAAGCGGGTTGATGCGCTCAAGGCCGTCCACCAGAAGATGCTTGCTGTGACGTGAGTCTTTCGACGTTCTACCACTCCCTTACCCCGCGATATGCCAAGGCGTGTCGCCTGTCTTTTGTTCCAGGGTCTGACGTAGCTCTTCCTCTCCTTCGCCATACTCTAGCTCGCAGTACTCGAACGAGGCTTATGACTACCCGCCCAACATCAAGGAGACTTTCCAGGACCTCGGTCGCACAGTCAGCGAGAAGGTCACGCTGCTCTCGAGTGCGACATCCCCCGCCGAAGCGCAGGCCGCGTTGACGGCACCGCCCAGCGCCAAGCCGCAGCCCAAGACGTTCCACCACGCCGTCGCCCGCGCCTCGCTTGCCAGCAGTCAGACCTTGCACCAGCAACACACAGAGGCCGGCGAAGACCCGCTGGCGACGGCGCTCGAGAAATATGCGCTGGCCATGGAGCGCGTGGGCGAGGCCCGCCTGGCCCAGGACACTCAAGTCCAGAGCCGTTTTCTGGCCGGCTGGAACACAACCCTCAACACCAACATTCTGTTCGCCACGCGCGCCCGCAAGGCTGTCGAGAAGGCTCGTCTTACTCTCGACGCCGTCAAGGCCCGTGTCAAGGGTACCACTTGGAAGCTGCCTGGTGCTGGCGGCGCCTCTCCCCGTGTGCACGAGCCCCATGATGAGCATGAGCTGAGCGCCGAGGCTCAGGAGGAGATTGAGAAGGCTGAGGACGAGTTTGTTACCCAGACTGAGGAGGCTGTGGGTGTCATGAAGAACGTGAGTCTTGTGCTGCCCCCCAGCTGGGCCAATACAACATGGCTACACCCTACGCCTCACCAAAAGCCCGCGAAGGCTCCCAAACTAACGCACATGATATCTAGGTCCTGGACACCCCTGAGCCGCTGCGCAACCTAGCCGAGCTGATCGCGGCGCAAACGGAGTTCCACAAGAAGGCCCAGGAGATTCTGAGCGAGTTGGCGCCCGTCATCGAGGGGCTGCAGGTCGAACAGGAGGCAAGTCGCGCTTCGGCTTTTGCGTTGCATTAATCCCTGCCCGCTTTTGCTTGTTTTTATGCGACGCGGGGGACATCAAACATACATACACAATGAAAGTTGGCAAAGGGGTGATACCAAAGCGACTGATGCTGACACGCCGCTTTTTGGGACTCATTTACAGGCGAGCTATCGCAAGAGCCGAGAGAGCGCTTCCTAGGCGCCCAACCGTTCGAGCAGCGTAGGAAGGGACTGGTATGTGGAGGTTGGACGTCAGCAGCTGCGGTAATTTGGGCCGTTGGCTGGGCTCGAGATTGGTCGCGCGGAGCGAGTTCTCCGGATAACCGATTTTTGTTCTTATTCTCTTTTTGTAGAGTTATTCCGTTCTTTTCATTGGCGAAGGCTCGGTTGTTTGGAACTTCCCCTGTGCCGCTCAAGGTATGGGGGGCTGGAGAACTGTAGATTCGGACAATTTGATCAGTGGAATTCCACAATGGCCGTCTTTTGGGCGGCACAAACTTGTGTCACTCCATTGTCACCAAGGTGTATGAGTTAACGCGGGGAGACACCTATCTGGCCCTTCAAAGCCCGACTTTAACGTACGCCATACAAAGCATGCGGCCGTGCCCCTGGGGCAGGTACCGTTTGCTATGCCGGGTTTATTAGTCCTCAGGCAAGCTTTCTGCCTACGGGGACATTCATTGTCGTCTCACCCCGTCTTCTTCGTTCGCTCACCCTCTAGGATGTCAATTGAAGCCATGAAGGCCATATCACCGTCGACAACCTTATGCCCGTCCAAGGGAACGAGGTGTATCTTATTATCTCTGAAGAATCATCTCCGATTCTGTGACGATAGGCCAGTCCTCCGGCTCGACGTTCATCTAATACATCATCACGGGCGTGTGGCTCAGTTGGTAGAGCGTTCGCTTAGCATACTCACTTGTATGCGAAAGGTCCTGGGTTCGATTCCCAGCTCGTCCACTGATTAATCTTTTGCTGATGAGGTGCGGTTGTGGTGGATTGCTTTTTTGGTGTTGGATGTGTTCATGGGTTGATATTTTTGCGGCAGTGTAATTGACAGTGTTTGTCGTGTGATGTTGGACGGAGCAGATTGATGGGCTGAGTCAATTTTATGGAAGGATGCAAACAAAGAGTGGCCTGGGGCAGTTGTGGCTCGTCTTGGAATTCAATGGCTGTACTGTAACGCCGCGTAAGGTAAGAATCATACAGTTACACGCCGAGACCCACTTCAGCCTCGTTTGTCGAAAACATTACGTGATTGGATAACAACCGTCGAGGCCCCTGCCAGTGTTCAGGTCACCCAGCGCCTTGCCTGGAAAGCTGCGCCCACCTTTCCAGCATCGTCCGCCGACGCAGCACAACCCAGCAAACCGACACATTTAGCGGCGCGGGGACGCAACACACCGTCAACATGGTAGGGACCATCCCAGATGTCCTCCTCGCATTTATCTCCTTTTTCCATTTCCCTTCCTTGCTTCAAGCCCGCTTGCTAACCACCGCGCGTCTCTCTGCTAGCTGCCCCTCGGGCTCCTCAACGCGGCGCAAGGCCACCCAATGCTGGTCGAACTCAAGAACGGCGAGACACTCAACGGCCATCTAGTACAATGCGACACATGGATGAACCTAACCCTGCGCGAGGTGGTGCAGACGAGTCCAGTGGGTTCTCCATCTCCGACCCGACACCCCGTTTTGCGAATTGCAATCAAAAACTCCTGTTGTTTGGCGAGGGAGATGGGACGAGTTGGCTGACCGGTCGGGATGGTATGATGTTGTAGGAAGGTGACAAGTTTGTGCGGCTACCGGAGGTTTATGTTAAGGGAAATAATGTGAGTGCTGAGTTGGTTCTGCAGGGGGTGACTGGATGGTAGAGACTGACGAATGCGGGCCAGATCAAATACCTGCGCGTCCCGGACGAGATTATCGACATTGTGAGGGAACAACAGAGTCAACAGGGCGGATACCGTGGCGGGCGCGGTGGGCAAGGGAGGGGTGACCACGGTGGTCGCGGTGGTGATAGGGGACGTGGTGGGAGAGGGCGAGGAGGTGGAAGGGGTGGGAGGGGTAGGGGGTCATGAAGCTAGGTGTTGTTACGGGATTGCATATCGAATGGACTAGCGCGCGCGGGATGTCTATCGGGGGGAACGCTGAGAAGCTCATACAACGGAAAGCGACGATGAGCTCAAGATCGGGCAGCGATTCTCCCACCATACCACCTGCCTTGGGTTGAGCTAGGAGATGAAGTCGCAGCGCCACATATCGGTAGAGTGACGCGTGCTGCTCGAGAAGAAGAGTGGCCAAAGTTATGAACCTATAGAACCCATGCTATGGTTGCTTTGCCGTCAGATATGTTCTTACTAGGAGCCCACGTGATCTCACCTTGCCATCCATCCGATGCTGACAGGGGTATGTTGATAGACCCACACCATGCCGAAATTGCTCTCAACATCAACAACTCAGGAAGAAATGCAAACAACCTCACGTCTTATAACTTTCAGCTAGAGTTCATGTGGGTGGTTGTTTGATGTGGTAACAACAGCTTATGCGCAAATGTGGGGAACGTGGAGGGCAATATGCGAGTTTTTTGAACCGAGCTCCCAGTTTCATCAAAAGCCGAGAATTTTGATCACGAATCTGTAAAACTCGGAAGTTGATGAACCAGCATGTCGACAAAACGTCGAACCGTCGACGCCCTCTCACGGGCACTTTGCCCAGCAATTGATGAGTTAATTCTCTCTCGGGCCACGCCACCAGTCTTGCTCTCTTCCCGGTCGGATCCTACCCACCGTCAAGGACATGCAAGACACACACCATCAAGCTATGTCTCAGGGGTGCGAGGGGTGCATACCGGTCCGCCCAAACACAACCAGCAGCCACGGAGGAAGAAGCTCAAGACCCCGGAATGGGCGACGGCCCCTCTACCAACTCTGCGGCCGAAGCCAGTGGTGGTCCGGAGGGATTCAGAGCCACTGCCTGAACCACCAAAACTCGACCATTTCCCGAGCTGGGCGCTGAATGAGATTACGCTCCCCGCACCAGAAGCTGAGGTTGAGGCATCGGCGCCAGAGATGGAGGATGCCGAGCCTTTGAAGGAGGAACCCACCGATTCACCGGAGGAGTTGCACCCCGTTACGCCTAGGGAGTCTGCTACGCCTGGGGAGTTTACTACGGCCCCAGATTCGGAACCAGGTCCTCAAGGCGTGGAAAAGGAACAGGACCCTCAACCGGAGACACCGTTAGTGGGCGACGGCCCAGTTGACCAGCCAGAAAACCGACATCCCCGAGAGGGTTTACAGCCTAATGGTGATGGCCCTTCGGTGAAAACCCTCGGTGCGAGCAAACCAGCCCCAAAGAAGAGTGACCCGGCCACCCCCAAAAAGGCAACCCAACCTCAAGTACTGGAGAAATCCAAGCCTGAACCGGAACCACGTGTGTTCCCGAGTTGGGCTATGGACATACCCTTACCCGGTGTCCCGAATACTGCAGACCCGGTGCCGGAACAGCCACCAGCAAAGATGGGGCAGCCCAGCTGGGCGCAGGTTGACATGCCGCCGAAAGTGAACTTTGCAGATTCCCAAGAGCTTCAGACGCCACAGCAAACGGCACGGCAAGTCCCACTCCGATACGTAACCTCTCGGCAGCCAGCAATAGCTAAGGAGCCACCAGTACCAGCACCAACCGACAAGCCAGCAGCTCCAAACCCTAAACTGGGCAGCGTGGACGCAGCTACCATAATCCAATCCGCAGAAGACCTACCGCGTGAAACACCATTCGCCTTGACATCGGTCATCTATGAGGTCCTACGCAGCCTACGCAAGCAGAAGGATCAAGGCAATAAGATTCGTCGCCTTGTGCAGTTTCTGGTCGAACAGCGCGGCGAACCACCCAATGCCCTGCTCTACGAGGCACTGGTCACGGCCAACTGGGATACGGCGACCGGTTCGGCGGACGAACTCGTCGCGATCTACAAGGACATGGAGGCAGCCGGAGTTGCGCCGTCACCGGGTTGGTATCATAGTGCTTTGAGGGTATGTCGCCTGGGAGAATATTTGTGGGGTAGAGAGTTAGTTGCTGATCTCTACGGGTTCGCCTGGTCATTAGCTGCTTGCTATCCACCCGGATTATCTCAGTAGGAACAGATACTTGAAAAGGATGAAGGAATCAAGCGTTGCGCTTACCGACGACGGCAAGTTTAGCGTTGCTCTGGGGCTACTGCGTGACGGCCAGACAGAAATGGCGCTAGACTGCTGGGACGAGATGCGCCGGTCCAAGATGCAAATCCCAGAGTGGGTGTCGTCTATATTCTTTTACGCCCTCATGATGCGTGGGGTTGTGGATGAGGCACTCCAACTCTTTCAGGAGATTCTCGAGATGGCAGGGAACAAACCAGAAGGAGTCCCCCTCATCCTCTGGTCTTACCTCCTGGACGAGTGCAGCCGGAATCTGCACTACGAAGGCACCAGGTTTGTCTGGGACACGATGGTCACGCCGGGTACGATCAACCCGGCCGATGGGATCCTGCTAAACGTACTTAACACAGCAGCACGGCACGGTGACGCGGCGTTGGCTACGACGGTCGTTGAGCTGCTGGCAGCGCGCGAGGCTAGGGTCGGGCTGCACCACTACGAGCCGCTGATGGAGAGCTACGTGCAGGGCGGGGAATTGGAGAGCTCATTTCGAGTGCTCTGCATCATGAACGATGCTGGACTCGTGCCAGACCACTCGGGCACGCGGCCCATATTGGCAGCCCTACGCCAAGCGCCAGAGCTGGTCGATCAGGCCATCGACATCCTCTCGGATCTACAGCGTGTCCCTGCAGCAGCCATCAACGTCGTCCTCGAGGCGCGCATCGTGAACACGACCGATGCCGCTGCCGCTGCTGCCGCCACCGCTACTGCTACCTCTACCTCTACCTCTCAACCAACCCCCCAAAGCCCCCCCTACTGGGACGAAACCAACCACAACCCCAACACCAACCCCGATCCCGACCTCACCTCCCTCCTCACCCTCTACCGCCAACTCGCCAACCTCAGCATCTCCGGCCCCAACGAACAAACCTTCCTCCTCCTCCTCGACCAATGCACACACACCCAGCCAGCCGCCTTCTTACTCTCCGAGATGGACCGCTTCGCCATCCGCCCGACGCCAGCCATCCTCCGACATCTGATCCGGTGCTTCGCACACGACGGCGACCTTGACGTTGCGCTGGGGTATGCGGCTGAATTGGGCCGGCTGTCGCCTAGTGTGCTGGCACGGGCACATTCGGCTCGTGCTGCTCGTGCGCGCATGGCGCGCATGCCGCAAGATCGCTTATCCGCATTATTACGATCATCACCGTATGGAAAGAGCGCCGAAGAAGAAGGAGAAGAGGAGGCAACAGATAAGGCCGAAGAAGTAGACCAGGCACCGCTATCGTTGCGGGAAGTTTGCCGGTATGTGCTAGATGAACGGACACTGTGGGTGTTGGCGAGGCGGTGCGGAGAGGCGAAAGACCCGCGTGTGTGGGAGCTGGCGGCGGCGGTGATAAGGCGGAGTCGGAGGTTGTTGTTTACGATGGGCGAGGCGGTGAAATGGGTGGATGGGGTTCCGAGGTTGGATGGGCGGGAGAGTGTTGGGTTGGAGGCTGAGGAGGTGCAGAAGGAATTGGAGATGATGGGGTTTGAGCCTTGAGGGTTATCAGTGGTCGCGTTGGGTTCGTCAGATAAGGGGTTAGTAAGTGCTGTTGGAGGCTGACAGGTGGTATGGTATCCCTGGCGTTATGTGGGTGTTGTGAGTTGAGAAGGGAGGCTTAAACTCCGGCTGGTACGAAACCGGAAGTTGAAGCTATTCTCAATCCAAGACAGCCAGGACGAAAGGAAAAATCGGTTACAAGACAGCGAAAGCTCCTCACATTCCTCGGATGTGCTATATGTCTGTACTGTGCTTTCCATGTTTCCATCAATCCCTTCCTTGACAAACAAACCCTCTCAACCCCATTGTCCAGCTTCGAACGCCCATTGTCCTCCACGCAGGGGGGCCGGCGGTTCTGTGGTCCGAGTGCCGATTTCGCCCACAGGGGATAGATAAAGTGCGTCACTGTGCATGTGTCGCATTGATAAAAAGTTTCCGGCCCACGAGTCGGCAAGTCTCAATACACTTTGGCGGGGACGGGATTCCGGCACAACTTGGTGATCCGTTGGTTAGCGTCCGGCGACAAAAACTGTGGGAACAGAGGAGATGCGACGGATGCGACGGATGCTTCGGGGGCCCGATGCGGTCGGCTTCGAGTCGGGTTTTTTCTTCTTTGCCCCGGGTTAGCGTGTATTCCTTCCATCCATTACAGTGTTGGCTGGACATTGGAAGTCGACTGGATGGGAGAATGCCAAATCGGTTTGCGGGGCGCCAGAGCTACGCGTCAAGGCCTTGCCGAACCGTTAGTCAACGTGAGTTACAGGGGTAGCAGCCCCAATCTGGGAGCAAACCACACTGCTGGAGTTGCCTCTTCGGGCTGGTCAGGGCTGCAGTGCTGCAGGTGCTCTGAACCCCCGCTGATAACTCTCCGGGGATACCCACTTCTGGAACTGGACGGACTGTTCCTGCTTCCCTGCTCTGATCTCCATGTCTTAGGTTCTTTATCATCTTTCCTTCTCAATTTCTCACAATCTAGAGCAACTTAAAGTCTTCATTGATTGAGCTCTCGTTTAATCGCAACCCGGAATGGCTGCGGGACGTGCTCAGTTCATCAGCAGGTAGCGTTGTTCCCATCGGAACTCACCCTAAGAGACGTACCTTACCTCGGAGTCCGACGCTGGCGCTTACAAAGCCGATTCACGAAGTGCAAACGAAGCCGTCACGAACATACCTCGAACTCTCTCACCCAATTGAGCGGCCTCCTTAAAACCTTTCGAGATTTCTGTCTTTTCCTCACCCTCACGGCAGATCCCAGGATCGTATTTCAGCCGCAGATTCGGATTTTCATTGAGGTGTTGCGGGGGAATACGTCGTGGTGTCTTCCAGCACGCACATACGCCGGCTCATGACGTCGGCTTCAGAGAGGGACGCTGATTCGTCCCAGGGAGTGGGAGGGAGGAGAACCGCCGCGACAAACGGTACGGCAGACAGCGGCGACTATGAGGCTAGTGAAACGACCGGTTTGCTAGGCAGGAACGCAGACGGCAATGCTCGTCGTGCTCCGACACAGGATGCAGCGTGGGCAGGGAGCGAGGACTTTGCGGGGCTACCATGGTGGAAGCGGCCTTCTGTACGTCTGGCGTGTTATCAACCGCGGTGAAGGAGGGCGATGAGAAAGGGCTCGAGAGGAGCAAAAGTTAACTTTGGTGCAGGTTGCGTTCCTCGTCGGTCCATACGCTATTTTCACGCTCGCGTTTGGCGGCTCACTCGTGCCAAAGCTGAACTTGTGAGAAACCTCCTGATAAGCGGGATATCGCCAGAGCCCAGGCGCGCGTATCAAGCTGTACTGACTCCTTCAGGGTCATCGATCTCGTGTGCAAACACTACTTTGCGGACCGGTCCGCTACCGACCCAGACTTCCCGTTTACCCCGGTAATCCCCGGGGGCAACAACCGGCAATGCTTCATCCCGGAAGTGCAAAAGCAAGTGGCCACCTTCCAGCTGGCGCTCACAGTCATCATTGGGATCCTGAGCTCGCTCACCGCGCCGAAGCTCGGGTCACTCTCGGACCGCTATGGCCGCAAGCGTATGATAATTATATGCTCCTTAGGCGGCATCCTGTCTGAGCTAGTCACCATCGTGGCCGCCAAGTTTCCCGAGACTGTGTCTTACCAATGGCTGCTGCTGGGCTCCGTTTTCGAAGGCCTCGCGGGGTCGTTTACCGCCGGGAGCGTGTTGAGCAATGCCTACACCAGCGACTGCACCCCGCCGTCAAAACGTGGTGTGGCCATCGGGTATCTGCACTCGTGCCTATTTGGGGGTCTCGCGTTCGGGCCCCTGATTGCCGGTTACCTTGTGGAATGGACAGGCTCGTTGATATCCATCTTCTACATCCTGCTCGGTTGCCACATCACCTTCGTCCTCTTCATGGCCTTCATCATCCCCGAGTCTCTTTCCCGAAAACGGCAGTTGTTAGCAAGAGAAAAGCACCGGCGCAAGAAGGAAGCCCTCGGGTTGACTTCCCCATACGCGGGCATCCCACGATCCCAGATCCCGTTCACCTACAAAGCTCACCGTTTCATCCGTTCTTTCTGGACCTCTAACCCCCTTGCGCCGCTCGAGATCCTCTTCCCCACCGGTCCTGGGACTGCCCGGCTCCAGCGCAACTTTTTATTCCTCGCCTTCATCGACGTAGTCATCCTCGGCGCCGCAATCAGCGCCAGCCCCGTCATCGTCATATACGTTGAGTACATGTTTGAATGGGGCAACCTCGAGAGCTCCCGCTTCGTCTCGATGGCCTCCATGGTCCGCGTCCTCGTCCTCATCAGCATCCTGCCCCTAACCAACTACCTCTTCCGCAAGCGGCCAGCTGCGAAGCGTCTCCGGGAACAACAGCGCCTCAACCCAACGGCCGATCCCGCCTCCCTCGCCCAGCCCGAAAAGAACCGCGGCGCAGACGAAGTTGACATCTGGATCTTACGTGCCGCTCTCCTTTCCGACGTCGTCGGCGTCACGGGGTACATTTTTGCACGCTCGGGCCCGGTCTTCGTCCTCAGCGCTTTTGTCACCTCCATCGGCGGCCTCGGCTCTGCCACAATTCAGGCGGCTATCACCAAGCATGTGCCGCCGCAACGCGTGGGCCAGATGCTAGGCGCGATCGGGCTGCTGCATGCGCTGGCGCGGATTGCGGCGCCCATTGTGTTTAACCAGCTGTATGCCGCGACGGTGGAGAGTTTTCCGCAGGCGTTTTTTGTGTTGCTGGCTGGGCTGTTTGCGCTAGCGTTTGGCGCGTCGTTCTTTGTGATACCGCATGGTAGGTTTTTTTGAAACCTTTTCTCCCGCATTTTCGTGCTTCTAATGGATGTGAGGCTGACTGTGGGAATAGTGTATATGAAGGGCGAAGACGAGGCGGGAGAAGAAGAAGAGAACGACCGGACGACAAGTCGGGAGGGTAACCAGTCAGTCCAGGCGCGGCAAGATGCGTTAGAGGACGACCAGCTCCTATCGAGCGTGTAAGGCTAACGAGTCGATCGAACAGGTAATGTTTATGTTAGGATTTTAGTCCTGGTTTGGATTTCTTAGATATATATGTCATATACGAATCGGGTAGGAGGTTTTACATCCGAGACGAGATGGAGTATAGAGGAGATATAGGTCGTGGTTTGAACTATTGGCGGTTATGTGGCGTTGCCTCTGCTTGACATATTTGGTTGAAGCAGGCCGGCAGAGCGGGTTGGGTAGATAACCCCTCATTTTTATGGAATATACATGTTATAAATATTCTGGTGGCCAATAATCTTAAACACAGGAGATCTAGAACAGTTGTTGAGAGCTCGGCTGTGGCCGTTGCGTTGAACCAACGCTGAAAGCTCACGTCGACGTCTCCTCAACGGCTTCTCAAAACAGCTTCTTTAAAAAAAGAAACAATAAAATTCACGTAAAATACGTGCCAAACTATTTTTGTCTCATTTTAGTATCTTTAGTTTTGAACAATACCAATATTAGAGTGTGCATCCGATGTCAACCAAGGGCCAAGCACTTCCCAAGCTTCTCAAGTGCATCGCGCAACATCTGCATTCATGCAAGCACTCACTCAGCACAGCACAGCACGGCAACAACCTCAATTTAGCCGCGACCTTCCATAACGTGTTATCTTTCTCCCTTTATCAATCGGCAGACTAATTATCTCACGGGCGTGTGAGCATGAACACCATCTTGACCCGACGGCCTCAACATCGATTGTTGAGCACTTCGTTTTTGTTTTTTTCGTCTGGAATCTCATCTCCACCACTCACCTTTCTCCGCACAAGTACCAGCACCGTGAGAATGAGTAGCAACGATAGCAACAGCAACAGCGTCTCTACGGCCGCGCCGGATGGGAAACGGATCTTTTTTGGCCAGTTTGACGTCACGAATCAGGTCAGTCAGTTTTACAGCTCTCACTCTGTTTCCATGGCAAAAATAAAATAAAAGAAAGTAAAAAAATAAAATAAAATAAACCACAATAGAAAAAGCACGACCACAACTAACCAAACCTCCAAGGTCTTCCTCACAACCCCCCACTCCTTCGCCCTCGTCAACCTCAAGCCCCTCCTACCGGGTCACGTCCTAGTCTGCCCGCTACGCCCGCATCGCCGTCTAACCGACCTCGCGCCAGCGGAACTCACAGACCTCTTCTCGGCCGTCCAGCGTGTGCAGCACATGCTGGCGCGGCACTATTTTTTTGGTCATAATCATGATGACAACGTCGGGCGTGATGGTCGACCCCTGAATCTGAGACTACCCCGGGACGACACCGATAGACAGAAACCCGGGTCAAAATCCAACCACCCCCCCGCAACCATAACATCAACAACAACCACCAACCCCCCTCCACCGCCTCCCCAGGAAAACCAAACCCAAGGACCCCCCGGCTCCTTCAACATAGCAATCCAAGACGGTCCCGAAGCAGGCCAAACAGTCCCCCACCTCCACGTGCACATCCTCCCCCGCATCCGCGGCAGCACAGCCAAACCAGCGACCACGCCGTCCGACGCGATCTATGATCAGATGGCTGGAGAGGAAGGGAATGTTGGGGGGGCGCTTTGGGATCGGGAACTGGAGCGGGAGCGAGAAGACTCTGTAGAGGGGGGACGGGGGGGACGGCCAGTGCCGGGGGGTGGGTTCCCGCGGATTGAGGATGCGGATCGGATGGCAAGGGGGATGGAGGAGATGGAGGCTGAGGCGAGGGTGTATCGGGGGGTGTTGGAGGAGATGGGGAAAGGGGGAGAGTGAAAGGGTCAAGTGGATGGTTTCAGCGGACTTGGTGGATGTTTTGTGACGTGGGGTAAGAATTCGGATGGTATCATGAAAGTATAGACAGAGTATCTAGACACAAAGGTTGAGATGGCCACCGCATCGATAACGTAGTGTATACACACACACACACTTACCGTAAACAAATAGCAGCACATGACGCCGGTGTCGAGACGCCACCCTCCACTGAACTGGTATCCTCCACATTTCCCATATATAACCTTTCCACGCCGTGACTGGTAAACTTTGTAACCATAATTGAACCTTGTCCCATATCATTCCTTCCCAATATATTCCAATCCACTAATCCAATCCAGGTAAATGATCCAGACTCCCCATCCCTAGCGAGTCAAACGTCGTGTCCATCCCATCCATGTCCACTCCTTGAAATACAAACATCGATGTATCATCCATCCCACCACCACCACCACCAGGTCGATTCGTATTCTGCTGCGGTCCACCTCCTGAGCCACCACCGCTTGGCCCCCACGCCTGGAAATTCTGCTCCCAGTTCACGCCGTCCTTTAGGTACCACTCCTGTCCATCAACGGCGTATACCGCGTGGGGTGAGGAGTGATGGCCACCGTCACCGTTACCGCGAGAGGAGGACAACGGTTGTGGCGGTGACGCGATGGCTGTTTGGGCATGGACTGGTGGAAGAGCCTGGGTGTAGTTGGGCATGGCCCGTGTGCCGGGCGCGTTGGTCCATGAGCCAATGGCAGGAAGAGGCTCGCCCATGGGCATAGATGATGTTGCCCTCGACTGTTGGGCCATCGGTCGTGGGGCTTGCGTTTCGCCCTGGCCATACCTGTGCGTGTTTTGCATCCCTGAGGGCATTCCCGACGCTCCAACACCACCCATCATTTCGGCCGGGAGGCTCCTAGATGGCGCAGAGTCGAAGGACGTGGGCGGTTGTACCGCTGGGATTCCGTACTGAGTTTGAGCCGCGAACCGATCCGTCTCGTTTTGGGCTGGCGAGACTGGGAGTGATCCGCCGTTGGACTGTGGTGTTTGTGCGATAGACGGGCCCGACCGGTTTGGAGAAGGGACGTCGGAGATACTGAAGGTCCCGTACTTCTCGTCGGTTCGTTGCAGCACAACGCTTGCTTCCTCGGGAAGCTCAACTTTCCATTTTCGCGCTAGTACGCTCAAGGTGCTGAGCGCCCTTCTCGCGCACGGCCAGAACTCGGCAATCTCTTCGAGATGCTTGACACCGTGGATCATGTCGCGCTTAGCCGTCTTTTCTGGCAGGTGGAGAATGTGTATCGTGCACGCCGTTTGCACCATGTACACCGCAATGTTGCAGATCTGCCCGAGGTCATACAACTTTTTGTACAACCGCATTAGCTTCGAAATCGCCCCAGCATTGGCGCCGCATATGCGCCATGGTGATACGTGAGCGGGTAGTGGGGATGTCGCCGGAGAGTACTTGAGGAATGCCTTGAAGAGATGGATGTATTGCATGTGGAAGAACATGCTGCACACTTTGTCAGCTATTTGTCTCGTGGGGGCTCTCCGCCTGCTCGGTTACTTACTGCATCAAGATCACATGCGGCAGTTGGCCATCTCTCGCTTCGAACTCGGAGGGCAATTCCTTCTTCCACTCCTCCAGGCGGCGATGGAGCTCACTAAGCTTCTTGACCTCGACGTTCTTGCCGCCCGACCGCCCTATGTGGTTGGGGTGATAAAAGAAAAGTAGTAGGTCGCTGCTGATTTCGCAGAGCGTGCTGAGATGTAACGCCGCCGCACGCGTTCGGGAAGGCTGCTTGAACGATCGGTCAAACCCGCTGTCTGTGTAGGGCGACCACATCTCGGCGTCCTCGTCTGGGAAAACATCGTATTTGGGGACGTTGTAAGTGTTTTTGGGGATTTGTGGCAGTCGACCGAGGTAGTTGGACCAGCATTTGTCAAAGAGGAAGCAGCCCCAAAACGTGACCCTCCGCGCATCAACTTCCTCCTCGTCAAGAGAACCGCCCTTGTCCCGGGCTAACCCGCCGAGGTTCAAGTTTAAGCCAATGTCCTGGGCCATCCGGAAACTCATGCCGCTGTACACCCACCCGTTGGCCTCCCGCCCACATCCGGCTTCACGGACCGACATGAGCGCTAATGCTTGTACTGTGGCCAGTCTAGGCTTCGCGTATTCGTCGTTTTCGATGATCAGCCGCTTTGCTTCTGCAAAAAAGTGATCGCCCTTTGTCCTACTGTCCCCGGGCACACCGAAAGCGCCGGATACGGCAGTGAAGTGGCAGCCCAGAGCCAGCATAACATTGACCAACAGTGGTGTGCAGTACACGGTGGTCCTGGGCTGCCCTGATGGCTTGCCTCGAAGGTAGTCTCGGTAAAAGAGTGATTTGGAGAGTGTGGTGAAGTAGGGATAATGCCAGTTGAAGTACATGTTCATGAGGTGCGTGACCAACTGCGTGTCTTTGGTAACCTCAGTCCAAGTCGTCCTCGGGTCCTCGCCAGTGAGGTAGGCGTCGGAAGCTGGCTGTTCGGTGACATCCGTCTCGTCACCTAGGTAGATTAAGTGCGAGGTACCCCCAATGTACCGCACAGAACCGTTCTCAAGCCGAAGCTCACCCATCTTGCGCGCCAGTTCCTTCTCGCCCTCGATCGGCCGTTCGGCGGCGTCGTCTTCGTCCATGCTCCGCGTGTCTCCGCCCATGTCCTCCCCCTCTATCTCGTTTTTGAGTATGGATTCTGCTACCTCATCCAAACTATCACATGTCCGTATCCTTTTCACAATAGCTGGCACGTCCTCCTCGGCGGCGTTTAGGATTGCTTCGATTAAAATCTGGAGTGTCGAGTCCCGCGCCTTCAAGCTGTCCGTCTTCTCGCGGTACACACCTTTGCGGCGGTGGTCCGAGTTCGGGTCGTAGACGCACTCGGTGCCGTAGACGCTAGCGCAGGCCGCGCAACTAGGAAGAGCGCCGTCGCATTTGGACTTTCTCTTCCGACAAGCGATACAGGCAGTGCTGACGCATCGTCGTTTCTGGTTGGCGGAGTCGACGCCTCGTCTGGCCTTTCTCCTGGCGGCGGACGGCGGCGAAGGCTGCGAGGGCCCGGCAGGAGCGGTAGCACCGTCCTGGCCCGCAAGAGGGACGGGGACCGTCTCGTGGCTAGCCATTGCTGATATGTTGGCGGCAAATACAACACATTCGATACTCCGGCGCGTTCGTCACAACGCGCGGGGGCCCCGCAGTAGGAAAAATGGTGGAGAATTGGCGGCGTGCCTTGGCGATAGGAAAGTTGACCGGACGTGTTTATTAGTGTACCGTGTATCTTTGTTTTCGCTCAGTGCGAGAAGTACTCCGCCAGTCACGAATGTTGCTTCTTCTTTAGCCGACGTCGCTTTCGGTCAGAAAGCGGGGGCCACTTTTTCTCGTTGGCGGCTGAGGGCTGAGAAAAGAATACTATAGGTGATGATCACCTAGTTTTGGGTTTAGAAATCGAGACGATGTCGAACGTGATATTCGTAGTTATGGGGCTCAACCGAGTTCCGGCCGTCCGAGTTTAGAGCAGCCTCGTGCGAGTGGTTGATTCCGGCCGGGGCCAGCCAATACTCAATCATCGGTCCTCATTGGTGCCGAGACGGCACTGCGCTATCTCCCGGCAAGCACACGAGCATCCATTGAGAAAAGCAGAAACTTGTTGGTTGTATTGTGCGTTGTTGGAAAGTCTTAAATGGGGTGCTGGAAACCCCGAGAAGAAAAGGCGGGGGGTCCAAATGGGTTCCCAAGAGGGAAGGGGTCTTTTCGCCTGCACTTGCAAAAAGGAAGGCAGAGCGGGAGCCCGCCCCCACGAGGCAGAAGCTCGGCCTGCAGGTAATTTATTGGGGGCACCGATATCCGGACAAGCTGGGGATCGGTGTGGGTGACAATGGACAACACCCGACTGGTCTGCAGCCACTTACGTGGAGCGCACGAGTGGTGTGCAGGGATTGGGAAGTGATCCTCGAGATAAGGCTAGAACACAGCCAACTACCATGGACGGATAGTAGAGTGGGTGATGACGTGCTCGCTCGAAGCCGGGCTTAACAATCACAAGTAACGTACCTCGGGCCTCCTAACGTAGGTGCGTAGGTACCGTAAAGTGTAGCGCACTCGGCCCGTTGGCCAACAAAGAGAAGAGTTAGTAATCATGTAATTCACCAATGTTATTTTCATCGACTCGAAATTGGACAATTTGTTTCCTTTTTGAAGGGACCGTTCCTCTGAGTTCTACACTAAGATCCGACTTCTCCGACGGCATTCTTCAACGGAACACTAAATACTCCGTACTGTAACCATGTCTCTCAGCCAAATCAACTAGCTGCCACGGATCGCCCCGCGACGGGCTGACCCAGCGCGGGGGTAGCCAATTGCTGCTCGGCTGGCCACCCTCCGTGGGACAACTGGGCAGTGGGACTGTGTCAGTCTGCGGAGTGAGGTGTCGAGGGAGCATGCCGATTGCTCCGGAATGATGCACTGTGGGATTCTTGTCCTCGTCCCTCCTAGCCCCTATAATTCATCCAGAAGGAGCTCGTAACACATGAACTCTGACATGTTTTCATTTTTAAATATTGGCCGAAGGGGACATAAGGTGCGAACCCATTTAAACTGAACCACTGTGTCATCACGGTTCTCACCCCATTGGATCTTCATGAAGGTACCGCTGAGATGCACAGTCAACCGCGTTCCCGGCCAACCACAATTGCAGCGAATTCCTACCATTCACAAAGCAATCCACTCCTTCCTCGACGAGGTCCTTTAATCCCTCATGCTACTCTTGTCCGGGCACGGCTGGGCTGAGTCGATATTCTCGGCAATTGGAGAATTGCATAGTACTAGCTCCCGTGGACATATTTAACCTCGCCCAACGCCCATCCGAAATCCAACGTGCTGTGTACACCGATTGATATCTTTCTATGTCATCCAGCCCGGGCTCGGCAGGGGACGTGAGCCGGCCACCGCCCCTTTCGATCCCTTCTCCGTACCCCAGACGGACAGACGGGTTACTATGTAAGGGTGGTTACACCGAGCACGCTTGGTAGTATTGAAGGCGGGAGCTCTTCAGACCGGCCGGGCTTACGAGTCGGCACAGGCCCCGGCCATTTCAAATCCTTTAACGGCGGGGTTGTTCCGTTAAGCCCGAGAAAGCTACCACGGTATCCGTAGAGTTGCCGTTCTGTTCCCGCCTCATCCTCGAATCAACTGGGCATTATACCAGTTGTCGCATGCCACTGGTTTAGCTTTGTAACGGACTGACATCAAATGATTGGCTACAAGATGCAGCAACTACTCCGAATCTGCAAAATAACTGCCGACAATCCAGGTCTCTGGGCCGGCCGGACTCCTTTTTTTCTTGCTTTTCCGTTGTTTCGTTTTCGGTGTGCCTGTCAAACGTTACCCCTGACGAGCTGACTTTTGAGCCAGGCTGCCCCCCACCCCCACATCTTTCCACTTCGACATCCATCCTCCTGCAGTCGGATATCGGGAATGATACGTCACGGGGTGCGATAAAGCCGGTTATTCGTCCATAGAATCAGGTCAGGTCGAGTCAAGCCTTTTTGCCAAGCGTCGTTCTGCAGAAAGGACAGAATCGTAATATATCCTGCAGTACCACTCCGTTGCCCGAACTCCGTGTTCTAGTCTAGGCCTTATTTTTCGGCCGCTCGCCTGCTATTGCGCAATTCTGCGGATTGTAGCATGCTATTGGTGGGTGAGTTGGAGTAGACGACACCGGAAGGAAGCTATGACAAGATTTTTTGTTGTCAGGACTATTGGTCAAATGATCTGTTATGATGTTGCATTCTTCAAACCATCAAGACATTGTTGCATGGTTCGAGAACCCGAGTAATGTACAGAGACGAACGCATTTTATATACACGCCTAACCATCTAAAAAAACCCACAAATAAACCACCACACGCCCTATGTTACTTCACCTCATTTTCCCTATACCCTCTGGCTAGCAAAGAACTTTTTCGACTCCGTGCACCTGTCACTTTTGCACCCCGGGCACCTAAGCCCCATCTGCGTCGAACAAGCAATGCCACTACTCAAATGTGACTTGGCAAGGTCCGCAAGAGCACGAATAAAGACGGGGCTGCCATTCAGACTCTCCACGCGCTTGACGGTGTCGGCATGTCCCGACTCACCAATGACCTCCTCGTCGAGCTCGTACAGCGTCTCGATGTGGTCAGACGTGAAGGCGATGGGGATCAAGAGCAGGTTCTTTTGGCCCTTCGCGATGTAGTTCTCCACAGAGCTCGAAGTTTGGGGACCCAGCCAGGGCTGGGGGCCGACTTGTGATTGCCAGCAGAGACGCCAGGAGTTGACGTTGTTGAGGCGCTGCATCACGGCGTGGACGGTAGCGGCGACCTCGGCTGGGTAGGGGTCACCTAAAGACAAGCGGGGTTGTTAGTAGGTGTCTTTCATGAGATAAAAAGATGGCATCCGCAGGACGGCAAAACTTACCCCTATTCACCACTGTCATGGGCAAGCTGTGGGCCGAGAAGAGCAGCACCACCTTATCCCGCACCTCCTCGGGGTACTCTTTAAGCTTGGCCTCAATGTTTTGCGCAAACGCCTCGACCAAACCGGGATGGGTCGGCCATCGGTCGATAACACTCCATTTGATCGTCCCGTCCTCGCTCCCGGCCGCATTCCCACTCCCAGCGTCGGCCAACGGCCCGGCCTTGCCCTCCAGCCTCTGGCGCCACTTCCATAGTTCGTTCAGACTACTCCCCGTCGTCGAGCATGAGTACTGAGGGTATTGCGTAAAAGCCACAGCGCGGCCGCCGCGGCCGTTACCAAAACCGTCGGCTAGCATTTGGCGGTACATGTCCTCGGTGAGCGGGTTCGCGTAGCGGAAGGCTACGTAGGGCTTGTGCGGGGCCGTTTGGGGAGAGATCTCGTCGAGGATTTTGCACATTTCGGTGCATTGGTGCTCTGACCATTTGCGGATGGGCGAGCCGCCGCCAATGGCTGCGTACTGCTTTTGGATTTTGGGCGTCCGGCGAGTGGAGAGAAGAGGGCCAATGTAGCCTTGGAGCCGGCCAAGCGGGATGAGGTCGCCATCGGACTATGTGGGAGGGGTAAATATTAACAATTGATGTTGCTAGTTCGGCATTGGTGACGTGAGAGGGTTATCTTACAAAAAGCCGGCTGAGGAAGTCGCCGACCTCATCGGTTGTGGATGGGCCGCCCATGTTGAGAAAGACCATGGCCGTTGGGCCGCCAGAGGAATTCTGCGTGACTGGGGGCACTGGTGTCGCAAGCCGTCGCACTTGTTGCACTGAAGGCTTGGGGAGCCCGAGGGCTCGGAGCGGCCGTACCGCGACGGGGAATCGGAGAGCCATCGCGGCTTGATTAACGGAAAGCCGGTGGGTTGAGAACTGCCGAGGCCGGAAATCCTAATAGATTGTCTCTAAGGTAGGACCGCAAGATGTCTCGGCCGTTTGTCGCATGGAAGAGCAACCGAAAAAAAGAACGAATGAAAGGAACCAGAAACGCCCCTCGACGTCTACTTGTCAGATCTATACGCCTCTTTAAAACAGTGGCGAGGACAAGGCGACGAACGGGAAGGCCAGATCACTCCGTCTCCACCCGGTTGCTCCGACGGGAGCGCCCCGGCAGCCCGGCATCTTCATGGCCGACATTGAGCTTTCTTGGCGCTGCGATGACGTTGCAAAGACCAAAGAGACTTCAGCCAATCAGAGCAGATCAATTGCACCTCTCGTCCTTGATAAGTCATGTGACCTGGCGTTAGGCAGGCGTGTCAGCCTAGCGGCCCCGGCGCGTCGCAGTCGCACACCCCTGGTCATTCTCGTTCATTCATCAACCGTTTGCGGCGACATCTGAGTTTCCATCCAACACGCCTCTGATTTCATTCCACATTACCCGATAACACTCAATTCGGTCCTCGCACTTTACCAATTCACTCACAATGGCGTGGGGTGGCGACGAGGACAGACGTCCTGACGCGGAAGAGGAAGATGAGCTTGACGAGGCTGTAAGAAACGGCTTCACCTTGAATGACTGAGATCTATGTTACTGAACCCCACCAGGACTATAAAACCCAAAAGGATGCGGTGCTCTTCGCCATCGATGTTAGTTCGTCTATGCTTGAACAACCCCCCAGCACGGGTAGCAAGAAGGCCGATAAAGATTCGGCCGTTTCTGCCGCCTTGAAATGCGCCTATCAATTCATGCAGCAGCGCATCATCGCGCAACCAAAGGATATGATGGGAATCCTTCTCTTTGGTACCGAAAAGTCCCGATTCCGCGATGAAACCGGGGGGCGAAGCGGATCCGGCTATCCCCACTGCTATCTCTTCACAGACCTCGACGTCCCCGCTGCCGAGGATGTCAAGAGCTTGAAGGCTTTAGTGGAAGAGGACGAAGACCCAGATGAGGTGCTCGTCCCAGCGAAGCAACCAGCTTCGATGGCCAATGTGCTTTTCTGTGCCAACCAGGTGTTTACAACCAATGCGGCAAACTTTGGGTCTCGCCGCCTGTTCATCATCACCGACAACGATAGTCCACATGGCACAGACAAGAACGCCAAGTCATCGGCAGCGGTCCGCGCAAAGGATCTGTTTGATCTCGGAATCGTCATCGAGCTTTTCCCTGTTAGTCGCGCGGAGAAGGCGTTTGACGTATCCAAGTTTTACGATGTTAGTAACCCTTGCCCCGTCGGATATGTGACATGGTTTAATAACCCACAATAGGACATCGTCTATCGTGATCCAACCGCTGAAGCCGGGGCTTCAGATGATGTGAAAACCTCCAAGTCGGGCGATGGGCTTACCCTTCTTAACTCGTTGATCTCAAACATCAATTCAAAACAAACCCCCAAACGGTCGTATTTTTCGAATTTACACTTCGAACTCACCCCAAAACTCACAATCTCCGTCAAGGGCTACCTGCCCCTCCACCGACAACAACCTGCACGGACGTGTTATGTTTGGATGGGAGGAGTGGAAGCAAAACTCGCACAATCCGAAACCATCAAAGTGGATTCGGCCACGAGGACGGTTGAGAAGGCGGAGATCAAGAAAGCATACAAGTTTGGTGGCGAGTACATCTACTTCAAGCCCGAGGAAGCCGCATCCCTCAAGAATCTTGGGGGTAAGGTATTGAGGCTCATTGGGTTCAAGCCGCGTTCTTTGCTCCCCATGTGGGCGTCAGTGAAGAAGTCCACGTTCATTTTCCCCAGCGAGGAATCATTCGTCGGATCAACCCGTGTCTTCTCTGCCTTGTGGCAGAAGCTCCTCGATTCCGACAAAGTGGGCATCGCATGGTTTGTCGCTCGTGAGAACGCGAACCCCATCTTAGTGGCCATCGTCCCTTCGAGAGCCATGGATGATGATTCATCAGAAACACCATATCTCCCTGCCGGTCTTTGGCTGTACCAGCTACCGTTCGCCGATGATGTCAGGAACGTGGAGTTGTCGGCACCTCCTCGGCCAGCGGACGAGCTCACGGACAAGATGCGGGAGATCGTACAGAATTTGCAACTCCCAAAGGCCATGTACAACCCGATGAAATACCCTAACCCATCCCTCCAGTGGCATTACAAAATCCTGCAAGCCATGGCGTTGGAAGAAGACGTTCCGGAAAGTCTTGACGACCCGACAATCCCAAAATACAGGCAGATCGACAAGCGAGTGGGCGGTTACATGGCGGAGTGGAAAGAGGCATTGGCCGAAAAGGCTGCCGGGCTCATGAAGAGCCGCGCGGTAAAACGCGAGGCGGAGGATGAGGATGGGGGGCGACCACTGGTCAAGCGTGCCAAAGCCGCTCCGAAAAAGGGAGCCACTGGAAGCCAGCTGAGTAATGCTCAACTCAAGGCTGCGATGGAACAGGATGCGCTCAAGAAGATGACGGTGGCCGAATTGAAGGATATCTTGGCTGGGAAGGGGATCAGTGCGGTGGGCAAGAAGGCTGAGCTGGTCGAGAAATTAGAGCAGTGGATCGAGGAGAATGTCTGAGCGATGAAGTCGTTTTGTCGGTTTTGTAGGGTAATTATCTGGGCTGGGCAATCGGGTGCACTGGAGTTTTGGGGTTTGCTTCATTTGGCTGCCACGGAGAAAAACTGTCTTAATTCATGAAAAGCTTCTTCAAAAATAACTGTTGTAGTCTTGTAAAACAATCACGGCCCAGGTCATCTCTGGCTCAGTTCTGGAATGACAGATGGCAGACCTCGTAATGGTTACCGTATATTACACGCTGCGGCTCCGTTCCTTACCTCCAACCCCGCTAGACTGTTGCAGCGCTTTCCCAACGCGCAACTGAACGCGGATTGCAGTGCATCGCGTCGGCAGGCGCATTTGGAGCGATTTGAATACCGACTCCCAGAAACTTCAGCCTCGTGCGCGGCATTGTTCGGCAAACTCGTCGCACCGCGCGCAATTCATCGCAACCCTTGGGTGATTACCGATTTCGACGGAATTACCTACCACCGCGAAAATCCTCGAATCTACGAAGTTTGACCACCCCAATGCACACGCGCTGCCGTCATCCGACTTGAGGGGTTGACCGAGCGACGGGGCGATGAAGGCGCTTCTAGGACTGGCTGCCAGCAATACCTGTGGCTCCCTCGCCGACCTCCAGTCACAGCTGCGCGACTTGCCCCACGGCCGGGTAACCGATACCCATGCCGAGCATACCTCGAATACCTTCCAAATCCGAGCGACCGCCGTGTTCGAAATCCCCGGGACAGCCACCAACAATGGGACCCCCGATGGGGGCACGCCTAATATTGACCCGTCGCTCGGCGGCGGCGGGGCACAATCCAATGCGACACCTGGGGCTGGCGTGGATGGGAACGGGGCTAGACCGCAGCAGCCGGCTCAGCGGGTTAACGCGATGGATGCGTTGATCAACCAGCCGGCGGATGACCCGGTCCTGCAGACGGCGATCGCGCGGCTGATTATATCGGCGCTCAGTGAGGTGAACTCGAGCAGCTGGGTGGTGCGCCAGGTTTCCAGGAACGACCAGTGCTGGGCGTTTACATACCTTTGCAAGGACTCGTGGCAGACATGGAGTCGGCAGACGTCTAAAACACCAGCAAAGTTGGCGATTGGAGAGTGGAGTGAGAAGAGCGGACAGGATCCAATTCACATGTGTATGCGTTGTCCTTTTTAGTTTGGGGAGCTTCCATTCACATCCCTTGTTGCTAACAGCGTTGAATCTCTAGCTCGACCAGCTTTTGATTGCCGCGGGTCCGTCAAGATTTCTTTCGTCAAGTCCACCAAGACCATCGATGTCAAATACGAGCACACGCCCATCCACAAGACTGTTGCGGAACTGATCGAACTTCTCGCGCCTGCCCGGCCCCCGCCTATTGCCCTCCCACTTTCGAACAACCCGGCGAAGAAGAAGACCAAGGAGCCGAAGGAGCCCAGGGCGCCCAGAGAACCAAAGCCGAAAACACCGAGACCTCCAAGGAGGCGCGGGGGGGAGAACGGTGAAGGCTCCCAGCCGTCAAAGAGGAGGAAGAGCAAAGGTGCCGCCGCTATTCTGCCCCCAGAAATGCCCGGCGCGCTTCCCGTGGGCGAGTCATCAACCAGAGAACTTTATAACACCCAAAGTGGGGATGGGATACCACCACCAGGGGGATCGAGCAGCTACCCTGAGGGTCTGGTGGGCGCTGATGGCACGGCCGGGACCTCAGCTCCGAGCGATGTACACGCACATTCGATATTGAATTTACCACCTGGAGAAGCCGCTAGACGGTGGGAAGTGGCCATGAAGTTGCTCAACGACAGCAACCTAGACCCACGAACTCTGTCAACCGAGCAGTTCAGCATATTCGCCAATCAGTCCCCGGAGCTACAGCAAGATTCTCTTGCTATGTTGATCAAGTACGGCGCTGAGCGTTTGCGCATTGTCCATCCCGGCGGGAACGAATCAGAGTCTTCAGAGCCGACCCCCAACCCACCACCAGTTCCTGAGCTGGCGACAGTCACGCCACAGCCGGAGGCGCCGAAGAAGAAATCACGGAACAAGACGGCCGAGGGCGCCGAAGGAGGTGGCAGGCCACGGATTTGTAATAATTGCCGCAGAAGGAGATTCACGGGCAAGGTTTGTACTCCTTTTATCTCTAGTTGCAAGGGATTCAGAAGGCTGACAGAATATCCTAGTGCGACAAAGCAAAGCCGTCTTGCTCATTGTGTATCGAATTAGGCGTAGAATGCGTTTACTCCGCCCCTCCGCCGAGAAAGAAAAAGACCGCGGAACCTACTCCGGATGCCTTGGAGCAAAACGGTGCCCAGGTGCCAGAAGAGCAATCAGATGTGCTGGGCGACCCAGGCTTCACTGTCGAGCCAGCCCCTCGGCCGCCTAGCAACCCGCCCAGCGAGCAGCCGAACCATCCCAACCATGAATCGGGCTCTATGCAGGACCACTACGACAACAGTGTTTACCTAGCACTGAACGTTTCAGCCTCTGAATCAATGCCGCACCAGGCTGAGACGCCTTCAGCTGTGTTCAACACGTCCCACTCCATTTATCACCACCCTTCTGGGCTGAGCTTTCCTGATATCCCTGAGACGGGAACCGGTGACCTGGCTCAGCCCGGCGTATTGTCGAATGCTGGCTCAGAGCCCACGTCGGTCGGCTATATACCAAGTTCCATGGCGGAGAACCCGGACACCTCACTGCATGCCTTTGCGTATCCACAGCCCGCGTCGGCCTAGAACTCCACCTCGGGCTACGGCGATTCAACGGAGCGCTTGGACGGACCTGCTTCTTCTAGAAACACAGGGGAGCAGGCTTCAACCACTAGAACCAGTTTACCGGGTGGCCAGCCTCCCCGAGCCCCCGAACCGAGCATGAATGCAACGGACCCGCAGAGTTCCTGGTCCTCCTTGGCCAACACGACCTCCCAACAACCTGCTAAGTCCTCTCCGCGCCAGGCCAGAGCTAAGAAACCTGCGCCTGTCTCGCAGGGCTACGATGATACTCGTCGACAGCCGACGCCGACCAACAAGGGTGGCTCGAGCCAGTCAACGTTTCGTACCGCGCGAACCGCCCGAGACTCCCCGTTCCAACCTCCCGCGCAACCTGCTCGAGCCACATCCCGCCAGAGCAACCGGGCAGTCACCGCTACGCCCCAACCGGCCACCTCGGATCAAGTGCACGGTTATAGCCAGTATCAGACATCTGGAAATACGGAAGCAGAGTCATCGATGGATCGTATCTCATATCAACCATACTCCCACCGAGGCTCCAACCAGCAGGGCTCATATTCGTCAGCGGAGAACAGCTACAATACACGAGCGCCGACCGCTGCGGCCCCGACCTACCCAGAAACAGTATCCCAGAATGTGGCTTCGTCGTATCCGATGAACCCATCAACGACAACTAGTACAGCACAATGGAGCGCGTCGACCTCTAGCCCACAAACGAGGAATGCCCATGTATATAATGCCACACAGTCGGTCGCGGGCAATACATCTTACAACACGGCTTCTAATACCGGCCAGTCGCAGATGCTGCAGGACTTCAACGTTCGCCCAACCCCCTCTCAGCCTAGGACGTCTGCGAGTGGGTATGGTCGGCGGCATTTGCGGCAACAACAAAGACAGCAGCCGAAACCTCAACAACCACAACAGCAGCAGAGCTATAACGGGTACATGAACAATATGACCCAACATCGACAGCCATCCCAACAGACGCAGCAACAACAAGCGCACCAACCACAACAACAAGCACAACAAACCAACAACAACGCCTACGCGGACTAGGGCTATGGTTTCGGGGCAACAGCTAACAACACCGCCTCCTCCGCCGGCTATCCCAACTCCGCCGCAACAACCGGCAACGCCACCGCCAGTAGCAGCACTAACAACGCCTACTCCACCACCGCCGGTAATACCTCCTCCCACGGCCCGCTAAGTCACGCACATGGCCATGCTGCTCACGGTCATACTACAAGCCACGGCGGCCACAGGGCCAACACTGCGGTAGTGCAACAGCACCAGCAGCACCAACAGCAGCACCACCAGCCCATGAACCTGTCCGGCCGCACGTGCAGCAGTGTGGATGGCGGCGACCCGTCGCTTTTGTATGACTTGCTTCGGAGCAACCTGGCCGGATAGAATCTGGGGTCGGATTCGGTCTGATGGGGGTGGTGGTTGACGATCCATTGCGATGAGTTTGCTGAGATGTGGGTGATTTTTGTCAGACGCATGTGAATGCCTTTTTTTTTCCTTTTCCCAGGGCTTTTTATCTGGTTATTATTACACTACCTCGATCACTCGGTTATGGATTAGGTCGGGAACGGAATAAGCCCGGTCGGTGTGACGCGACGCCGGCTTTCCTTTCCTTCTGTTCTTACTTCCCTCTCCTTAACATTGGCAGATATACCCCGACGACGCCTTGTTTTTTTATTCTCTTTTTATTCCCCCGCCGGGCCTATGGGTAGGCACAGCATGGATGGATGGGGATACTGGAAGGTGTTGGGTGGGATGGACATAGTTAGGGGGGGTTGCTGGGTTGTCAAAGTTATTGTAATGTAACACAATCAATATTCGCGATCGCGAGGATTTCGACTGATCATTCACGTCCACTGCATAGTAGTCATGGTACAGACGACACTCCCAAGCAGGCCGATGTGATCGCTATGTTATGCGGTTGTTGGCGAAATGCCATGCCCATCCGGTACAGATAAATAGAACCAGCCGTTTAACGCCGTCCAGATCTCAAAAGAGAGAGAAGGTAGAAAAATGAAAAAGGAAACACAAATGGGCAAGAAAATAGTCTACAGCTCGACCAGATCAGATCCCGGATCTTCTTGCCTGGCCCCATTATCCATAGTTGAGCTTTTTGTTTCTGTCCATTTCTTTTGGGTTGTCCGCCATCAATCAATCAATCAATCAATCAATCAACCATGCGATCGCCTCCTATTGCGCCGCGACGGCCTCTGGCTTGCTGTCGACCTTCTTAGCCGGGGGCGCGTCGCCGCCCTCGTCGTCGCGGGAACGCTTGCCATTGGCAGTGGATTGGATGGTGGGCACTTGAACGCTGTGTGGAGGAAAAAGGAACATGGTTAGTACGAGACAGTAAAATGTACTGGGGGCTGAAGGGGGGGGGAGGGGAGGGGGAAACATACTCGTTGGTGTTCTTGCGGGCATCCTCCTTCGCATCCCGGCCGTTGCTGTCGCGGTCCCGCCCACCGCCACGCCCACCGCGGAAACCCCGGCCACCACGACCACCCCTACCACGACCGCCGCGGCCGCCCCTGAATCCGTTCCTCTGATCGCGCCCGTCAAACTTGCCGTCCCGACCCTTGTCATCGCGACCACGACCACCCCGGCCTCCCCGGCCACGGCCGCCGCGGTCAGAGCCGCGCTCCTTGCCTTCGAAGAAGGTGTTACGCCTATTGCTATTAGGCTCAAGAAGCCCCTCTTTGATCTGCCTGTTCTTCTCATCCAGGTACTCCTTCTTCTTCATGATGAGCAGCTCGTGGTCCTTCCAGGTCGGCTTGGGGTCCTGAGCGACGAAGGCGTCGGCCTCCTCAGCAGTCTCGAACTCGACAAAGACGGAGCCCTTGAAGAGCTCCTCACCGGTGCGACGCAGCTTGACGTGCTTGACAGTGCCGTAGTTGGAGAAAAAAGCTTCAATGTCAAACTGGGTCGACCGTTCCTCGTCGCCGAAGCCTTTGGCATAGACAGAAGCAGCCAAACGGGCACGCTGGGCATCACTGGATGAGACGTAGGGGGTCTTGCGCTTGAGCGTCTCCTCGCCCTCTTCGCCCTCGACGTCGAGGAAAGTGCTATCGCGCAGGGCGGCTACGACGGCGCTGTGGGGCTGGAACTGGCGCATCCGCTTGAAGCTGGCAATGGTCTTGAGCGGCATGGGTTTGTTCTCTTCACCACCGGTGCTCTCCCACATGAACTTGTCGGTCGGCAGGTTGCTGTCGCTGAAGTAAAACTCGGCCTGGAACGTGGGGCTGGATTAGCTTTTGGCCTCGCACGACACAACGCTTCGCCCTTGGATCACAATCACAGGGCGTGCAGAAGGGAAAAGGGGTAGAGCATACCTGAGCGCGAATCTTGGCGGGGTCGTCAGACACTGGCTGGGAGGTCGGGTCGTACTTGCGGTTCTTCTTGAAGTCGCTGTGGTTGATTTGGCGGGTGGTCTTGAGAATGTTTCCGTTCTTTTTTTCACCGTTCTCGACTGTAATCTCGACTTCGGGCTTTTCCTCGCTGTCTACAGTAGACTCAGCAGTCTCCGTAGGGGCCACCTCCTCAACGGGCTGCACTGCAGGGGCCGTGGTGGCCACCTCGGGCTGCTCATTGACCACGGCGTCGCTCATGTCGGTGGCAGAGGGGCGATGCGCCTCGGAGGATCTTGGAAAAATGAGAGGAGAGGGTGTGATAGAAAGGCAATTGATGAATGAACAAGAGTCAATTAGAGTTGTAAGAAGGGTGAATGTTAGAAACGATAAAATGGAGGTAATGGGGAACCTTAAGAGGGGAAAAGTTTTGCAGTGGTTGAAGAAGTCTGGCGCATGTGCCCTTGTAGAAGCGCGGGAGGGAGAGCTGCACAAATTGTTAGTGGGGTAAAGTTCGAGCTGCAGCGGTGCAGAAGCCCGTGTTGCAGTTCATTCAGCGGCGCATTGGGAGTCACTCCGGGGGTCGAGTCACCGGCACGCAGGGGTGCGAAAGGCACAGAATCATCAATCTCTTTCAATTTCCTTGTTCCTTGACAACTGGTTCGCTCATTAAGATAGGTCGTTGTCCTGAATTCAAATCCATCCCCAAACAATTCATAAGTTGAGACTCAGTCTGGAGACCCTGTCCCGACTGGCGCGGCTCTTGAAGGGACCGTCCAATGCAATCGACAAACGCGTTGCCAGAAAAAAAAAAGAAGGCGGCAAACCCCACACTGAGTTCCCATCTGCCACTCTTCACCGCCCGGTTGCGCCGGCAAAAATTGCCAAGTCGCGGCAATAAGTGGGTCCGAATCAGACACAACCGTCACAACCTTTCGGTGAAATTACGCTCAGGTACGGGCTCACGTGACCTATCGCGATGGGTCGAATTGGGACAAGGAAACTTTTTTGGGCAATTGGCAGGGAATTCAAGGGTTCGAGGTAGAACGAGCAGCCGGCCAACCCACACTACCCCTCCTCCGTTTAAGCTCTTCACCAGCGTGCCCAGGTGCTTAGTACGGGGGGTTATAACCAGAGCAGGACCAGCTCTCACCCCTGGCGAAGCTGGAGAAAATCGACGTCAATTGGCGACAACGACGACAAGAACGACAACGACCGCAACCGCAGCTACAACCCCGGCGTTGAACACCACCTTACAACCACTCAGTCCTGGCAGGAGCGCCGGCGGCGGCGGCGAGGGCAAAAACACGCATATCCATAGGTTGTTGTCATGAAGCAACGCAGGTTGTTGAGGTTTCACAGCCTCAAGCGGGGTGTATGATGAAAACTCGCTCTTATTCCTCTTCCCCCCGCTCACTTTGTCATCTTTCCACTAACCCCCGGTCCTCTCCCACAGCGTGTCCGCCAAACGTGGAACAAGTACAACTTGTTCAACATCTGGCGACTTCGAGAACCCCACCTCACGCTCAAGACCCTTTTCCAGCAGAAATGGGGTGCCAAGTCGGCCACCCGCTCCTACCACGGCGAGCACATCAAGGAGTATCAATGGAATACCATGTTCAACCGTCGTGTGCTCTCGGCGGTCAATATGGACCCGAAGTACATGGCCCAGTATGACGGCAGCGAGCAAGCCACCGGCCGCGGCTCCGGCAGGCTGTCACGGCCAGACAAGAAAGACGGGCCGCGGAATCAAGGGAACCGCTCTGGGCCGACACCATACGGTCAGATGGTTTTCGCACCGATGGAGCGCCGTCTAGATATTGCCATCTTCCGTGCCCTCTTTGCCAGTAGCGCGAGACAGGCTCGCCAATTCGTTCTACACGGCGCCGTAACGGTGAACGGGAAAAAGGTAAAGCCTTAGTCCAACCCCTTTTCCTCTGCTAGCCAGCTACGTACCATGGTGGGGGCAGGGCGTCGTTGCTCTTACAGACATGCTGACATGTGTTGAACTGCCAAGATGACCTATCCCGGATACCTCCTGAACCCAGGTGACATGTTCCAAGTCAAAATGGAGCGGGTACTACTGGCGACCGGCGCGGCGAAACGGGGGAAGAAGGGCGAGGGAGCGGCGGCTGAGCCAAAAGAAGCACCCGAGCCCGCCGAACCCGCCGAGCCAGCCGAGCCAGCCGAGGGTGAGGAAGGTGAAAAGGCTGACGGCGACGCTGCCGCGCCCGCTGCCAAAGCTACCGACACCGCCGCTGCAAAGAAGGACCAAGAGGCCCTCCTCAAGCGTCTCCGCGATCTCGCCCACAGGTGGAGGACTCTCAACGGGCTCGATAACAGCAAATGGGGAAGCGAAGCGGCCAAAAGGCGCGCGTTAGCCGACCAACTCAAACAAATCCGTGAGCTGATCCGACCGCTCATATCGTCTCAAGACGCCGCCCCCAAGCCCGACGACCCTTCGGTATCCGAGGCGGATAAGGTCGACCTCGAGATGTCCCAGCTCATGTCCTACCTCAAGCTCTCGGCCCCCCAGCAAATTGCCAAAACCACCGAGCTCTCGAAAGCGGGTGCTGAGAAAAAGATCTTTAGCCAATGGGCCAAGTACCAAGAAAGCCGACGGATAGAACGCGAGTTGGCCAAAAGCAAAGAAGAAGCCGCCACCGCTGCTACTACTACCGATGCCACCGCCACGCCAACTCCCACAACCGCGACCTCAACCCCGACTCCCCCAACCCCATCGCCCGCCGCCAAACCCCCCATATCCTCCTCCTACCTCCCCTTCTACGACCAAGCCGTCATCTTCCGCGCCATGCGCCAGGAACGCCAAAACCCCAAGGACAGCTCCAAGCCCTACGCCACGCCCTGGCGCGCCCGCGACTACATGGCCCCCTTCGCCTTCATCCCGCGCTACCTCGAGGTCAACCAGCGCATCTGCGCCGCCGTGTACCTGCGTCACCCTGTTGCGCGTCCCGGCCTGGCTGAGGTGCCGACTCCCTTCCCGCCGGTTGTGTCGCAGCTGGCGCATAACTGGTATCTCAAGAGGCGTTGAGTTGAGCGCAAGACTCGAGACCGGAACCGTCGTGGAGAACGGGTTGACTGTCTTGTTCTTGTTGCGGCTACTTGGGGTGTTTTTTCCTCTTGTGTGTATGTGTAATTCTAGGTCATGGTGATGATGATGACGGCAGACACGAAAGGGAAAAGAAAAGGAGGTTAGGCATATAGATGTGTCGTGTCACAAAGGGGGGAGAAGACCCCTTGGATAAGGGTGGATGGAGATGGAGGAAGACCCAGCCAAGTGGTGATCTGGTTGAAAATTCCAGACCAAGGATGGAAAGAAAGAAGAGGGATAGTGGGGGACCATGATGACAAGCTAGAGCATACGCATCGGTAAATGTACCCCCCCATGGGACGGGATTCATGTATTTTAAGTGTAGCTCATTGTACAATATTCACATCAAACAAATCCGGCCCGGCTCAGAGCAAGAAGTCTACATCCAAGCCTACGGGAACGCGCGTACGACCTTGATTTACTTGTGCAATTCGAAGGAATACTCGCATAGTCCTGCTCACACTCCCGTAGTCCATACCAACCTTCAGTTTACAATTGTCCTCACCATCTCACAGTATCCAAGTCAATCAAATTCAGTGAGAACCCTTTTATTCCAGACAAACACTAAGCTAGACAACGACAGCAAGAAAAAAAAACACAAGAATGAGGTGTAACAAAACACAAGGGTTTAAGTTGGGCGGAAGAGAAGGCTAGGAAAACAAGTTTAAGAGTTGTGTGGCGACAGCCGTGTATGAGAAAACCCGGCGCTGACCGTCTTGAAGGTGGCATATCGAATAGAGGAAGACAAATATGGTCCTCCCCCGCCCACCCTTTTCATGACGACCAGGCCCCCGAATATCTCGTTGTAAGAAAGCAACCAGGTGAATATATCCAGCTGCTGGGTAAATTGGCGGGCTACGCAGGGCAATGCCGAGCAAAGCTCCGTGTCGTGTTGTCGCGAAGCACGCTCGGCATCCCCCCGCAGCCGCGGCAAACCCCGATTATCCTGTCTATCCGCTGTGAATAGTTCCCTCCACTCATCCGCCCTCCCAAACGGAAACGCTGATAATCCTGTTCAGAACATGGTCGGGGTATCGAGACGTCGTTTCCAGTTTCCCGACCAGGCCCAATTAGATCGTGTACAATTTTTTACCCAGCATCGACCAGACCCAGTGGTGTCCACTACGGTCAAAGCACTTCCCCCTAACACCCCGAAAGTACGCCGTTGCAAGAGTTATCAGCCGCCTTTCGGATAGCCTTTTTCCCTGAGTATTAAGGGGATGTGATTAAGAAAGGGAAAGGGTGTAAGAAAACAAACGGGCAAAAGAAAAAAGAAAAAACAGGCGGCGAGCTGGTATTGTTTGAGGCATCATGATACTGAGACAAGTCGTAGAAAGTAAAGGGGAGAGGTGAAAAGGGGCCGGTATTCCCGAGTTTATCGGAGCGAGAACCCCTTCCTCTTGGGCTCCTTCTCCAGAGGCCGGCCGCTCTCAATCCTCGACTTCTTCTCCTCGAGCTCGAGCCGTTGTCGCTCGAGTTGCTCCTTCATCTCCCGATGGCGGGCGTAGAGCTCCTCCTCGCTCTGCTTGAGCTTGGATTCCTTCTCTGACACCTTCTGTTGGAAGACCATCTTCATCTCGGCTTCCATCTTGGCCAGCTTCTGCTCGTGGAGGTTACGCTCCTCCTCCTGCTTGACGGCGGGGTTGACCTCCTTGAACACGCTGGGATCTTGAGAAACGCCCATAGCGATCAGCTTGTCGGTGCGGTAGTTCTCATAGAGGGTGTTGTTCGTGTGCTCCTTGAGCTCTTCCATGTGGGTGCGGATGAGCATCTGGCGAAGCTTGACGAAATCGCAGTGCTCCTCGTTATCGACCTCAATCACACCCCAAGGGTAGCTACGGCCGCGGACTTTACGCCCATCGGCATTGGTAACCTCGTTGTTGGCACCGACGACGGCGAAGGGGACCTTGGACATGATCTCGTTGTTCTCGGCGATCGTCTCGTCATCGTCGAGCTCGTACCGGGGACCCTCGAAGATCTGGACCTTGTGGTACTTGATATCCGCGAGGATCTGCAAGCAAAACAATTGTTAGCGCTGAGGGTGATACTGAGTGAGTATTGGCTAGCAAGAAAAACGTACCCTGGCCTTGAAGGCGGCGACCTCCTCGTCGGTGAGGGTATCGGCCTTGGCGATAACCGGGATCAGGTTGACCTTGGTGTGCAGGCGCTTCATGACCTCGATGTCCAGGGGCTTGAGCGAGTGGCCGGTGGGCTGGATGAAGAACACGCAGGCATGAATCCGGTTGTCCACAATGTTCATGCGGTTGACTTTGTTCTCGGCATCAAGGTAAGCATCGAAACGCTGCTCAATGTTATCAACAATGGGCCTCCACGACTCGTCGTTGTTAACAAAGTCGCCAAAGCCCGGGGTGTCAACAACGGTCAGACGCAGACGCACGCCAGCCTCCTCGATATCTGCGCTAATGGACTGAATAGTAACCGTCTTCGGGATGATATCAAGGCTGGGCTCCTTGCGCTCCTTCGGCGGGTAGAGCGAAGTGTTGAAGAGGGTGTTGACAAGAGTCGACTTTCCGAGGCCGGATTCACCTAGTGAGAGTCGGGATGTCAGATTCGGTGTCTGCTCCACACATTTCGGGGGGTTTCGAGAGCTTACCAACAACCATAACATTGAAGTTAAAGCCCTTCCGGACGCTCTTGCGGTGCCATTGGTTGGGCAAGTTGGCAAAGCCAACGTAGCCCGTCAACTTGCGGCGGACAATGTTCCTGTTGTCGCTCAAAGCTGGGGGAGCTGCGGCCACGAAGTCAGATGGAGTTTGGCGAGAAATCTCCGATCCAGATGACGAAGGCTTGATGTGCGGCACTGAGACCGCCATAGTAGGAGATGGGAAATCAGTGGGAATACCGTTTGCGGCTGTAAAAACAAGGTAAAAGTTAGCGTCATTGTATCCAAAACTCGAGATGGCCAAAAAGTAAATATTAGGTCCTGCTGCTGAGGGATGTGCGGAAGCTGACTCTGCACTGGTGCCTCCTTGACATCTTTCTTCGTCTCCAGAACGGGCTTTGGCGGATACAACTCCCCGTACGAGAGCGGCTTGGCCTGCGGCAGTTTGGGGGGTTTTGGAGCACGATCCACTTCCAGCATGCTCCGGTGGTGACGGATTGTCCCTGGGCTGTGGTGCTTGTTGATGGCCAAGGGTAAGCTCGTCGTGCGAACACCGGTCGGCGGCGGCGGTAGACGAGTTCCCGTGTCCCGGGAGACGCCGCGGTTATGGTTGTGACCGTAATCCGGAGGCGTTGACGCACCACTGCTGAGGTGCGAGCTCCGGGTGCGAACCCTGGCCGTGGCGTTTTGGACCATGGTAGTGAAATGCATCTTGGCGAATGGGCTGAAGTCGTAATCAAAAGGCCACCGATTATGCTCATCCAAGAAATGCGTTCCCGTAAAAAATTATGATGGACAGCCGGTTCGCTGTTTGCAACGGGAGAGCGTCGGCAGTGTTCAACCAACAAGCCGCGATATTGAGATCAAGCAGCGCCGAGGATGAAGCTAGAAAGCAGACCTGTGCCCTGCCGCACAACAATCCACTCTGGCGCAGCAACAGCTGGTGGGTTGTCGTAATCCGGATCGATCTTTCCCTTTCGTTTCATTCTGTCCTGGAGCAAGCGTCACGCGCAAAGAAAAAGAAGTGCAATGCTTACCCATTGTGACAGGTGCGGTGGCTGCAAGCCGAGGAAAGGAAGAAGGTTGCAGAAAAAGTCTGAGGGGAAGGTGCGTTAGTCAAAGTCCCACGATTTCGGTTCGAGTCGGCCAGCCAGGGCAGGATGTGTGTAAAGTGTGTATGTGCACTCAAAAAGGGAAAAATAGAGGAACAATTGGAACCCTCGAGGCCAAAAAACGGGGGATCAAAGCGAAGGAAGTTGCGTCTTTGTATGCGCTGGGTCGTGGAGGTTGCGTCAGTAGGAAGCTCTGGGCTCCCAACTCCGCGCAGCCATGCCCGAGCGCCAGGTAACATTGAACGACACAAATAGTGTAGACAAAACCTCAAAAGACATTCGCGTGTTCCTCGAGATGCGATGTCCCCTTCTATCGCGTCTGCGGTAATCGACCCGGCCATGGGGACTGGAATGTAGCAAAAACGTACCGGTTCGGGACCCGGGCGGGAAGGCTCGATGCAGTCGCGTATCGGACACGGGGCGCGATGGAGAAGGGGGAAGAAGAAAAAAAGGTGAACAGAGATGCCCTGGGCGGCGCTGTGAGGAATTAAGCCTGGCAGCACACAAAGGGGGCAGGAAAAGAGTGTTGAGAAGCGACGAAGACGTCGAAAAGGAGGATGCAAGGCGTGAAGGTGTCACGGTTCTTCGAAGGGGAAAAATTTAGGGTGCAACGAGCCGGCCAGGGAGATTAAGCTCTTCTCGCTGCTTCGAGCAAAAGGGGTTGCAGCACTGGGCAGCCGGGCACCCACGCTTTCGCGGAGAGTCGAGCGCAGGGGCCTGCTCGCGCCAGATTAGTGGCAGGGGTATGTGGACGACCCGAGGCTTTCATTGGCTGGTGCAGCTCGGTGGAGTCCCAATGGCTTGCTGGTCCCCAGACTGGGGCAGCAGACGAGCAGGCACTGGCAGGATCGCAACCTGAGGACGTAGATGAGAGGCTAGGGCAACAGAGAAAAGCACGAACCGTGTCAACTCCAACTGCTCTCGCTCCAACCAGACAGTTGGGGAGCTGCGGGCGGGATGTGGTCGGACCAATTACACCTACCCTGATCATCATGGCCGCATATCAAGAGAGGGCAGGTGGACAGACTTCTTTTCTCAACGCAACCGTAAAGCTCGAGCGGGCTAACTAATGGATACGAGCACTGGAGCACCACCCGACTCCCATCATCCCTCCGTCTCACTCTCACTTCTCCACGCCGGGTCCGAAAAATGCAGCAAGCCACCGGGCTGAGCCAGAACTTCAACATCGCTCCCATGATGGAGTCGGTTCCTCGCTCACCCCACAACTTTCACGAAAACAACATGGACTCCCGGAAGAGAACGTTAACGGTATGTCGTGCAGCCACTTTTTCTTAATCCCGGGCCGTCCACGCGCATCACCCTTGCCCTAATGGAAGTTGCTCGGCAATTATAGGCAGAAGCCGTATTCCGTTTTTAGAGTTCACGGGTGAAGCTCGAACCCGTGTTGTGCCCCAGTTATGCAGAATTAGGTAACTCAGCCTCCAGACGGATTCTGTTTCAATGTCATCTGTCATTCAACCTCACCTCAATTGGGCCTTGAAATGTTTCAACCTGGCTGCTTCCGTGCCGGCCGCGCCCTGCATGTTGAAACGGCGTGTCCCCTGCGGACGTCTGCAGCCAGCCAGCAATTTTGGCAAGGTCAACACAACGGTTAAGCAAACTAATAATTTCTGTGCTCCCGGTCCGTGTGCGATCGCCAGTTTGACAGGACGGCGACCAGCGGCTCTTGAAATTGCAGGAAGTTTCTCCATGTCCTGCGGACATTTCGGGGAGTCCGCGTGAAAGCGTGAACGCGCCGTTTTTTTTTCACCCAACATGCAACTTGATGTCTTGGGCTTTCCGTTGATACTCCGCGACATCAGCGAACTAGTGTAAGCTCTTAGAAAACACCACGCATCGGCCTCGCATGCAGGACCAAAACCGACAAGCGCCACCGCGCTGATTGGTCCTTTGATCCCATTGAGATCAAGCCGAGGGCCATGTGAGCTGACAAGTATATTTTTACAAGAAATACAGAACTACCCTTCGATTCGGACTCACAACTTCCTTACTGCACCACCTGATCCATTGGTCTCGAAAAGGGGTTCCGAAAAAGAGACCGCGTTGTTGCAACCGATGGCATGCTCATCCGAATGGCAGCTGGCAAAAGCATCGTTCGTCGGAATGTCATGTGGCAGCCTTTCGTCAGTGGGCCCCACAGCTTCGTGCCCCTGTCAATCACAGCCCAATGAATTCAAGCTCTGGACCTCCAGGGCTTGGCAATCCGATGCCCCGCCTCCCCTCCTCAACAACAACTGATGATGTAACGCGCGCCCGCTGAGGCCCAGTTTGGCCTCACTTTTTTTTTTTTTTTTTATCAACAGCTTTTCTCCCGCAAAATTCGTGTTTTTGAGGCGACACGCAGCAAGATTTCTGCCGGTCAACGCCACGTATTTGTCCCATAATTGCTAGTTCATCCAATTGACCACCACTTTAGCCATGCCCGCTCATTTCACTACCCGAGCACCTCGTAGCCGCCAATAACAGAAAACAGTGAATTGTTCGCCAATTTACCCTGTTATCTCGAGGAGCTAGGCCTACTGATCCCCTTTCCGGTGAGGCGGCATAATGGCTTCGTATTCGAGGAACATAGCACGCCTCAATCAACTAAAACTCTCCAACGGGGCTTCCAAACATGCCAACTTCCCCACGCCCCGGGCTCGGCCACAACTCAACAATGGCCCGGCTTTTTTTTGCAGCCCGCAAGTCCCTCGGCGCGGCTTCATCCTCTCGCCTCGGCGTCACCGGGCGAAAGAGCGCGCCACCAAGATCATATCGGTGACGCTCACCAGCGCGTTGCTTGCCCTCTGGCTATACCCGGCTGATGCCTTGCAGCAGCAAACCGTGCCCGGGACCGGGCCGCAGTTAACGGCCACCGCCTCTAGCGCGGGGTCCGATCTGGCCAAGCACGACGACAAAGTCACCTCTATCCCGAGCAAGACGGGTGAAGGGAAAGAAGGCGGAGAGGACCAAAGCGCGTGGGACAAGTTCACCCGAAGCTTTAGCTCCCTCTCGTTTGTCCCTTCTACAGACGGGCTGTCAGAAAAGGTGGTCGGGATGATCATGCCAGAGTGGGCCAAATACATACCCGGCTACGTCCGGAAGCTCCAGCGAGAGCTGAATATGGCCCCGGGCTCTCTCGCGGCCGAGATCTGGGCCGACGCCAGGGACCCCTTCACACACCCAGAGATTGAATACGCGGCCAAGGTGCGGGTGTCGGGAGAACTATGCGACGAGGAGAAGACGTTTCTGGACCGACGGCGGAAAATGATTGTGCCTGCGTTGGCCCGGTTTCTAGGGGTTGACGAGAAAGACATCCACCCCGACGACATCCCCACGATCGCCATGTGCGGTTCAGGTGGTGGGCTGAGGGCGTTGGTGGCAGGTACAGGCTCGTTCCTCGCCACGGCTGAGGACGGGTTGTTTGACTGCGCAACCTACATCTCGGGAGTCAGCGGGTCGTGCTGGCTGCAGTCGCTCTACTACTCCTCTGTTACGGGAGCCAACTTCCAAAACGGCATTAACCATTTGAAAGCGCGGCTCGGTACCCACATCGCCTACCCGCCGGTGGCCTTCACAGCACTGACATCGTCGCCCACGAACAAATACTTGCTGAGCGGGTTGGTGGAAAAGCTCAAGGGCGACCCCACGTCCCAAGTTGGTCTCGTCGACGTCTACGGGATGCTCTTGGCGGCCAGGCTGTTGATACCCAAAGGCGAGTTGGGTGTCAACGAGAAAGACTTCAAGCTGTCGAACCAGCGGGAATACATGAAGTACGGGCAGAACCCGCTTCCCATCTACACCGCTGTGCGACACGAGATCCCGGAGCTCGATTCGCCCGATTACGGCGGCCCGGGGTCGCTCACCGAAGAAGCCAAGGACAGAGCCAAGCGGGAAGCGTGGTTCCAGTGGTTTGAAACGACCCCGTATGAGTTCTTTTGCGAGGAGTTCTCCGCCGGCATTCCGACCTGGGCCTTGGGCCGCAAGTTCAAGAATGGCGCCGACGTGCCCTCGGAGTCGGGGTTTCGCCTACCTGAGACCCGCATGCCCATCCACTTGGGTATCTGGGGAAGCGCTTTCTGTGCTACGTTAAGCCACTACTACCGGGAGATCCGGCCAATTGTCCAAAGTCTGACTGGCTTCCAATCGGTGGACGACCTCATCTGGGGCTACAACAAGGATCTCATCAAGGTGCACCCGATCGAGCCAGCGAACGTCCCCAATTTTGTCCACGGCATGTACGGCCAGCTACCCGGCACCGTGCCCCAGGGTGTCTACGACAGCGAGTACCTCCAGCTCATGGACGCGGGCATGTCCAACAACCTCCCGATCTACCCTTTACTCCGTCCCGGCCGGAACGTGGATATCGTCGTAGCGTTTGACGCCTCGGCGGATATCAAGACCGACAACTGGCTCTCCGTGGTCGAAGGTTACGCCCGCCAGCGCAACATCAAAGGCTGGCCGGTCGGCGCAGGCTGGCCTAAGCCCGAGTCCTCACCCTCCGTCACTGCCTCAGAACTTGAAAAAGCCCAGGCCCACTCCGCCGGCGAAGCCGAACACAAAATCGCCCAAGCCAAAGCCAAGCAAGCGGCATCCGAACACACTGACTCTTCCCAACCCGACAACTCCAAAAACCCCCAACCCATCCCCGATCAACCCCCTCCAACCCCGCCCGGTGGCCGTCCCATCCACCCGGAAACCAAATCCTCTCAACAACCCTCCAGCCTCGGCTACTGCACCGTCTGGGTCGGCACCACACAAGAACGATCCACGACCGAACCACCACCCCCGCCCGTCGACGATACCAGCACCTGGCGCCTGATGGACCCCCACGCGGGCATCACCGTGGTCTACCTCCCGCTACTAGCGAACGAGAAAGCCGTGCCGGGCGTCGACGTTGCGGCAAGCGAGTACATGAGCACGTGGAATTTCGTGTACCGGCCGGAGCAGATCGATGAAGTGATTGCGCTGGCGCGGGCGAATTATGCCGAGGGCAAGGAACGGATACGGGCGACGGTGCGGGCGGTGTATGAGCGGAAGCGGAAGGGGAGGGTGGAGAGGGAAGGATGGGAAAGGGGGGAGAAGTGGAGGCGGAAGATGAAGCGGGAGGGGGATCCTTTTAGTTAGGGGTGTAAGGGAAAGGATGAAATGAAAGGGATGAGGTCGGGAAGTGTAGAGACGGGGGAGTGTGTGAGAGATACCCAGAGATGTATGATGGATGTGTTGGGCTTTGCATGTTGGTTGGAAATGTCAAGCTTTGGTTTAATGTAAACACCCGAGACAAACTACAATTCCATGTTATATATTGTATAGTAAATGACGACACGCCATTCCAAGACCAAAAAATTCAACACTAAACTTCATCTAGAACTCGATGCTTTCATAATATGCTGTTTTACGTATAATTCATGCTCAACGTAACAAAACAAAATATAATATAATTACACATACAACTACTACACCCGCCCGACACGGCCGACAAATCGCCACAGACAGCCGTTGTCCCCCTTTTCCCATCCATACCCCCCTTTCTCGCAAAAACCTTCCTCCCAGTGATGATTCCCCGCAACTTGCTATGCACGCACGCCTGGACGTAATGCGTTGGGTCTTGTTCTCTTTTTTTCTTCTTCCTCATAATGTACAAAGAGTCCCTACACCACTACCACGCCACACATTTGTGTACACAACATAACTCGTTGTCTATGTCTCGCTTGCCATCTCTTCTCTGGTCATGTCCTCATCAATGACACAGCATATAAGGTAAGCGGCGAGGCACGCCGACTATCCTCCCTCCTTTCTTTTTCCCGTCCGAAAAGTAGAGAGACGTCAGAGTAAAATCGACAACAATTCCACAACCAACAAACCCCCCCTTTTCCCAACATTATACACATCCAACCCACAGCCGATGCCCGATGCCTTGGCCTTTGCCATGCATGCCATGCCATGCCTGGCCATCCCTTGCCATCCCGTTTCCATTGAGATAGTCGTCCCTCTTACCGGCTGATAATCTCACCAATATCAATATACGCCGGCTCCCACGGTTTCGCCCCCTCAGTAAGCATCTCGCTAGGCAACCGGGTATCCTCGCCAGGACTGTACAAATACCAGCTCTTCAGCGCATTCATAGCAGCCTGGTGGCGGGCAGAGTTGAGATTAGCCGCCTGGCCCTCGCCGAGCTTGTCCTTCCCCGAAAAGATACCGACGACGAAGACAGGGGTGCGGGACGCGCGGCCCGTCTCAGACAACAACCGGGCCACGGGCGGTTCGAACTCCTCGCGCGCGCAGAGCAGCGACAGCTCCCGCGTGGGTTTCTTGAAGGCGAAGAGGTAGGTCATGTTGAGGGTGCGGCTGAGGATGTGGGCCTTGATGAAGGAAGCCGCGGCCTCGCGGCCGGCGTGGGCGTACAGGGCGCCCGTGATGGCGCGCGTGCAATTGGCAAAGGCGCGCTCGGCCAGCGCGCGGGTATACTCGTTGCCCCACTCCGTGTTGGCGCGGGCCATCAGTTCGGCTCTGGAGTCCTCGACGTCGATCATGTCGCCGAAGTCGTCGTCGAAGACGACACGGCTGCTTAGGCCGTGGCGCCAGCGGAGTTTTTGGACGGCCTTGGACTCGGTGCGGCGATATCCGAAGGCGGTGATGGAGTCGCCCACGCGCTGCTGGGAGAACTGTAGCAGGCCTGGGTCGACTTCGCCGCCGGGTGCTGCGGCGTGCTCGATACCCCATGATCGGGCAACCTGGTGTAGGGTTGCCGGCCCGGCGTAGCCCCTCATGGCCGCATACATGATATCCATGGGTAGGCGCGGGTAGCGGCACATCAGCCACTCGGCGACGTGGTAGTGGATGAGGGACTGGCCGACAAAGGCCAGATTGGTGTTGTTGAAGCGAGCGTCTTCGTCGGCTGAGGCGTCGACGAGTGCGCGGGCTAGCGTCTGCAGCGGTAGGCGTTCCGGTAGGGACAGACGTGCGTGGAGAGCGGCTAGTTTGGCGGACTGGAGTGCCCGCTCGGGCGGTGGCGATGGCAAGGTCGTGGCTTTCTCGGGAAGTTCCTCCAGCGGGGGGAACCGCTCATGATCTGTCCCGTCATCCTCCTCGTACAACTTGTATTGTTCGTAAGGGCCGTCGGATTCTAGCGTTGTCGGATTCCCTTGCCAGACCGAGGTGTTCTGAAGTGTCGACTGGTACCGTACGGCGGTGCATCGGGGGGATATCGTGGCTACTGATACCCCTGGTCTTGTCGTCCCTGCTCCTGCTGGTACTGCTGTAGGTAACCTGCGTAGAGCAGACCGTGGCATGGAGGTCGAGCCCAGGGCGCTACCGGCCCGGGTGAGCGGCAATTGGCCGGTCCATCGGTCGAACCGTAACCTCTTCATGGTCGGGGGTCTGGAAGAGGAGGGGCTGGAGGGGGGAACGAGGGGAACAAGGGACCGGAAGTGTCGTGGCTTTTGGTGGGAGAAGTCCCCTGTTGCGGGACCGTCGGACCCGACCGTCAGCAGATATGTCGGGTCTGCGGCGAGTGACGGCGGCGGCGGAGGTCGTTTGTAGTGGTCGCAGTGGTGTTGGGGTTCGTGGTGTGGCGGTCGCGTGTGGTCCCGGGTTCGTCAAAAAAGACGACGAAAAAAGTTCTCCCGCACTTGCAAGCAGCTCCCCCGGCCCTGCAACGCCCGGCCAAGCCATTGGGCGACAGGGGGTATTCACATGGTGGGTTGCTGACATAATGAATGTCTTGGCGTGATTTTGTGCGGGACGGAAGTGCGGTTTTCGACCCCCACTCCAGGTTGTTCTGCGGGTATTCCCAGCCAGCCCGCGATTGGAGATTGACTTCGACATCTTCGCGCCCATTTCCGAGTCCAACACTCGATCCCTAACCACAGTCAACCCAAGTCTCGCAAACTGCTAGGTCACAATGGTATGCTCCTCCTGTGCGCTGTAATCTGAGTTTCTAAACTGACAATTCCATTTTAATTGTAGGGCGGTGGACCGAAGATCCCGTGAGTACCTTCCTCACCACTCTTCTCAACCCGACCTCGATCTCGACAACACCCGTCCGGAGAACCCTCCCCTCCCAGAACTCCACCCCAGCGAGTCTCGACCCCGTCCTAACCGATATATCCTCCTCCGAATAGGTACCCCAAGCACGTCTGGTCGCCGTCTGGCGGTTGGTACGCGCAACCGGCCAACTGGAAGCGGAACACGGCCATTGCCATTGCTTGCATGTTCGGCATCACTGCCTGTGTATGGAAGATCAGCGCCGAGTTGGAGTACCGCCCCAGGATGCCCGAGCCGGATCGGTTCTACCCCAGCCGATAGTACGTTTCATCTCTTCCAACCCCCAAACCCATCCAGCAAGGTCTCGAGAGCAAGAAAGAGCTGACCGCGGCATCTTAAACGTATTACAGCTGGAGCAGGCAAATCATTGAGTACGAGCGCGAGCAGAAGGCGAAGGCGGAAGCTGCGAAGAGGGAAGCGGAGGCGAAGGCTCAGCAGCAGCAACAGCAGTAGTCGTTGCGGCCGAGATTGGGCCGGGAAGGGCTGTGTGCCGGGCTGGACTGTACATGATGAATTAAACAAGATTCCCCACTTTGGAAAGCTCCTCGGACCCCAGAAGTGTTCCCAATTCCTCGGATATCCGGTTTCCGTCACAGTGTAATGTTGTTTGGCCGGGAAGACACCGGAAAGGTTCATTGCAGGCCGGAGTCCCCAAGTACGGACTGCCATAAGCGGGGAAGCCCACATTCGCCATGTTCTAGTCCCATTTTAGGCGAAGAGAGATTGAGTTACTCGTCCGGACCTAGTGGTGTACTTTGTTTTTAGGACTGGCATTGAGCAGACGTGGTACTTCTAGTTCATGTTGCCTTTTGCGCTTCAGGGTAAAGTTAAACACTATGTAAGCGGTCAGTGATGTGGCTAGCAAAATCCAATTTTGGAAGGAATATTCGTTTCTTCGGACGAAAATTAAAGGCAACTTGGAATGCAACAGAAATTCCTGAAAAAGTAAGAGGGCAACAAAGGCCGAATTCGAATCTGGGACGTTTGCTTGTATGAGACATGAGACGCCAAGACATTAATATTATTTTAGTTCTGAGATGTAAGAACGCAACTCAAACTTCTCGCAAACATTTAAAGATAATCAGGACACCGATCCCTGGTGATAATTATTCCCAAATTTACCCACCTCAACATATTTACACCTTAATCTTAATTTTACTCAACTCGTCTCCTACTCTTGAGCCCCCCACCTAAACCACTCTAACTATTCAAGATACCAATGCCAGCTTCACCTTCAATACCCGTGAGTGCTTTACCAAAACCCACATCATCCTTCCACTCATTAACCCCATCCATCCAGACCCCTCAAACCCGCACCCGCGTCCGCGACAACCAGCGCCGCTCCCGCGCCCGCAAAAAAGAGTATATCCACCAGCTCGAAGCGCAAGTCCGCGCCGCCGAGCAACGCCGCGTGCTGGCCACGGTCGAGGTGCAAACTGCGGCCCGCCGCGTGGTCGAAGAGAACAGGCGGCTGCGCGAGTTGTTGCGGTATCATGGGGTTAGTGAGAGGAGTATTGAGGGGCATTTAGCTAGTGGTGGTGGTAATGATGGTGATCGAAATGTGGTGAGGAAGTTGGAGGGGTTGTTGAATCCTGTGGAGGGGGTGAGTCCGTCGGGGCGGTCATGCGCGTGCACGAGTGGGTTGGTATCGCCGACGGGTTCTGTTCCGACCGTCTCGGGATTGTCGACAGGGACGTTGTCTCGGTTATCAAGCCCCAAGCTGGATGTGAAGAACGGAAAGAATAATAACGACAACAACAACTGTTCCATGGCGGCAGATCTGTAAGTGCCTGTTTCGCTCACATTATCCCCTCACAACATCTCCAGCACCACACTCACACTCACGCCTCATTAGAATATCAACAATGACAGGCGCCAACCCCCACGACGTCCGTACATCACTAGGTTGTACGCCCGGGACAGAATGTCACGTCGATGACGCCCGGATAGGAGACGCGATAGAGCACCTCACGAGTCCAGGGGAGTGAGTAAGCTGCTGTGTGTTACAGTATCTGATTGTCCTGGCTGGGATCTGGCGTCTGAGGGATACCACACACACATACACACACACAGACACACACAGACACACATATCACGGGATGGACGAAGAAGAACGATGAAAAAACCATACTTGATGCGAGCTAGCTACCTGGGTAACACCCCCAATTTCCGTGTCCCCTAAACGCCCCTAAAAACACCATTTCGCCTAATTCATCATGTCATTGCACTGAACAGACCAAACACTCCCACGGACGTCATCCAGCAGCTCTTAACAGAATAACACAACCAAGTCCTTCGGCTCGGCTCGACCACTCACAAAAAGTAGTCCGCCACCGGTTTCTTCGCCGGCATCCCCCTCGAGTCCTGCGGCGCGGCCTGGAACACACGATACCGCCTCGCCGGCCCCGGCCGAATCGGCAACTCACTGGTATCGACCACACCACCCGACCAATTCCCACTGCTGCTACTCCCACCAAGACCGCTACTGCTCCCACCATCCCCCAGACTCCTGCCCATATCCCCATTACTCCTCGCCAACACCCCCAACCCAGACTCATCCTCCGACAACTCCAACAACGCCGCCACATTCCCACAGCGATAACAATAATTCGGCGCCGACCACACCGTCACAATGCTAGCATCAAACATCTCCTTGAAGCCTTCCATGACCAGCTGGTGCGCGCGCGCAATAAGGCTGAGGTCGTTGCGGTGGTTGAACGTGCGGACAATATCCGCGCCGAACAGGAACCCCGCGCCCCGCGGCGACAGACCCCAACCGTCTATCTCGTCTGGGTCGGACCAGAGCAGATCGCACATGGCGCCCTCATGAGGCACCTCTTGCTTGCGGTCGAGGAGGCGGATCTTATCGACCTTATCGATGAGCGGGGAGAGGCCGCCGTGTACGCAGAGCACCGCGCCCGCGGGGTTGCCGAGGGAGCCGCCGGAGGAGGAGGATGCGCTGGAGCCTGGGGGCCCCGTGAGGGCTGTTGTGGAGGTTGGGTCGGAGGGGTTGTTGTTGTTCGTGTTCTTGTTACTGCTGGCAGAAGGGGAGGAGGTCGGGGAAGAAGAAACACCGTTGGTGATGGGGTGTTGACCGTTTGCAGCGGATGCCGAACCGGACGTGGCCGTCGAGTTGATGCGCCCGCGGTCTAGATCCTTCTGGCGTAGGAATCGCGAAATAACCTGACCATCCGAATTGTGTACCTCTATCTCAACATCGTCCGGCGCTGGCTCTGGTAGCGTGTTGGACGCGCCTAGCACGATAGCGCCAAGCGCAAGGTAGTCAAAGACATCGCAGCAGTACCGCCACACGTTTGCGCTGCCATATTTCCGCAAACATTCGTCGTAGAAGCCGTACACAGTCGTGATTTGTCGTGACTCGTGGTTGCCGCGGATAAGGGTCATGCGGTCAGGGTACCGCACCTTGAGGCAGAGGAGGAGGAGGAAGGTCTCGAGCGAGTAGAAGCCGCGGTCGACAAAGTCGCCTGTACCAGTCAGTCAGCCAGAATAGAGTATAACATAATCCAACCCCAATGCGCCCGAGGGACTTGGTATCCTGGCGTAACATACCCATGAAGAGATAATTTGTATCCGGCACATCACCCCCGACACGGAATAACTCCATCAAGTCGTGAAACTGTCCGTGGATATCACCGCATATCTGCCGCAAAGACACCATGTCAGCCAGCCAATTTCCCAAACCGGGCTTCATTACCCACACTCGTCCCCCGACTTCCCAATCCTCCTCTTCTTCATCCTCCCTCCCCATCCCAGCCCCATCCACCCCTCAAAACAAGCAGAACTATCCACTCACTGTCACCGGCGCATTGACCGTCACCACATTGCCCTCTTCAATCAACAGCTCCCGCGCCTTGTGGCACAGCTCGCGGACCTCGGCCTCGGGAATCGGTCGGCACGCTCGCAACTGCGTGATGGCTCTACAGAAGAGAGAAAGAGGCAAGATCGGTTAGTTAGCTGGCTTAAAACCCGGTATTTTATAAAGAGGAATTTTGGTTTGGGGGTATGGGCTAGGCAAGGGAAAACTCACCGGTCGAGATCACTCATCCTCGCAGCGAACAGCGAACAGCGCGGAGCTCGCTAACCTACCGAGCTAGCGAGCTGGCTCGCTGACCGACTAACTAACCAACTGACTCCCTAACCAGTTACGTTTTTTTGGCAACCGCGCGCGCGTTCGCCGCGACGGAAAGTGCGTCGATTTGAAAGCTTCCTCTCCCAAGCTCGTCGGATAAGATAAGATACGATCGGAGGAGAGATTAGATCGTGATTGGAAGAAATCGGGCGACGACAAGTAATGGCGTCGGTGGCGGTTCTAGCGATTTCAATGTATCGGGACACGGGAGAGACGGAATGCGGTGCGCGCGGCGAGTCGCGCAGCTTTCGTGGGGTAGTTGGTCGATCCGGAGGAAGTTCCGGGAATTCTCACGAGGAGCAAGACGCGGGCGAAGGACAAAGTCGAGGAAGAGGTCCAACGAGGGTGCAATGTGATGCAAAGAGGAAAACCGAGCACAAAAAATGTCTCTTCAACTCGTTCAGAATCGTTCCACACCGGAGGATGCACAAAATCGGGGGGGTTGAAGCTGTAGTATTAAAAGGTGAAAAAATAGTTACCGGCGAAATCGAAGGCGGGACAAGATGGCTCAATGGGCGTTTCCTGGTCGCGCGATCCATCGTCCCGGCTAGGCCATGTGGACCGTGCGAGGAGGAGCATGGGATCGCGCAGCCGTTGTACAACCCTAACCCTCCAATATGCAGCTTGTGAAGTTGCCTGAGACCTGCATCTCGCGCTTTGCCAAAACCTCATGAGGAATGGAGGAAGATGTCGTCATTGCAGGAGCAGGCATAACACAAAAAATATTCAATCAAGATTCCTAGCCGGTAAGAGGAAGCTCCGCACAGAGTTGACATGTGACCACTTGAAGCACGCTGAATATCGAATATCATTAATACTAAAACTATACGGATACGACGCGTTTAAATTCGCCAGATGATATCTGTTCGCTTGACGATCCCTCCCAAAGACAAAGTCGAATCGACATGATCAAGATGAGCCAGCAAACACTGACTCGGAATCCCGCTGATATCTCCAAAAACGAATCAATTCACAAAGTGCCGTTGTGGCCCCCCTGACGCCGCGGTTTTGCTGTCCAACTTCTGTCCTGGTATCAAAGGCATAAATCAACCCAAGAACGCCGAGCCTCGGGCATTCCTGCCCTGTTTTTCTTTTGCGTCGAGTGTGACGACTTTTCCTTCGCGATAGAGACGCAGGCTTGGCGAGTAAGCGCCGGGAACATCGAAGTCACCGGGTAGCGCCGAGTTACATTCTGTCAAGCCGAGCGGAATCGAAGGTTTGGGTAGTCTCAACCGGCCACGGGAGACGATGTCTTCCTCCTCGAAGGCGGAGGTGCATGTAGCACGGGTGCGTCGACCGCGCCACTGTTCCCGAATGCGACAACCCCTACCGCTTCACGCATGGGGTTGTTGGCTGGGCCGTCTTCCGACACGGGCGTTTCTGCCGGCGTCAGCGGGTAACAGTGGCGCGTCAAGGCGTCGCCCGAGCTTGCGGACCGTTTATGCGCATCTCCATTTCTGGAGGTTGATGGGGTCACTGCTTGCCTCGCAGCACGCCGCATGTCGCTAATGGCGTCGGCAATGAGTGCAGGGTGCCACAGGGGCAGAATTCGGTAGCCTAGGTCCGCCATAATGCATCTTTCCGTGACATTAAGCTGGCCACACGTCCAGAGGCTTTTCCCCCATTCTGTCCGATAGTATTGTGTCCTCTCATACTTGTCGTCTTGGAACTTGAAGGCGATGACGAGGGCCCCTAAAACAATCACTTCCGGGTTGACTGAGTCGATATGCAGTTGTGCCGTGGGGAACGAGCTGGCTTGGATTGTGTGTCGTTTCGTGCTTCCACTAGTAGGCTCATGTTGCGCCAACGGGCACGCCAGCCGCCAGTTCAGAGCGAACTTGGAGCTGAGCGAGTCAAGTATACACACGGCCAGGGCAACGATGTCTGTGGGCAACTCAGCGCGAACCAGCATCTCGTGCACCAAAGCGACGGAGGGGGCCGAAAGGGATGCTGCGGGGGGGATGAGGTTGACCAGGTGAATCGCTGGGCCTGTTTTGTTTCTGTTAGTGAGGGCTCCAAACATCAACGGAATCGATAACGTAAAATTGCATCTTTTTTTTTTTTGTTTTGGGGTTTGTTTTCTTGTGAAATGAAGAAAAAAATTAGAGAAGGGTGTCTGTTTACGTACCTAACAACGCCGAGTCGAGAAGGCCCCCATCTTCCAGGAGGGTACGGGAGTTCGAGCCGTTGTTTGCTTCCCGAGACGAAGGAGGGGGCGTGGGGAGGTTGGAGAGAGGTTGGTAGGTGCGAGAGAAGTACTCTTCGTCGAATTCATACTCGTCGTCGGAGTAGTCCGGTGACTGCGTGGCCATAGCTGCGGACTTCATGGTGGGGGTTGTGGTGATAAGTAAAATAAATGGTGTGGTGGATATCGTCTTTCCGTTCAGGGAGCGAGAGCTCGAGGCCGTCGGTTGCCAGTGCGTCCAACAAGCAACAAATCAGTGAAGTAAGCCGGGAAGCTGCTCATGTCGATGAGGAAGCGGCCGATGAGTGTCAAAAGAGAGGCCGCCGAGAACACCAGCCGCGCCGACAACTTTTCCTCCTCTTCTTTCCTTTTCGGCCTTGTCCACTTATTTGTTTGGAAGAAACCCAGCACAGTGCCGCCCAAAGGCTGAAAACAAGAGTCCGGTCCAACCTGGGACGAACACGAGGTTGCGATTAACACGCAGCTCCCGAAGCGTGCAGGGTCAAAAACTGCGGTGTGGATAGGCGGACGAGCGTCGAAATACGAAGGGTGAAAGGAGGGAAGCACCGCCGTTTTTGTATTGTTGATGAAAGAGAGAGGGAGAGGCCACTCAGGCTTGTGCACCCTTCATAACTATAAATTTCAATGAGAGCATGAGAGGAAGTTAAAAACGGCGGAGAGGAATTGGATCGAGGCTATGTCTCGGTGGCTCTCGTCAGATGCTTGCTGAGAAGGTGGGCCGCGGATGCCAAGCAACCAGGGGTTGAGTGCGAGATCGATGGATTTGCGGTGTCGATAAAAGTTGCCGAACCGGCCCTTGCCCGAATCGATGGCCGCTCCCGTGGGCTCCGCTTTAGGAAAAGTCGGGCTGGTTGAGAATAATAGCAAGAGCTCTAAAAAGGAAGTCACTACTATGTAGACATTGGAAGGTCCCCTCAGAGAGGAAGGAAGGTGCAAGCCAGTGTAGCTAGCCGGGGCGAGTCCTGCCATTTTTATATGACAGGCACGCGATCACCCATTGACCAGCAACTTCGCAGAGCAAGTCCAAACAAGCAGCATGTCTGCGGTTGCGGAGATCATCCCCTGTTCTCCACGCACATCCCGGTGCACTGAGCTGGCGCAGCCACCACCACAGGGCAAAGAACCGAGCCAGCCCCAGCAAGCCCCCGCGGGCCGGACTGTGAGTGAGAAGAGAAGAAGTCCAGTTGGCGGTCGGTCAGTCGGCCGCCGACCGATGAACCCTGCGACCCTGAAGTCAGGCCTGACCCCAAACGCACACGGTCGGCGGGCCCATGTGGGCTACCACGGACAGACGACAACACTGTACGGAGCTGCGGGCACCCGCTCGCTGCCAACAATTCGATCAGCCCAGGACCGGACACAAGGAACTCGCAATGGACCACGTTACCGGTGGCTACATGGCACCATCAGGTGGGCTGCTCGCTGGCTAAAGTTCAGAGCCGACGGACACGCAATCTGGATGAAAGCGCCACCCGGAAACAAGCACTTTGGCGCATTTCTTTTTGTTTCGGAAGAGTTGGTGGGGCCGACGTGTGTATTCCATGTTGTTGGAGAGCAACAAGCCGCGGCGGCGCCAGGCCTGGATTTTAAGGGAACGGAAGGGTGGGGGGCACAGATGGTACCGTGTCAATCGGGTGCTTTCCAGTTGCACTGATGACATTCCGGGTTGACATGCACCACCAGCTTGTCACGGCTGTTACTAGCATGCACAAGAAGCTAAGTATAGCAGTGTAGGCAAACTCTCATCTTCCTGCTTATAGCAGATTCGTTTTCCCTCTTGGGATCTGTTTGTTTTACTCTTGAAGCCTTCATCGTAGTCTCAATTTGTTCATGAGATCGATCGAGGCGGTCAACACTCAATAACAGAAGCGCTGGACCCCCTCAAGACACTATGAGCCCCACCTACACACCATTTTATTAGCAAGAGAGAGAAAAGACGGGAGTAGCGTCGCATGCAAGCCCCTTTTTCTGGCCTCGCGCTGCATTCTCCCCACGACAAATGACAGCCCGGAGCTTCGTTTGTCGCGTCGGTCTTGGTTAAAGAGGAAATAATAATAATAATTTTAACGCCCACCCACGCCGCGCAAGTCGATCCACTGCAGCGTTGCGCTGCTGCGCACTCCCCCAGGTCGGAGCCAAGGTCGGTAACCCGTATTCCCGCGCACTCTCCACAAATAACACCGGTGGTTTCCGCGGCTGGGTCCGAGCCCGAGCTGCAAGACACACGATATTTGCTCGTGGCTTTGTGGTGTTGGTCCTTTGGAACGAATTATTGGAGATCTGCGACCTGCATCGTCCCCTAGTCACCTTTTCGGTTCTTGGCCTTCCAGGTACAGATACAGAAAAATAGGCCAGCACCGACGATCAATCTCGTATTATTATGTGAGCGATGTTGACATCTCCAGAAGCCGTTCTAGGTCGTCTACCGGGTCGAGATCTCGTTGGCTTTTGCGGACGAGTCTGGGCGGGGACGATCCCGACCGCCAATCCATCCTGCAGATGACGTTTAGACGGTCCGGGATTGCAAAGAGAGACATCAGGGTGTCTGTTGTCGAGTCTAGAATTCGGCTCTGGGGAAGCCCCTCATGCCCCCGGGCTGGCTGGTATTCATCAGACAGGAGCACAATTACCACCCACACGAAGACGGCACAGAAGCGGGAAAACATGCACTTTAAATTGCTTCCAGCACTTTACGATCACCGGTCTCCCGCGCTCCCGTCATCACAGGATGGCATGCAAACCGCTCCGGTTTCCGGCCGGGGTGCATATATCCCCCTCACGCGCAAAAATAAAAAATGGAGGAGGGTTCGTCACGGCTCTTCTTGCGGGCAGTCGGGGCGGCCTAGCTTCGAAATGCCTTCTCCCGCAAAGTGCCGTGGCGGCCACGGCATCGACCATATGAGAAAATTAAGACGGAGTTCCTGGTGGCCGCAACCTCTTTCTTGCTCTCTGCAAGGCTAAAGCGAACGAATCGGCACCTCCACTTCCCTTTGTGCCCGTGCCGCAACTTTCTTCCGCTTATTCCACACAGGCTTCACTGAAGTCGATTCCCTCGTGGCTCCTGGGAACTGTGCCGCTGAGGCTCTGTACCAAGGCTCGGCCGGCTGCAGGCTGACGGCTGCTTTCCGACGACCGCCTTCAATGAAGCTTACTACAAGATAAGTTATGTACTATGTAGGAAGCTCGGAAGGCGGTGCTTGAATAGCTGTTGTCCGAATCGGCCAGCTAAGAAGAGCTGTGACTTATTGAGAATCCGAGGAGTGATCGCCTTGTCTTACACAGTAGTTACTCGTAGCTCGGTCGGTATCTACATAACCTCCGAGTACCGAGAGCGTCCAAATCCGGCCGAGGTGAGTACGGAGTCTACGGACTCCTCGGTCTCGTACCGTGTAAGTGGCGGAGTGGGCCGCGCTCCCGAGTTGGCCGTTCAAAGTTCAAGGGACCCAGGACTTGTCAAAAGCTTAACACCGGTTTTGTTTAGTGGGACCGAGTACATCACTTCGTACCCAAGGTACCGCAGCACCTTTTATTCATGGTAGGAATCCTTTGATATGACCCCAGCAAAGATCCCGGCCGAATGTCGAAAAGGGCGAGTCAGCAACTCAGCAACCCTAACCCTTCTTTACCCCTTTCTTGGATCCATCACGACCCAGGTTCACTTGGGAGAACGAGATAATGGTTTGTTAAAATTACAAAAAAGGGAAACCAAATGATACTTTTCTCTTCCCGGTCCATTACTTCAACTGTCTCCTGCAAAAGTACAAGCATAGTCTCAGCTTACGCCAAACTGCGGCCTAACCCTCCCTAGTCCGTTCACATGTGGAATCAATACACGGGAGTTGAGGCCTCTCTACCTGAGAGTCCGAAAAGAACCCACCAAACCCCTCCCAAATCCAAGTTTATCCCCGTAACCAGCCCTCCACACCCCAACGGCTTTATCCACTAACCTTTCCACCCGTCCATCCCTTCCTCGCTATCCCATCCTCCAATAACCCGAACAGCCAACAAGAAATCGAGAAAGCTAAAGATAGGCACAGCAATGCGTGTTTCAGGATGGAATCGATCCCGGCATTTTTCCAGAGTCCATGGGGATCGTAAGGAGAGAGAGAATCGAACCCGGCTCAACACACGTGCCCATTGTTTCCAACTTCTTTTTCTTGCCTCCCTGATTAGTTACGTAGTATCAATTTTCCTGAATGTGATAGCCAGACACAAGCCGAGAAACAATTGATCGTCAGGCACCATTACCTGTACCTATTCCCCTTTCTCACCCTGCCTCCCTACCTCGCTGCACACGGCACTACACTGCAAAAACCAGGACCACCCCTGACTCAACACCCAACCTCCATCTAGTGTAAGTGGGCCGATAACAATGCGTGTTTATGCCTCTCTCCCTTCCAAGTCCCCCTCCCTCCCGTCAATCCCGTCAATCCCGTATATTCCGTATATTCCGTTCGTATTGTACATACACTGTGTCTGCGCGTCCATCCACGTCACACTTCCCACTTTGATATGCCGGCGGGGCCCGAGAACTTTCTCGCCTACTCCTCGCGGGCTTGGAGTTGGCCACTCTATCATACGTCGTTTTGTCGTGCAGCAGCGGTCTACTAAATAATGGTGGGAGTGAAGTTTAGCTGAGGTGAGAAAAAGGGAATGAGGCAGTTAAGTTTCAAACATACGAGACACACAAGAGCACCGAAATTCAGAAATATTTCCAAGGAGAACCAATCCGGTTGATTATCCACACCACACACCTCTAACCTCGACTACCAATCATTCATCCCCTAGCCCTAAGCAGCCTTAGCCACTTCAACCCTCCACCCGAAGAATAGGAAGTAGGAAGAGAAAAGAGATTGACCCGTGTCTAGCTACATATCTTTCATCCCATGCGACCACCACCGTCGCCCCCGTAATAGAAAAGCCAGAAGAATAGGACTACGTAATATCAAATAAGAAACAGGAAAACAGGGTAATGGAAGCCAGTGCAGAAAATAGGAATAGATATCATCATGTCCGCGAGATCTCATCGATAAGTAAACAAACAATGACCTCCTCGAAGCTGTATCTGGCCTTTCCGCCACCCAGACTGCCCATTTTTGTTGTTCGTCATGCTCCTCATTTGCTCAGAGGAGGAACGGGGCCCGAGTAGCAGTCGTGCCAGCCTTTAGTCCATCCCAATTTCCACATATTGTTATCGTCAAAGGCGAGTGTCGTGGTTGATGGCGGCCGGAGTAAACGAGAGACAAAGAGAGAGAGCGAGGTCTTTTTACTCCTTCTTGATGACGACGACTTGAACCAGGGAACACCCAACATTAGCTATCCGAAATCCAGAACGATGTCCAAGACACTGGATTGCTTGTGTGCGGGGGCAGTAGAAAGCGCCCCTGATGTGCTTTCGATAGATCATCCGGCTTCGGCTTGACGGTTCAAATTCTAGTTTGCAGAACCACGTCCCTCTTGAGCCTCCTGCTCATCCGCAGTGACCACGTTCGGAGTGTCGCTGCTACCCTCATCTACGCTAGGCGCAGGAGCAGGCGCAGGAGCTGGCTCAGGGGACGGCTGAGGGACGGGCGCGGGAGCGGGCGCAGGCACGTTGACACTGGCGCCCGGGGTAGGGATGTTGGGACCAAAGAAAGTGCCGGCTGAGTCTCGTGTGAATACACACGTTTTACTCAGAGAGAGACAGGAGAAAGGAAGGGGGGCAGCCACGCTAGCAAGAGAAGCGAGGCCAAAGAAAAGGGTTACTCACGTTGAGATGCTACCGTCTGGACCTGGCCGACAACGTTGGGAGAGATAAATTGCTGGAGGTCGAGCACACCGACGTTGTTAAGGAGACCAAGGTTGAGCTGCTGGAGCTGGAGCGAGGCAAGATCGAAGCCGCTGAGAACACCGAGCTGGTGGATCTGGAGGAAGGTCTGCAGCGACTGGAGCTGGAGCAGGGCTGCGATATCGAACGACTGCTGCTGGAACAGGCCCTGGAACTGGAGAACGTTGAAGTTGTTGATGCTGGCCAGGTTGCCAAGGAGCCCCAACTGCAGGGAGTTGATGTTGAGCAGGTAGTTCAGGTTGACCTGCTGGAAGTTCTGGAGACCATTCAGGGCATTGATGTCAAAGTTGAACGAGCGAGCCTCAAGGTCCGTGACGGGAGCCGCAGGGGCAGCAACAGCCAGGGTGGCAAGGGCGGAGACGAGAAAAGTGACCGGCTTCATTTTGACGTGGTAGGGTGAAGAACTGAGTTCTTGTAAGGGAAAAATTAAGGGAATTATTAGGGTTGTTAAGAGCACAGCTAAATCCCAAGGTCAGCCAAGCCTGTAAGTCGGGTCATTCATGAGAGGAGAGAGTATATTTGGATGCCGTACCTCAAAGTTGTTCAGAAAAGTGAAGGAGCGAAGCGAACAGTGAGCACAGCTAGAGAGAGGAAGCGATGTTAGGTTGTGGACGGTTGTCATAGAGCTATGAATGCTATGGGCTTACCTCAGAATGAACGACTGAAGGAGATCTTGACCGAAGACTGAAGACTGGAGTGATGGTGAGTGGATGAAGAAACAAAAAGGGGAGACAGTCGAGGGATGTAGTTTATATGTGGGCTGCACTTGTTACTGGATCGACGCCACCGGATGGGTGGCATCATGGAATGGCATGAGAGGGAGCTACGTGCCAAGCTTTCAGGAGCGAGACTTATATTCGGAAGGGAGGTTCAGCAGTCATCCGGGCGTGTCAGGTGTTAGACGGCGGACAACGGAGGCTGCCGGGTAAAACATGATGGGCGGGCGTGGGGATGAGCGAGCAGCGTGGGTCAAGCAGACGTGTCTAGACCAACCAGACTCCCCCGGAAAAGGAACACGCAGGGATTGGACGAAGAAATCGCCGAAGGTAAGCTTGTGTGCTCGCGGGTGGACGGGAGTTCGGTTGATCGAGAAGCACTCGAGACCATGTAGGACATGATGGCACGGAACGGTGCACGGCCGAGTCTATCGCAGGGGGGCCCGATGCCAAGGGAAACACGTTGTCCATGTGTCGAAGGTAATTATTCATAGGGCGGACGATGGAAACCAAGACCCTTGGGCAAACGGGGGTCTCACAAGTCCTGGGCCCATTCCGGGGGGTTGTGGTGGGCAGGGTGTGATCGAAGCCGGGGGTCGAGGGCGGGATACACTTTGGCCGAAGTCATTACAGAGGCGGGATCGAGTACTATCTGATGTCTAGCAACAAAATCGCTCGGGAGTTGGAGTATCGGTTCCGGCGAAGACCGCTGGCCGTCATCTTCCCTGATCGACGTCAGGGATGGGTGTCGTTTCGAAGCGTTTTGGCGACAGGGGCGATTTATCACGACAAATATAGGAGGCAAGTGAGCCCATAGGAGCCTGAGGAATGGCGATGGGTAGCTCAGACAATGTTAGAGCGGGTAAGAGACAGGAGTTTGGGCCAGGGAGAACATCTTGGCTGGCTATGACTTGTTGAGGTCGCCTCTTCAAACGAGTAGGTTGCCGAGCGGGAGGCCCACACTAGGTAGCTCAATAGATGGAAAGAACAGCTTAGAAACATTGCTGTAAGGTTGAGGTATGCTTTAGCGTTCTGCTCCTTCCACTCCAAGCACTCAAGTCTGTTGTCCCGACAGGAAGTCGCAATGGACCCTGAAAGCACCGCTTCCACATCAGGTTCTCGAGGTAAACTTGGTCGGGATCTTCATCCCAAACTCAATCATCGCAACACGAGTGCACCCAACGGATGGCACGCTGTTTCAACCCGCACGCCGCTCTGGTCACATTCTCCAGGGGTCAGGATAAATGCTTGGACGCGCTTGAGTTGATGACCTTCACGGGAGGTTGTAAGAGGGAGGTTGCAAGGCTGAAAAAGGCAAGCCCCACATCCGGGAGATTTCAGACCGCCAAGAGAAGCTAAGGCAAAATAAACGCTTCTCATTGGTTCGTTGCGACCCCTTGCATCTGAGAAGCCGTGTGGCTGCAACGCGGATCTGTGCGCTCGTGCAGTTGTGAAGCAACCTCCTCGATGGCATTGCGAGGGCGCTTCCATCCGGGTGCCTTGCATGATGGACGGGTGTGAGATCGCATGGTTCTCATCGCCGGAACCAACGCCGTTCCGGTAAGGGAAGGGGCTGGGTAGCTCGAATACCAAACACCACCTGCCATCGTCGACCACCTTCACGATTTCAGTTGTCTCACTGAGCGCGCTCACCACATTCGGGCTTGCTCGTGGGCTCTATTTGCCGTTTAGCAGTTAGCCTAAAGGCGACATTCCCAAGGTCAAAATGGGTGAAGGGTATTTCTTGTGCCATTACGTACGTATTGGCTGCGCTCTGAGGCGAATGATTTCGCGAGCTGATGACAAGTCCGACTGAAAGCGGACACCCTAGGACTCAACTACAGGCCTTAAGTCCATCTCAAAACGGTGTTTTGAGTTTCTAATGTGTTATTGGGTCTCATAGTAGCTGGCACGAAAAGAAAAACAGAGAAGAAACAAATGCTGACGACAAAGCGCCGTTTACGCTTGGAGTTACTGTGAAACGAATCTCGGCCAGAAGTAACTATTCGTGCTAACCCTCCCAGCCCCGTATGTCATGACGCAACAACAAACGAAAACAAATCTCCCAACTCAGTCCACCACTCATATTTATCACGAGTTTTCTTAGCGTGTAAAATCAGACAGGTTATCCACCAGATCACCAACATTCTCCGCCGCAGCTGTGGCAGCAGCAGCAGGGGGAGCAGCAACAGCGGTATCCACGGCAGCGATGGCCGTAGGAGAGGCCTCAATCGCAGCAGGCTCATTAACCACAGTAGCCTCCGCTGCCGCAGGAATAACCTCCGCTGCCAGTGATGCCTCGGCAGCTGCTTCAACTGTAGTCGACGTCTCAGAAGCCTCCGCAGCGCCGGCTGTGGCCGTCTCGGTCACTTCTGCAGCGCCACCAGTCTCGGTCACCTCAGCTGCACTGGCTGTCGCCGAAGCAGCATTCTCCTCGGCAGCCGTAGTGGCTACCGCAACCGCTTCTTCTGTCGTGGATGCTTCTTCGGCAGCAGGGGTGGTAGCTTCCACGACGGCCGTGGCGCTGGTGAACCCAGCTTCTTCCGCAAGCGTTGTGGTGACGGTGTCCAGGGACGCGCTGGCAAAGTTGATATTACCACCTTCGTTGACGGCGTTGTTCTGGCCGTTGTTCTGGCCGTTTTCCTGGACGCATTGCTGCCGCTTGGCGGTCTTTCCGCGTCGGAGCTTGGTCCGTTTCATGGTCTTTTTGACTTTGGATACCTCACGTTTGAAGACGCCTAGGATAGGAGAAGGGTGTGTTAGTTTTTTTTTTTTTTGAGCTTTTCCTGAAGGAGGAAGAGGAGAAACTCACCAAAATCAAACCCGCTTCGCACCTGTCCGGCATCAAACCCCCCTTTCACCTGCGCGGCATTAAACCCGCCTCCCACCTGCGCGGCATTAAACAACGACTGAATCCCCCCAACATCCACAAACCCAAGCTGCTGTAACTGCGCAAGCTGCGCCAGCTGGAAGAACATATCCACATCATTGTTGAACCCAAGACTCAGGATGTTGTTCCGGCTGAGTGAATCCCCCAGACACAGCCCGCCCAGTATCGCGAGGATGGCCTCGGCCACCACATCCTGGTTGCCCAGGTCGACACGGCCCAGGTTCACGCCGCCAATTTCCAGCCCATCGAAGGCGGTCTGGTCGCCGAAGTTGAGGTCGGCCGCCCCGTTGGCATTGGTGAGGGTGCCGTTGAGGAGGTCGTTGAAGTTGAACTGGCGCGGGGCGAGGTGGCTGGCGTGTGCTGACGCTGACACCAGGCCGGCGAGGGTGAGGAAGGTGGAGGTCTTCATTTGTAGAGTTGTGGGTCGTATGATGTTAAATATAACAGAAAAGGTGTTGACGGACGGTGAAGGAATGGAACTGAGCACAGCTTGGAGTAGACGGTTAGAAGCAGATTGGGTTTAGGATAGAGGATATCGACAACTCACCTCAATTACTATTAATACAAGTAGAAATAGAAGTAGAGGAACGGCCGGCCGCGCAAAAGGAGAAATTGACGGACATAAGGGCCTTGGGCTTCCCATTAACAGTTTAAACTACGGGCCCACGAGGCTATATAGCATGGTTTGTATTCTTCTCCCTCTCACTCTTCCCACTGGCTGGCATAAATTGATGGCGAGAATGACAAAAAGCTGCAAACGTGAAGGCTTGGGGTCACCACGCCGATGAAACGGGGAATAAAAAAAGCCGATAGGGCCAAGCCGTGTGGGTTTACCTATTACCATAGCACACCGGAAACGAAGCCCCCTTTCCTTGGCGGAACTCCAGGTAGGTGAAACTACATCCGTGCCGAGGGCGTCGTCGACCCGTGCTGGCCTCTGAACGCTCTGAACTGGCTCGCATTTACCGGGTGGCGTCCTTGAGTAATGCCGGAAGAAGTCTCGAAAAAAGAAGAAAAGGAAAGAAAAAAAAACTGGGAGAGAATCCGGGTATAGCGGACAGCAACTCCCGACTGTGTGCCCCCCTCTTCACTTTCCCCCTCTTCTAGCAAACTCGATCCCCCCCAAAATAGATATCAACACAACCACTACGTAACCCAACCCATCCAAAGACCAGAAATTGGCCCCCAAAATTCCTTGCCAAATACTAGGCAAACCAAGCCAAGCCTGCAGCCCAGCCCTACCGAGACCGGCAAACACCAGTCCGAAGGCGAGTTCACACGTTCATCCAGAATAAGTAACCCTTGCCAGAGTCCGATCGCCCTTGGCTTCCCCTAGGTGTATGTTTCGTTCTACGGTTAGAGCTTGGCATGGGTTGAGATGGGATGGGTGAGATGGGATGGGTGTTCTCAAGTGTGGTAGCGAGATGAGCTTAACAGTGATAGAGTTTATGATTACTTTGGGTGGGATGGGGGTTGGGAGGAGAATTTGAGGTTATTTATTTTTCTCTGGGGGGGGGACATAAACTGGTGTTGGAAAGTTGGAGCAGGCGGGTTGTTTTAGAAACGGGCCGAGCCCTTTTGCAAGCACTGGCGGTGCAAACGGGAGTGCTCGGGATAGTTTGCCGTTGTTTCGAGTAAAGTAGTGCCTTGTCTGTCCGGAAGAGAAAGTATCAGATCCGCGTTGTTCAAAGGATTCAGCGGACGGACTTGCTTGTACCGGGCATTTTGAGAGGATGGCATCTTGCGTTGAACCCTTGCCTATGTCGTGGGGAAGCACCCCTTTACTTCTCATTGTTGGGCGCATACTACCCTCGTGATAAAAGACAATCGTATTCTGTCACGGCAAATTGGCACCCGTTCATGCTGTGACAGTTCCAATATCATTTTATATTCTAAACGGCGGCTTTTCTGACCATCCGAGGGTATATATATCCATCCCATATCCACAACTCTATCTTTTCTCTTCCTTTTTTTTTTTAGCACAAATCTACCACCTCGTCCAACATGCGTTAACTCGCTCATAACCGATCACCTATCCGGCCTCCCCTTCTTCACCTCTCCCTCTCCCGCTACCCCATGAAACCCCAACCACTCCCCCAGTATCCCCCCCGGTTTTGGCACAGGACATTCCCTCTTTTGCCCCTCCCTCCTCCTCTTCACAACCCCCTCCTCCTCACCCACTTTCCCCATCCCAGGCCTGAATTCCACCACCCCCATCCCTTCCGACGCCGCAGCACCACCTACCCCAGCACCAACTTCCCCATCAGCACTAGCAATCCCCTCCCTCCTCCTCCTCCCCCTCCTAACCCTCACCCCATCCGACCCCCCGTCGGCCCCCGTCTGTCCAGGAATGGCGCCGTCACCACCATCGGCGTAGGCTCGACGTGGTGCGGGACAAGGCAGGATATGTGGCAGGGCGACGACGAGAAAGCTGGCGAGGACTGTGGTGGCGAAGAGGGAGGAGGTCATGCGCGAGCGGGGGTGGAGGTGTGGGGGGGGCATGGTTTTTTCTTTCTGGCTGTGTATTTCTTGGTGTCGTTTTTGGGGGGGGGGTTAACCTGGGTTGTTCGTCCCGTCTAGCTGGTGGGGTTTATACGCTGGACGGCTGGGTGTTGTCGCTTTGGTTGGTGGCCTCGAAGTTGTGTCGCGCGGGACCGTGTGTCGTGGTGGACGACGCGCCTTCGGCTGGTGTGTCGTTGCGGGCGGGGTTGATTTGGGCCTCGGCCCGGGAAGATTCAGCTCTAGAAGCGAGATACAGCAGAAACCAGCGGGCGTGGAAGCCAGCCCTATAAAAGCACGTCTTTGGGCCGAGAGTGATCGTGGTGGCCGTGGTCGCGGAGGTGGCCGCCTACGGACTGGGGGAAATGAAGGTGCTTGCGAGAATTATCGAGGTTCGTTCGGCCCGCGGGGAATTGAGGGACACCAGGCCGATTGGGTGTCGGTTGTCGCAATTGGGGTGTAGGAGTGCTGGGTTTGGGGCGCAAGGGTGGTTATATCATGGCGTGCCTCGCGCGCGACCCAGCTAGCCGTGCGTCGGGACGGGTAAGTCGAGTTGGGGCGTGGGGGGTTAGAGAGTTGAATGTCGAAGTCTCGAGTGGGTTGTGTGGGAGCGAGCTTGAAGCTTGAGCTTGGGATCCAGGTTTGGGATTTCGTGAATGAGGGTTAGGGTTAATAGGGTTAGGGTTGATATAGGGGTATTTGCTGGTGTTGGTGTAAGGCAGGTTCAGTTTAGACGATATGATACATGTAACTTCCCAAAACAGAGTGTCAATGATGCCTACTTCAAATTGGAGGGTTGCGCTGTCTTTCTCCTTAGATATCTTTCATTCAAATCATAGACCGGGCAACCACCTCCGCGAGCTCGGTCCTGAGGCAGTAGTATACCATACCATGTCCCTTCTCGCCATGATGCCTATACTGTTGACTCTTTCCACATCCCAGGGCTCACAGTCCTCACAGAAAACGTATAAATAGAGAGACAGATCCCCTCGCAAATACCGAACCATTATCAGCAACTCTCACTTTAAACCACCTCTTTAAACCCTTTTCAGCCCATTGGCATCACCCTCCGAACTTCAAGGATGAACTATCCGGCTGTCTCTTCCGACTGTCATAACCACACCCATCTGAACCTCGCCAAGCGTATTAGCGTTCAAACTCGCTGCAGCACGACGAACTCCATAACGGGGCATCGTCCAAGGTGTTTTACCACCCCCTCAAACCCGCTCCGTACATATACGATCTGATCATCTCGCACTCGTACTCGTCTTGGCTCCAAAGGCATCCGCCAAGGTATTCTTCTGCCATCATCGTCGGGATATGCGAATACAACCATTCCCTCTCTTCCTCTCTATCTACGGCCGTGGCTCGCGGTGTCCTTAAGCCAGGACAAGTCCACCCTCAATGGTAAGTTGGCAGAGCTGCCCCCTTCCCTCCCGTTTGTTTCTCGGTTCTCAACCCCCTTTCACCCTGTTTTTCACTTGTCCTGTACCGTCTTGGCTTTTGTCTCGCCATGTCTTTGTGGTTTTTGGTGTCTGTCTCTGTTTTCCTCGTCCCCTCTTTTGTACGAGCTGGGTCTTTTCCCTTTTTCTCTGAGGCCTCGTAGCTGACCAGACTGTCTTCACTAGCGCGCTTCGCTTCCCCATGCGATCGTTTCCTCGACATCTCTGCCCGAGCGTTCACCCTCTGCGCATAAGCGAAGACAGAGGAAAAAACGAAAGAGAAAACTGATACCGACGAGGACGACTGAGGCTGGCGGGGAACCCAATTGGGAGAAGAATCGATGCCGAGGAGGAAACTAGGTTCAACCTTGGGCGGCTTGCGGGGTGTTCAAAAGGAAAACGTATCGGGATGGAAACGGGAGAGCTCCAGCTATCTGAGAGGTTTCCAGGAACAGCAGAGATGTATCAGGACGGAAATGGGAGAGGAGGGGATCCTTGGCTTCCACGGGTTTTGGGGTAGGGTCGTGCCGATTTCGAGAACACTCAAGAGGACTGCCTGCAGGAGGCGGCATGAGAAGTCGCAGATGTTTTCTTGAAAAAGGGATACTTAACACGGGGGATTTTCATAACCATTATAGGCACTGCTTGATGTAACATGGTGTATATGGTGTATTTTATATACAATCATTAAACGCCTTCTGTAGCGCAAACACGAGCCTTTTGATTACACGTATACAACATGAATCCAAATTACATGCCCCATTCACAAGTCTACAACAGATTCTTTGGTCTAGCTATCAAGCAAGAATCCGCCAGTGACGAGATTACAAAAACAAAAGCTGCCACCCCTTTTCCGTTTTCCTTTTCCAGTCCCCAGTTTTCCGTTCCGAACCAAGTGTGTTTATATACTATTTTCAACAAGACACAAAAAAAGAGGAAATATCAGGAACAAATTCGCAATTAGGACCAGATCCCCGTGCTCTACGACATGACCAACGCGAGCAAAGCCATGCGGCAGTAGAGACCGTATCTCATCTGTTTCGGGTCAGTATATTGCAAATTGTTTGTGAGATGGGACAAAAAGTGAACTGACCTGTCTAAAGTACGCAGCGCGCTGATCAAAATCCACCTCCTCCGCGACCTCCTCATTCCTCGGCAGCGGGTGTAGCACCACAGTCGTGCTCTTGGCGTGCTTGAGTGTCCCGCCATCGATACGATAGGCGTGCTTGACGGCTTCGTACTCGGCTTGGTTGGCGAAACGCTCTTTTTGGATGCGCGTGCAGTAGAGGACGTCGGTGCGGGAGAGGATTTCCGGGGTGAGGGTGGAGGATTCTGTTAGGAGGGATGTGTTGGAGTCGTTGACGAGGAGTTGGCGGACGGAGGCGGGGAGGGCGAGGGATGGCGGGGAGATGAGTTGGACTTTGACTTGGTAGTGGCGGAGGAGGGAGACGAGGGAGTGCACGGTGCGGCCGTGCAGGAGGTCGCCTACGAAGGTTATCGTGAGACCTTGCATGGTGCCGAGTTCTTCGCGGATGGTGAAGAGGTCCAGGAAGGCTTGGGTCGGGTGTTCTTTGCTGCCGTTGCCGCCGTTGATGACGGGGACCGGGGAGAATTTGCGGGCGGTGTCGACGGAGGTTTCGGAGGGGTGGCGCAGGACGATGGCGTCGGCGTAGCAGGCTAGCGTGCGGATGGTGTCTTGGAGGGTTTCGCCTTTTTGCACGGAGGAGGTGGAGGTTGAGATGGCGATGGTGCGGCCGCCGAGGCGTTGCATGGCCGCGTCGAAGGAGGCGGAGGTGCGGGTGGAGGGCTCGTAGAAGAGGGTCGCGAGGACGCGGCCTTTGAGGATGTCGAGGACGCCTTCGCGTTGGACGCCGAGGCGCATTTCTTGGGCGATGTGGAAGAGGAGGCGGAGGTCGGAGCGGGTGTATTGTGCGACGGAGAGGACGTGGGCCTTCTTGAAGGACGATGGGGCCGAGAGCATCTCTTGCAGGGGGGAGATGTGCGGTTGTTGATGCGGCTGGAGGGCGGATAGACCCAGACCGAACTGATGGTGGTGATGATGGTCTGTGTCTGCACCGTGAGCCCGGGCAGCAGTCGGCTGGTTAAACGAGCCGAAGCTGGTGGCCGCGGCCCCGATCGTGGTGTCCTTGGATGCTGGCCGGCCGTGTGAAGACCTGAGCTGCGAACGGCGGTCATCCAACAGAGGGGACATGGGATGACGCTGGCCTGTCACGGGCTTAACCGCGGGGGACGACACGGTGGTGGTCGTGTTGGCCGCTGCAAGAGCCCCGTGAGAAGACATGTCGCTGCCCCGGGGGGACACCGACAGGATGGAACCGTCTAGGCAGACGACCTCGTCGCGGAAGGTCACGCGCTGGATCGAGGCCTTGAGGACTTTACCCTCGACAGGCGACCAGGAGGAGCCCGCGGCCGTCGGCTTGACTGTGTACGGGCGGTCGATCTCAACCTCTAGAGTGGCACCCAGCTGCTCGTGGAGCTCAAAGATCTCGCGCGGGTTGTCGTGCAGCTTGGCCTTAACATCGTCCACGGTCAGCCTGCCCTCAGCCACCGAGGTCAACAGTAGCGGTAAGGCATCGGCAATACCAACGGTCACATCCGCGGGCTTGCCTAGGAAATGAGCAAGCTGGTACGGAAGACTACCAATAGAGAACACATCAATAGTCTCGAGATGCGCCCACAACGCAGCCTGGTCATCTTCCGTCGGCAAGAACGGACAGCCGGGGTAATCACGCTGCGATAGATGCAGCGAGTACACGCTAACATCACAGGTAACCTGCAGCCCCTTTTCCTTGCCCAGCGCGATGAGCTTGATGTCGTCCTTGGTCGTGACCGCCGTGACGTGCACGCGACGGCTGTGCAGGCTGGCGAGCAGCAGGATAGACGCCAGGTCGGTGGTGCGCGCGTCCGTGACGATGGGTTTGTGTTTGGGCCAAGCGTCAAAGTGCGCTTCCACCGCGGCGACCTTGCTGATGTTGTCGGTCAGGTGGTTGAAGGGGATGAATAGCGAGCCGACCTCGCCGGCTGCGTGGCTGATCTGGTGCGCGTTTTCGGATGTGGCCGCGATCGAGAGGTTGAAATCGCAGTACGCGCCGCGTTTGGCGTTTTGCTGCGCGACTTTGAGGGTCTTGACGTCTGAGATGGCACCCTCTTTGCCGACTGGCATGATGCGCACCATGCTGAACCCGGCCGCGATCGAGGCCTGCGTCACCCGTTGTAGGTCGGCGCTCTCGCGCGAGACTAAACCGGGTACAAACGCCGCGATGTTGACGAGCCCCGGGAGCTGCAGTGTGCGGTGGCTGGTCTGGTAGTCGCGCACGCCAATGTCCAGCTCAAAGTGCCGGGCCAGCGCCTCGATCAGGATCTTGGCGTTCTTGACGTTGGTCACCAGCGGCACCTGGTAGTCGACGGCCATGCGGCGCGTCTGGTACCCCTTGCTGACGTAGTTGGCAGGGCGGCGGTACTTGTTGTTGGACGGCAGATTGATGTAGAGATCGATCATGTTCTTGGCCAGGTGCTGCGACAGCGAGTACTCGGACTTTTGGTCCTCGTCCTTGGGCAGCACTTCGAGGTACTGCACCTGCACGCCGTGCGTGCCCAGGAAATCTGCCGTGCCCGCCGTCGCGAACAGCTTGTACCCCATCTCCTGCAGCTTCTTGATCGACGGCAGCATCTCTTCTTTATCCTTGTACGACCCGATCGACAGCAGGATCTTGTTGCGCGGCACCTTGAACCCCGTCGACAGCAGCGCCTTGAGGTACGCCTCGTACTTGTCAGCGCCGAACGAAGCGACCTCGCCCGTCGACGCCATCTCCACGCCGAGCACGGGATCGGCCCCGGACAAGCGGGAGAAGGAGAACTGCGGGACCTTTACGCCCACGCAGTCCGGCGGGCACTGGATCTCCGGGTACTCCTCGAACGGCAGGTTCATGATCGCCTTGGTGGCCATCTCGATCAGGTCGACGCCCATGACCTTGGACACAAAGGGGAACGACCGCGACGCCCGCACGTTGCACTCAATCACCTTGATGTCGTTGTCCTTGGCGATGAACTGGATGTTGAACGGGCCCGTGACGTTGAGCGCGTCACCGATCTTGCGCGTGGCCTCCTCGATGCGCTGAATCGTCGTCGCCGACAGGTCCTGCGGGGGGAGGATCAGGGTGGCATCTCCCGAGTGTACACCCGCGTTCTCGACATGCTCCGAGATGAAGTGGCCCACGACTTGCCCATCCTTGGCCACGGCATCCATCTCGATCTCCTTGGCGTTCTCAATGTACTTGGTGATCACCACAGGATGCTCCGGCGAGACATCCGTGGCCTGCTGCAGGTAGCTCTCCAGGTCGTGTTCCGAGTACACCGTGTTCATGGCCGCGCCCGAGAGCACGTATGAGGGGCGCACCAGCACCGGGTACGTGACCTTTTGGCAGAACGCCTTGGCCTCGTCGAAGCTGGTCAGCTCTTTCCACGTCGGCTGGTCCACGCCGATGCGGTCCAGCATGCGTGCGAACTTGTACCGGTTCTCCGCCGTGTCGATCATCTCGGGTGATGTGCCCAGGACGTTGACGCCTGCGCGCAGGAGCGGGAGCGCGATGTTGTTGGGTGTTTGACCGCCCATGGCCCCCAACACACCGCTTGCTTTCTCGGCCTCGTAGATATCGAGGGCGGTTTCCATGTTGATGGGCTCAAAGTAGAGACGATCCGCCTCGTCAAAGTCAGTCGAGACGTTTTCGGGGTTGCAGTTGACCATGATGGTCTTGCACTTGTTTTCGCGGAGCGTGCGAATAGCCCGAACAGAGCACCAGTCGAACTCAACCGACGACCCAATGCGGTACACGCCCGAGCCCAGCACCATAACGCCACTGTCATCAAACGTAATGTCGTGCTCGCTGGCATTGTACGTGAGATACAGATAGTTGGTAAACGCCGGGAACTCGGCCGCAACAGTATCGATCTGCTTGACAAACGGCGTGATGCCCGCCTCGAGACGCATCCCCCGCACCGCCAGCTCCGTGGTCGACCCCCAGAAGGTAGCAATCTGCCGGTCACTGAAGCCGAGCTGCTTGGCCCGGAGGAGGGTGCCAGGGTGCAGCGCACTCCCAGAGGCCTTGATGTCCTTGAGCTGTTTGGCGAAATCACTCAGGCCCTTGAGCCGGTCCAGGAACCACTTGTCAATCTTAGTGAGCTCCCAGATCTTCTCCACCGAGTAGCCCGCCGCCATGGCGTTAGCGATGGCGAAGAGCCGCTGGTCCGAGGGGGTTTGGAGCTCGTCGTCGATGGACATAAGTGCCGGTGTTTCGTTGAAGCCGAGGTTGTGGAAGTCGATGCACCGGATTGCTTTTTGGATCGCTTCCTCGAAGGTTCGGCCGATACTCATCACCTCGCCTACGCTCTTCATCGACGAGCCGAGCTGCGTCGATACGCGCGTGAACTTCTTGAGATCCCAGCGGGGCATCTTGACGACAACGTAGTCGAGAGAGGGCTCGAAGCACGCGCAGGTGACTTTCGTCACGCTGTTCTTGATCTCCTTGAGCGGGATGCCCAGACCGAGCTTGGCCGCGATGAAGGCGAGTGGGTAACCCGTAGCCTTGGACGCCAGCGCCGAGGATCGCGAAAGACGAGCGTTGACCTCGATGATACAGTACTCCTTGGAAAAGGGGTTAAGCGCGTACTGGATGTTGCACTCGCCGACAACCCCCAAATGGCGGATGACGTTGACGGCCGTCGTCCGCAGCATGTTGTAGTCCTCGTCGGATAGCGTCTGGGACGGGGCGACCACAATCGAGTCACCCGTGTGGATGCCCAGCGGGTCAAAGTTCTCCATATTGCACACCGTGATGCAGTTGTCTTGGCAATCCCGCACGATTTCGTACTCAATCTCCTTCCAGCCCTTCATGCTACGCTCGATCAGCACCTGAGGGCTCGCCGCAAAGGCCTTGTTACACAGCTCGAGGAGCTCGGCCTCGTTGTTGGCGAACCCACTGCCCAGACCGCCGAGAGCGTAGGCCGCGCGGACGATGACGGGGAAACCAATGTCTTTCACGACCCGCATGGCCTCATCGATGGTGTTGGCCGAGGCCGACTTGGCGCACTTCTCGCCGATCGAATCCATGCTCCGCGCAAACAACTCGCGGTCCTCCGTCGTGATGATGGTGTCGATCGGGGTGCCCAGAACCTGCACGCCGAGCCCCTCGAACTCGTCCTTGAGCTGGATGCCCACGGACAGGGCCGTCTGGCCACCGAAAGTGCAGTAGATGGCATCCGGCTTCTCGTAGAGAATCACCTTGCGCACAAACTCCGCGTTGACAGGCAGGAAGTAGACCTTGTCCGCGAGGCCCTTGGATGTCTGGATCGTCGCGATGTTGGGGTTGATCAGCACCGTGTAGATGCCCTCTTCCTTGAGCGCCTTGATGGCTTGGCTGCCAGAGTAGTCGAACTCGCCGGCCTGGCCAATCGAGAGACCACCGGAACCGAGCACGAGGACCTTCTTGACCGACACGCGCGGGTGCAGCCGGTTGTTTTCCTCCACCGTGCCGCCGGGGAACTGCACGCCCTTCTGCAGCAGGCTGCTGTCCGCCGCGCAGTCCGAGACCGTCTGGATGAAGACATCAAACAGAAACTCGGTGTCCCGAGGCCCCGGGGTGCTCTCGGGGTGGAACTGGACGCTGAAGTGCGGTTTGCCGTTGTGCATGACACCCTCGTTGCTGCCGTCGTTGGCGTTGACGAAGAGTTCTTGCCAGCCCGCGGGGAGCGTGGCAGCGTCGACAGCGTAGCCGTGGTTCTGCGACGTGATGTGGCACTTGCCCGTGACCATGCTGGTGCAGGGGATGTTGTGGCCACGGTTACCGAACTTGAGTTTCACCGTCTGGGCGCCGGCCGCGCGGGCGAGCAGCTGGTGGCCCAGGCAGATACCGAAGATGGGTGTGCGGTTTTCTTCTAGTGCTACCGAAAGGCGCTCCACGACAGGCTGCAGGATCGCCGGGTCGCCGGGCCCGTTGGAGATGAATAGGCCGTCGTAGGTCTCGGCACGGAAGTCATAGTCCCAGGGGCAGACCAGGACTTCGACACCGCGCTTGAGGAAGCACCTCAACTGGTTGTATTTCATACCGACGTCGAGGCAGAGGATGCGGAGCGGGCGGCCCGAAGGGTGGTTCAGGGCCTTGGCCGCGGGAGGCTTGTAGAGCTTGGGGGCCTTGAGTGAGACTGAGCAGCCGTTAGCGTAATGCCCGCAATGCGCCTCGCTTCACTTATCCCCCACAACCCAGTTACTCACCCTCTGCTACGAGGTTCTTCTCATTGGGGTTGACCCAATCGACCGTCTCGAAGCGAGACTGCCAGTCGCCCAACACGCCCGGGAGCGCATCGCCCTCGCTGCTGTCCCCATCGGACAGCCCCTTCTTCTCCAGGAGCATGCGACCAAGCATGCTACCTTTCTCGCGGATGCGCTTTGTCAAGGCACGGGTATCCACGCCATAGATGGCGGGGACCCCTTGCTCCTTGAGCCATGTGCCGAGAGACGAGTTTGCGAGGAAGTGCGAAAAGTCCTCGCCCGCATATGTAGCCGTAACGAGACCGGCGATGTGGATTTGCGACGATTCGAAGTGAGCGGGTAGGTCGCCGAGGAGCTCATCGAGCGTTTCCCTCGGAGGGACACCGTAGTTGCCGACAAGGGGGAAAGTGATGACGAGGATCTGGCCGCGGTACGAGGGGTCCGTGATGGACTCCGGGTACCCCACCAAACCTGTCTGGAAGACCAGCTCGCCAGAGATGCTCTTGGATGCGCCAAAGCTGTAGCCCTGGTAGGCTGCGCCGTCCTCGAGCTCAAGGGTGACCAATCCTTGAGACTCGGTGTTGTTAACGCGCGCCGTGGCCGGCCGGTAGAGCGGAGCAGCCATTGTGGTGTTGTCGGACTGACTCTTAAAAAAGAAGGGAGAAAAAGAAGGGTAGGTGAGAGGGAGAAGGGAGAAAATATATGGTCGGAAAAAAATGAAGGACAAGTGCGGCCGACGACCGGACAAGAATATGCAGTCGCGTGGAGAGTTGCCCGTAGCAGTTGTAGTTGTAGATGGAGCCGGGAACTGGAGTCTCACGCGACGTTGAACTGACCAAGCACAGGGGGCTTAGAACAGCAATATCGCAGCGATTTTGGCGTGGATGACGACAGAGAGAGTTGTTTCACTCGCAGACTGTCATGACCCAGCTTCACCAGCCCTTTTGCATTGAGAGAAAGGGAAAAAAGGAACCGAATGAGTCGACTTCGAGATCGGAAGGGCTGTTAAAGAAATTTGTATCGACTCCAAAACTTGCCCCGCCAGGCGGCAAAACGACCTGTCCCCACCGATATTTTGCAGGGCGGTGAATCGCTAGCGCGGGGTTCCCAGTGGCTAGACAAGGGAATTGACTTGTGCCAGGTACCGAGTCCGGCAAGAATTTTTGTCATTGGCCAATCAGCGCTCTCTCACGCACTTTGGCGGGCCGGCTACGTGGGGTTCAGACCGCACCGGGCTCCGGTTTTATGACCGCCTGGAATTTCGATTTTTTTCAGCAGCTCCTCCCGCGGATTTGCATCACCGACTTTGGTGTTTTCGATGCGGCCTGACTGAACCCGTTCCCACGGCCAACCAAGCCAACTTTGGCCTGAAAAAAGAGAAATTTCTCTATCCAACGAATCCAATGTCGCTGGAAACACGGAAATAAATAAACCAACCGAAAAAGCTTCCGCCCCTCGCTTGATTGTTTTCGATCCACCCAGGGGTCGAACCTGGAACCTCCTGATTACTATCTTCATGTGAAGTCGTAGTCAGACGCTCTGCCATTGAGCCAGCGGACCATTGCGCTTGTTGAAACTTGAACGTGGGGGCTCATGCTTAGAAAGGCTGTGGCACTGTGGGCTCCCACGCTCCATCGGCAGCCCAGGGTTCGAGGTTTCCGGGCCGGTGGTTGTGGTGGAGCTCCCGAGCGAGCCGAGGATTCGGCGTGCCATCGCTTGGAATGCAAGGCGTTGAGGCAGGCTGGCAAGGCTGGCCATCAGGGTTCCTCGAGTCGTATGGTTTCTCTCATCCCGATATATGAGCCGAATCAACGAAATGGAAAAAAAGCGAGAAAAATAAAGAAAGAAGGAAAGTATTTGTTGGGTACTGAAAGTTCTTGTTGGGCAAGCGCTTCCGTTTGGCAGGGAAAGAGCGCCCGAGACTGGGCCTGCCGAAGGCCTAATGCTTGAGATGGCCGCAATGCTCCTTCCTCAGCCTAGGTTTTCCTCACATCAGCACTTTTCAGCTGCCCGACTCTAAGAAAATGTGTTCTACGATGGGTAAAGGCTTCTTCCTCAACAACTAGTGTACCAATACTCGACGACAAAAGCCTCAGCGACGTGACACTCCTCATCTCGCATCGCTGCAATTTGCCGCCCGCCCCTCCCTCCCAATCTTGTCATACGGAAGAGAAAAAAATGAAATTTGGACACAACCGCATGCCAAAGTCACACCACCTGATCGAAATGCGCTCGAAGGGCCTGATATGCGTGCGGCGCAGCGTTCCTCATGCACGACATGGTCGGCCCACGCGGTTTTTCTCTTTTCGTCTGCGCGCCCATCACTAACTTACCCCGCCTGTGTGAGCAATAACCCCATGCCTCCCATCGCCTGTTCCGGCAAGACGGAACGGGCAATGGTGCTGAGCATTACGCGAACGATACGATACCCCAGGGCCCCGCGTGGGGGGCGTGAATGTTTTTGAAACGGACCATCGCAGATTAAACTTGAGAGAGGGGGAGGGGCCTGTCCCGGGCTTCCGAGACAAGAGGTTTCGCGTGTGGGCTGAATCATAGGATGCGAACAGTGTTTGGTCGATTGGCAAAAAGGAGGCCGGACAGCGCAGTACATCGGTAGCGTGGCGGTGGTTTGCGTTTGCGAACGCCGTCGGGATGTGTTCCCCCGAACTATTCCCTCGTTGTGTTTGCTGTGCGACGAGCTGGTGAACCCACGACGGACACAATCTGGATAGCTAATCGTACAAAACGGCACTTCCGCGAGATCGGGACCGAGATAACTCTGATCAAGGGGTCAGGCAAACGAGTAAAGGATGGTGGCCTTGGTGGTCGGCTGCGAATAGGTGGAGGGTCGGCGCGCGGGATGATAGGCGGCGCGGCTGCTGCAACATCGCGAGATGCAACGAGGACTTGCAGGAGTGTAACCTACCCTGAGCGACCCTTGCGCATTCCCTTCACCGTCCACCGAAAGTTGCGGTCATGGGGTTGGTTCACGACACTGGCCCACACAACAGCTCACCACGCTCAAGGACGGCGTCCGAGACTGAGTGGAGTTATGGGTGAGCAATGGCGACATCGTGCGATCCAAAGCCGGACAAGCGCTGTCTCAGAACCCGCAGCATGTGGGCGAAAACAGAGCCGTCCAATGCGCCGCGATACCGCGATACCGCGATGCCGCGTTCCGTCGACCGACCGACGCTATTCCTGCAATGGAGCGAGCTGCTTGCGCTGCTTGCTTGTCGTCCAGTGTCCCACCAAGGCAGCATCCTTCTTCAGCGCTCTTGGCGGCATCCACCTGGACGGGCTGACCCCGCGATTCGTTGCTGCGCTCATGCACCAACTGCCGCTTCGAGCTCTGTTATTCGCCAGTCGACGGCGAAGGGGAAAGGGTCCCAGCTCTGGCGGTGTGGCCGAAGGACGGGAGAATGGGAATGGGGGCCCGATGTCCAGGAGCAGGAGCCTTTGCTCCCTCTTTTTCCGTCTTTTGGTTGCTGATCGTCTTCATGGGCCTGCTGATAAAGATCTGGTGTTTGGCAGCTTCGCGGGAGGGTATCGCCCATGTCGGCGTGTTTTAGCGCTGAACAGGGATTCCCCAGCTGACCCTCCCCTTTCCTTTCTTCAAGCACACCCAAACGGGCGAACCTGAACCAAACCCAGCTAGAACCGTGTCAGGCGATCCGCCGTCGCGGCGGGCCCCTTTACTATCTATGTATTAGCTCCCCCCCGGTCCAACCACCTGTGGCTTGCTTCGCTCTTGTCTTCCTGGCTTTGCCAGTCGCGCTCCACGCGCTCCTTCGTTCATCTTTCTTGGGAGGAACGGTTTGCGGATCTGGAATGGGCTTTGGGAGAAGGGAACATGCCCTACTGAGTTGTCAATTGCTTCGTCTGGAGGGTCGTCGGTAGCCTCGTGGATGGTGTCTCTCTCTCTACGACTTCGAACCGGAACAGCAACAAACCAGCCCCAGTGGACAACAACGCCCATGGCGCTCGTGTGCCTCTGATCACGCCCCGGGCCACGTACAGCCCGATTAGAGGATGTTGTCTGCCCTCCTTCGACCCTTCAAGGGCAGCAGCTCGCGAGATGGGGACCCCGCGGATGTCGAGCAGGATTTCGGGGCCCGTCCGTCGGTAGCCGAATACCGAAACCACCCCCACGCAACGGCCGATTTCACCGAGGCCGACGATGACGACGATGAGGAGGAATCGATCGGTGGCGAACCCTCCGGCCAGCAAACCAATGGCCTCCCAAACGGCGATGTGAATGACCCGCCGAGGTCGAACGAGTTCTTGCCGCTGTTTACGGCCAACGCGAACCATCTAGGTATGAGCTGGCCGGGGAATCCATGTTTCTGTTTTGTTTGCTGGGTTAGGTTTGTTAGCTGACTGCTGCTACGTGGGATAGATTCGATCCCGATATACAACATCACTCATGCAATCCGTATTGTCGTCCAGACCCGCACCGAGACAACCCTCAGCTGGGACCAGTTACGGTCCCCCCAGGTTACGCAGTTCCTCATCAAGCCGATGCTGCAGCAGATACGCTCACAACACTTTTGCCGCGGGACCTTGTATGCCTTGTTGGCGAACTGTCTGCAGTTCGAAAAGGAGGGCCAGCTCTACCCCGGGACTGCCGGGACTAGTGCTACGAGAGCAAAGGTCTGCGAGCTCCTGGCCATCAAACTGCTAAAGGAGTACACCACGCGGGAGCTCATCGACGCCCTCTGCTATGACTTTTATCCCCTCCAGGGTATCCCTGGCACCCAGACGCCGCTTGCATCAGGCGGCCTAGCCAAACCTTCCGCGCTCCGAACGTCCACCCTCGAAGTCGCCATCAGGGCTTCCGCCCAGCAATTCCTATCCCACCCCCTCGTCGTCCAGAAGATTAAGGCGATCTGGAATGGCGCCATCAGCTTCTCGTCGCCCAAACAGCCGCAGCAGCAGCCCCAACGCCAGGGATCGACGGCGAGTGCGGCTGGGAGTAACAGCAACAACAGCCAGTCCAGACGCCAGAGTAATAATGTTAATACCCGTACGCCGCTGCTGGGCGACCAACGGGTGGCGAAGGAGGAACCTCCTCGGCTGTCGTCGTTTACGGCTGGTCGCCGGGCTGTGACACTATACAACCCCCGCACTGCCTCGCCCTTCAAGCTCTCCCGACTGCGTGTCCCGCGCTACCGACGGCTCTTTTCGACCTGCTCCCTGTTCGTATTGATAGGTCTGTTCCTCGCGGTCTTGGGCCAGCGGTCGAGCACAATCACTTCGCTGGAGTTGTTGTTTTGGTTCTGGAGCGCGGGGTTCATGCTCGACGAGCTGGTCGGATTTAATGAGGAAGGATTCTCGTTCTACGTCATGAGCTTCTGGAACATTTTCGATCTGGGCATTTTGCTATTGCTGATCGTCTACTACTGCATGCGCATCTATGGCGTGTTCCTGCTGGACCCGCACAAGCTGAACCAGAATGCGTATGATGTTTTGGCTGTGAATGCCATATTGTTACTGCCGCGGATTTTTGGGGTGCTGGATCATTATCGCCAGTTTTCGAGGTTGTTGATCTCGTTTCGGTTGCTTGCGGTTGACTTGGTCGCTGTTTGTGTGCCAATTTTGGTCTGCTGTAGTGGGTTCTTTGTGTTCCTGGCGTTTTCTAAGGGGCCGGATGACTCGTTGGCCGTGGCTTTCAAGATGTTCCAGGCGCTTATTGGGTTTACGGCACCTGCTTGGGATTTGTAAGTGAAGACGCATAGTGGGAACTTATCTCTGACGGATGTTGTGTTTTACTAATACGCTTTAGGTGGTCGTCGTACAATTGGATGGGACAGATACTGCTGGGGCTGTTTCTCATCATCAGCCACTTTATCGTCATGTAAGTGGACTGGCTGGATGAGTGACTTAATTAGAGGTGACTAACATTGCTAGAACCCTACTGGTCACCGTATTGGCCAACTCGTTCATGTCCATCTCCTCACGAGCCAACGAGGAGTACCAGTTCAACTTCGCCGTCAACACCATCTCCATGGCGAGAAACAATGTGCTGTTCTCCTACGTCGCCCCGGGGAACATATTTGCGTGGGCGTTAATGCCCCTTCGATACTGCATGTCCCTGGAGCAGTACGTCTGGATGAACCGGACGGTGATCAAGGCGACGCATTTCCCGCTGCTCTTTTGCATTTTCTTCTACGAGAGATTCTTCCTGGCCCCCGACGTCTTCGACCCGACCGACCTGGTCGACAACCCGCGCCGCGAACGCACCAATACGTTCTCGGACTCGGCCTTCTTCAGCCCCAGCGTTCGGGTACGCGAGGAGTCTGTGGCCGGTTTCCAGAAGGACCAGGCGCTCGAGGAGGTGTTCCGGCGAGCCCCGGACATGCGATCACAGCGGCGGACCGAGCGGCGAAAGACGCAGACCGAGATCCGCAGCTGGATGGACCAGCAGCAGCAGGAGGCCGGGTTCAACTCGCCGCGGAACTTTTCCACCATCGACAGCCGGATGAGCAGCGACTGGATGCGGCGGCTGAGCATGAACCGCGAACGGCCGTCGAGAATCCCGAGGCACTACTCCGATATTCGGTCCACGGCGAGTGATCCGGCGGACTTTATCTTTGACGCTCCGTACCCGGTAGCGGTACCAACCTCGATGTACAACGACGGTGTTATACGGAGAGATCACGCCCACGCCGCGAGCGTGAAGGAACAGGTGGATGCCGCGGCAGACGGGGACGATGAATTGGTCACCAACGACGAGGACGAAGGCGACGATGCGACCAACACCATCGACGGCCGGGGTTTCTCAGGGGCGAACGTTATCGACGAAGATTACTTCACCACCCCCGTCGGTACTCGCTTCTCCAGCGGCGATCTAGTCGACTCCCCACGACCGCCCACTTCACGACGGGTACCTCTGCACACCCGCACTCTATCCACCAACACAATCCTCTACGCCCCTGAGGAGGACGGACACCCATACAGTTCTTCCTCCGCCTCGGCCCACCCTTTTCCCCGGCCACCCAGTACCCGCCATGGCCTCGTCGCAGCCCCAATCACTCCCGGGAACGGAAACGGGAACGGTCGTCGCTCGTCCCCGCGGCGCTCGTCCCCGCGGCGCTCCTTCTACCTCGGCCCCCGCCCGCGCTCCATGATCCAACCGTCCAATCGCGCTGGCAGCAGCGGTCTCACGCTTGACATCCCAACCACCAGTCCCGTGTACAAACCGCCTCGCCGACGCTCCCTCGCTGACTTGCTCCTCACGCCATCGGGGTATGATAACAGCGGAGTTGGGCGTGCCGGCACCGGTACTGGTCCTAACACCGCCATCGGTCCGGGTACGGGCACGTTCAGCCCAGCCGGGCGAAGCAGCAGTGATGCACGCGGCGGAGCCGGCGCTGAGGTGAATAAGCTCATGCTGGCGCGGATGAAGTCGCTGGAGGAGAGTTTGGGGTCGATGGTGAAGGAGATGCGTACGCTTCGGAGGCGGTCGGTGCCAAATACGGCTGCTAATTCTGATGATGGCGTCCTTGCGGTCAGTAACGACAGATTTTGGGGTCGACAACATCATCGTAGTCAGCAGCAAAATTATCCGCATAGCGCTTATCCTTATTCACACTCACACCAACACCACCAATCTCAACACACATACCCGCATCAGCACCACCATCAGCACCACCGTTCTGGGGAACCACGCCAGCATCACCACTCGCGGAGCGTAGTCGGTTCAGACCCAAGCTCGATTATTTCCCACGGTGGCGGTGGACCGTTGATGGAGGGCGGTGTGGCACGCGATCGGGAACGGGAAATGGACCGCGAGCGACTGCTGGCGCTTAGCGGGGTAGGGAGGAGGTCAGGTAGGGCTGTGGCCGTAGGTGAGGACGATACTACGGGTGTATCAACCCCGACGGCTGCACGGAGAGGGACTGGTTCCAGTCGGAAGGAGAGATCCGGGACTGCAGCAGCTGCTACAACAACAGGTGGTAGTAACGGGGGAGTGTCGAAAAGCCCCAGAGTGGGAGAGCAGCCCGCTGGGTTGGGGATTGAGAAAGGGGTTGTGAGGAACGATGGCAAGGGGAAGGAGAAAGAGCGTGGGAATGGGGCTGGGAATGGGTATGGGACGACTAGTGGTGCTGGGGTGAGTGTCAGTCTGGATACTGCGATGGCTACGACGGTGGGTACGGCGACAACAGGTCCGACAACAGGGTCGGGGGCGAAAGGTACAGGGAAAGGTGGGAAAGGGAGTGAGGGTCCTACGAAGGGGGTATCGCTTTAGGGGTGCCTCTTTTTTTTTTCCTTTCAATTTTCTTTTCTTGCATGGTACGGTATTGGTTTCCTTTGGTTTGGTTGCATCTGGGCGGCGTTTTGTGTTTGCATTTACTGGTCTATCCTGCTGTACTCTGCTTGTCCTGCTTGCAGGGTGGTGTGTTACCGGGGAACGGGAGAGGAACGGCGGTATTTTGTCGCAAAGGAAGCGAGCGTGCGAGCGTGTGTGCATGTTGCATGTTGTGGATGATGGATGATGGACGCCGGATGACTTGGTGGGCATGATGGCTTTGTGAGATATCTGATCTGTCTGGTTTTTTATGGTTTCTTGTTTCTCTCCTTTTTCTCGTTTCGCGGTGGGCTGAGGTGCCTAATCAGTCAGTCTGTGCCTTCAGTTCGACGGCTGGCTTCCCAACCTGCATAGGGATTGCTTGGATAATTCAAAAAGGCTTGTTCTACATTTTCCAGTGCGCTGTAAAGTGAGCTATATGTGATGAGTGTGTAGTTGCGACACGGTTTGATGTGCTTGGTTGTCTGGCTCGGGTTACATGTAACGCTGATATGAGGTGAGAGCGAGGTAAGTACAGTACTGAAGGAGGTTCAATGTCATATTATTGGATGTCTGTTATGCCATTTGGTAGTGTAAAGCATCGTGATAAACATCATGGTAGGTTGGTATTTGTTGTTGTTGTTGTTGTCAGAAGTTTGCGCTAATGGTGTGTGTGCCCATCCGACACCTATTTTCCCTGCCTAAGGACCACTCCCTTATCCCGTTCTCAAAACTCACCGGCTCAACTCCTGTAACACCCCCTCCCCTAAGATGATGTCCTGTAAGAGAAGACATCTTTCGCCTTTTCCTAGGCTTCAGCCTCCGAAATAACCCCAAAACCAAGCCGATTCCAGAACCCATGACCCCCAAACACCAAACCCAGACCTCACTTCACACCCAACCCAAATCCAGATTCAGACTCGCACCCGAACTCAAACTCACACCTGAACTCAGGCTCAGCTCAGACTCAGCTCAGACCCAACTCAGACCCAACCCCAAAACCATGCCTAATCTCTCAATTCATTTAAATGCCCCCCCCGCTCCGGTCAACCGAAACGTACAAGTTCGAGGGCACCCGCTTCTGGGCTTGCTCTCGTTCAGCGTATGCGCCAGACATCCGGCGCAGGGCGAAGCCGGTGCCTAGCACGACGAGACCGGCGGCTGTTAGGCGGGGGTGTTTGCTGTTTTTGTTAGTGTGTTTCTTTACATAGTAGGGTGTGTGTTTGTGTATGTGTGTTAGGGTTGGGTTGATATCGAGAATGGGTACCTACCTAAAGATGCGCAGAGCAGAGGGAGGTGGCGAGGCCGCCGCGGCTTTTGGAGATGGGTTCATGGTTGTGGTGTGAAGTGGGGAATCAATATGGTGTTTGAGACAAGAGATGAGATCAGAAGAACAAAAGTCGAGGTTGAGATAGTTGGAGATACTGATAGTTATGGCAGTCGCTCGGGCGATAGCGGTGAAGGGGCCTGACTGTGCGTCTCTAGCGTAATTGCTCGCTCGGATGCCAGGCCGTTTACAGAGCGACAGATAACGTTCACTGCAGCAGACGCACCTAGGGTGCTTTCTGCTTTGATAAGTGACACCTGCGCTTGGCCCTCAGAGTCTCGGGAAGTCCTAGGTGGGCATTTATAACGGTTCTGCCTTCTGTTTGTGTTGTAAGGCTCACTCTACACGTACACGGCCACGAAGTCCATCTGCGATCTATTGGTAAAAATTACCCCAAACAAGCGTGAATTGCCCCGGCCAGATGGCAATGGGCGAGTGGCACAGAGGCACGCGACACCTGCGGCAGGGGGCGACAACCCCGGACGTATCGGGCAGGCACGGCTCTCGCTCGGCTGAAGGCGGAGCTGGTGAGATGAACAGGCCTCGGTGGGCCCAGAACGTGCTGGAGCTTGGGCCTTTTGCCGTTTTGGGACGCCTGAGTGGCCCCTTCCAAGCCCTTAGAGTTGGTCCGAAGCCTTTCGATCTCAACATTAGTCCGGAGTAAAAGAGCCGTTAACTTGTATCTCTCTCAACAAGATCTCGATTGAGAAAGAAGACTAAAGGGTAGTTACTGCCTTGATAACTATTTGGTATTTGCAATTGTCCGCTTCGGATCGCCTGCTGCTCATTTCTTTACCGGGTATGTCGATGACTCAACCCCACCCCTGAATGCGCTGGACCCTTTGAAGGCATGTTCCATCGCCCCTTCTCTTTTCTCCTCTTACCCATCCTTTTGAGTCCCTAGGAGTTCCCGTCCTCATCCGCACCTCAGTATTGACGATTCTTTTCAAGCCATTCCTATAAGTCTCTCCAAATAAATTCCTCAGAGTCTCATACTAAAACAATAATGATCCCCACACCAGTTTGTTCGACTTCTTCAAGGGCATGCGAGTCTTGTTTCTCCTTTTTTTCTCTTAGTTTTTTATTAGTTTTTGCTCGCAGTATTGATTGAATTACTAGCTCCTGCTTCTCATCCCGATTGACATTTGCCCTCAGGCAATGTGGCTGCCTGACGTCGTACATAGTCCTGTGTGACTCGAGCCCTGCGTCACCCCCTATTCCGGGCCCTGATTGGGTAACTGGCCGCAGTCAGTTGGCTCTCCCCTCAGTCCCGTTTGTATGCACGGTATGCCTCCGGGTGCCGGGAACCGGGCGGCGCAGCCTGCAACAAAGCAACGTGGGTTCATCCCACTTCATAGAAGGCGGGAAGGCTAGAGAGTGTATTTTAGACCCAACCGGCACCTTATGGTTCGCGGACAATCAGCCTAGCCGTGTTTGCGATCTGAAGTTTTCCCTCTGGTGAGGGTCCTCATCGCAACACCAGCCTTTCTCCCTTTATAACTCGATCACCACGCCTCGATCACATTTCGACATTGACGGACGGGTGAGATTGAGAATTGTCAAGTCGCATTCCCATAGGTTTCTTGCTGGATTTCTACGCCCACCTTTGCATCTGGTCGTCCATTCCGGCTTCTGTTACACCCCAACGATGGACGTCAGCTTTGATCCGGCGGGCAATAGCCGCACCTATGGCGAGGCCTGTGTCAATTCTCTAGACACCCATATGGCGGAACTTGCGGTAGTCAAGAAGCCAGATATTCGCGATTTTCAGGACAAAGTGCTTGCCGTCGTCAAGTTTCCGTTCGAGGGCTACCTCAAGGCGGCCTGCGATGGCGACCCATGGCCCGATGTCCAGCTTCGCATGAACTATGAAAAGCTCATGGGGCTGGGATCCAAGACGATTCAGGACATGTTCACGCCCCGGGCCCAGGCCCGTTTCCGCCGCCATCTTGGTTTTGAGCAGAGCTTGCCCGAGGGCATCGAATACGTCCTGGACTTTACGCCCCCCTCTGAGGGACCCGAACTGGCCGACCTCACCGCGGCGCTCTGGCTTCCTCGCGTTGTCAAGCTCTGGTTCCTCGCTGGCCAATACATACCCGATCCGATCGTGGCGGACGGCATCGGCGTGCAAAACCGTCCGTTAGCCGACAAGGCCGTTGGTGGCATCCTCACGCTCGGCCATGATGATGTGTGCAAAGGCGTTGGATGTACGTATGCCCCTGCGCGAACCTTCCTATCCTCTGATGGCTATCCTATGCTAACAAACCCCTCAGGTATCGCGAACTATGCGGACTGGCAAGCCCGGCCTTTGGGTGAGCTTCCCGGTATTGTTGAGAACCCTGTCGGTACGCGGCACTTCCCCCCCTGGCGCGACGTGGAAGACTACTGCCCGATCCGGCACCGTGCCGCCATTGTCCGTGTGCTCAACGCCATCAACGGGGAGAGTCTTCTCTTGAACTCGGCGGTGCGTATGTGGACCGTTGCCCAGGTGGCCATCTCCCTCGAGATACCCCAAGTTGTGGTAAGTCGCTTTCTCCTCTCCCGACCGCATTACGCGATGGCATAGCGCGATGGGCATGGACAGACGGCTGATTATCAATCCTAGGTCGACCCCGTCACGCAGTGGCTTGTGGCGCCGCCCAACACCAAGTTCATTGAGATCTGCCCCGAGAGGGCCTACCAACTGGCGCGCGCGCTCAAGATCCCTAGTGTTCTTACCACGTCGTTCAAGATCCTCGTCAACGAGCTCGCCGTGGACTACGCTTCTTCGCGGCCCGTGACACGGCCGCCGCCGTTGACCTGGGCCCAACGTCGCCGAGATGACTACGGCGACCACCCGTCCGACCCCATCGAGTACGCTAGCCGCGCACTGGCAGAGCGGATGCAACAGGCCCTCCAGCTCCTCCGATCGGAAGACTTCTTCACCCGCCTAGCGGACCCCATCAACCAGTGGGAGTGCCTCCGAGCGTACGGGACCGTCATCGAGGTCCTCAGCCCTGACACCCCTCTGCGGGTCGTCTACAACGACCTGGTTAAAGGCCTTGTCTCCAGCTTTTCGGATTTGATAGAAAGTGCCCTGTACCCGGAGTCGCTTGAACAAAAGTCCATCAAGAACCCTACCGCTATGCTCGAAGCCCAGCGGGATCACTACGTTTCCGAGGCCGGGCGCCAGCCCCTCTTCAGCCTCTACTCGCGGCTCACCGACCACCAGAAGCTCCTTACACCCTTTTTCTGGGACCGGCTATCGCGGTTCCCGGAGCGCCGCGGGTTCACTTTGTCCCATTATGACGGCACCACGCTGCGTATCCTTGCCGAAAACTTCAACGTCGAACTGACCTACGCGCTGCGGGACCCGGAGGGCATCGCCGACCTGACTGAACGTGAGTTTGTCACCGCCATGCGACTCGTTTCATGCGCCACAACCAACCGCGACAACGTCGTCGCCGCGCTGGCCGAGTTCAACATAGACCACTTTTACCACGAGTTCTGCGCTTCGGTCAAATCGTTCTGCGCCCAGTACCGCCCATCGCACAACTATGGCAATGAGGAGCATGACAATCCCATTCCCCTGTACTTGTCGGACCACCTGCTACTGTCACTAAGCGAGAAGGAAATGAACTACCTCCCCATCTGGGCTAACGGCCTCGACGATGGCTCCGGTGGTGTCTTCCAGGAACCTGTCCCGCCCGCCGAGATGGGTCCCAGCGAGCCCGGCCCGGGCTACCACACTGGGTATACCATCCCCACAGGCACCGCCATGACCGAAACCGACCCCGACGGCGGCGCGACCGACAACAGGACGGTCTCGGGCGTCCAGCGATACGACGATGTTGTCTCCACCATCGCGCCATCCGACCTCGGCGTCGGCGACCTACGTATCGCCAGCAGCACCGCCAGTGCCAGCCTCATTAGCGGCGGGGGCGGAGGCGGAAAGAGTAGGACGGATGACTGGGTGAGCGCCACGGCCGGACGCAGCGTGGATGTCCAGCACAGCGGGACGGAGACCTCCACGGCCACGACGAGCAAGACAACCGGACGCAGCAGCTTGGCCACGCCATCAGAGGGCGCGTTCACCGCGGGTGACGAAGAAGATAGGATGTATGCGGACGCGCGGTATGCACAGCCGGCGGCACATCAGGCGCAGGGACAGGCGATTGAGCAGTATGTGCATGAGGTGGATGGGGAGAGCCGAGAGGGGGGGAGTAAGAAGAGTGCGGGAGGGGATAGTGAGGATGATGGGGAGTTGGTGTGGGATTCGGATGAGATGGAGGTGGATTTGGGGTTGGATGATGAGGACGATGATGGGAGTTCTACGTTGGATGGGTTTGAGGAGGTGGATGCTGAGGTACGGTGATGAATATTGCGCTGGGGTTAGGGTTATGAATGAACGATATCACGCAAAGAATGGCTGGCGTTTGGGTGGGATTTGGGAAATTGGTTTAGCATAAGTTATGGATTTATGGTACTCTTCATGAGATTGGTCTCTAGTTCAGCCATGGTGGATGAAACCGAGCGGTTATGGCGAGCATACTACACAAAAGCGATTAATATAAAGAGATGCATGCTTAACTTGCCCCATCTATCCACGTTTACCCATACGTTCCACACTAATTATACCATACACCAGCCCATACTCTCCGCAAAGGGTATCATTCCTCAATTCATATCAACCCCCCCAATCTCTCCTTTAACCCCCTTTTAACATCATGTGATGTACACCATGTGATAGACTACCCCCGATTCAACGTATTCCCACTCCCCTTCGGATTAGCCTCCACAAACTCATCCCACGCCCTCGCCTTCATAGTCTCCGCATCCGCCTTCTCATAATTATCTTCATCCGGCTCCGGCCGTCGTCCGCTCGCTTCCCCACCTCCTTCGATGATCCCCCCGCGCCGGGCCTCTTCGTCCAGGTACTCGTCGATTGTCATGGTGGGGAGGTTGTGGCTGGGGCGGAAGACGTTGCGGGTCATTTCGGCCCGGTTGGCGCCCCCGCCGGGGAGGAGGGTGAAGGGTTGGAGGGGTTTGCCTTGTTTTGAGAGGAGGGGGCCGCCGCGGTTGAGGAGGGAGTTGGTGTTGTTGCGGGGCTGGTCGAGGGTGGTGGTGGTGTTGTCGCCGAGGCCGCCGTAGCGTTGGCGGTCGCGGGCGTCTGATGGGTTGGAACCGTTGGATTGGGACGGCGGTGGTGGTGGTGGCGCGAGGGATAGGATTTCCCATTCCCGGTTGAGACCCTCCAGCGCTTGGAAAGTCATATGCGTGCTATACGCCAGATGGGCCAAATGCACCTCCCGCACGGCATCCTCATCCCCCGCACCGGCCGTCCCGCCACGTCGGTCGTCTTCGGTGCCGTACTCGGGCCGTCGGCGGAGAAAGTCGAGTTTGGTGCGGAGTTCTTTTTCGAGTTTGAAGTTGGCTATTTTGGCGTTGCGGCGGGCTTCGGGGTTGGCGGTGAGGGATACGGTGGTGAAGGTCGTTGGGGCGTCGGTGTATTGCTCAAGGAGCTTTTTGTGGGGTGGGGGCAGGAGGCTGTAGCTGTCGAGGAGGTGGAGGTAGCGCTCGTAGGCGTCGCGGGCGGCGGAGAGGATGCGTTTGCGGTCGTCGCGGGGTGAGGAAGGGGAAGAGGGGATCTTTTGGGTGATTTCGGCGAGGTGGAAGTTGATGAGGAGGAAAGGGAGGTCGGTGGTGGAGAGGTCTTCGAGGGATTCGTTGGGGCTGAAGAGGGAGACGGCGCTGGCTAGGGCGAGGGACTCTTGGTAGAGCTTGATGGCGGATGAGACGGTGTCGGCGTATTCGGTTGAATTGGGGGTGAATGGGGTGTTTTCGAGGGTGAGGCGTTTGGATTCGGCGTCGGCGAAGACGTTTTTGAGGGAGCGGGGTTCGTCCTCCATCTTGGTGGGTGTGTGGTCTGACGGATGAAGTTTGGTAATCAACGGACAGAGGATGTCGATAGCTGCTCAGGTGCACACGCGAGGTTGCAAAGGCCTGGGATCGAAGCAGTGGTGGAAAGGACGAGTTGCCCCTCATTGTGGGGTAATCTAGCTTGTACCTTGACTACGGTATTCACACAGTGGAGTACCGCAGTGATATGTCCCTCATCTTCCCACAAGATAATTGAGGTATGTGCAATAAAAGATGGCTCCTAAGACTTTCGGATACCTTTGAAAAGAATTAAGCTAGTATAATCAATAGTAAAGCCATTTTTTGAGACGTTTATGGGCCGATTTCTTGGTGTACGGTACCTAGCCGTCACAGTGTTCCATACGGCCTACAACAAGTATCAAAAGTGGGGTGCTGTCAACCCCTGCCCAGACCGATCTTGACTCCCACTTCTGGCTATGGAGATCGTCCAGTCCCTGCATATAACTCACGCCTGTTCCCATGAGTCGAAGTACTTTATTCAGTCGCTCACTTGTTCGTGCCGCACTCGTACAAAGACCACAGCCTCAGGGAACTCGCAGAATGGCGCTCTATCCAGCCCAAGAAGGGGCCAAACTAATTTGTATGTAACAATCTCATTTTATTTTATTATTTCATATCCCACTACCTTAATTTTACTCAGCCCAACTTCACACACCGTTTCTCTTCCACCTCCCCTCTCAATGACTCACTCCAATACTCACCCGCCTCCAGTCGCCCCCGCCGGCGCCACCCAAGACCAAACCATCGAAATCCCCCTCGCCCCGGGTCAAGCAGCCCAATTCCTCCGCACCGAGCACCTCGGCGGGCTCAAGCGCAGCGACCTCCAGCCACACGACCCCATCGCCCAATTTCACGCCTGGTTCGACGAGGCCTCAAAACCGGCATCGGGCATCCCGCACCCGGAGGCCTGCACGCTGGCCACGGCTCAGCTGCCGTCGGGCCGGGTGTCAGCGCGTATGGTGTACTTGAAGGAGCTGGACACCAAGGGGTTTGTGATTTATAGTAATTTTGGGACGAGTGGGAAGGCGAGGGATTTGTTTGGGTCTGCTGCTTCTGGGGAAGGGTCTAATGGGAATGGGAGCGGCAGCGGGGACGGGACGAGTACGGGAAACCCCTGGGCGTCGTTGGTGTTCTACTGGGAATCGCTGGAGCGCCAGGTGCGCGTGGAGGGAAAGACGGAGCGGATCCCCCCGGCCGAGAGCCAGGCGTACTTTGATACGCGGGTGCGGGGCAGCCGGATCGGGGCGTGGTCGAGCCGGCAGAGTGCGGTGCTGAAGCCGGATCCGGCTGTTGAAGGGGATGATGGGCGGGCGATGTTGGAGGGATGGGTGAAGGAGACGGAGGAAAGGTTTGAGGGCAAGGAGCAGATTCCGGTGCCCGAGTTTTGGGGCGGACTGAGAATTGTGCCGGAGCGGGTGGAGTTTTGGCAGGGCCGGCAGAACCGGTTGCATGATCGGTTTGTGTATGACCGGGTGAGGGGGGAGGATGGGAGGGAGGAGTGGACGCTGGAGAGGGTGAGTCCATAGGGCTGAGCTGCTTGTGGTTATCCCTTTCTGAGTCTCCCTGAGCGTTCCTAAATCTAAGGCAGAGAGAGTCATCAGAATTTCGAGAGTTAGATTTTAAGCATTGTCAGTTTATAGCGAACCCAGCGGTTTCCTATTATACGTGTTCTCTTCCCTCCTTATGCTTGTTTTACGGTAAGTTTTCACTATTTATCTGACTAAAAATACAATAGAACAAACACCGGACATTGTACTGCAGCAGGTGCCACCCTCATCCTGCGGCCACTTGGTCACGGCAGGTGCATGGTCGGCCTCAGTTTCCTCCTTTTGGGCCAATCCGACCTATCGGAGTGCTTCTCGGGCAGTTATTCCGCTGCAATAACCCAACTTGGCCAAACTTCATCTCTTGTTTACTCACGTGGCTCAACGTCCGTGATTCCTATCTCTATTTTTCTTTGTTCTTTGCCTCTGCCTCGCTCCTTCTACTTCTACTTTCTCACTAGATAATTTTGGCGATCTTTTGCTAAATACCCTTCACCAACTTTGCAAACGAACTGAGGCTGCAAACTCGAACTTATTCAACCAAACCAAATTCCATTGCTCCGACCTTTTCACATCTTCTCACAATTAATTAGTTTTCTTCACATTTGCTCACCACGATAGTACTCGCTACTAGGCTACTCAGTCCCAACATCATGGACACAGAAATGAGAGATGCGGCGATCCACCCGCCGCAGACCCAAGTGTCCGCTGAGGTAGATATGATGGACATTGATGGCCCAGTCGTGACAAGTGTTTCGGCGGGACCCACGAGTGCCCCGGAAGAGGAAGATGATTTGGCCAATGCCGACGATACTGACCGGGAAGACGAAGAACAAGACGAAGAGCAAGACGGCACAAAGAAGCTGATTGTCAATCCCGCACCCAAACCACGCAAGATTTCGGAGCGCAAACGAGCAGACCATGCAGCGTTCGAGGAGTGGATCGAAGAGAATCAAGAAACCTTCGCCAAGGGCGTGGAAAAGCTCGTCGTCGCCGACGATGTCAAGTCATTCCAGACCCTGATCCGGGACTTTGAGAACAAGCGGATCATCTCGAGCCCGCGCGACTACCAGCTGGAGCTGTTTGAGCTGGCCAAGAAGCAGAATACCATCGCCGTGCTTGACACAGGTTCGGGCAAGACCCTGATTGCGGCCCTGCTGCTTCGCTGGACGATCCAGGCCGAGCTGGAGAACCGGTCCAAGGGCGCGCCAAAACGTATTGCTTTCTTTTTGGTCGACAAGGTTGCGCTGGTGTTCCAACAGCACGCGGTGTTGACGTGCAATCTGGACTACCCGGTGGAGAAGTTCTGCGGGGACATGGTCGAGGACGTGTCCAAGGCGTTTTGGGAGAAGACGTTTTCTGAGAACATGGCGATTGTCTGCACCGCCGAGATCCTGTATCAATGCCTGACGCATTCGTATATCCGGATGCAGGAGATCAACCTGCTGGTGTTCGATGAGGCACACCATACCAAGAAGAACCACCCGTACGCACGCATCATCAAGGACTTCTACATCGAGGTCGAGGACCAGGACCAACGGCCGCGCATTCTCGGCATGACTGCCTCGCCCGTGGACGCGCAGATCGACCCCAAGGTGGCGGCAGCCGAACTCGAGGCGTTGTTGCACAGCCAGATCGCGACGGTGGCTGACCCGGCTGCGCTGCAAAACAGCAGCAGCCGGATCAAGCGTGAGGTGATGGTTGAGTATGCACGACGGCCGCCCAACTGGGAGACGGAGCTCAACCAGGCCATCGGCAAGTTGGTCGGAGAGTTCCGGGTGTTCCAGAAGCCGCTGGCGTTCACGACCAGGGCCGCGGCTGAACTGGGTCCGTGGTGTGCGGATCGGTACTGGCAGCTGTACTTTGAAGACGAAGACAGTATCCGGCACGAGTCCAAGGCGGAGCGGGAGATCCTACGGCAGTCGGCGTACAGCATGGGCATGAGCGAGAAGATCGACAAGGTCAAGGAGGCGCACGGTCTGGTGAAGCAGCACCAGTTTGCGCGACCGAGCCTGGAGCAGCTGTCGCACAAGGTCAGGATGCTGCTGAAGATCCTGCGGGACCAGTTTTCGAGCGTGGACCACGATCGGCGCTGCATTGTGTTTGTGATGCAGCGGAACGTAGCGACGCTGCTGGTAGATCTGCTAAAGCAGCCAGAGATGAGGATCCCTGGACTGGAGCCTGGTGTTTTGGTAAGAGAGTCTAGAGAATAAGAAAGGGGTTTGTTTCCGGATGTTAACATTGTGACAGGTTGGGGGCGGTCGGCCTGAGGGAAGCCATGACGGCTCCAAGGTGACGTATCGCGACCAGGTCTTGACCATCGTCAAGTTCAAGCGAGGCGAGATCAACTGCGTGTTTGCCACCTCCGTAGCCGAGGAAGGGCTCGACATTCCCGACTGCAACGTGGTCGTCCGATACGACCTCAACACCACGCTGATCCAATACATTCAGTCCCGCGGGCGGGCACGCCGAGCCGGGTCGGTCTACATCCACATGGCCGAGAGGGGCAACGTTGAACACTTGCAACGGCTACGGCAGAACCAGAACAGCGAGGACGCGCTGCGCAAGTTCTGCGAGGCCATGCCCGAGGACCGGAAGCTGACGGGGAACAACTACAACATGGACTACTTCCTGCGCAAGGAGAAGGGCCAGCGGCAGTATACCGTACCATCGACGGGGGCCAAGCTCAACTACAAGCAGAGCCTGATTTGCCTGACTGCCTTCGTGGCCTCACTGCCGCACCCGCCCGAGGTCAATCTCTCAGCCGACTACGCCGTGTTGTCCGTTCCAGGTGGCTACCAGGGCGAGGTGATTCTACCAGATGCTTCGCCTATCCGCAACGCGACGGGGCGCATCTATGCGAACAAAGCGGTGGCCAAGTGTTCGGCGGCTTACGAGATGTGCCTGAAGCTGATCCAGGGCAAATACCTGGACGAGCACCTCAAGCCCATCTTCGCCAAGCAGCTCCCCGCAATGCGCAATGCCCGGCTGGCCGTCAGCTCCAAGAAGCGCGAGCAGTACAAGATGCGCCTCAAGCCCGAGATCTGGTCGGGGCGGGGCGAGCCTGTGGCGATGTACATCACAGTGTTGACGCTGGCCAGCCCAGAAGTGCTGGGTCGGCCATCAGCACCGCTGCTGTTGCTAACGCGGCAGCCGGTACAGCAGGTCGCGTCGTTTCCGCTGTACTTTGGCGGCGGGAAGTCCTCCGCGGTTGAGTGTGTGTCGGTGCCTGGGCAAATCGAGCTGGCAGTTTCGGAGAGCGAAGGCCTGACGACGTTCACGCTGGCGGTATTCAAGGATGTGTTCAGCAAGGAGTACGAGGCTACAGCGGCCGATCTTCCGTACTTCTTAGCTCCGACCAAATTGGGACACGGGGCCGAGAGATTTGCGGCAGTTAGCGAGGTTGATACCAAGAAAATGGTGGACTGGGAGACGGTCAAGTATGTGCAGGAGAACGAGCGGGTTCCGTACCGATTCAACGATGAACCGGACGCCTTCTTCCACGACAAGTTCGTCACGGACCCCTACGACGGCTCCCGCAAGTTCATCCTACGTGGACGGCGCCACGACATGAAACCGACCGACGCCGTACCACCCGGGATCGTGGCGCCGGGACATCGGGCGTGGCGTGTAACCTGCAAGGAACACGACATCTCCAACTACAGTCTGAGCGCGTGGTCCAAGTCGCGCGCTCTGCTGGCCCCACGAGCGGATCAGCCTGTAGTGGCGGCTGAGTTACTGTCGATCCGGCGCAATATGCTGGACGACCGCGTGGACGAGCAAGATTTGCAGCCACGGCCATGCTTCCTGGTGCTGGAGCCCCTGAGGATCTCTCCGGTAAGTCATTGTCGCACATTTTACACAGCATAAGCATATCCGCCCTTTGTATTCCCCAACGCGAGACATAACTAACACAGATCAGCTGCCCGTGGACGTCGTCGCTATGATCTACCTGTTTCCGGCTATCGTACACCGCATTGACTCGAACCTGGTCGCCCTCGAAGCGTGCAAGAAGCTGGGTCTTGAGCTCCGGCCCGACCTAGCCCTCGAGGCATTCACCAAGGAAGGCGACACGGGGGACCACGAGAACCAGAATGAACACGAACACAACCTCGACAAGGTCGGCGCCGGGCAGGTCAACGCGCAGGGCGCCGGGCACAACTACGAGAGACTCGAGTTCCTCGGCGACTGCTTCCTCAAGATGGCCACAACCATCTCCATCTTCACGTTGATACCCGACAAGGGCGAGTTTGAGTACCATGTTGAGCGCATGCTCCTGATCTGCAACCGGAATCTGTTCAATAACGCTTTGGACTTGCACCTCGAGGAGTACATTCGCTCCATGGCCTTTGACCGCCGTACCTGGTACCCCGAGGGACTCACCCTGAAACGCGGCAAGCACAAGGCCGACGCTTCCGGGGGACGCCAGCACGTCCTAGCCGACAAGACCATTGCCGACGTGTGCGAGGCTCTCATCGGTGCCGCCTACTTGACCGCCCAGGCCGGCGACCCCCCCGGATTCGACCTCGCCATCCGCACCGTGTCACTCCTCGTCCGAGACAAGAACCACGCCATGGCGTCGTGGCCCGAGTACTACGCCGCGTACCAACCCCCGACCTGGCAGACCGCCCCATGCAACTCGGCCCAGCTCGACATGGCCGCCCGTTTTGCTGAGCGCATGGGCTACACCTTCACCCACCCGCGCCTACTGCGCTCCGCTTTCCAACACCCGACCTACCCGTTCGCGTTCGAGTCCGTGCCGTCGTACCAGCGTCTCGAGTTTCTGGGGGATGCCCTGCTGGACATGGCCTGCATCGACTTCCTGTTTCATAGCTTCCCCAAGGCCGATCCGCAGTGGCTCACCGAGCACAAGATGGCCATGGTATCAAACCAGTTCCTGGGTTGTCTAGCCGTGTACCTAGGGTTCCACAAGTCGCTGCTGATGTGCTCTGCTTCGCTGCAGGCTGAGGTGGGCGAGTATGTTGCCGACGTCGAGCTAGCCTTGGAGGAAGCAAAGAAAAAGGCCGTTGCGGAAGGGAAGAGCGAAGACGACTTTGCGAAGGACTTCTGGCTGTCCATCGGCATCAACAGCAGCACTGCACCTGGCCCTTCTAGTCTCACCGCTGGTGCCGGTGGAGTTGGCCGTCGTCCTCCCAAGTGCCTACCCGACGTCCTCGAAGCCTACATTGGCGCCTTATTCGTCGACAGCTGCTACGACTTCTCCCTAATCCGCCAGTTCTTCACCGCCCACATCCGCCCTTTCTTCGAAAACATGGCCCCCTACGATACCTACGCCAACAACCACCCCATCCCCTTCTTCGCGTCCCTCTTGCTCCAGCGCATGGGCTGCACCGAGTGGCGCATCCACGTCAAGGAGATCCCAGCTTCGTCCGTTGCGAACAATAGTTCGTCAGCGATGGGCACGCTGGGAGGGGAAGAAGAGGGTCCTGCGACGGGGGCGGCGGTGTTCATGGCTGCGCCGCAGGTGGTGTGTGCTATGCGCGTGCATGGGTTGCCGCTGGCGCATACAGTTGGGCAGAGTAGTCGGTATGGGAGGGTGGCGGTTGCGAAGAAGGCGGCGAGGTTGTTGGAGGGGATGGATGTGGAGGGGTTTCGGAAGGGGTTTGGGTGTTCTTGTCGGGGGGTGGTAAACGGGGAGGGAAAGGGAGAGTAAAGAAGGCAGTGATGGGGAGAAAGTGGGGGCGGATGGTGAAAATGGGGAGATCATTCTGAGATAGAGGCATTATTTCTTTACATGGTGCAAATTTCTTGGGAGTTTGGGGATTCGGGGTTTAAGGAGTCATCTATCTACCTACTGACGTTGTCTACTGCATCATGGCATTTGCATCGGCGTTGATGAGGCTTTTCCTAGGTTATTCCTTAGGTTATTTGGCTCTGATATTGAGCACGAGGGAGGGTGAAAAGTTGAGCGTTCTTAGAAGAGACGTAGATACCCTTTCAGATTTGAAGGTACGGTAGAAGACGTGCGATAATACGAAAGATTCAGCGTGCTTAGTTCATTGAAAATGGGTTCTTAGAGAGACTACAGTCTCGAGGATAGCAGGTTCAGTGATCACAGCTGGTTTTTTTTTTTTTTTTTTTAAAAAAAAAGGGAAGTAGATATCTCCTTAGATAGGTTTGTAGGAGATACACGCCATAATGCGAAAGATTCACGAGAACTACTCACTTTTCTGTGGATGGATGGGAGAAGGAGAAGCTGGGCCTGATGTCTGCTGTACATACACATCATTACCGGAGAGGTCGGGTACACATGTCTGCTGAGACACGTATGTCGTGCTGTGGCATAGTGTGGCGTGGCATGGCATATTCTAATCCATCCACCCACCTTACCCCCTTTTCGGCTCCGGGTTTGTTTGTGTGTCAATCTCACACATGTCATGATGGAAAACTGCCTGCCTGGCGTTAGGATAGGTTGTGCTGTGATGACACGGCGGTAGGATAATGAGTTTTTCTTCTTTGGATATTTCCAGGCGAGAGAGGGATTATCGTCTACTATGTACATCCAAGATCCTGCCTGCATGGCTCTGAGTTGGGAATGTATCTGTGCATGCAAGCGTGGAGGGTAGTATGAAAGGTAATTAGTTTTCGGTATAATATATTGTCTGCTGTCTGCTGTCTGCTGTCTCTATCCATGTCCGTGGCCCCCAACAGAAAGTAGGCACCCATGCGCAGTTCATGATGGTCGGTGGTTGCTCACCTTTGGTGTGGGTGTGGTTGTGGGATTGGGGTGCATACAGCCTGTATGTGTGGAATGGAAACGAGATGAGTGAGAGCAAGTATCTCGCTGCCAACTTGACATGCTCAGCTAACCAGCATATCTGCTATGCATGTATGCTCTGCATGTACATGTACCCAGGTACACTCGAGGTTTTGAAGTCGCTGTTTCCCGTCCCTTTGGTCTCGGTCCGTTTGTTCAATGTTGGCTGGGGCTCAGCGATTTTTGCTGCGGGGTTGAGATCCCCGATACCGAAACGGGAGCTACACTGCGCGCAAAGGCCTTGCCTGCAGGTTCCTGCAAGACGCATGCCCATGTCCGTTCACCTTGCCTAGTTGTTTCGTATTGACCTCCTGTTTGAATTGACCTCTCCGGGCTGGGTTTCGTTTCAGCGTCTCAATCCGGGAAAATAGCCGTCCATGAGTGTAACCAAACGGCGGATCCTTGGCCACGACTGGCATACCGACATAGACTGCACTTACATGGGCTCAGGGGTAAAAAATTAACGGCCAAACGAAGCAACACCCAGCAGTTTGTCGTGAAGTTGCCACCACGTGGGTTTGCACGACTGCCTAGACTTATCTATGTATATGTACGGATAGCTGCATCTGTACCACCATTGTACGCAACGGGCAGTGTCTCCCGGAGAATGACTGGAAGACTCTGTCTGACCTGCAGCTTGCCATCGATAATCGCCGGGAAACAACAGGCGACCTCCCGAGACCTTGGAGAGAAAATCTCCAGATGAGACGCTGCAGCCAACCGGTCAACTAGCTAGCACCCAGAGCCGGGACATTTTGTTCTTCAAACCGCCACTCGAAAACGGCGAACACTCAATAGAGAAAAAAAAGGTAAGACATGGCGGGGTTAGCCTGATGAGGAGTCGTCGTCGTGTTAGGTAATCTCAATCTTTGATGACGTCCAATAGCAGCTGGTCAAGAGAGTTGATGTCGAGTTCGCAAGTCGCCGTTTGTGATGCGAGCAGCCGTTACGCAGCGAGGTAGCTTCCCTCGCGGCAGGCGTCAGAAGGGCGGTCAGGACAGGTTGGAAGAAGCATCGCGGGCAACGAGGGAAGGAGCTGTTCAGAGGACTTGCTTGCGAGATACGGATGAGACAGCAGGAGCGATCCCGTGGCGTGACTCTGCGAAGACCTTTCCTTCCGTTGGAAAGTTTAGGCGACGGGTCCCAAGAGGATCTCGTTGGTTTCCCCCGTTCTCACCCCCATTTTCGCCCCATTCATCTCGTCATGCCCCTGGGCTTGGTGGTTTCAACGTTTCTTTTGCTGTTCGTTTTTTCCGCCCGTCCGGTGTTTGACCTCAGCTACGAATCGCCGGTTCACTGGACGACGAGGGTCTGCCCCCCAAAGAGCGACGCAGGGTTAAGTCGATCCCAAGAAATAGTCCGAGTAAGTTGACGCACATCATCTTTGACATGTTGATCATGATCCTCGCTTTTGTCGACTAAGTGGGCTCGTTTTTGTTCTTCCTGACTTGCAATTCGTGGGGGACGACGGCGAAGGGATGTCATGGGGCCGCCTCGGATTGAGAATCTGGCGTTCCACGACTCGCAGCTGGGGAAGCTCTTGCAGCGCTTCCAAGTTCTTTCGCAGGCTGCATCCATTGGGGTTCAATACGAGTCTACACTAACCGGCACCCAAGATCTGATTTTCCCCGTGGAGGAAGCAAACAAACGCAATCGAAAACTTTCCCATCTTTCACACCCGCTGGAAAGGTCACCCACCCGAAAAGGCAACCCTCCATCTTTTTCGCTTCTTTTTCCGAGAACAGATCAACCAGGTTGGGCGATCTTTCGATCGACGAACCAGGGGCCAAAGACGCTGATGCATTGCGAAAGCAGGGGTTGCGCGATAATCCCTGCTCCCTGGCGGAATGTCGGAGCCCCTGGACACCTGGACTCACCTGGCGTGCCTGGGCGAGGCCCGCCAAGAAGGGGCCCGCGGCTGTCTTTTTTTCCGGGCCACGCGCGATCGGACAGGGGAACGGCCTTGGCGTCCGAAGAAGCAGGTGCAAGCACGAAGCATGTGGAGCGCGCTGCGCTGGAAACCCGCAAACAAGGACGGACCGCAACGGAAAAAATAAGAAAAATGCACGCAGGGCGCGGCGTGGGCGGAAAGCAAAGCGGAAGCTCGGCGGTCCTCTTTTCGGGGCCGATCTCGAGCTTGCCCCCAAAATCTACGTTTACGCTGAAATTAGCAGCCCGTGGGCATTCGGCATGTTCAATGGGGAAATAACTACTCTGGACAGCGGCAATACGGGAATTGCCTGTAATGGTCAGCATTGACTAGTTATTGAAGACAAACGCAGAGGTTGCGGTGTGCGTGAGCTCGGCCGATGTCTTACTCTCGCACCAACATCGCCTGCCTGCCGGTCCCGGTCGTTTGCGATCGCTCTCGCTGGTCACCGGAAACCTCATCAGCCAACAGCAGGTGTCAATCTGGCTAGGAACACTAACGTCGTTGGCATGGAATAGCGCCGAAACACGTTCGGGCCTTCGAAATGTAACCCAAGGACCCAACCGCTGCCAAACCCCGCCTTCGTCGCGTCCGCACGGACGGGCGACCCAGGCAGGGTGGACTGATGGACAATTCCTCGGGCGAGGACACTCAAAACGTTGGAGCGTTGGTAGCCGACAGCATGGGATTTCGTCCGGGCACGAGGTTGCAAGGTGTGGCCCTGTTCACGAGTGTACGAGCGGCCGAGGATTCGAGCATGTCCGCTGTCCAGGCTGTTTGAGCGTGTCCCTGGTGTCCTTCTTTGCAACGCTAATATGCTGTCTTGAGCTGAAGCCAGGCACGGTGCGAACCCTGGGCCGTGGACAAAAGGGCACTGGACAGGAGGGCTCTGACGGAGAACACCTTTGCGGCCACTTCCTGCAGCTGCAAACGCCATGTGCATGCGGGAGAGAACGCACTCGCGATAGGCTGCGTAGTCTGCGGAGTGCGTGATGCGGATGGCGAGGACGCAGCCTCGCTGCTCGAGCGTGGCGACAATCTCGTCCATGCGCATACGGGTTGCGACTCGTGCGGTTGCCCGTCGTTATCTGCGCCGTGTCGCTCGTTTGTTTGTTTCCCTGTGTCCGTAATTCGACTCCCAGACTTTCAGGACGATCGGATCGGATCAGCTGGCTGCCCCAGACTGCCGCGCCGGAATCTGGCGAGAAAAAAAACTCCTTGTGTTTGAGGGTCGGCGGCTGATTGGGCTGCCGTGGAATTGGGCCCCGCTGAGCATGAGAGCGCCGGAGAGAATACACTGGGGGTGTTCCCCGTCCCAGGCATGACGACTTTCCTGCATCTTCCCGGTTCCCGAGAGGCCGTCACGGATCAGTGGGAATCGACAAGGGGGGGTGGACGCCTCCCGCTGCAGGGGTGGCCGGCCTTGTCCCACCGTCCCACCGTCCCATCCTCCCATCGTCCCACCCCAAAGCTCCAGACCGGATGCAGTCAGATGGATCCCAAGGCGTGAGCTGGACTTCTTGAAGCATCCCAGGCCCTCGGGGTTCGTGTCCCGAGGGTTCATTTTCTCCTTTTAGCTGGTGTCGCCCTTCTCTTGCCCGCCCCAGCCTGCTCCTATGACCTTGGGATTTCTTTTGCACTTTCTACTCTCGCTTTCTTTAGGAGCCTTTTCGAGCGTTTAACATTATTATCCTTTCCTTTTACTAGCACAGCCTTGCAGACGTACCGAGCTTGACGGATTTGGGGACTTACAGAAATATTGGTCCCAGGACGAAGAGGCGGATTTACATCGACGTGTATCACCACAACGGAACAGGACGACAAACGGCACGGGCTATCCTTTTCCACCGGCTTATGGCCGGTTGACAGTAACCATGGGCTTGTTCAGCTTTCTTTCGAAACGACCTGCCAACAAGGCACGATCGGGCGTATCCTCGGCAGCCTCACAGCGCTATGAGCCGAGCATCTCGGGCTCTGTAGCGACGACACAAGGTACTAGCGGGAAGAGACTTGGCGTGGGCTCTGTTTGTGCATTTTACAGCTGACATTAGTTTGTAGGTGGACGTTCCGTGATTGGGAACGAGACGCAAGTCAACGATAAGGTGTTCAGGGGCACAGGATTCAGTCAGTCAGCTCTATCCCTTGACAGCTCCGACGAAGACCAAGACGAAGAACCGGCGCCGACGCCCCGAGTACCCCGATTCCGAGATGAGAGCGTAGAAAGGCCGAGCACGGCCCCGAGTAGCCGTCCGTCCAGCGCGGCTGGGGGAAAAACTGCTAGTCCACAGACTAAGAAGAATGGGCAAAAGCGGCCGCCTCCGCTTTCGTTCCGGCCCACACGGCCCGCGCCGACGGCACCGAGCGCGCCCGAGTCCCGACCTGGCTCTCGCGGTTCCATGCGCACGATCACCAACGCACTCCGTCGGCCTGCTGGACACGGCCGCAGCGAGTCTCTCCGAGTAGACTCCACCGCCAAGACGTTCAAGGACCTGCTCGATGCACAGTCGGAGATCAAGCCGGCCGATTTCCATGCTAGGGTGAAGGCGGCGGGGGCGAGAGACTATGGCGAGGACGTGGCCGAGCGGAATATGGGCGCCAACGGGTCGTTTAACTTTGACTTGCCACATGGTCAGGGGTACTCTTCCCAGCCGCAAACACAGGGAGCGGGAGCGGAGGCTCGCGCGGCAGGGCCGGCGGCGGCTAAGAAACTGGATCCGTATAAGGCGGGTGTGCGGAGGAAGTCGCCCCCTGCTACCCAGCAAACGTTCATGCGGCCGGTGGATCTGGAGAGCGCAACACCGTTGGGGCCCGGGGCGACCCGGAAGCAGGATCCGGCACGGCGCCGGTCGGTCAGCACTTACCTGCCTCCTGGACTGGGCAAGATGAAGTTTTTGCCTTTTGACCGGTCGGAGGAGGAGGAAGAGACTAAGGAGACCAAAGACCTCTCACCGCGCACGCCAGGGTTGGATATCAACAAGTTGGACACCGGCGTTGCTGCGCTGGGGCAGAGCCGGCCGGTGATCCCTCGGATGCCCCGCGTGCCTCGGATTCCCGAATCGGCCCCGGCTCCGGCGATCCGCAAGGCGTGGCGACCGCGCGACTCGGTCGAGCTCGCAAAAAAGAGGAGCGAGACGCCGGTGCTGGAGGAGCACAGCGAGAACGAGTCGTCGTCGTCGCCGGCTACTGACTTTGCCGTGTGGTCGGCCACGCGATCCCGGAGGACGTCGGCTATGTTCCAAGCGAGCATGGCGCCGAAACGGCACCAGAGTCTGCAGGCTTTGCGGGCGCCCGTGTCGTCGGTATCCGCGTTGGCGTCGGCGTCAACGTCGGCGGTCGTCACGCAGGATGCGGTGATGCAGGCGACTCCGCTGATGCACCCACCTATCATCCCGCGCAATCATGGTCACAGGGAAATCCGGGACGGTCCGATTTATGAGGTACGGAGTGTCGAAGAAGCGGCGTCTATCAAATCCATCAAGTCCATCACCGGTTCACCGGGCCGTTCCGCTCGCGCGACCTCTCCCACCCCCAGTTTCCGCCTACTCTCCATGAAGGATCTCGCCCACCCCTCCGCCGCAGACATCACACTCCCCGACGACGACACACTAGACTTCCCCCCGCCCATCCGCACCCGCAGCACGCGGGGTTACTCGGCGTCCTCGGGTACGCCCACCGCCTGCGGCAGCAGCACCAGCAGCGCGTCGGCGAGCATCACAGCCAGTACGCTAAACCACACCATCAGCACCAGCAACCGCCCGCCATCTCTGCACACGGCAGGCACCTCGGTGGACCTCAGCATCGGGACCATCTCCCCCAAGCTCAAACCGGTCGGTGTCGCCCGGTCCCTTGGTAATCCGCATGACGACTCGGAGGACGATTCCGGGTCTCACTACGACGACCGGGATGGAGTGTCGGTTGATGATGACGACAACGACCATCTCGCGCGTCCAAAATCGTCAGGCTCTGCAGTCGGAGCGTTCAACATAGACGACTACCTCTCTTCTGATGCCGAGTCGTTAACCGCCGCCATGGCTGGTCTCGACGACGACGATAGGAACAGAGACAGGAGCAACAGCCACGACAGCGGCCTCAGCACGGCTACGACGACCAACACCACGCCTAACCGCCGGCCGACCGCGGAGGGCGAGGAGGAGTTGCTGTTTGATGATTTTGGCTTTGGGATGAGCGGGATGCAGTTGCCTGGGTTGGCGGATTCGTTTCCTGTGGAGAATGGTCGTGCCGGGAAAGGTAGCAGGCGGCGGGGGGAGGATGGGGTGGAGAGTGAGAGTAAAAGTCGCAAGGCGTCGCGGACTATCACTCGACGTGCGACGGTGTCGATGGTGTATGAGGATGGGATGTATGATGATGTGGCGGCGGTGCGTGGGCGCAGGCGGCAGTGGGAAACAGATGCTGCTGCTGTGGTACCGAATGTGCAGAACGGTCGGGCGAGGGGCAACTCGGCGAGTGCACGGCGGTCTGGGTATCCCTATCCCTCTCACGGTAACCACAACCACGGCTACAAACGGAGATCTCTCACCATCGGCCTCGGCGGTAGACTAGAAAGGGAAAGGGAACAGAACCCCTACACTACCCGCAACAGGCGCTACATCCTCGACACCGCAGCTGACGACGACGACGATGAAGACAACGTTGACGACGACGAAATCAACGACGACGCCACCGAGTACGAGTCTGCTCGCTCCGAGTACGACGATGACCCCCACTCTCCACTCCCGGTCCCCGGAAATGCCCGACATCGCAAGGGGTTGTCTGCTGTCGGCGGCTGTGTCGGTGCTGGTGTCGGTGCCAATGTTGGCGCCGGTACCGTAGATGACGAAGCAGGGTATGACGCGGATTATGTCGAGGATGACTCGGAGGGTTTACTCGCGTGTCGGCGGAGGCAGTACCGGCAGCGTTTACTCCAGACTCAAACCTCGACGGCTTCTTCAAACCAGGGGAAGAAGACCACCGCCACCACCACCACCACCTCTAACAATCAAATCTCAGCCCTTCGCCAGTTAGAAGGACGGGGTATTGACCTGGAAGTCCTCGAGAGGGAGTTACAAGCCCTCGGGCTAAGCTTGGCGCATGTCCAAGCGGCGAGGGGGCAGATGGAGGACGAAGAAGAGAAGCCGAAGCGCAGTGGGGGAGAAGTGGACGGGGAAGAGTCGGCGCAGCGGAATGCGGAAGAGAATAAGGTTGCGGCGGCGGTGAGGTTGAGGAAGGAGATGAAGCGGGCTAAGAGGCTGGCGGGACAGCCGTCCAAGGGAATGTTACGAAGGGGGGTTGTCTGAGTTGGACAGCGTCGGGGTTATGTGTAAGCTGGGTAGCCTTGGGTTTCTGTAGAAGTGCAGGGAGGGCATCTGGGTTCCTGGTTGGGATAAAGGCGGTTATGGCGGGCATTGTTTTGGTTGGTAATGCTTGGTACTCGGCATGGTTTGGCTGGTTTGGCTGACACGGTTTGGTACGCTGGACACTGGACACTGGACACTGGATACTCGACGCTGGTATGTTTGGTAAGATACACGACTTGATACCCCGATATGACGGCTGCTTTTGGAGGCGGTTTGCTTCGAAGCTTGGACTTGCTTGCATTAAGTACTTTAATACGACATCATTTGATTGCTGTGTATTTGCTCTTCCTCGACTTGACTGATTCTGCAACGCATCGTCTAGTATAATCCGTGCCTGAAACCCTCAAACCCCGGAATGTAACCCAGCATACCAAGCGAGCATAACTACAGTATTCGTAAAAAAATAATGCATCTAATCTAAACTCCCCGCCAACGCCACACAACTAAACCTCAAATCCCCCCCCTCCCGTTCCAAAAACTTCAACGGCCCCACCGCCAACGCCTTCTCACTCAACACATCCTCCCCCTCCTCCAACCCCCCCCTCCTCAACGGCCCCTTCCTCCGTCCATCCATCTCCCACAACCCCCCATCCCCGCCCTTCACAAAACAAACAAAATGCAAATCCACATCATCCTCCGCCGCAGGCGCCGTCGTATCCCCTTGGCTCGCCACCGCGCGGTGGGCGCGGGCAAGGTCGGCGTTTTGTTCGAGGAGTTTGGCGCGGGCGGCGGCCGGGTGGGTGTGGGGGAGGTTGGTGGAGGGATCGCGTTGGGAGGCGGAGAGGAGGTGGGAGAGGGTGGTGCGGGGTTGGATGTGAGAGCGGGCCGGGCCGTTGAGGGAGGCGTGGAGGAGCCCGATGAGGCCGCAGGCGTTGCGGATTGTTTGGGGGAACCAGAGGACTGGTTCTTCTTCTGCTTCTTCCTTTCCCCCCGGGTTTTCTCCTTCCTGGGTTTGGGTTGGGGGGTTGGTCTTGGTCCGGTAATCGGGCAGCGAAGCGTCTTCGGCTAAGCGGTGGGATTCGTAGGCCGCGGAGACGGGGAAGACGAGTAAGAGGGCGAGGGCCGGGCGGGGGATGAAGGAGAGGAGGTCCGGGTCGGTGAGGGAGTAGACGTCGTGGATGGCGAGGGTCGGGGAGAGGCCGAGGTTGTGGAGGAGGGTGGTCATTAGTTCGGGGTTGGCTTCGAGGGGGATGAAGGCCGGGGGTGCGGTGGTGGGAGTGTCGGCGGTAGACATTTTGGTGGTGTTTATGCTGTCGTGTTTTGTTTGTTTGGTCGGAGTTTTGGTGGTGTTGAGGGGTTGTTTGTTTGTTGAATTGATTTCTGAGCACAAATTCGATCGAAATAGATCGAAATAGATCGAAATGGGTTTCGAGAAAAAGTCCGAGTTCGATATCTAGGGTGGTGGATTTCAAATACCCCAGGCTCAAGCCGTGCCTCGCCGATTTCAAGGTTTGTTTGTCGTCGTGGTTTGTGTTGATTGTTCGAGCTTGGAAAGTTGCAGGAAGCTAGTTAACGTAATGCGCAAGGTGAGCTGCCTGGCGCGGGGTTGGCTCGGGCCGAGGATGACCTCATAGGAATGGCCCGCTAAGGTCGACAGAAAAGGGTTAGGGTTAATGAGCTAAGAGGGTTAGGGTTGAAGAGGGGTGATTTTATGATACCCAGCAACTAGAACTGAGAAAAGGGCTTCCAGGTATGTACATAGTATGTAAGCAAGTAAGTACACTCGTCTTGACTCTATTGAGGACTGACCAGACAGGATATTCCAAATCTACCATTTATGCGACCATTCCGTTTTCCCACATGCACCTATGTATCGTACAAAATCATAACATCACACACACATCAACACATACACACATCAACACATACACACATCAACACATACACACATCAACACCTCCCCAGTTTTCACTGCTCACTAGTTAAGCCTGAGCAGCAGCCTCCTCCTTCTTCTCATCCGTCACCTCCAGCTGTTCCAACTTCAACTCCTCCGTAATATCCGCCTCCAACTCCGTCTTCTCCTCCAAACTATGCCCCTTCCCATCCCCATTAAACAACGTCTCCACGGCCTCCTCCACCACCCCGGGCTCCGGCCCCAGAATCGTCCTCTCTTTCTGCTCCGCCTTCCGCGCCATCTTGCGGGCAATAGCACGCTTCGTGCGCTGCGCATCAGCCGCGAATCCGATACTAGCCAGGTGGTCTGCGATTTTGGCTTCGGCCATGGTTTTCACCTGGAAGGCGAGGGCTTGGCTCTGGAAGACACCCTGGTACCGGTAGCTGAGCCAGAGGTACATGGAGATGACGTGGTGGAAGGATTCGAGGCGGGAGAGGTACGAGGCACGCTCGGCGCGGGTGGGGCCCTCGGGGCCCTCGAGTTCGAGGACTTCGAGGTCGATGACACCCTTGGGGAAATCGAGGAGGCGCCCCGAGCCGAGCTCGGCTACGGTTTGGGCGAAGGCGGCGAGGGCGCTGGCTTGGCGGGGGTCGCGCAGGGCGACGGGGACGTTGAGGAAGACGCAGCGGTCGGCGATGCTCAGGTCGAAGGGCTTGATGGCTTCGGCGATGAGGACGGCTTCGGTCATGTCGCACATGTGGAAGCGGGAGGAGAGGCGGCAGAGTTCGCGGAGGCGGGTGAGGACGAAGGAGGTTGGGGTGCGCGGGGGGAAGTAGCTGTGGAAGCGCTCGAGGACGGATACGGGCGGGAGGATGCCGGCGGTGGTGATGGGCGGGGGGTCGGCGGTGAAGCCGCGGCGGATGGTGCGGAGGTCTTCGCGTTCGAAGGTGGTGACGAGTCCTGGTGTCGGTGGGCCGGTGTTGGCGGCGGCGTCGGTGCCGGCGTTTGCGGATGCCGCGGTGCGGAAACGGCCAGCGCGGCCGCCGATTTGGCGGATCTCGGGGACGGTGAGGTTGCGCACGGTGGTGCCGTCGAATTTCTCGCTGGCGTAGAAGACGACTCGGCGGACTTCGAGGTTGAGCCCCATGCCGATGGCGTCGCTAGCCACGAGGAAGTCGTAGTCGTTGTTGGGGTCGTTGAAGAGTGCCGCCTGGCTGGCGCGGGTCTCGGGCGGGAGGCTGCCGTAGACGATGGCGCAGCGGCGACCCGTGGCCTGCTCGATACCGGTCTTGAGCGAGTGGATGTCGACCTTGCTGAAGGCCACGATGGCGTCGCCGCGCTCCAGCTTGGAGAAGTCGCCGTTGAGGCTGGTGGGCATCACGTCGAGCCCGTTGAGGCGCTCGTAGCGGTGCACGACCAGGGGCTCCCCCGTGCGCGCACACAGGCTCTCGATCAGCGGCACGACGCGCTCCTCGCCGCACAGGTGCACCTCGCGGGCCTGAACCCCCAACACGGCCTGGGTCCACGCCCAGCCGCGCTCTGGGTTGTTGATCATCTGGATCTCGTCGATCACCGCCACGTCGACCTTGGTGTTGAGCGGCGTCATCTCGACCGTGCAGCTGTGGAACCACGTGTCAGCGTCGGTCGGCACCCGCACCTCCTCGCCCGTCAGCAGCGCGCACGGCTTGTTGCGCGCCAGGAACCGCGTGTACGTCTCGTGCGCCAGCAGCCGCAGCGGCCCGGCGTAGATGCCCGACCGTGAGTTCTGCAGCGCCTGCAGCGCGTTGTACGTCTTGCCCGAGTTGGTCGGCCCCACGTGCAGGTGGATGGTGCGCTGCATCGTGCGCGTCGCCGGGTACCACTCATAGGGGAACCGCAGGTCCGCTAGCTCGCGGTGTAGCTCCGTGACCGCCTTGGGGAACCGCGGCCGCATCAGCACCGTCTGGAACGCGTAGTGCAGCTCGTGCCGGATCCCATAGTCTCCGCCCTTGATGAACGCGTTGCGCAGGTTCCAGAACAGCGGGTTGCCCTCCCGCGTCGTTTCCATGTTGCGCGTGGCCAGGTCGAACGCCTTGCGCAGCACCGTCTTGAACAGCTCGGCCTCCTTGTCCAGCTGCACCGGGGTCGAGATCCCCAGCGCCCGCCACTCCTCCTGAGACGCTTCCCACGCGCCATTCATGGCGTCCGAGAACCGTAACAGCACCAGCCGTCGGAACTTGGCGTACTGGTCTAGCACATCGCCGGCCGGGAAGCGGGTGTGGCGGGCATTGCGCTTCAGCGAATTCACCATTTTCCTCTCTGCTGCAGAGAATGTGGGGTCGTCCCCGCCCTCGACGCCGGCCGTGCCGTTGTTGTGTTGGGCGGCCTCGCCGGTCTTGGTGTTCGACTCGGCGACATAGTCGGCGTATGTAATGACTTTGGTCTCGTCGGCGTCGTTCGCATCGTTGGATCGGGCGTCTGTGCTAGCCGTGTCTCCCTTGGCCCCCTTGTCCACACCCTTAAACATGAACGAGGGGAGCGGGGTGACTCCCTGGAACAGCGAGTCCGAGTAAGGCTGTTGGCAGCAACAACACCCAAGTCAGCGACACGGATCACACACACTCCCTCTCTCTCTCTCTCTCACACACACACACAACACACGTGGAGATTCGAACAAAACATACATCGATTTTTCCCGGGACGAACCTATTCTCGCTCTTCTTCTTCTTCTTGTTCATGCGGCGCGACCCGGTGCGCCATCGCACCAGCATCAGCGTTGGTTGTCGGGGAGCTTTCCATACTGCCCCCAGGAACGATTTCATGGCCGCGTCGAGGTCGCGGCCGGGACCATGCTGATGCGGCCAGCGAGGGGGTAAAACTCGACGGTCAATTGAGGCAGCGGTGAGTCGGTGCCTCCCGGGGTTGTGTTCACGAATACGGCCGGAAAAGGAAGAAGGAAAAAAAAGATACGGATATGCAGCAATAAGTTGACGCCAAAGTGGGATGCGGATGCGGGACGATTGAATCTTTTTTTGGGGGTGTCCCATGTGTTATCTTATCAAACAGTGTGTATCACAGTGTGGTAGAGATTCAACACTGTATGTAGGGGTTCAGGCCCCACTCAACGCCCAACTGCCATGGCACTGCCTGCCAGGCCGCTCCGTCATCGTGCATCCGCCTTCTTCAACATCACGTTCTCGACAACCCATCCACAATTCATCACCGTTTCCATCGCGAAATACTCCAATCAACCCACCGCGTGAAGAACTTATCTGGAAAAACAAGATGGCATCGTCCTCCACCCCAGCGACACCGCTGCTCTAGTGCGTTCCCCTCTCTTCGCTCACTCAAACCAGGCAGAACCCCAAAAACAAAGCAAAGCCCAACAAGAGCAACCCAACTAACCAACTTACCATCTCTCCAGCGCTTGCGTCGCCTACAACACCACCATCCTCACAGAACACACCACCTCCGCCGCATCCCAAGCCTCCTCCCTGGCCTCCCTCATCCTCCCCAAAATCGACCACTCCACCCCGCAAAAACTAACCTACACCCACGGCACCCACCACATCCACTACATCGCCGCTTCCCCCTCCGAATACCCCCCCAACTCCCCTCAATCCCCCGCCGGCGGCCTGACTTATTTAGTCATCTCCGACTCTGCCGCTGTCAACCGCCGTATTTCGTTCGGTTTCCTCGTCGAACTGCGCACGCGGTTTCTGGCTGCGCACCCGCCCGAGGTCGAAGGGTACGCTGACCTGCCGAGCTACGGCTGCGCGGGGTTTAATAATGCGCTGAGGGGGTTAATGGTAGAGTATGGGACGACGGCGCAGGGGAGGGATGACGCGATTGGGAATGCGCAGAGGGAGATTGAGGATGTGAGGGGGATTATGACGCGGAATATTGAGGGGTTGTTGGAGCGCGGGGAGAGGATTGATTTGTTGGTGGATAAGACGGATCGGTTGGGGCAGGGGGCGAGTGAGTTTCGGGTGAGGAGTCGGGGGTTGAAGAGGAGGATGTGGTGGAAGAATGTCAAGTTGATGGGGTTGTTGGGGGTGGTGGTTGTGTTGATTTTGGTGGCTATTATTGTATCGATTAAGAGTTAGGGAATCACGGTAAAGGGGAGAGCTTGCGGGGGAGGAGTTGGGCGTTGGATTGGATTTATCATTGGAATTGCAATTGGGGGACACTTCTCGCGCAGCTTGAGCGACAGTCATTCGACTCGTGTTTTACTATGTTAGATTCCCAGTTATCTCTCTCGCTCTCGTATTGATTACGGCTTCGGATACACAAATAAATACAATGCGCATCCTCTATCGTCCTTCTGTCCACTCTCGCGGTACAGTCAACCCAACCAATCCGCCCCGAATCAAACTATTCCCTTCTCAGAGTCTCCCCCGCTTGGCCAGCTAACCGTTACCATCTGACTGAATCATAACCGCGTCACACCCCGCTGTCCGTCCTGGTACACATACCCGTGCGCAATCGGGCTGGTATATGGCCCCGCCACGATGTGAAACGGCGGCCGGCGCAGCTTGTCGGTGAAGAAGACGGGGTGTAGGTGGGACGGGCTGTGTTGTTGTTGTTGTTGGGATATTTGTGGCTGTTGCTGTTGTGGTATTGGAGATGGTTGTAAGATGTGGGGTTGTGATTGAGGGTGTGGTAGAGATGGGGGGTGGGGGTTTTGTGGGTGCGGGAGTGGTTGTCGCTGGAGTTGTGGCTGTGGTCGGTGTGGTAATGACTGTGGTAGTGGCTCAGTCTGTGGTTGCTGTGGGTGAGGGTGGGTGTGCCAGACGGCCTGGCACGGAACGATATACTGCTGCGTCGGGGTCATCGTGCCGAGTAAATGTGTTGGCGGTGGTACGGGGTGGATTATTGTCGTCGACGGCATGTTACGTGAAGTCGGAAAGGTGTCCGATATGTGAGTTGAGCGGACGGATTGCCGAGGTTGTGTATTTTGGGATTCTTTGGGAATGATTCGATTGAATTGGCAAGTTGAGTATGTTGTCTATGTCGTCGACGATGTTGGGAATTCGAAGGAAGATTTTCTCATCAGATCTCTAAAGATTCCATGTAGGCCCGAAAACTAGGACAAGTCGTCGTATGTTTGAGAAAAGATGCACGAAGATGAGATGTCCGTCTCATCCATGACGTCTCGTCTTCACGTGCGTTTCCGGAGTGGCCCCACTTGTAGTCTAGGGTAGCAGTGCAGTGGGCCGGTGAGCTCCAGACAATTCAGGGGTGTAAACAATATGGGGCTGCTTGCCAAATATCAAGACCGATATCAAACTCCAAGATTAAACGACACCAACTATGTAGAACTACTCCCTCCTGACTTCCCCTTTCTCCCGCCCTTTTTTGTAGTCTCCTGGGTCTCTTTCTTGTAAGTTTGTTTCCCATCTTTAGCTTCCTTCGCTGCCTTGGCTTTCCCCCTCGTGATGGCATCCACAAGCGCCTCAATCTCCTCGACCTGAGCCGCCGTCTTCTTCTTTTCTTCGTCCCTCTTCTGCTCCTCCTCCTTCTTCTTCTCATCCTTTTCCCGCTCCTTCTTCGCCTTGGCCCTCTTGACCGCCTGCTGCTTCTCCACCCGCTCAATCAACTTGTCACTCGCCTCCCACAGTTTCTTGGCCACCTCCTCGTCGTCCACATCCTTCCGCGCGCAGTCCACCTCCATGCACTCCTTGATCAACCGCCCGCCAGGCACCCGCACCAAACTACTCTCCATAACCCCAAACAACACCGACTGCGCGGCCATCTCCGGACTCTTCAGCAACAACCAAGCAAACACATAAAACACCAAATACAACCCCAACCCCCACAACGACCCCCGCGTCAACCACCGCCGCATCCCCGGCGTCCGCGCCAAGCCGGGATCAACCAGCACCACCCGCGCCGTCATCGGCAACTGATCCGGGCGCTTATACGCATCCAAATGCTTCTGATACGCCCTTGCAAACACCATCAACGCCAGCTTACTCCGCGCATACGCCGTCTGCGGCGTCCATCCTTCCCTGTCCAACCCCGCATCCAGTTTCGGCGCAGAAATGTAACTCGAACACGTCGGTATCACAATCCGCACGTCACGGTCGAAGGGCTGCGCCCGGATCGCCGGGCTGAGAATCCCTAGCAGATGGAAATTCGCCAGGAAATTCACCTGCCACGTCACCTCCACTCCCTCGGCCGTTTCCACGCGCGGACTCCCCGGCGGCACCATAGTCGCCGCGCAGAGCACAATCATATCCAACCGCCTCGGGGGGGCATTATCAATCCACTTCGTCGCAAACTGCCGCACACTATGCAGATCCGCGAGATCCACCTGCTCGGCATAAATCATCTGATTCCCCGTGCGCGTGCGCAGATCATCAATGTAATCCACCAGAAACGAGTCTGTCGGCGCAAGGCGGGTGAGCAGCACGATTTGGGCGCCGCGCTGGGCGAGTTCGAGGGTTGTTGCGGCGCCGATGCCTGAGGTGCCGCCTGTGATGAGCACTACGCGGCCGTGCATGTTGCGCTCGGATCGGTTGGACCGGCCGGAGGTGTACCATTTTGTGAGGGTGACCGCGCCCACGGTGCCGAGGACTTTGAGCAGGCGGAGGGGCTCGGGGAGCCAGGTGGGGTAGCCCGTGTAGTAGACGTGGGCGAGGAAGGGGAGAGGCATTGTGTCGTTGGATCTCGGGACGGTACTGGGTTATGTGTCGTTATGTGTCTATGTCAGGTTCGTGTCGGGTTATGGTTTCGAAGGTATGGTATCGATATTAAGGTTCCGTGATTACCGCATCGGGGGCATTGGTCGGCGGATGCGGATGTTGCGGTCGAAAATATCGAGTTGGTGTTGAATTGGGAGTTTGGAGCTCCCCTGAAGAAATTCGAAAAGAATCCGACCTGAGCTCCTGAGCTGCGCTGACGTCGATGCAGTGGGAGCTGAAAGTGGAGCCGGAAATTTAGGGGCCAGTGGGGGCGACAGGGGTTAGGCAGGGGCCATGCGCTAACCTGCCGGGCCTGCCGAGCCTGAGGCCCTGCAGAAGGTTCCATTTTTAGGCGCCATCCACTCCACATGCGATTCGCGATAACATCCACTTTCACGACATACGAATACAACCACCACAATGCCTCCGCCAAAACATAACAACGCAGAAACAGCAGACGACCACCCAGAGGACGACTACGATGACATTCCCCTGGAGCACCAACGCCCGTTTGGCTCCGGACTACACAGGCGCCCTATAGCCTTTGTCTCGGCATCCGGACCAGGCACCCTTCAGTCCGTCGACGCCAACCGACCAACGCCAAAACCCCAGCCCAATGTCGCCGATATGTACCTCAGCATGGTTTTATCCGAAGACTCGCGGTCCCAGTCCGCGCCGCCGAGCACCACAGCACCACCACCACCGCCCAAACCATCCACACCAGCCCCAACCTCAGATTCTCCCAAAGACGAAAACGAAGCAGAAACCTGCCCCGTCTGCCGTCTCCCCCTAACCACCCCCTCCGACAGCTCAAACCCAAACACAGACCCGTCAAAACCCACCCCCCACACCCAATCCCTAGCCCACCAACTCTGTCTCCCCCACTCCCACCCCCCCTCCGCCCTCGACCGCACCCGCATGGGCCTCTCCTACCTCGCCGCCCACGGCTGGGACCCAGACGCCCGCTCCGGGCTGGGGGCCGCACAGCAGGGTATCGCGTATCCTGTGAAGGCGAAGGTGAAGGATGATGTTTTGGGGGTTGGGATGGTTGTTTCGAAACGGGAGAAGGAGGGCGCAAAGAAAAATGGGGGGAGGTTGTTGGATGCGGGGAAGGTGAGGAAGATGGTGGGGGAGGAGAGGAGGAGGGGGGAGAGGATTAGGGAGGAGTTGTTTGGTGATGGGAGGGTGGAGAGGTATCTTGGACGGGCGGCGGATTCTATTTGATGAATTCAGGGTGGATGGACTTTGAGGACTGAGTTTGGCATTGTTACAGGTTGGGCGGTTCAACGCTGAATTTAGCTCGGCGAGCACAGTTGTGCTGGCTACGAGAATTACAGACACGCACGAGGATGTGCGACGGGAACCCAAAACACCACGGCCGCAGACACGAACATCGCCAAACGGTCGAGCACAGCGTCCGCATGTCGAGGACCTTACAACGGACGGCCAGTAACCACCGCAGGAGAAGGTTCATGAAAGTGACGAATCGGAAATAAAAGTCCACGCCAGGTAATGCGACACCCTCGGCATAAAAAACATAAGCGAGTGTGACTGACGAACCTATAGAACGCGCCAATGGAAAGGATGTGTTGGAATCTCAGAAGAGGAATCTCAACAGAAATCTAGGAGAAATCGCCTTGTTGCGATTACGCCGGGTTAAATTGGAACCAGCCTTCAAAAAAGTTGACTCATCATCATTGCCATCATGTACTATTGTGACCTTAAGCCGTGACCTTGAAAACTTCAAAAATCACCTCTGTACATACCGGGCGTGCCCAAAAAGTGACCAAGTGAACAGTTAAAATCACATATCTACCTCATCCGTACCTTAAATTATCCAGATACAGACAGCATCGGCAGGAAGTGTGCCTACGAAATGCCTGAGACGAGACGATGAGATGATAAGACATTAGAAGGAAACAGTTTAGACCATTCCCCCCGACACACCCCTTCCCGACAGCCACCACGTTAGGTATGAAGCAGCCAGAGCCTGTGCCTAATTAGATGCTGCTCCGAACGAACGACCCAACGACCGAACGGCGACATGTCTGACCAAATATTGGGTTCTTGCTTGATTTCCATTTGTACCTACCTAGTTCGTTCCTTCAAATCTCCTTTTTTGGTTCTTCAATTCTCTTGGGGTCTTGGATACTTTCTTTTGGGTCATAACTGTCACTCTCTACTCTTCCCACATTTCGCACGGGGCTGGTAAACATAGTGAGGTTCTGATAACTCCGTTACAGATTTCATTCATCCCTTCAATATACAACAACACCCTTTATCATGCCCGGCGTCCACACTGCACGCTACACATTTTCACACCCCCTTCTTCTCCACCCCCCCATCCACCTTCGGCGTGTCAGGTAACTCAACACCCCCAGGTACCACCGTCCACTCCATGCCCACATACCCATCACTCAGCACCAGCACATCCACCTTTCTCGGTTTTTGACTGCCGGCACTCCCACTCCCACTCCCACTCCCACTACCCCCAGCACTCCCAGAAGTAGGACCAACATCCGGAACCTTAACAACAGCCCTAACAACCGGCCGATCCCCCACCTCCACAACCGCCTTCTTCCCCTGGCCCCCGTCCCTTTGCTTACCCGCCCCTGACGGCCTCCACCCAACCCTCTTAACAGCCCAAACCTCATCCCTCTCCAAATCCCCCACCACCACAAACCACCCCTCAGTCTGCGGCTTCGGGAAATGCGGGGCATACATCCTCGCTTCACGCTCTGTCACGGCGTTAAGCCGTCGTAGCTGGACGGTGAGAGAATTCGTTTTTAGGTCTTCGACTGCGATGGATAAGTGCGGGAGGGAAGAGGCGGCTTTGGCGAAGCGGGTTGGTTGGGCGACTCCGAGGGAGCGGGCGAGGTGGGTGAGTTTTTGAGGGGAGGTGGAGGCTAGTTTGGCGATTTCGCTGAGGGGGGTGTGTTTATTCTGCTGGGTTGGTGTGTTCGTGGATGGTAATGGGACGTCATCGGAGGAAGAGACGCCGGGAAGGATGGAGGCCGGGCTCTCGTCGAGCCAGCGGGTGGACTTGATGCATTGGAGTAGGCGTATAAACTGTAGCGTGGAGGTGAGATGCCCCAGCTCGGCCATGACGTCGATGCTGGCTTGGATGATACGGATCGCTTGGTCCAGCACACTGGTCTGGTCGCCGACGTAATCGGTGATGGGCAGGGTCATGCGCGACATGTGGGCTTGCAACAGCAAAAAGGCCTTGACGTGTGGGTCCCACATTGGCAGACCGAAGGCGGTACCCGGGAAGGTTAGGTTGCGCGACAGCTCGGCGTTGATGAGGTCCTCGTTGTGGCGGACGGGGAGTTCATCGTATTCGGTTGCGCGGCACATCCAGGAGAGGGCGTCGAGGAAGGAGGCCTTGGGTTTGGGTTGCTCGGGGGTTGCTTTGGACTTGGCCTGCTTGACCAGGTGCCGGATCGTCTTGTGCGAGAGGTAGTAGTAGCTCATGATCTTACCCAGGGGCGTCGGGTCGACGTCGCCGTTGGGGTACACCTCGACGCACTGCGACTCGGTCAGCTCGGCCAGCGAGGTGTCGACCATGCTGATCATGTAGTCGTTGGCCAGCTGCTGCGCCACGGTCGAGTTGTGCTCGTCGGCCGCGATCTCCAAGCCGTAATACGACGGGTTCTTGTGCAGGCGCCGGAAGAAAAAGGTCCACGTCAGGTAATCCAGGGCGTCCTGCTTGGTGACGATGGTCTCGGCGCAGATCTCGGCGCACAGATGGTTGTCCAGCACTGTGTGCAGCGACGACTCGACGGGGAACCCCGTGTGCAAGAAGTGCTTGTAGAAGTCCTTTTTGGAATCCTGCGTGAAGATGCGGGCCACGCCGGAATTGTCGAACTGCGGCCGGCCCGCACGCCCCAGCATCTGCAGCACATCGGTGAGGTCCATGTCCTTGTACGCCTCGATCTTGGCGTCGTAGAACTGCGTGCCCTTGACGACCACCAAGTGGGCGGGCAGGTTGACGCCCCAGGCTAGTGTGCTGGTGGCGATCAGGATCTGGATCTTGTTGTTGAGAAACAGCTCCTCGGCCAGCTGCCGGTCCGACTCGACCAGGCCGGCGTGGTGCAGGCCGATGCCGAAGCTGATGGCCTCCTTGAGCGCCTCGTCCTTGACCCGCGACAGGTTTAGCTGCAGGTCGTCCTCGTCCATGCTCAAGAACCGCCGCGGGTTGTCCTCCATACCGCACAGGTTAATCAAATCCTTGGCCGTCAGCCGGGTCTGCCGACGCGACGGCACAAATACAATCACGGGCTTCTCGGGGCTGTGGTTCAGCACCGCCAGGAACGTCGGCCGGTTCATGGACTGCATCAGCGGGCAGAAGCCGCGCACCTCGGGGAAGCCGTCGATGTACAGCTCCAGCGGCACGGGGCGCACCGAATGCCTGAAGTTGAACAGGCCCTCGTCGCCCTTGACGCCGAGCCAGTTGCCTAGGTCGGTCGCGTTGGCGCACGCTGTCGACATGCCCAGCAGCCGCACGGCGTTCTTGGTCGACGACGCGATGTAGTTCATGCGCGAAACAATAATCTCCAAGATCGGCCCGCGGTCGCCGGCTAGCAGATGGATCTCGTCGATGATGACCAGGCTGACTTTCCGCACGTACCCTCTCGTCTGCCAGCTGCGCGAAATGCCGTCCCACTTCTCGGGGGTCGTGATGATGATGTCCGCGTCCTGGATCGTCCGCGTGTCCGGCGTGTTGTCGCCCGTCAGCTCGACCAGCTTCAAGCCCAGGGGTCGTGCTAGTCGTGCGCCCCAGTCCTTCACCCGCTCGCGCACCAGTGCTTTCATCGGTGCGATGTACACCACCTTGGACCCCGGCCGCTCGCGGAACGCCCACCACATAGCCAGCTCAGCGGCTACCGTCTTGCCGCTGCCCGTCGGCGACCCCAGCAGCACGTTGGCCGGCCGGTGGTACAGCGTGTGGAAGAGCTGGGTCTGCATCGGGTTGAAGAACTGGAACCGCTGCCCGTAGATCTCCTCCAGCGCCTGGTTCTTCAACGCCGAGATTGGTAGGGGTTGCAAGTTCAACAGGTCCGTGTACACGCTCTCCGTGTCCGGCCGAATCAAGTGCTGAAACGAGACGGCGGTCACCGTTTCGGCCCCGAGCCAGCGGTCCGACACGGCCCGCACGTAAATCTGGTCCGGCAGGGGGTCCGACAACGGGATCGTGAAGTTGAGCTCGTGGTCGTCGTGTAGTTTCCGCCGGTTCAGAATAAAGAACTCGTGGTGGTAGATCTCGGACGTGTCCGCGTTCTCGACCCAGATGTAGTACGACTCGGACGTGCCGTGGAGGTGGTCGTTCCAGCGGAAGTCGGGTGTGACGTACAGCTTGATGCGCAGCACGTCGCGGTTCAGCGGCGCGATCTCAGCCTCGACGCTTAGAGTCGGGAAATTGTCCAGCAGCTTCGCGATCTTGGGGCCCATCTTGAAGTTGTTGACTAGGTTCCCGATCTCGGCCGGCTCCATCTCGCGCATCGACTCGATCGCCAGCGACTCCCGCGCGTCCAGGTGGTTCAGCACCGGCCGCGGCAGGTCGAACTGGTGGAACGGGTGCTGGAACGCCCACAGCCGCTTCTCGATCGACTTGGCCATGGTCAGGAGCACCAGGCACTGGTACCCCCATCGCCGGTTCAGGGCGATCATGAAAAGCGCCCGGCAGATGCGCCCGGCCTGCTGGGCCACGTAGTTCAGGTCGTTGGCCAGAGCAAAGTCCTCCGGCTGGCCCCGCGAGATGTACGACTGCAGTAGGATGTTGGTCTTGGTATGCGCCTGGTCGATGCCGCCCTTGACTTCGTACGGCACAAAGTGCTCGTTCTTGCGCATCTTGGTCAGCTCGTCCGCCTCGTTGTTGCGCGACTGGATGTTGTCGAACTCGCCGCTCATCGCGATCATCATCAAAATGTCCCGCTCCTCCGACGTCGGCTTCATCATCGAGTTGAAGATCTGGATGCTTGTGTGCTGGATATAGTACTGGCTCGCGATCCGCCCAATGTCCTTGCTGCGCAGCTCCTCCGTCCGCTCACTGAAGATGATCATCTGGCTCTGCTGCAATGTCTGCGCCGCCTGGATCGCCAGCTTGCGTCGTCGCTCCACCAGCGACCGGTCGTTGTCGAACTCGGCCCACTCGATCCCGTACGCCATCGGGTTCCGCTTCATGCGCACAAACAAGTACGAGTACCCGATCCACTTGACCGCGTCCGAGATCGAGTTGACCGTCCCCAGCGCGATCTCCGCGTTCAGGTTGTCCACCAGCTTCGCTGAAAACCGCGACTCGATCGGCAGCTGGTCCGTCACCGCCGTGAGGTAGTGCGCCAGCTTGTCGTGCGTCGTACAGATCATGCCGATGCCGGTATCCTCAAACTGCGGCCGGCCCGCTCGACCAAAGATCTGGAGCACGTCCAGGATTCCCAAGTCCACAAACTTGCCGTCCTGCGCGCTGTACACCTGCGTGCCTTTGATCACGACCGCTGCGGCAGGCAAGTTGACGCCCCACGCCAGCGTGGCCGTACAGCAGAGCACCTTGATCACGCCCTCACCGAACAGCCGCTCCATGAGGTTCCGGTCGGACCGCGCCATGCCCGCGTGGTGGATGCCCAGGCCCTTGGGCACCAGGTCCCGGAGCTCGCGCGACTTGGTCGACTTGAGATCCTTGATCGCCATCTCGTATTTCTCATGCATGCTGGGGTCGAACAGCCCGACACAGGCATCATCGACCGCCTTCTCATGGAGCATCTTGGCCGTCGCTTGTGTGTCCCGCCGAGAGTGCACAAACACCATCACTTGGTGGTCCTGCTCCAGCATCTCACGCACCTTCTCAAACGCCACCTGGTCGATGTTGTCCCGGGACTGCTTGCTGTTCGGTTTGCCCTTGACGCCGATGAAGTGCTGCTCCAACGGAACGGGGCGGAAGGAAGCGTCAAAGTAGAACAAGCCGGCTTTCTTGTTAACGCCCAAAAAGTCCGCGACGTCGATGTAGTTGGGCAGCGTGGCGCTGAGTCCAACAATACGAATCAGCGACTGGGTGCTCTCGACCTGCCGCTGGGTCCTGGCCACCAACGACTCCAGCACTGCGCCTCGCTCGTCGTGCAGCATATGCACCTCGTCGATGATGAGCAGCCGCACCTTCTGCACCAGCTCCGTATCGCCCGTCCCCTTTCTCGTCACAACATCCCACTTCTCCGGCGTCGTGACGATGACCTGCGTCTGCACAATCTCCGACTTGGTCAGGTGCATGTCGCCCGTGTATTCCCTGCAGCGTAGCCCCAGCCACGCGAGCCGCTTGCCCAGCTTCTCCGTGATTTCAGCCGCGAGTGCTTTCATCGGCGCGACATACACAATCTTGAAGTCCTCGGCGTCCACCGCAAAGTCCGTGGCCACATGGTCCTCAACGGGACTCGGCGTCAGGTACTGGCCGATCGTGTGCAGAATCGTCAACATGGCCGCATCCGTTTTACCGGCACCTGTCGGGGCGCAGATGAGCATATTCTCGCTCGTCTTGTATGCGACGGGGTACACCAGGCTCTGCATCCGGTTGAGCGTCTTGTACCCCTTGAACGTAGTCCGGCACAGCCCGTCCATATCCGAAATCTTGACCAGCGTCTGACCCGGCCACAACGCACCCGGCTTCCCCGCGGGGATCGTGTACTCCTCGTACTTTTCAAACTCCGACCTCTGACTACCAAACGGCAACTTATACCGCGACCCTGTGTGGCTGATGGTGTTGCCCGCATGGTACATCTTGTAAACATGCGGGTAATCCTCCTCCTTCTCGCGCGCCGCAGCCAGGGGGTTCGCTTTATGCTCCAAATCCTTCCGTCGCAGCGCCTCCTGCCTCTGCGCCTTAGTCAACAACCGCGGCGCCTGACCAGTCGCCGACTCATCGCGCAACCGCTCCGACGCCGCCGAAGCAACAAGCGCTGCCCGATGAGTAGCCAGGTCAATGACAAACTCCAAATCATCAAACCCCACCAAATCCGTCAACAACGACTGCAACTCCCCCTCCGGCCGACTCGCCCCCAAAATCTCCAAGATCTGCTCCTGCAGCGCACCGGGCGACAAACCCGACTTGCGCGATGAGATATCCACGCATCGCGCAGCCAGCCAGTGCACATCAAAAACACCACCACCACTAACACCACTACCAGAAGCTTCCTCCCCGCCGTCCACCACGCCATCAAACAAATCGCCGCTGTCGAAATCGATCTCGTCCAGCTCGTCGTCCGAGATGAATTCCCACACATCGCGGGGCCCGTTGCGGGGTTCATACGCCGCCGCCGCTACCTGTTCGATGTCGTCGTCGTCCCAGTCGGAGGTGTCGTCTGCGGTTCCGGGATTACGAGCAGCAGACAATGGTGGTAGGCCTGCCACGGCTGTTTTCATGGCTTCGGCTTGGACACGCCATTCTGCTATGCTTCCTGGTGGTTGTGATGACCCCGCCATTGTTGTGTGGGTGTGTGGATTTTGAGATATTGACTTGGTTGCAAATGGTGGAAATTACCAAAAAATGCGCGGATTTCAAGATACAAATGCCGAATGATAAAAATATCGCTTCTGTGGGTATCGAAAAACTCTGAAAACGGAAAGGGGGATGATGTTTGGAATGGCTTGTCGATGGTGCCTTCCCTTGGTACCTGAAATATTGACCTTATGTAATGTATCAGTGAACACGGCGTTTGAGTCAGCCCGGCGAATGGAGGCGGTGGGGTGAAATTTACGGCCTCAAACGCGGAGCCCCCACACCTTTCTTCAAAACGGCCCCGGCTTGACCTTAAGAAAATAGAGACCAGGAAGACGGGAACTAGCTGATTGTCGGGAAATAGGTTTCCCGTCGCTAGAGTGGCTTGCTGAATATTGAGCCATGGAGGGGCCGTGTGAAACGGGCAATTCAGGTTGTCGTACGGTACGCCTTACCGCTTTCCGTATTCCACAAACCCGCCACTATTGCTGGTCTCTCGCCGCCCAAGACACAGCCCCTTTTCACCTCAACTGGAAATCAGAGTCTCAGCCCTTTCAGACCAAATTTAGAAAGGTAATGTATTAGTACCAAACACGAGTATAAAACGCAAAGCAAGAAAAAAAAAAAAAGCCCCAAACTCCATGCCCAGAATATTGCTATTGGCTCCCCCCTCCCATCGTTCTCGCGCACACCGCACTCTACTCTCCTACTCTTCCCTCTCCCTCTGCTACCCTTCAGTTTCTTCTTTTCCCTCGGCCGCCGCCTGCCTGACCCTTTTGCCAGCCTGCCAGCCTGCCAGCCAAAAAAGGAAAAGCAAGAGTAACCCTTTCTAAGTGCAATAAGTCCAAAAAAGACGACCGGAAGCAGTGCTAGCGGGGTGTGCGGTCAACAAGACGAACTTGTATAGCTCAGCCTCCGAATCGTCGACACCACCGGCCTGCCCAGTCCCAATCCCCCTTCCCCCTTTCTCTCCTCTTCCTGACCCCCCTATCTTGCACATCTCCTTCGATCGGTCCCCCTCACAGCCCCCTCACCCCTTCGTCGTCGGCCCAAAGGAAGAAACCCACACAGGAACAAGCGCCGGAAACTATGCTCATGAAGTCGTCGTGTTTGGTTTTGGGGTATCGGAAATCATGGAACGCGTAATCTCCGTATCGGGACGTGGCTGGTGAGGTTGGTAGATAGTCCAAAGATAGGAATAAGAAAAAAAAAAACGTTGGGCAAAGCTCTCAAGCCCCTGCAAATCCGACGTGCCGGCTTCTCTCCCTCTTTCCCCTCTCTCCTTTCACAAGGCAGGTTCACAAGGCAGGTAAATAGGCGCTTTTACCCGCCCCAGCAGACCGCCTGCCGCCTGCCCGGCTCAGCCTTAGCAGCACTTCCCACCGCCTCCCGCCCCGCTCTGCTCACCGACATTCACGGCCGGGCCGGCGCCCGCCTGGTCGGGCTTGGACGTGTCGATGATGCGCTTCTTGATGTCGGCGGCGAGGCTGTAGAAGGCCTTGTCGATGTTGGTGTTTGTCTTGGCCGACACCTCGAGGAAAGGAATGTTCAGCTCGTCGGCCAGCTGCTGGCCGCGCTCTGTGGAGACGACCCGCTTCTCTTCCCAGTCGCACTTGTTGCCAATCAGAATCTTGTTGACGCCCTCTGTTGCGTGCTGCTCTACGTTGGCGAACCACGTCCGGATGTCTGGGAGGTGGGGGCAATGTTAGTGTGTTTGCTCGTTTTGAGGGGTTAAGGAGGGGGGCCTGAGGAAAGAAGAACGCACTGTTGAACGACCTCTCGTCAGTGACATCGTAGACCAACAAGATGCCCATGGCACCCCGGTAATATGCGGTTGTGATGGTGCGGAACCGTTCTTGCCCGGCCGTATCCCAGATCTGCAGCTTCACCCGCTTGCCATCAAGCTCGATCGTCCGGATCTTGAAGTCGATGCCGATGGTCGTGATGAAGGAAGGGGTGAACGAGTCTTCGCTGAAGCGCAGCAAGCAGCACGACTTGCCCACGCCCGAGTCTCCGATCAGCAGGAGCTTAATCTATGTTTTGGTTACCGCATCGTTAGCATGCCTGTATACGGCGCAACCCGCCTGTTGGCGACGGGTGAGGGGTTGTGAGAGAGGGCGCATTTACCAAGAAATCGTAGTTTCTGTTGCTTGATGACATGGTGGCGGTAGTCGGAAAGCGCGACACCGGTTCTGGGACGGATCGCTTCGAGAATTAGGTAGAAAGATGCGGATGCGGTGGGCGATGACTTGGGCCCACGGACACGACAACAATTAAGCCCACGGGGGGAGCGAGGTCGTGGTCGATGAAGATGGTTCAGCGGACGCGCAGACCACGATAGGCAGCAGAATTGCGGGAGGAAAGGCGGTTGTTCCTCCACGGAAGAATCCCGGCTCCCGAGGTGTGATGTACGTATACGTCTGTCTAGCCGAGCCGATCACAGGCTCGCAACGTACACCGGATCGTCAAGTTGTCGGCGACGTCGGCTTTTTGGCGGTTGCGTGTCTTGTGCAAGGTCCCCGGGGTAGATGCTGTGTTGCTGTTTTTGGAAATGGGTGAATGCGGATTTCCCTTGGTGGAATGGTGGTCTGGCGGTAACTCTTGATTTTGGTGGGAAACGTCGCGGCGGCGGGATCGAAAACAGCCGCTGCAGGCACCGGAGGCAGGCAAACGGACCAGTGACGGGAAGGAGACCAGACTTGGGATGTCGGGACGGGAATGGGGAAGATCGCCGGGGGGTCTTGCAAGGAGGGTTGACGCACCTGCAAAAGGACAGAAGCCTGGAACCAGAAGAACCAAGGCGCCGGCGGTGACCCCTGGCTATTCCGCTCCAGGGGTTCGTTACAGGGCTCACAAGGCCCGGTTTTCAGCCACAGGGACCCCGTGAGTATTGGTGAAAGACAAAACACACATGACACACGAAATGCTGTGACTGATACGTAACGCTAGAAGAACTCTGTTATCTGAACGTACGTTATTCAACCTAAACATCAACTTCCGATAGAGAACAATGGCAAAAAACGTGAAGCAGCTCTCCACAAAAGGCGCGTTGTTGTTGTCAGTCCATCGCTCCTGTCTCACGCTCTTGGCGACGTTGCCCTGGACACGTCTTCTCTCAGGATCTTAGCCACCTGTGGCGCGGCAAAATATCAGCGGGGCAACACCCCCCACTCACAAGCATGACCAATCAGGATTCACATGCAGTCACCGCGACAAGCTGGTTCGAGGACCATGCCATCGCAACATCTAGATCTCGGTATTCGCGTGCTGGTACTAGCCACAACGTTACATGTAGCTAACTAAGTAGAAGGTGCTTTACACAACCAGCCGGGCACTATATACAGGCCAACCGGGCACTGCGAGCACGGCCACAGTGTGTGTTGCACGGCCGGCCATGCAATTCATAACTTTACTAGCCGACGGGGCAGCATGCCGACGGCTGACCCAGCATATCCGACGTTTACTTATAACCTGGAAGTCTGTATACTAGTAGCGACGGTAAACAGCGCCGGGCACGAGGGCTCATAAAGCGTTGCGTGCTCTACTTCGTTACACTTTTATTGAGCTCTTTCTGGAACGCCCCTTCTCACAAGGCGCATTCACCTTCGGAACTTGCCCACTTCTCTTCTCCCCCTGCTAACCATAGAATTAACCCCCTGTAGAACACATGGGAAAACGAGAAGAAAACATATGTTGCTCTGAGAGTCTATGTTCTGAAATCTAAACAAGCGAACAAACCATATAGAACCCTGAAGCGATGGATTTGCGCCGGCAAGCCAACAGAAAGGCGGACGTGGTCTGGAAAAGGCGGACTTGGAACACCATAGCGACGCCCGCAACATCCCCTTCCTCCCTTTCTCATCATCATTCTTCCCACTCCTGGCGTACCCTTTACCATAACGGTATAGTTGGTGGGGGTTGCACTTCTCCGAGCAGAAACAACTTCTTTAAAAGTGACATATCCAAATGAGGACCTGTGACAACGGAGATAAGCTCCCTTGAAGAACATCATCCGCCCCGCCTAGGTCATCTCCGCCGACCCCTCCTCGTTTCTCGTCATTCTTCGTGATGAGGACGTCATGGCATGGTGCCGCTTGACCTGATTCGGGAACTGTATTCAGCACCGGTGGGGAAGAAGTCTTGGTTTTTGGCGGAGTTGAAGCCAGAGAAGGACGGGAATTGGAGATCACAGACTAGGAAAACTGTAACTTGTGATTCTCCCTATGTACACTCGTAGGTATGTCACGACCCTCTTGCCTGCCAATGACAAAGCGACACAGTGAAGCCAGGCCCCGCCCAGCCACATTAGTGGCGAGCGAGAGCCAGCCAGTCGGTTACTTTTTAACATGTTGCCCAGACGAACCCATGACGGGCAGACCTACATACATAAAGTCCGGTTACTGTAGACAGTAAAAGGCCTGTTCTGAAACCCGCTGACTTGAAACATATCATGGGCAGGATTTGTCGTGACGAAATATGGAACGCCTAGCGCGGCAGTACCGGGCACGACACGTCACGCCGGGTGAGTGTCGCTGCTTAGTGATAGTTTCAGTTGAGAGGAAGCGAGATCGATGGGCTGTCTCGGGCGAGGTGTGATCCGGTTGACATGACATGGCCACGAGTGATGACCGCGGGGTGCGGTGGTTCAAGTTGGGTGCACGGAAGCCATATTACCGTGCTTATACACGCAGAGCGAATATATATATATATAGGTGTGTTAGGACATGAGAGGAATCCCGTCGCTATTTCAGCAGTTCTCTGTTTCTACTCTCTTCAATACCTACTTATCCAATATCAACTTTTGATATCAAGCTACCATGAACGGTGACGAAGCTACGGCCCCGCTGGCTATTGTTGGCATAGCAAGTCGTTTCGCAGGAGGGGCCAGCAGCCCCGAGAAGCTGTGGGAGATGATGGTGGAAAAGCGGACCGGATGGAGTGAAATCCCTCCGACGCGTTTCGAGCTCGGTGGGCTATATCACCCAAATGGGGAGAGAATCGGAACGGTAGGCGGTTTTCCCCCCCCTACGTCTCATGATATAATTTTCTGCGCCGCTGCTAACTGTCTGTTGACGCGGGCCTAGACGCACGTTAAGGGGGCACACTTTCTCGAGGAGGATGTGGCTTTGTTTGATGCCGGATTCTTTGGCATGGCATCCGATTTCGCCAGCGTACGCATGTGCTACTTACTATCTCTCTTGAGTATCTTGGCAGTAATTAACTAGCTGTTAGCGGTGGAGATATCTGACATGTGCCTACAGACGCTCGACCCGCAGTATCGCATGAAGCTGGAGCTTGTTTACGAAGCTCTCGAGAGCGGTGAGTGCAACCATTCCTTTCCTTGGCTGTTCTAAGGGGGGAAGGCACCTAACTCGTGACAACAGCCGGCATCCCCTTGGAGAAAATACGCGGCACCAACACCTCGGTCTACAGCGGCATCATGTTCCGAGACTACCACGACACGCAGGTCCGCGACCCGGGCACACTACCGCGGTATTTCTCGACGGGTAACCCAGCCAGCATGGCGTCCAACCGGATCTCGCACTTTTTTGATCTGCGCGGGCCCAGTATGAGCATGGATACCGCTTGCTCGTCCACACTGACGGGGCTGCATCTCGCCTGTCAGGGCCTGCGGAAGGGCGAGTCGGAGGTCGCGATCGTCACGGGGGCGAGCTTGATGCTTAATGCTGATGTGTTTATCGGCATGTCTAATCTTGGGTGAGCTCCTCACCCCGTATACTTGGGTTCCCCTCTTTCTGTGATCCGTTCTGATATCTCGCTTCTAATACACGGTCAGCTTCCTCTCCCCCTCAGGCATCTCCTACACCTTCGACCACCGCGCCAACGGCTACGGGCGCGGCGAAGGCGGCGCCGCCATCATTCTCAAACCGCTCCATTCCGCCGTCCGCGACGGCGATCCCATCCGCGCAGTCATCCGCGAGACAGCGCTGAACCAGAACGGCAAGAGGGCCCAGACCATCACGGCACCCAGCCGGGACGCGCAGGAGGCCCTCGTGCGGGAGTGCTATGCGCGTGTGGGGGTTGACCCGGCGCTGACGGGGTTTGTCGAGGCGCATGGGACGGGGACGATGGTCGGGGATCCGTTGGAGGTGGCTGCGCTGGCGGGGGCGTTTGGTCGCGGCGAAGTACCACTACCACTGCCTCCTCCAGGCAGCTCAGGAGTTGGACAGCAGCAGCAGCAGCAGCAGCAGCAGCAGCCACCGCTGTATATCGGGTCGGTCAAACCAAATATCGGGCATACGGAGGGGGCGAGTGGGTTGGCGAGCATTGTCAAGGTTGTGCTGGCGTTGGAAAAGGGGCTGATTCCGCCTAACACGCGGTTTGAGAGGGCGAATGAGAAGTTGCGGCTTGAAGAGAGGGGCCTGGAGGTCCCGACAGAGGTACGGCCGTGGCCGTTGCTGGGTGATGGGATGCGACGGGCGTCGGTCAATAATTTTGGTTTTGGAGGGAGCAATGCGCATGCCATTCTCGAGGCTTATCTGCCGCGTCAGGCCGACGATGGGGCAGTAACTGTAAGACCGACAGGGGCACCGGCCCAGCGCATCTTCCTCCTGAGCGCCAAAGATGCCCGGGCCTGTCAACGTATGGCATCCAACTTGCGTCAGCACCTGCTCGCCATCCAGGAGTCCCAGGAGTCCCAGGAGTCCCAGGAGTCCCAGGAGGAGAAAGACGACCCAGCCTTCTGGGATGCACTAGCCTACACCCTCGGCGCCCGGCGGTCCGTATTCTCCTACACCATCGCCGTAGCAGCGGGTAACGTGTCGGGGTTAGCATCGGCGTTGGAACAGGCCGGCCCTCCTTCGCGCGCGGCCAGCTCGGTCCCGCCTCGGTTGGGATGGGTCTTTACCGGCCAGGGGGCGCAGTGGTATGCGATGGGCCGGGAGTTGATTGCCGAGTATGCGGTATTTCGCGCGGCGATCGTGGAGTGTGACCGGCATATGCAGGCCATGGGGTCGAAGTGGTCTCTCTTGGGTGAGTAACTCTCCTAGTCTCCTTCCTTTTCCTGTGTGCGTTCCTCTCCAGGTTCTCTGAGGTTCTCTAGAGAAAGAGACAGGGAGTAAGTAACACGAACAGAGGAACTCCACCGCGACGAGTCCACCAGCCAAGTCAACAACATCGTCTACAGCATCGCCCTCTCCACCTCGATCCAGATCGCCCTGGTCCAGCTGCTCCGATCCTGGGGCATCCGTCCCGCAGCCGTAACGGGCCACTCCAGCGGCGAGATCGCAGCCGCCTACGCAGCGGGGGCTCTCGACGTCCGCGGGGCCATGGCCATCGCCTACCTACGCGGGGCGCTCGTCGACAAGTTCGGCGATGAGATTGTAGGCCGCGGCGGGATGATGGCCGTGGGTTTGGGGCGTGCCGCCGTCGTGGATGGAGGGTACCTGTCCCGCATCACGGCTGGGAAGGTGGTCATTGCTTGCGTGAACAGTCAGGAGAGCGTTACTGTGTCGGGAGATCTCGCCGGGATCGAGCAGCTGGAGGGGATGCTCGCGGCTGAGGGTGTCTTTGCCCGGCGTCTGCGGGTCAACGGGGCTTTCCACTCGGAGCATATGCGCCCTATTGCTGATCTATTTGACTGGACGCTCAAGGGGTATTTGGGCTCCTCACGCTCAGACACAGACACAGATACAAACACAGATCCAGAGACAGACTTTGGATCCGTCATCTTCTCCTCGCCCAAGACGGGGAAACGGGTGCACGAGGCATCGACGCTCATCAGCCCGTCGCATTGGGTAGGCAACATGCTGCAGCCGGTCGAGTTTGAGAGCGCGTTCCGGCACATGTGCTTCGGGGAGGCCGGTTCTACACCAGACGTCGACGTGGTGATCGAAGTCGGGCCCCACGGTGCCCTAGGCGGTCCCATCCAACAACTGATGGCCCAGCCCGAGTTTAGGGACACCAACATGAACATCCCGTACTTCCCCTGTCTCATCCGCCGCCGCAACGCCATCGCCACAATGCAGCAACTCGCCATCCAACTCATCCACCGGGGCTATCCTGTCGACCTAAATGCCATCAACTTCCCACACGGCCCTCCCACTGGTCGCCCGCTAGTCCTCCACAACCTCCCATCCTACCCATGGACCCACCAAGAACGCTACTGGCGCGAGCCGCGGCTCAACAAGCTGTATCACCATGGTGGAAAACACGGACAAGGAGGCGGGCCGCACGAACTGCTGGGCATCCGCCAGCATAGCGGCGCACACCCCGTGGAACACACCTGGCGACAGGTCATCCGTGTCTCCGACGTGCCGTGGCTCCAAGACCATCGTGTGCAGTCGAGGATTGTCTACCCGGCGGCGGGGCTGGTGTGTATGGCGCTTGAGGCGGCGCATCAGCTGGTCTCGGAAGACCCGAAACGACAACAGCAGCAACAGAAACAACAGCAACAGCCGCAGGAGCAACGTGCTTCCCGCTATGACTACGAACTCCGGGACATAGACGTGGACAAAGCCCTGATGATCCCCGAGACGGGCGAGACGACGACAGGAGAGGCCGACGGCGTCGAAGTGCAAGTGACGATAAGTCCCTGCGACGAGAAGCTGCTCGGATCCCAGGGGTGGCTGCAGTTCCGCATCTGCTCGGTGTCGGGGGAGAATGTCTGGACGCAGCACTGCACGGGGCATATTGCCGTTCACAGCGCGAACCCGGTCGACAACAACAACAACAACAACCTGATCTCTTCACGGCGGAATCTGACCAAGACGGCCTACCTCGGCCAGATCCAACCCTCAACACTGTGGACAGCCCTCCGATCCGTCGGCATCCACCACGGCCCGGCATTTCAGAACCTCCGTCGGGTGTACACCAAGCGACGGGGGTCCTTGACGGTCTTTTCGGTAGCCGAGCCAAACACACAGTCATCAGCACCCTTGCTGCTACATCCAACAACGCTGGACTCGGTCTTCCAAGCCGCCTTCACGCTGATGCCCGATGCCCAGGCCGGCCGACTGCCCTGCGCCTTTGTGCCGCGGCGGATTCGCTCGTTGCGAGTCCGGTTGACGATTCCCAGGCTCGCTAGTCAGGAGTGGGCAGCGTATGCCGTGCGAGACCGGCTGGATGCGGCAAATGCTTTGCACGCTAGTGTTACCGTTGTTGATAACGTGAAGGATTCTTCCCATTCCCATTCCCCGGATGCCGATGCCGATGCTGATACCCCTCTACCCGTCATCGAACTCCACGGCCTAACCATCCAGTCCCTCGGCCAGTCCCAGGTATCCCCAGCCGAAACACACAAAACAGAAACCGACATCTGCAGCCAATGGTCCTGGGCCCCAGACCTTTCCCTCGCCGACTCGTCCCGGCTGCGAGCCCAGCTCAGTTCCCCCGTCGACCCGGCCGAGGTAGCCGTCGTCAAGGACTTGCGTCTCGCGACGATTCACTACATCCACGACACGCTGCAGAGTCTGACGCCGGGTGATGTTGAGACCTTACAGAACCAGAACCAGGACCAGAGCCATCTCGGCAAGTTGTACACCTGGATGACAACCCAACTCGAGCTAGCAAAGCAAAACGTCTTGGCGCCCGATAGTTCCACCTGGCTATCCCTATCCCCAACCACCACAACCAACGACAAAAACGACAAAACCGCCCTCCTCACCCGTGTAGCCCACACCAGCCTAAACGGCGAAATGCTCACCCGCCTCGCCACCCACGCCCCCTCCATCCTACGCCAACAAACCTCCCCCCTCGAGGTCATGCTCGAGGGTCGGCTGCTCTACCGGTACTACACCTCGGCACTCCGCTGGAACCGGTCGACGCGGCAGGTCGGCGAACTCGTCCGGTTGTGTACACACTTGAATCCACGGGCCAGGATATTGGAGATTGGGGCTGGTACGGGGGGTGGGACGCAGGTGATTCTAGATGCGTTGGGTCCGGAACGGTTGGAGAGGTATGACTTTACGGATGTGTCGTCGGGGTTTTTCGATGCGGCACGCGAGAGGTTTGCGGAGTGGGAGGGGGTGATGAGGTTTCGGAAACTGGATATTGAGTTGGATCCGACGGGGACAACGGCGGAGGATGGCGGTGATGGCGGTGATGGCGGTGATGGTCAAGGGTTTGAAGCGGGCGGGTATGATTTGGTGATTGCGTGTCAGGTGTTGCACGCGACCAAGAGCATGGTGCGGACGCTGGAGAATGTGAGGAAATTGTTGAAGCCGGGCGGTAGGTTGGTGTTGCTGGAGACGACGAGGGATGAGTTAGATGTGTCGTTTTGTTTTGGGTTTCTGCCGGGGTGGTGGTTGGGTATGTGCTTCTTCGCTTTTTCCGTTCCCCCTTTTTTCGAGTAGTTCCATGGGTCCACCACTGCTAGTGTGCTAATGACGCTCCGCTCTATCCAGGCGAAGAAGAAGAACGCAAGACAACCCCCTCGCTCACGATCCCCTTCTGGCACCAAGTCCTATCCGAAAGCGGCTTCACGGGGGTCGACTTGGAAGTCCACGACTGCGACAGCGAGGAGTACTACTCGGCCAGCACCATCCTGTCCACGGCCAAGCCGACAGACCCCGGTGTTTCCCCTAAAGTGCCCGTGTGTATCATAACAGGCCGTTCCCCGCCACCAACCCCCTGGCTAACCGAGCTCCAAACCGCGATCACTTCCATCACCAACGGGCCCCTACCCACAATCGAGTCACTGGAGTCCTTACCAGCGTCCTTGGAATCAGCCGGCGGCAAGATCTACATCGTCCTGGCCGAAGCCGACCAACCGCTCCTAGCCTCCGCCAGCCCAGCCGAGTTCCAAGCCATCGTGAAGCTAGCCTCATCCCACTGCCGCGGCGTGCTCTGGGTCACCCGCGGCGGTGCGATGGAAAGCAAACAGCCGCTGATGAGCTTGGCCACGGGGCTGCTGCGGACGCTGCGGAGCGAGTATCGAGGACGTACGGGGTTTGTGTCGTTGGACTTGGATGCGGGGAGGGGGGCTTGGACCGGGGGGACGGTGGATGCTGTCGTGAGGGTTTTGCGGGGGGCGTTTATGACTGGCGGGAAAGATGGGGATGAGGATAAAAGGGGCGATGAGGACGATGAGGACGAAGTGGACTGTGTGAAGATGCGGGATTTCGAGTACGCGGAACGAGACGGCATCATCCACATACCGCGGGCGTTCAAGCACACAGAGCTAAACCACTGCCTAGCATCGCAGCGGGCTTCCTCTTCATCAACAACACCCAGTAGTACCCAGCCCCAGCACCAGCCCATCCTCCAACCCAACCGCCCCCTACACCTAACCATCGGCACCCCCGGCCTCCTCGACACCCTCCTCTTCACCGACGACACCGACGCGACCCTACACCCCCTACCGCCGGACCACATCGAACTCGCCCCGACCGCCATCGGCCTCAACTTCCGCGACGTCATGGTAGCCATGGGCCAACTCGACGGCGAAGGGACCAGAGGCAGATTAATGGGCTACGAATGCGCCGGCACCATCACCCGCTTGGGACCCCTCGCAGCAGCGCAGGACACCGGTTTAGCCGTAGGCGACCGCGTCTGCACTCTCCTCCGCGGTCAATGGTCAACCCGCCCCCGCACGCCCTGGACCAACGTCGTGCGGATCCCACCTTCGCTAAGTGACGCCGACGCGGCGTCTTTGCCCGTCGTGTTTGCTACGGCGTACATTGCCCTGCACGAGACGGCCCGTATCCAACCGGGTGAGACCGTGTTGATCCACGCGGCCACGGGCGGGGTCGGGCAGGCGGCTATTATCCTCGCGCAGTTGGCCGGGGCGGAGGTGTTTGCTACGGCGGGCACGCCGGGGAAGAGGGCGTTTTTGGCTGGGAAATTTGGGATTTCGGAGGATCGGATCTTTTCGAGTCGGGATGTGTCCTTCGCGGCTGGGGTGCGGGCACAGACGCGTGGCGGGCGTGGGGTGGACGTGGTGGTGAACTCGTTGGCGGGTCAGCTGCTGCAGGAGAGTTTGGGGTGTTTGTGTGAATTTGGCCGGTTTGTGGAGATTGGGAAGCGGGATATGCTGGGGCATAGTGGTCTGGATTTGTATCCGTTCCTGCGGAATGTCTCGTTCATGTCGGTGGATTTGCCTGCGTGGATGGACCGGCGCGGGGAGGTCATCTCACGCGTATTAAGGGAGGTCGTGGCGCTTCTGGAGCAGAAGCATATCGCGCCTGTGAGCCCGGTTACTGTGTTCCCCGTGTCTGAGGTGGAAGAGGCGTTCCGGGTCATGCAGGCCGGGCAGCACATGGGGAAGATTGTGGTGTCTGTTGGCGAGGAGGATTCTGTACCGGTATGTTTTCCCCCTGCAATCATTTCGACCCGAGTGTACCTGAGTGAATGTAGACAACAGCGGATACAGTACAGCATTGACAGATAAAACAGGTCCTCCCACACGCAGCACCTCTCCGTCTCCGCCCAGACGCCTCGTACCTAATCGCCGGCGGCCTAGGCGGCATCGGACGCTCGCTGTGCGAATGGATGGCCGAACACGGGGCGCGCCAACTAATCGTCCTGTCTCGCTCGGCGTGTCAGGAGCAGGTGGCCGCCGCGTTTGACGACGACGAGCTGTTTGGCGAGCAGGGGTGTCAAGTGCGTGCCGTGGCCTGCGATATTGCCGACGAAGCGCAGCTCTGCGAAGCCCTACAACAGCGATGTGCCGATTTGCCGCCTATTCGGGGTGTGATTCACGCTGGTATGGTTCTCAAGGTATGTTCTGGACTTATTCCCTTTGGACACCGACACACAAATACTTACTGAGAGTCCAGGACTCAGCCTTCGAAAACATGACCCTCCCCACCTTCCAAACCGTCCTCCGTTCCAAAGTCCAAGGCACCTGGAACCTACACACCCACCTACCCCACGACAGCCCAGACCACCTCGACTTCTTCATCATGCTCTCCTCCCTCAGCGGCGTCGTCGGCAGCCCCGGCCAAGCCAACTACGCAGCCGGTAACGCCTTCCAGAACGCCCTGGCCCAATTCCGTCGCGCCCGTAACCTCCCTGCTGTGTCTGTCGATTTGGGCATGGTGCAGACTGTTGGCCATTTTGCTGCTGCTGCTGCTGCCCAGCATGATACAACACAGGCGGGCGCTAACACCAACATCGGCGAACGGCTGACGCGAGACGGGTTCACGTCCATCACTGAGACGGACGTGCGCCGCATGTTGGAGTGGTGCATTCTGCAATCATCACCCTCGTCGACACCGTCCGGGCCAGCCCAAATCACAACCTGCATCAACACCGGGCCCGGCCCGCACTGGACCAAAGCAGCATGGTGTCAAGAAGGCCGTTTCGCCGGTCTACGATACCGGCACACCACAGCGCAGAGCAGCGACAGCCCTGTTGCGGCGGCCTCTTCCTCCAGCGGGAAAGACAACGAAAAAGGCAGTTTGCGCGACCATCTCGCTGACAGCGACTTATCGACCGCCGAAGCCGCCGAGGTAATCTGTCGGGGGTTGGTCAAGAAATTGGTGACTATGTTTGGGCTGGTCGAGGGGGATGTGTTGCCAACCGAGAACCTGGCGGCTTATGGGGTCGATTCGTTGGTGGCGGTTGAGTTGCGCAATTGGATTGTTTCGCAGGTGCGCGCGGATGTTTCCATTTTTGAGTTGATGCAGAGTTCGTCGTTGGCCGAGTTGTCGGGGAAGCTGGCTGCGATGCGGAAGAATTGAAGCGGGGTCAAAGATATTAGTATTATGCCGGGTTGAAGAGTAGGAAATAGACGTGGTATGTCGAAGAGAGTGCCGATTAGTTCACCTTTTTCGGTCGAGTTTCGCGTAACACTGTCGTTGTTTGTGAACGATGTTGTGTGCAAGTCGGGAACCAAAAGAATAGACTTAGTGGTGAGGGTTAGGGTTGGTTATGGAAAGGGCCGACAGTGAATATTATATACGAGTCGTCGTCAACCGGCCGTCGGTTAACACCAGAGTAAACACTCACCAAAATGTTCGGCCGATCGCCTACGACCTATTCATTGACCTAGTGATGTCCAGAGCCGCCTCGGCAGCTTCTCCATTCCTAATCTATGCGCCTACCACACGTTGAAAATGCTCGAATGCGGTACCCAATGCTTGCACGCCTGCTTCCCATTTCCAGCCCAGCCCCAGGATCCATTGCAATGCTCCACTATCCACCTATCCGTAGATGAATAACATATCTGTAGATGAACAATCACATCCTTTTTCATCTCTCTGTCTTCTTATTCCCCTACTTCATCCTACTCAACCACTCAGCATACGCCCACCGAATCCTCTCCAACGCCTTCATCTGCACCTGAATCCCCTTGAGATTCGCCAGCTCGTCCAAGTCCTCGATAAACTCCTTCTCCACATCCCCCGGCAGCACGCCGTGAGCCAGCCCGCGTAGGACGTGCACCTCGCACACGAGTAGCCCGTGGTCGCGGTACGAGATGACGCTGTTTTGTGAGGTTGTCGCCTCCGACAGGATGCGGTCGATTTTGCGCAGCACCCGCACGCTGCGCTGCACGCGCCGGCCTTGTCGTAGGCCCTTACGGCTGCCGAAGACTGTGCGGAGGTATTGGAATACGCCGATGGAGACTAGGAAGTGTTGGTGTTAGTGAAAGCGAATGCAAGTTAGGAATGGAAGGGGAAAATATAAGAACGCACCCAAAACGCCAGGCGTCAGCCCGACAAAGCCAAACACCAGCTCCTGGCTCTTCAACAGCGCATCAATACCGCTGATGGCCACCTCCAGATCGACCTTGGTCTTCTGCACCTGGATGAGCAGCGACCGGACGAGGTCCCCCCGAATGGCGCCCACAATCGGCCGCCTCAGGTCGTTCTCATACGCCCTCAAGACCGGCGTCACATCCCCCTCCTTCACCTTGGTCCGGATCTCACCAATATCAAAATCGCTGATCGACGCTCTGCCCACCGCCACACTCGGGTTATCCACCGCAAACTGCACCACCATCCTCTCCAAACTATCCCGGTCCGCCTTGAGGCTGTCCCGGCTCATGATGGCAATCTCACTGTTGGCGTCATGCCGGATGGTGCCAATGATCTTACGCACCGGCTGCACCACCCAGTTGAACCAAAAGTCGCGCGACGTCGCGCCCAGGTCGCGGATCCAGTTGATGATGTCGTCCTGGCGGCGGAACAGGATGCGCAGGATGGTGGAGGACGAGACGAGCAGCGCGGCCGCCGGCAGCCAGTACCGCACCAGCCGGGACGGCCGGCCATGCTCACGCGCGAGGTCAGTCATGGCCACGCGGTGGTCAGGCAGGCCGCTCTCGAGGAGGCCGAGGAGGCGGCGGGCGAGGGCAGCGGGGCGCTCGGCTGGGTGGGAGTCTTCGATGTGGATGGAGAGTTCGGGGTCTTCGTTGACGCCGGCGAAGACTTTGTCTTCGAACTCCGACACCGACAGGTCAGAGAATATAACGGACTGGAGGATCATATCCATGAGAGCTACGCTCCGCTCCAGGAGACCCTTCCACTCGTCGTTGTTGCTGCCTTCTTCGGCGTTCCCAAAATTGAGACCTTCGTCTAACAGCACACCCAGGCCGGTCGCGGTGGTTTCCCGCAGCCTTCGGAGTCGGTCTTGGTTGTGCCGGGCTTCGGAACGGCCGATGTCGACGCGGGAGAGGATCTTCCGCTGTATGTCGGCGATGGACCGCTCCGCAACGCTTTGTCGTACGATACTGTAGAACTGGAACCAGTGCCGCGACAGGGAAGGATACAGCTTCTTGAAGCCTTTCGGCTTGGGGTGGGCATCGGTGCCGTCCGGCTCGGCTTTTGAAACCACTTCCTCGGCCGTCTCGACTACCGGACTAGGCGGTAACTCGTCTCGGTACATGCGCTGAAAACGTTCGATGCTCTCGTAATAGATCTCCTTGGACCATCTCAACATACGCAGTGGTGAGGTTTGCACGGTGTACACAAAACTATACGGGTACGACGTTACAATCTCGTCCCAGTACCAGATATCGTCGCTGAGCGGGATGATCTGGTCGAGGAGCGTGTTCATCAAGAGGCCGTACGTCTGCACCGTGGCCTTGCCCACCAGAACCCACTCCACGTCGGTCTCATACTGGCTCTTGGCCTCAAGCAGTTCGATAGACGGGACTTCTCCAGTCAGGCCGGACTGTTTCAGCAGCCTCTGCAGCCGTGGGGCGGACAGGTGAGCCCCTGAGATAGAACCGGACGACAGCGACTTGACGATGCTCAGTAGCTCGTCGAGCCGAGGAGATGCGAGGGCTGATGTGGCCGCCGCCACACCCTCTACACCTTGCAACTCGACATCATGGTCCGGTGCGTAGGTCAAGGGCGCTAGAGAGAGCCGGTCAATCCGTGCATCCAGGCGGTGGACCTGGCTGAGTAGGGAGAAATTGTTAAGTTAGCCTTGCTCTTTTCCTCCAGCGTAGCGGAAATTGTGAAAAGTTATGATAAGATTGGATAGGTAGATCGTAGGCAGTGTTACTGACTCGGCCACGATAGACATTGTGAGTGCTCCTCTCCTCCCACCCGACGAGGCTCAACTCTCGACGCCAAGACCAAAGCTTGTGAGCTGAGAAACTATTGTGGTATGTTTTCCCGGTAAAATGTGATCCCGGATTGCCCCTCGCAACGAATGCGCGTTCAAAGTGGCGAGAGAGAGTTGCGAGATTGCGTGGCCCGGAACCGCGAGCCTCCCAACGCAACGGATGGGCCGAGATCCGATCAGGTCATGTACTTGGGCCGGATATTGTGAGCTCCGAAGGGCGGGCCGGGGAGCTCGTGATCGGGTTGGTCAAAATCCACAACGAGGGGCCGGTCGTTGGGGCGCCTCTCTCTCTCTGTTTGGGCAGTTGGGCCAAAAGTGGAAAATTTGGTGGGTTGTGGGTTATTGTTGCGGGCAGAGCTTCGGGTTCGATGAGGTCATGGTCTTGAAGCCCAGTTAATGTGGTTCACTGGGTTTGAGTCTTTTTTTCACTCTAAAACGGTGCGAAAATCGGATGGAGAAGGCAGCTTCTCTCGGATTATAGTTCTAAAGGGGTCAAAATGTTACGGGAAGGTCAGAGCCAACAAAACAACAGAGATTCATCTGGAATGTCGTACCTTGGACGAAACTTGGGCTATGATTTCATACCTCGCCCAAGTTTCCAAGGTCCAACCAAACAAGCAACTGATATCCTGTAGATGCAAGGGCATTTTGTTTATTCGCATAACTGCATGGCATAAGGCGACTGAGCTCATACTCGATATGTGAATCGCGGGGACAACCCGGGGGTGTTCAACTTCTGTTAACCTTTGTCGGGGTTTCAACCATGCTGATAACCCTTTGCACACCATAAATTCACGTTCTTTGAGAAAGGAGTTCGTCACCTTGTGGCGATCTTAGAACCTCCGACTCCATCCTGGAATGCACTTAAACGAGTATGCGATCTTGACCGTCTTGCCGTCTTGGCAGGCACCATCCACCGGGGGCCAAGCTCAGCAGTTCAACTGATCTCCGACATCCAATCGAAAGCTCCCATACGCCCCACATGGCGTCCTCGGAAGCGGAACGCTTGCTTCGTCTGTGGGCCGATTCTGGCGCGCTGGGACCAAGGGGACCAGAGATTGCGACCATCCGCCGATAAAAATCCATTCCACCCCTTAACGCTTTTCTGCCGTTCCCTTTTCAAACACCACTATCGCGCCACGGATTGCTCACTTGCGAGGCGGTCCCTTTTCCTTGACACCAGTCGGTCTGAATCGTTCGGGAACCTTATCTACGGATCTTTTCTTTAATTCCCTTCTTCCTGCTCCGACATTGTCGGCACCGCCCGAGATGGCGTCCGCAGTTCTGTAAGTTCACCGCGATCTCAAACCCAGCGAACGCGTTGGCGTGACAGGTCAGACTGACTCGATATTTCTTTTTAGCAACGCGACCATTGACGGTCTAAGCACGTCGGCCTCGATTACGACCGTCTTTGAGGAGGTCTCCAAATACAATGTCCACCTCAATGTCTTCGAGCGCCTCTGGGCCGTACGTTCCACACCGACCTTCTTTTGCCACATCATATGACCCGGCCGTGCTAACAACACCATAGTCGTGGTACCTCTGGATGCAGAACGATACCATCGCGACCGGTATCATGAGCTTCGTCATGCACGAGATCGTCTATTTCGGCCGCTCATTGCCATGGATGATTATCGACGCCATTCCCTTCTTCAACAAATACAAGCTTCAAAACGTTAGTCCTCACCGCTACATACTCGATAACCCCCAATGGAGTCCTGACAAATTCACAGACCAAGGTCCCCACATGGAAGGAGCAGTGGCAATGCGCCGGGCTTGTCCTGATCAGCCACTGCACCGTCGAACTCCCCCAGATCTGGCTCTTCCACCCCGTCGCCACCTACTTCGGCCTCGATTACGGCGTTCCGTTCCCGCCCGCCTGGAAGATCGCCATGCAGATTGCCATCTTCTTCGTCGTCGAGGACTCCTGGCATTACTGGTTCCACCGGGCGCTCCACTACGGCCCGCTCTACAAGTCGATCCACAAGCTGCACCACACCTACAGCGCGCCCTTCGGCCTCGCCGCCGAGTACGCGTCCCCGATCGAGGTCATGCTCCTGGGTTTCGGTATTGTCGGAACCCCCATCATCTGGGTCTCGCTCACTAAGGACATGCACTTGGTCACCATGTACCTGTGGATCGTGCTCCGCCTGTTCCAGGCCATCGATGCCCACTCCGGCTACGACTTCCCTTGGAGCTTGCGCCACATCCTGCCCTTCTGGGCCGGTGCCGACCACCACGATCTGCACCACGAGCGCTTCATTGGCAACTACGCCTCCAGCTTCCGTTGGTGGGACTACTGCCTCGACACCGAGGCCGGTGAGGATGCCAGCAAGAAGCGCCGTGAGCGCAAGCTGGCGGAGATCCGGGCCAAGAAGGCGCAGTAAGCGCCATACACTTCTCTCACGAGAAGAGTGCCATGGGTTTTGCTGGGCTTGATGTCCTGCAAAGCCCTCAACAAGGCACGAGCCCGAGCCTGTTGGCTAAGGATAGATGCTGGCTCGGCATTACATTGATCGGGGTAGGGGAAGAAAAAAACAACAACTACTTGGACACACCACTCCAGTAGATACGACATCGTGATGATGAGAAGACATACGAGAACCGCGGTTAACTTACAAAACCACAACAAAGGCATAAAGACGGGACAGGGAAACGGCGCGGTCTTGGACGGCGTTTGCATGGTTGGCGGTCCTATTAATCCTTAATATTACTCCTTTCCTGCTTGTACATAGGCGTTACGCAGAGCAGAAAGCCTGGCAATACATTAATTTTTAGACTCAAACGGAAAGTCAAAAAAACCGTAAACGCATACCATGTCGTCTTGCACGCTTGCATTCTCACCTCTCATTCCTTCTTCACTCCCTTTGGAACACAACAATCACCCGCAGCTCCCACCACCCTGTCCGCTAGCCCGGCTAAACCACACGTTTCCCCTCCACCCTGCTGCTGCTGCTGTGCCGACTGGCTTTGCTGTCCTTGTCCTTGTTCACCACTAGCGGGTGATGATACAGCCGAGGGGGAGACGGGACCAGAAGCGGAAGTGGCAGAGGCGGGGACGACCTCACCAAAGTCAGCGGCAAGCTTGTCACAAATAATGGCTAGGTCGATGTCCTTGGCTGAGAGGCCGGGCGGGCTGTGGGTGGTCCAGCGGATGAAGGTTGTGTTGAAGACCTGTGGGTTGGTTGTTTTGAGTTGAGTTTGGGTTCAAATAAATAAAACAATTAAACAAGGGGGCGCACATTGGACCATTCTGGATGATGGTTTTTGAGCTTGCATTGGAGTGAAACGGCTGTCATGAAATCCTAACGGGGGGGATGGTCAGTTTAGTTATTAAGGTTTGCTTTTCTTTCCCTTTGGCCGTGAAGCTAAAGACGGCGGGTGTTGACGCCGTAATGGTAGAGAAATATATCATTCAAACACATAATTTTCCAAGCTGGGGGCGCTGGGAATGGCAGAAAGTGAAATGTAACGTAAATATTTACCCAGGTTTTCGCAAATGTCTTGAACTTAAACTCGCGCTCCAGCGCTTGGCCATGCATGCCGAGAACCCACCGTCCACCGTTGGCTTTAAGAAGTGGTGAGACAGAGTCATTCGGTGGCTTGACGTCAGATCCAGATGTAAATCGTGGCGCCGAGGCGTTGTTACCCGTATCGGTTGACATGGTGGGCGTAGTACTGAGAGGGCGAACACAGGGACGAAGATAAGAAAGTTGGTGTGGTGGTTGGGGTTTGGAAATTGAAAATCGAATGAGTGGGTGCTCTGGATGAAGCCGAGTGGGACAGTATGCCCTCGCTCTCGTGAAGAAAGAGGATCGCATGATCTGATGTTGTCTCGTTCCTTCAGCAAAATTACCTTTGTCTTTGAGGGACTGTGGCAGCAGAGGAGCAGCCGCGCACATGAGATGGAGGAGCATGATTTCGCGTACGGTAATTACGTGATAATCGCCATGATTGGTTGAAGAGTGGTATTTTTCACAACGCTCATCGCTCAACGTCACAATATCTGTACATTTGGAGCTCTCTAGCCGTGGAGAAGGCAAGGGAGAAAAGAAGAGGAGATATGAAAATGTACCTCGTCTCTTTGTTATGCTTTTCGGCGCTGGAAATTCACCGTGTAATGCGGATTGATTTGCTGCCATCGCGAAACATAAATTTGGGTTTCCATGCGGCACAACTCAGCACGCTCGATCTACTGCAAGCCTCAATAAGGGCGACAGAGAATTAAATTGAAGCAATGCTACCTGTGGTATTTCGCTTACTGATAAACCCTTGTGTGGCACGGTGTGCAATGGAACGAGGTTGTTTCCGCATGAAGCCAAGTAAAGGTTTGTACTCCGTATACGCGATGTGTTGCGTCGTTGCTGTCTGCAGCGTATAGCTCTGCCCTGTCTTTGGAGGAGCATACCCAAAAAGGAAACATTCCCAAGTTCGGCGTTGCGATACTCGCGAGTGTGAAACTGGCACTTTTCCTGTCAACGATTACTGATCCCAGACTTTTGACATTACACTACGCGCGGGATTATCCTAAGTAGGTAATTACTCTCCAAGCCGTGGGATTACTTATTGTTGGGATGCCACGGCCACATTAGGAAATTGAGCATTGGTTAAGGTGCATTGGCTAGGAACGGAGACAAGATGCTAAACACATGAACACAGGAATCTAGAAGGGAACGTTGATAAAATGTCCGTACACGTAACTTACGCTTCGCCAGTCACGTGAGGGGCGCCGGAATTCGGAAAATATTGGCTGCTCGCGCCAAGCCCAACAAATGGAACGAGCTCCTCTGTTTTCACCCCCCACCATCCACCTTCGTCGCGATATTTGAACTGCTGACAAAGCACTCAAACCATCCGTTGAGCTAGGATGCGCATCAATTACCTTCCTCGACAGCATCGTGACGGGTAACTAAATATTTGTTGATCGGAAAGTCGCAGACCGTTTACCGGATCACGCGCGCGAAGCAACAGCAGTGTCCTGAGCACGTAAGCTGTTCCCATTGCCGCACCTTGTTGCCATATTTTCTTTAGGTACTTGGAGTTCGGCGTTAAGCAGCTACAGATTATTCTCCCCAAGTCTCATCGCGCGACCATCAAATTTGAGAAACCGGGCGCCTCACGAGTCACGGCCAAACAAACAAACACACACACGGCGGCGAATTCCTCAATCCTGAATTCCGCTGCATCTCATCGGGCCCGCCATCCCCCAGTGCGCCCAGCCGCTCGGATCCCTTTCGGTCGCGAAAACAGGTTCGCTTTCCCAGAGTGGTTGCGCCGCCTCACTCATACTGAAGAGGAAAGAGACGAGTCAAAGCTGACATAATTTGGCGGCAAGGTTGAGCGCAACAACTCGTCAGCAGCCCACCCCCATCCGGACTTCCCGTCCTTACATAATTGTCCGGCCAAGCCCAACTTGGGCGCGATTCTTCGACACTCACGTTTACAAGTGGTTCGCACTGCTGAGTCAGGAACTGCGGTCGCAATCATGTCGAACAACACCAACACCGGTGAGTGGCTCATCAGTTTTCGCATTCCTTTTCTTTCGATCCTTGCTTCTTTTTTCAGCTCTGCCTCGCGTCTGCGTCTCATCATGCCCTGCCCTGTTCCCCCTTCTTTCGTCGCCCAGCATCAGCCGCGCATCGTCGCCGCCGGCTTCTGCCGCAAAGGGCGCTTGTTTCATTCCCACCCATACGTGCAGTTTCATTCGGGAAAGACAAAAACGTTTTGCGATGCGGCGGACTTTTATCATTGTTGTCTGCCTGTCTGTTTGCCTGTCTGTCTGTCTAGCAATGACACCGTGCAGGCTGCGATAGCATCGCTTAGCCCTTAGTGAGGGACCAACGGGAAATCGCAAGTCCATGAGGCGAACGGCCACGCCGGTTTCGACGAGTTACCATATTTATTTCTTCCCTTTTCAGACCTCTCCGCACTGGCAGGCGTTGCAGGCAGCAAGGACCTGGTGTGGGAGTCCCAATACCAGAGCGGCAACGCATCGCTGGGCTCGATGGATAAAGGACGCGATCCAGAAGATCTGGATCTCTGCTGGTATTCCACATCCTGTATAATCATAACTTCCTATATGAGCCGCTGGTCCCCTGCTCAACCCGGCGACCCGTCATCTTCCTCCCTGGGCATCTCGCTCATCACCCCCCCAAAGCGGACCCGCTCTTTTCCTCCTGTACGTTGACGGCGCCGCGGCGCATGCATGCGTCCATTGATTGCATGGCCACTTGCTGCTCGCGCTGGCTGCATACAAGAAGCGTGCCCCGCCCCCGACGTCTTCCTTACCTAATTCTTCCCCAAGTTGCCAAATCAAGACGCGCACCTCCAGTTTTTCTTGTAAGTCGTCCACCAAAAAACACGGTCCAGCAGCCAGCGCTGCACCCATTTCCCTCACTGCACCTTTTTTTCCACCACACAGTGCCTTCGCAGCCCAATCACTCGTCGACCGGGATTTGGGGGAGCTGCGGCGCGCGTTGGAACAAGTGTTGAGCGTTCCAGAGAAGTCAAGGCCCAAGCCGTTGTTTCCGAGACTGTTTAAATCCGCACGGCCGACCTTGGATTTATAATCTTCCCCCAATTTGAACCATTCCGCTTTAGGGGTTCAAGGTCAATTGCATCCTTCGATGGCATGCCAACCACACAATACCCATTACCTCACCTCTTACCTACTACCTACGTAGTTGCCATTGATTTTTTTACCTTGATCTTTTAGACCTGTGTCACTACCCGTTTGGGTTGTGACCTAACTCGAAGCCGGGTTAGGGGTTCTCTGGAACTTATCCCCATCCACCACCAACCCGGTCCGAGTCGATCCGCTCGGACTCTTCCTTTCTCCAACTCCTAACGTCACTTGCCCTCCCCCGCATGATTGTCAGATCCTCAAATCATCTTTTACTTTTTTCATACCATCCTGCTCGTTGGTTACTTAAACATACTAACTGGCCCTGTCCGGTATCAGAGCTGAGCGCTCGTGAGCATCCCGCGCCCCCCGCACCAACGGCTGCTCAAGGGGATCATCAACCCGTCTTTGCACCACACTCTAATTTTGTCAACCAACTTCCGCCAGTCTCCGACGGGTCCGGGGCTAAGAACTCATCCGGCGCCGCTCCACAACCGCATGGATACAATCACACGCAACTTCCCCAAGGCGAGGCCCACATCCATCCTGAATTACGATCCGGCCACGACTCACCCACGGCAGCCGCCCATTTTGCCCCGATACCTAACATGATCCCTCAAGGCGCGGTTGTGCAGCACTCGACACAATCCGTCCCCATGTCAGGCCCGCCTGCAGGTGTCGCCCCGGGAGTGGGGCCGGCGGGCTCGGAAGACGGTGCAGACGGCCGGAAAGCGAAGCGGGAGTTGTCTCAATCTAAGCGCGCTGCGCAAAATCGTGCCGCCCAGGTTAGTATATCGGGCAGTTGCAGATACTCTGTTCTTGGCTTGCTCGTTACGTGAAAGCTGACAAAGCCCCGCCCGCTATAGAGAGCCTTCCGGCAGCGCAAAGAAGGCTACATAAAAAAGCTCGAACAGCAAGTTAGGGACTTTGCGGATATGGAGAATAACTTCAAAAATCTCCAGAACGAGAACTATGCGCTCCGAGACTACATCCTCCGCTTGCAATCTCGCCTGTTGGAAACCCGCGGCGAGTACCCGCAGCCTCCCCCCGGCATCAACCTTTCGCACCCCACCCCCTCCGGCCCTCAAGGTCACCACTCCGCCGTCCCCGAAGTGCCTCAACACGGGCTACCAGCACCACCCTCGGTGGCTGGTCCTTCTTCGGCCTCCGCCCCGGGCCCCACCCCCCTTGAAGCGGCCGCGCAAGCCGTTGCGGGTCTCACCAGGAGTGAGCACGTCAGCAGCGCACGCGACCACCCGTACGCCCAGCACCATCACCAGCCACCGCCGCCACAGCCACATCAACAGCAACAGCAACAGCAACAGCCCGGCCGCACGGATGACGACAGGACGGCAGAGGAGATCACGCGCCAGTTGCAGGCGGATGGTAGTAGCCCGGATGGTCTTCCCCCCGTACCAATGTAGAAAATGAATTGGGGGACGACGCGCTTCTTCTAGGCCTTTTACCACGGGACCGACACAACAGAATGAATGATAGGGATAGAGATATTGTTTCTTAAAACATCAAATTAGCCTATTCTTCGCTATTTGCGGCAGGCAGTCCGAGGGGGCCGGGGGGTATCTTGACGGGGTTTCTTAGCCCACTCACAAAAAGGACAAAGAGGATGGACACCTATAATTTCTCCCTAACCTATCTAGTTAGTTTAGTTGGCCGGTTAGCTAGTCCGGCCGGCTAGTGTCTTTCTTGTCATTGCTTTATTGTTTTGTTTTATTTTTGGTTCAGGGCGTTGTGTTATTCGTTTTTCATATATTTATTCTTTGCAGTTAGTTTTATGAGCCTAGGCAAAGACCGGGTGGCCTAGCCAGGGCTGGGTGGAGTGGACGTATGAGATGTTGATATGTTTAGTACTGCGTAAGGGGGTTGAGTTGATCATCATCACCATCATCATCAGTGGAAAGAGAGGGGCTTTCCTTCCTTTCTTGTGTTGTCTGTTATGTTATGTCCATCCTTTTATGGAGGTCTTGTTTTTGCGCTTGCCTCTCTGGCTGGTGGGTTCATTGATGGGTGTGGTCTAGCCAGTGTTAGGGTTAGTATGTGTGTATGTACCAATTCGATTCTTTGTATGGTAGTTTTGTTTTGTGAGGGTAGGGAATGGAGAGAAAATTATTTTAAATTGGGATGGATGGTATGGGTTGTGGTTGATTGCGTTGGGCTGGGTTTCGTGTTGTGGTCTGCTGGTGGTGTCATTATTTGGGTGATGGCCTGGTATGTATAGTACACACTGTATTATGTGTATGTAAGTAACATGGCTGATGCAGTCAATTACTTCACTGCTGCGCATACACGTACGCATCACAAACCTGACGAATACATTGTGGAGTGGGAATGTGCAGGGTATGTATGTATCTGGGACCCTGGCGTATTGGAGTATAATTACGGTAAACAAAAGAACGGAATGAACACGGCGAGGGATGTGGAATATAGAAAACCGGAGGTGGCAGATAGTTAGCGGCATGATTATGCCGGTTATAGGCCAGATATCAGCGTCACACACACTTGATAAAGACAAGCATAACATACACCGATAAGAAATAGGCGCGGACTCTTTGAATCAAAACATTCCACGTTCGACAGCTGTCTGGACTACCCTAACCCTAAACTCCATACTATTTATTTACCCCCCAAGCTAGCTGATCAAGTTCCGTTAGCCACATTTTGAATCACAACCCGATTTTCAAGGCCCAACCCTCCCCAGTTTCAGATCGTTCTGGCTTTGTCTCAAGCAAAAGCATTCCCGAGGTCATGTTCCTAGTGTCATAATATCATTAGCAGATGAACTTGTGGAGTTATTCCAATCCACCACCAAAAATGGAAATAAAAGAGACAAAAAGGCGGAGAACAGAACATACCTTGATATAATCCCCCCCCTTCTCCAGCCACTCCTCCTTACTCACCCTCGCCCGCTTCGCTTCGTCCGTACCCGCCCACCCAGCCGCCCCCTTCCACGCATCCAGTACCGCATCCTCAGCTCGACGTATAACCAACGGCGCGCCCGCCTGTAACAGCGGCGTCAGACCCCTGCGCAACCTCTCATCAAAGTTTTCAAACAGCGTGTTGCCGCCGGTGAGGAAGACGTCACGGAGGAAGTCATCGGCCGTCGACAGGCCGGCGAGCGATGGCAGCCGCTGGGTGAGGATGTCACCGGCGATTTCTACGATGCCAGCCTGGTCAATGCCGGCGATGGCGGTGGGCTGGAAGAGGACCTCGGGCACGCGGATGCGCTCGACGTTGAGGTGCAGGCGGTGGGTTTCGGCGGGCGAGCCCGGGTCAAACGGCCGGGGTCCGTAGCGGAAAGCGTGCAGCAGGGATTTGGACCAGTCGTTCTGGGCGTCGAGGGTTTGGTCGTAGTCGAAGCCCTTGTCGTACTCGAGCAGGTCGGCCTCAAGCGCGCGGACGGAGGCTTCCAGATCCTCCTCGCCGCCTTCACCGTCCTCGTCGTCGCTGTCGCCCTTGTTCGCGCCGATGGCTACGTTGCGGTAGATACCCCAGTCGGCGTCGTCCGCGCCGAAATCATCGTCGTCGCCTCCACGCCGGCGTTTGCGGCCCCCGGCGGCGCCGGTGGGGGAGTCGGATGCGAGGCTGGCGATGTTCTTCATGCGGATCTGGTTGGCGAGGGATTTGCGGTTGCCCAGGTCGGCCTTGAGGCGGTCGCGTTCTTTGATCTGGACGAGCTTGGCGAGCCGGGCCTGGCGTTTCTCCTCGAGCCAGCCCTCGAGGTCGTTGATGCGGCGCTCCTCGTCGAGACGGGCTTCTTCGGCGATGCGCGCCTTTTCCGCCTCCTTCTCTGCCTTGGCGCGAGCACGGGCATCGTGGTTGGACTTGAGCAACCGTTGTTGGCGCTTTTGTTTCAAGCCAGCCTCGTCTAGCTGATCGTCTGGCACCTCGAGAAGGCTGAAGTCGGGGGCTTCTTGCTCCTCTTCTTGCTCACCCCCAAGGTCCTTTGTTCGGGCCTTCTTGATGGACTTCTCCAATTCCTTGATCAACCGTTCTAGAGCTGCCTCATCCTTAACCTCGGCGTCGTCTAGGATCCGTTTCGTCTCTTTCTTGGTTTGGTCTGTAATCCGGCGCTGGACGTCCTTGTAATACTCCAACTCCTCTTCCTTTTTCATCAGGCGCTCCAGGCGCATCTTGGCGGCCTGTTCCTGCAACCTGCGGCCGCTCTCTTTCTTCCTCTCAGCAATCCGAGCCAGCTCTTCCTCTGTCTTTTGCACCACCACCTCTTCCGTGTACGGATACTGCACGATGCGCTCCCTATCCTCTAGACCGGTCCAATCCAAGAATTTGGCGACCTCTTCGTTGTAATCTGCCGATACGTAGCAAAAGTCGCGAACCATGTTCTCTGCTTGGGAGGCGGTGAGCTTGCCCGGGAACCCGGTGTAATATTTGAGCTTGATGAGCTTCTGCAGGTACTCCGCGGCGTGCCAGCCGCCCCAGTTCAACCGTATTGCCTGGGACAGTAACGCCTTGGAGTCGTAGACTGGGATGAGATGTGTTGCGCTGTACGATGACGAGACCACAAGGCCGGTCTTCCCCTTGTTGTGGCGGTATGAGAATAGAGAGTCGATTCCGTACGCGACGCTGGGCGCGTTGTAACACTCGAAAAGCACCTCGTTCATTGCTATGCCGGATTAGCATCCCCCCACACCAATTAATGAAAAAACAGACCTATCCTTACTTTTCCTTGAATATGGCAGGTTGGCGACGGCTTCCGTCATGACCACCGGCATGTCGATACCCCCCTCGACCCCATTTATGCCGAGCTTGATGAAGACGTGGTCGAGAACGTGCTCCACCACGTCCCAATTGCTTGCAATCCCAGTGCCTGCCTCGAACGCATTGCGGATATGGCTTCGCGCGGTGGTGTCGGCGTAGCAGTCGTTGCCAGCGAAGGAGAAGGTCTTGCCCGCTTTGCGATCACGGTACTTCGCCATGATGGGTGGGATCGCGAGCCGTGGTTGGGTCTCGAACGACCAGCCTGCCCGCACGGTCGAGGAGCCTGTAGCCAATTGAGGTTATGTGTGAGCGACTTCAAACCGGTCCTACTATTTAGCATGTGTAGAGGGGGTTGCCTACCATTGTCGATGACGATCGCGGCCTGCCCATCTGGTTGTGCCAACGCTCGCTCCCGGCTGTCCAATTGTGGTGGTAGATACTTCTCGAACTTGGCCTCCTTGACGGGATATATCGTAGGTGGCGGTAGGGTCTTCCAGGCCTCCCTCGGGTTGACCGGTTCGCCTGTCGCGGATGGTGCCATCGTTCGCGCGGGGTGGTCGTGCGGATCGAATGCAGGAGATGTTGTAGTGTTGGGAGTGATCTCGGCTGCAGGTTTGATGCATCGGGGTTTATGGGCGCATCGTGTCGAGGGGCTGTCACGGAGATGTAGTGGGTATATTGAATGTGGCGGTGTTGGGATGGAAGCAGTGTTTGCCTTAAATTCCGTCGTCAGTTCAAATTGCAGTCGGTTTTGTTCTGGAGCTGGAAGCTCGATACCGCGTTTCAAGGCACAGTCTATGATACTGTGCTGAGAGAGTTCCTAACTGTGTGGATCTACCGAGCTGTCGGTGTAAGATGATTGGCGGGTGGGGGTCACTGTTCGCTCTTCCTTTTCAAGTGGGATGTCCTGCAAATACTATGTATGAAGTGGTTGCCGGCAAAGTCATGAAAGTGAGAGTTATGAACTGAGAGGAATACTGAATGGTAGGGTAATTGGGGAAATAGTCTAGATATAACTGGACGAAAATTTTCAATCGAAGTTTCTGAGTACGCATACTGATATGGATACTTGATCCTGAAGTTTTTTTCTTGTTTTTTCTTTCAACTTTTGAGTGGTCTTAATTTCTTCGGAACGGACCACAGAAATTAGGGAGTTTACGTTAAGAATATTGATTCATCGACAACGACATGCTTTAGACCTGGTATGCCATAAAGAATTGGAGCGTAGTTTTTGTCTTAAATTAGTAGAATGGGACAAGGTATTAATACATCGTGGTTCGGAACCTAGTGGTCGATGGGTAGGTGTTCTTCCCATATTCGACTTTATTATTCGTACGCCGCCATGATCGAGAAAGATTTGAACCTGAACTTCGATCGACGATGGAATTCCAGGTCTCATTTCAACGTGGCATAGAATAACTCCCAGATGCCTACTTAGCGATGGAGCGGAATTGCTGGAATTGGGAGGGGCCGGTAACGTACAATTCGTTTGAAGTTCGGGCGGCGGAAGAAAAGATTGGCCATGACGTTTAACAGCGCGTTTGGGGCACACTCAGGAACTGGACATGTGGAATTGTAGTTTTTATGATTTTTTTGGGACTATGGCTTAGGAATCTCGCACGCCATCACACTGAACAAACAACAAATCACGCGTGATATTATACAGGGTCTTTGAGATTATCGGTGGCTAGAAACCGTCGCAGTTAGCATTAGACGTACTTGCAAGCGTCCTAAATCGTACTACTCACCTTCTAGATGAAACAACACGTTGGATTGATAATTTTTGAACATCTGAGCCACCAACTCGATGTTCATATTTTGGATGTTGATCTCCTGCGTGCCGTTAGCGACAACTACGGGAGTAAGTTCCTGGCTTGGCGGCCACATACCTGCAGAGCCTTGTTCATGACAACGATGGATTCGTTTAGCTTTTCCTGTGAGAGGGGGAGGTTATGAGCGCGGGTTTCCCGTACAGGACTGTAACCCCATGGAAACACGAACCACGTTGGTGATGATACGCGACAGAAGCAGGTTCTGCTGGTGCTCGTGTGGGCTCTCCTGCTTCAAGGTTAGAAAAATTTAGCGAGGAGATAATACGCTATTGGACGCATACCATTTCATCAACGAAGAAAATGCTTTCGAAATTGTCTAGTTTGACGATGTCTTGTCTCACGTCGTTGTTTACTTGGAGTTGCGTACCCGACGACGACTTGACCCCACCCCCACTTGACGTGCTGCTGTCCGGTGCATGAGCTTTGGAGACAGTGCGAATGGCCCGAGCGGTAAACACTGGCAGAACCAGGACCCTTGGAGCTCACCCAGCTCTGGACACCAACAACTTCATTCCATTCCCAAGCGAAACCTCGCCGACCAACCTCAAAAAGCCTCCTTCAACATCTCACCATCGCAATGGCCAATCCAGAAGCCCAAGCCGCGCTGGCTGCGCACATTGAGCTTTTGGAAGAGCTCGACATACACTCGATCCACAAGACATTCCGCAACCCGAACTGGCGCCCCAATCAACGCCGTAACAAGAACATCAAAACCATCCTCGGCGACGCGTCGCGCAAGGAAGCCTCCGTCATCGCCACCCCGCAGGACAACAGCGGTTCCGCCACACCAATGCAATTGGACAACGATGGCCTTTCTACCAGCGGCACTTCCACCCCGGCGGGCGTCCAATCCGCCAGCGGCTCCGCGACTAACAGCAGCGGCAGCCTCCAACCCAACCTTGCGCAGGCCTCGCGCAGCTTGTCTAAGCTTGTCCTGGAAAAGACTCTCGCGGGGGCACCGCCTCCCTCGAAGCTTCCGCTGAATGGCGTCTCCTCGGCGCCGACAGCGACGTATACGAACATTGAGAGTGCGCCGAGTCTTGCGCCACTGAAGCACTACTGCGACGTGACGGGCCTCCCAGCTCCATACGTGGATCCGAAGACGAGGATACGGTATCATAATCGGGAGGTGTTTGGTATGCTTAGGAGCCTGCCGCAGGGCGTGGGGGAACAGTTCCTGGAGGCGAGGGGCGCGCATACGGTATTGAAATAAAGGATGAGGGAGGGGCATTGCGTTATCAATTGTCTCTTTCGGGGGTTGATTCCCGTCGAGCGGCGTGTATTTTGTCTTGGTTGCGCTTTCTCTCCCCGGGCGATTGGTGGACTTGAGCGCAGTTGCTCTTGGGGATTCTATTGCTGCGTCTATGCATCGCGACTGCCCTCCTTGACCAAACACCCGGTGTCGCAATCTACGCCCACACTCTCCGTCCTCGGATGCTTGATCACACGAGCAGCGTACCAGTTCGGCCGCCCCGAGTAGTTATATCCTCAGAAGATTTATCAAGGGGTCATCACCACCACGCTTCGCCGCCCGACCGCTTCATCATGTACATTTGAGTACCGTTACCCTCGATTCCCGACTCCACCAAAAAGCCACACAACAACAGCCCCGGCCTGTCTAAGCTGCGTCTCCCGTCAATCTGCTCCGTTATCAAGCCAGCCACACCGGCCGCAAACGGGCAAAACCATAGCCATGGAAACCCTCCCGTTCACAGGTCGCTCGCCGCCTCGGGCACCTCTTGTGGAATCTCCCACGCCACCCCCAACGCAAGAGTTTTCCGCGCGCTTCGTTCACCCTTCGGGCCCCGACCACTTCAACGCTCAAACAAATCACAACTCTAGTCACCATTCTGGCCCCCACACCCCGTTCATGTCTGGCGTTGCCACACCGGCCTCGAGCTCGCGAACCGACGCCACACTGCTCCCGACCCATCATCCGATACAGTCCTTGCCTGTCATCAGCGAGAAGGAGAAGCCGTGAGTTTACCATCCCGACGCACTTCCAACTGTTCCGCTTGCGTATCATTGGGGGAAAACGTGCCCTAGAAGGGGGGCGAGCAGTCAAGAACTTGGGCGCTGACACATTCGCTTTTTTTGGCTCGATTAGTAGATCTCAAAGATTCCGGCGCGCCTTGAAGGCCATCAATGTGTTCTTTCTGGGCAAGGAACAGGCATCCGTGTATTGGTATGCGAGTTTGTTGTCGGTGCTTGCTGCGCTTGTGGTCACGGGCTCGAGTATCTTTGGCTGGCCGCCGTTGCCGATTTGGGAATATCTCCGGCATGTGACACGTTGAGGACAAACGGGGTATGAATGGTGGTTTGGGAGATAGGGGGTCCTGTGTTGATGTAGGTTTGCGAGGTTTAATGTGTTGGCGTGTTCCCTAGGTCCTTGAATAGACCGATGGGTAATATTCAAGTGGTATTGAATGCTAGGAAACGGACTGTTCAACGGGATCAATCGTGGTGGCGGAGCGGCGGTTTATCACGGGCAAACAGGGCACGAGGATACGAGACTCTCAACATACGGAATACAAATACATTTGTATATGCGCTTGTGTGTGTGTACGACCAACAAAGTCAAACCCCAACTACGCACTCGTTGTCTTTCAACAGCAAGATGACAGTCGACGCTCCGGCTTAATCGTGATCGGCCTTGTTATTTGCCCCCCCGTGATCGGAGGATTGTTTTTCGACAGACCACCGAGAGAGGACGGAGGAACCAAACTCAGTTGCTCCAGTAGGACACTGGAGCCGCCGCGGCAAGTTGAAGTTTAAAAAAGTAGAAGGGCGGAGGAGGGTATGAATAGACCTGATTCCCTCGAATCCATCGTTGGTTCACTTTACCTTTGACCTTTTTTGGTGTTCCCTTTGGGCTTCGATTTGACTCGTCTGGGTGTGTGTCCCAGCTCCCAGCTTGGAGGTGTCGCGCTGCTAAGATGGGGGACTTGAGATAACCCTTGGGATATATTCGGTAAACAGTACATCCAAAAAGAATAATTGAATGTTCACACTCGGTACTAACGCGAGTTGTTTTGACTCGGTTGAGTCGTTGGTTTCATAGGGTAATTCAGTTCAACTGCAAGCCATGTTGAAGCAACTAGAAATCCTGCAACGCGAAAAAAATAGCAGAGCTCCGATAAAAGATTGCCAGGGGCTTCGAGTGGATCCTTTTCGACCTGCACTTTGACCAATAACAATGCTCACATTACCCTCCACCGACCCGCATGCCTGCCGGGAACAGGGATGCTGCCTGGGCCCCTGGCCAACGTGTTTCCAGCTTTGCTGTGTCTTGAATTGCGCGGCGCAACGAAACGACAAGTTTATCTGGAGAGGGAAGAAGGGGCTAAAAAAAAGTTACACAAGATCACGATTCCAACGACGACACAGAGCAAACGTACGGCCACTAACGAAAGGTGTTGGAACGGAAAAGACGAACGGATTTCTCTTGGGACGACGGCTTGACGATACGATCGATTTATATTATAATATTACACCTTTCTTCGCTTTTTTTGTTAATTAACGACCTACCGACAAGATGCCTACCATGTGGTTATCAGACTCGCAAAGTTAGTTGTGTCCTTTTCGATTGTGCGCGTCTACGCTGTTCCGGCGCGCAAACAAGATATGTCCCCAGAGAATCACTAGCTAACATGTGTTTTCTTCCCTTCCAGAAATCGGAGTCGCCTTCTGCTCCGGCGGTACGTCCAATTCCTAACAGCCTGCGATCCTCCCAGCGCATGCGAGCCCGCGACCGATAACCTCGAGATTACCTCGCCCCCGGACACTGTGAACGATGGACTGATATTTGTGTTTCAAAACAGGCGGCTTCTTCCTCATAGCGGGCATCCTCCTCTTCTTCGACCGCGCCATGTTGGCCATGGGCAACGTTCGTCCCCCCCATCTCCTCGACTCTCTGGTGGCGCCCGCCTCTTGAATCCAACATCATAACTAACCCCTCCTCGTTTACCCTTCTAGATCCTCTTCCTCGTCGGCCTAACCATCATCATCGGCCCACACAAAACCGCTCTCTTCTTCGCACGACGCCAAAAGCTCAAAGGCACCGCGGCCTTCTTCGGCGGGCTCTCGCTCATCTTGCTCCGGTGGCCGCTGATCGGGTTCTTGGTCGAATTGTACGGCATTGTGGTGCTGTTTGGGGACTTTTTGGGGACCATTGCGGGTTTCGCGCGGAATGTGCCTGTTGTCGGACCGTATATTGGGTTGGTGGTCGATCGGGTTGGGTTGGGAGAACGGAGGAATGCGGAGTTGCCTGTTTAATGCCGGTTTGAAGGCAGCGGTGGCGGCTGTATTCCTTTTGCCTTGGCTCGGGGGGCAAGTAATGATGTGGTTTTTGGAGTGGTCTTCGGCCGTCAGGTGAGAAAGGGAAGGGGGGTTGCGGGCTGTGATGGAAACGAGAACGACATTTTATGGAATGGGGATGCGAGACGAGGCGGGTTTAATCTGTGTTGCTTCCCAATCGGCGCAGAGGATAAAAGGATACAAAGGTGGGATCTGAGGGGGTCATGATGGCGTTGGGCGATGTTGATACTTATTACCTCATTTATAATGCCGGGAGGGGGTGGCTACTGCCTGATGGGGAGAAGATTTCGATTCTTTTTCGGCGGGACGAATATGAATAAATAGACTGAATGGTACGCGCCGAGCGCGAGAGTGAGAGAACCGATACAATGATTTCAAACACAGGGATTGGACTCAGGTCGCCGTACTGGTGGGTGGTGGGCGGTGGGCGGAGCTCCCTAGTCTCTTGGGCCCTGAAGTCAAAGGTAGCAGTAGTAGCATCTTGTCACATTCGGGGGTGCATTGTGGGGTTGTGTCGATACATGATCTTTCGGTCTGTGAGTCTAGTCTGTGTCCATGCTTCATCCTCGACATCCTCCTCTTTCTGCTTCTTCTCCCTGCTGCAAGCCGTAGCTGGTAGCTAGCAAGGGGTGCGGGAAAAACCAAAACTTGAAAAAAAAAAGACAAGAAAAGCTTGGTCATGTGTAAAATTTCCCCTAGTTATCCATTCATCCTAGAGGAATGTTCCCAGCCCGTTATTCTCCCTCGCATTTCCCCTCCGCCCTGGCTTTCTCATCCTCACAACGTCTCTTGTTAACCCCATCGGTTCTAGGTACTCGGTCATGAGCGGCCGGTTTCAGTAGCCTTGGCCGATCAGGTAGTCCGCGAGTGCTTCAACCGTCTGGGTCGCGTTGCCGGCTTGGATAGTTTCGCCGTGGTGGCCGATGATGATGGCTTGTTTCGTCTTCGCGATGCAGACTCCGTCCTTGCCCTGTAGGGGTTAAGAGCGAGAGAGATCTTGTTTAGTACTTGGGACTAGTGTTTAAGGCTGGGGGCGAAGTGCGGTATGCTAGTCGTGGGGGCCCGGGGGGGGGGTGAGGGCTGCATACCTGGCGGGCGTAGATGGAGCGCCCGTCAACTTTCGTCAGAACGTAACGCTCGCCGGCGACGTAGAGGCCATCGCCGTAGGCCTTGTCACGTACTTTCTCATCCTCATTGAGGATGGGGATGATGACCTTCTGGAGCTCATCGGCACCGACCTATTTATTAAAAGGGTGCAAAATTAATAAAGATCATTTTCGTGCATCTTCCGAGTTCTGATATGGAGAAACTTCCGGTGTAACGATGTATGGAAGCGGGAGTGAGGGTCGAGCTTACCGCAAAACCGGGAGTCGTGGCCCAGGTGCTGTCACCAGCGATGCTGACGATACTGGCCTTGTCGATGTGGCCGCTGCCAACCAGGCTTTGTCGAGCGAGTTAGCTAGGTCGATTCGGTCCCGTCAGGGGATGGCGCTATCCGTGCGCGAGTCGGCGAAAATATTCTTACCTGCTATCGACGTACGCTATATCGAGGAGATAGAGCTGTGGTTAGCACTCGAGATCAGGATCCTAAGCAAGAAGTGGGGTCTCGCCGATGCTGCGAGCGCGACCGGACGGAGAGCTCGTACATACTTTGCCAGGACATGATGGGCGAGATGTGTGGGTGTGTAAAGAAAAAAACGTTGGGGAAGTAAAAGGCGGAGAATGGGGGAGACCAGCACGATGTGTAGTGTGCGGGAGCAAAGTTGCAGATGGAGAGCTTTGCAGTTACTGCAGACGGGAGAGTTGTCGGCGGTTGTAGTGTAGCTCGCGGTGGAGGCCTGCCGTGGACTTTGTGAACTCCTCCCTCAGTACCCCGCCAGCTTGGGCAGATTCCATCACCGCAAAAACAAGGAGGGGTCAATTTGGTCGCATTAGGTAAGCTAAGCAACCGCGCGGCTCCACAGCCAGACCGCCAACTTTTCGGCAGCCAGGCAAAGTTTGTCCCCCCACCTTGCACAATTCGCCATTCACCGTCTGTTTCGTCGAGGGTCGCCGGATTTGTTGACCCTTTGTCCCGCATTTTCTCAGCAGCAACGGCGGGAGCAACCGTTGTATCCCGCGATTGCCGCGTCGCTTGGTTTGAGACAACCAACCCTGATGCGGATGAGCTGGACTCTCGCTAACGAGCCGACGACCGCTTTCTTGTTCATACACGGCACGCTAACGTTATGCTTCACATTTGTTGGGTTAACAAAAGTATCAGTGAGAGAGAAACCCGCTTCCGTTCCCGTCTCACAGCGACTTGGCAAGCCAGGGTGACGCGTTTGTTTATCTCGAGGTGGCCCGACAACCGTGGCGGTCGACAGGTCCCATGGGAGAAACTGGGACGCCCTCTGGCTTCCCGTGCGTCAAGCTGACATTTTAACCGATATTCGAGGGGTTCCCTCCGATTTAGAAACAACGCCTTTTAGCGAGGCTCCTTTGTCGGTATTGCCGAAGCGTGATTTGAGGGTGCACAAGTTGTTGCTACGAATAGTGTAGTTTCGAGGAGAAGAGCGAACTGTGGCAAGTTTATGCCGTGGCACGGGTTCGAGACACCGCTCAACGCAGATCATGCGAATCGATCCTGAGCAGCCCCGCAAAATCAACGGTCGTGAGGTAACGTTCGAGAAGGCTGAAAGAGCCGCGGGCTTACCCTCGTTTCTTGCCGCGTCACGGCGGCATCGTGGCTGGTCTCGGTCACCAACGCCCACAACAAAGCCGAATTCAACATCCGTCAGATCCCGACGCGGTGTGTTGGCGGAGATTTGTATTCCTGAGACGCAACCTCGGCGGTTGTGTCAATTTCGGTACCGAAATACCAGTGCTTGAATTTATGATCGGATGGCGGCCCTTGGCACTCGCTTCGTGCCTCACAACATCAGACGGCAGAAGGTTTATGCGATAGACGGATTCGACAATAAAGGAATGTCCTCCAGTAAGCAGCAGCCTCGCAGTCGAACGAAGCACCCAGCCTCAATCCTACATCTTTTATTAGAGTGACGTCGTTGCAGCCTCTTATCAAAGAACCGGTAATCTTTCGGGCCTGATCTTCGTTTGTAGGCTTTGCGTTCGTCTGGTGTTCGTTCAAGGTTAGTTAACTTCGACGGTACCGGACACGAACGAAGGGATTGCCGTGTTAGCGATCGAGCTTGGCGCTCTGGGAGTCTGGTAAGGCGGGACATCCCAGGGCCTGGCAGGTCTAGAAATGCAGTGGCCCTCCGAATTCCGAAACGACCCCGCCCTGTGCTCGCGTGGCCGCCCCTTGAAGGAGGTTTCTCATTAAACAGTGTTTGAACCCTCGCAAGCCGAACCCATTTTTCGAAAAAAACCGCTCGCCAGACCACTGCAGACAGCAAACGGTGTGTTTCGCGGGAGTGGAAGCGGAACCAGACGAGGAAATCGCCACAATGTATGGAGCATGGCACACACACCGGCATACGCAGCCTGTTGTGTCTGTCGTTTCATGACAGTTTTCGGAAATGATCGCAGCGAGAAGAGGATTTGGGCCTGTTCACACGACCACACGGCCACGCCACCCCGGGCCACCTCGTGGCTGACAGCGTCATGGCGTGCCAATGTGCCTCTCCGAGTTGACCGTCTTGCATCCTGCATCTGGCCGTCGGGGGAAGGGCTTCCACTTCCAGGCTTCTTCATTCCCGGCTTCGGTGGCCTGGTGGTGGCCCGTCGAAGAATGATGGAAGATGGTGGGCAGTACCAATCAGATGTCGTTGAGGGATCCTGGTCGCCCTGATACCCCTGGGCCCCGGGAGTGCCCCACTGCCCCGCACAGGGGTTGGTCGCTGCAGGCCCCGATCGAATCAACAAGGGGCCGAGATGCAGAACATGCGGCCACTAGCAGCAGTAATCCGCAACAATTCCTGGCTGTTTGGCGACTAGCGGGCGCTGGAGTGTAGTGTACGTGTATTGTTGGAGTGGCTTGAGTGGGAAGTGGCCATGACCTTGATTTCTAGACCGGCGGACTAGCCCTCACCAACCGACTCACCAACGGGCAACCCTTACCGGCGATCAACCCCGTTCCCCGTCCAAAATACCCGCCGGCCGTGCTTCTCTGACCTGGCCGGTGGTGCGAACCTCTCGGAGCGTGCGAGGACGTGGCGTCGAGACGGCGGAAAGACTTCAGGCTTAACTTTCATGTGAGAGAGAAAAGATGAAGCGGGACTTGAGAATATGTAGGTGATATCCCTCGCTTTGCCTCACTCGGGTTCGTTCCCGAGCTTTCTCTGCTCCGTTTGGCTCTCAACCTGACCTACACCACAAGTTTCTGTTGGTCTTTTTTCAGTCTCTAATTTTCCAAGAGATATTTCTCAGTTTACTTGATTTGTTTCTCTTCCTGTTTTCCCTGCCCTGCATTTTGTGGCGTTTGTGTCCCCCCCTTTCAACAGCCGTGGTCCGCCTTCTCGATTCGTCAACGGGATCGCTCCGGTGATTAGACGTTATTTCGAAACCACACCAACGAGGTCCGTTCCCGCATACACACAGGACGACGTCCCTTCTGCAGGGCGCCATCCAGCAGCCAGTCAAGCCCGGTCAAGCCAGTTCTCCAAAGAGTGCCACCCGATACCACCCAATACGACCCAAGACTCAGCAGCCCCCCTGCACGCCTCAAGACCGCTGAGTGGTGCCGCTGTATTATTAGTGTACGGCAAGTGCAGGGCTAGTTGGCAGCGCTCCAACGGGCGCCATGATGAAAGCGGCTAGGCGCCACCACCACGCAGACGGACATGGTGGTGTATCAGATCTTGCCCTGCGTCCACCCCATCCACCCCCTCCAGGTTCGCAGGATGCAAGCCGACGGGGCAGAGGGCGGTCGCCACCCCAAAATGCAGACATACCCCCCGTGATCTTCCCTGGGGGGCGGAATCCATATCTCGACCGTCCTCTTCCTGCACCACCGCCAACATTACCGTCGTCGTCGTCGAAACCCGAAGTTGTTGGTGTTGATGCAGATGTGGACAACACAGCCTCGACCATGCTAGCACGGCCCAGCACCTCTTCCGGTCCCGGATCTGCCTCTTCTTTCTCCTCCTTCTCCAGAACGGGCGGGACGAAGACCGGCTTTGTCGACAACAAGCGACTGTCCAAGGACGATCTTGCTCTGACCACGGCCAGGTGGAACAGAGGGCCGGGCTCACACCGTACCCACGGAACCGCCGCAGAGACCTTTTGGCTGCCGACTCCCGAGCAGTCTCCTCAACGGGCTCCAGCACGGATCTCACCTTCGCACGCTAGGACAATGGTCATGTCTCCACCGGCCATGTCACCACCGCTTGCGCGGCTCCCAACGCCGCAGTCATCATCGGCGTCCGGGAAAATCCCCATCGGCATGGCACTGGGCAGTCCCACGCGCGACTCCTCGTCATACGCCGGGAGTCCCCAGGCCGGGTGGCAGCCCCAGTTTCCGTCCTCCCAGGGGCCAGTAGGACCAGTAGCACAGTCGGCATCCGTCCACGTGACGCATTCTGCCTCGCCGCTGGCGACGCCGGCGCCGGTCACGATCCAGAGGACCAAGACGCAGAAGAGGAGGTTGTTTGGGTCGCTGTTTGGGAGCAAGAAGCATGCTGAGCCGGCTAGGGTTGTGGAGAGTGTCGCTTCGTCGGTGGCAACGCCCGCGCCGTCGAGGAGTAATACGGTTGCTGGGAGGAAGACGCCGAAGCATAAGCCGATTATCATCAAGGGGATGCCTGAGCCGGGGATGTCGGCGCCGGCTCCTTTCCTATCGCCGGGCAACACTAGTACGACAACAAATACTACCACCTCCACTAGTAGTAACGGCACCAGCACCGGCCTCCTCAACGTCGACATCCCGGATATCCGTCTGGAGCGGTACAGCGTCATGTTCAGCGGCGTGTTGCACCCGGGCAGCGGGAATAGGTCGTCATCACTACTGGAGCGACGGCAGGCGACGCTGGAGAGACTGAAGACGATTAGCGACAGGATTGAGATGGAAGAGAGCGAGGGAGCAGCAGCCACGGGCACGGGCACTGAAGAGGGGAAAGCAGGGCGGCCACGTCGGGCTACGTCGCCGCATCCTGCGGGCTCCCCGTCGTTTCCACAGCAAATAGTGGGTAAGGACATGGAATTATCGACAGCAGCAACGGCGGCATCGCTGGCTCCGCCGTCGCGCGGTTTAGCCCGGTCGAATACCTCGCCGGGGTATCTACCGTCGCCGTCGCCGTCGAGGACGAGTTTTGAGCCGCGGCCGGTGCAAGGTTCGGGGGATGCGCTGACCAAAAGGGAAGGCGGAAAGAGGAGGAAGGAAGGGAAGACGGTGACGGTTGTGTCGCCGCGGGAGATGGACGAGCGGAATCGGGCGGTGTATGTCGAGAGGTGGAGGGAGCAGGCTCGGCTTCAATCTCAGTCTCAGTCTCAGGTTCACTCTCAGTCTCAACATATCCAGGGACAGCAAAGCAACGCGATACAACCCATCCAACACGCCCACCCGTTCCGATCTCACCCCCCGGGCACCGGCTATTCAGCGCCGACACCATCAACAGCCACAGAATCCGCCCACTTCCACCCCAACGAATCGAGTCTCCATCTCGACACCCCCGAGAGCGGCACCCCGTCGTCTCGGCCGTCGACGTCTGCCGGAGACGAGCCGGTGGCGGCCCCGAAGCCTGCTGTATTGTCCCCGCATTGGGAGATGATCACGCCGCCGTCGTCGACGTCGTCATCGCCGCCTTCGTCCAAGACTGCGGACGCGGCGACTGGAGCAGTATCTAACGCCCCAATCGCGGCTACCGCTTCCAATGCTCCACGACACCCCCACCGCTCACCGTCTACTGATACCACCCTTTCCACCGCGACCACCATCACGAATACACACCCGAATACCAACGCCCATAGCACACCTCCCACAGCTACAGCTACTACTACTCCACCAGCCACGGCAACAGCAACACCTAGAACAACATTCCAGCCCACACCCCTCGAATCCCCCATCCTAACACCCGGAGTAACCCCCCAAGGGCCCGCCCGCGAAACATCAGCCCTAGCCCCAGGAACAACCGCCCCCCGCGTCTCCGTCGACGAAGCCGATGCCGCCCTCAAAGCAGCCGTCGAAAGCTCCATCGCCCGACAAATCAGCGTATCCCGGCAGCAGCGACAACTGTTGCGGCCTTTTGGGGGGTCGGTCAGGGGCTATGGCCAGAGCACACCGCGTGGGAATGGCAACGGGAATACTCTTGAGAGTAGCATTAGGAGTACCTTTGGAAGCGGGAGTGGAAGTGGGAGTAGTGGCCGGGCGCGAAGTGCTACGACAGGAACAGGGCTGGGGCCGGCACCGGGCACTAGGAGGTCAGTGGAGGATGGAACAGAGGGAGAGGAGGTGATTAAGGGGGTGCGGAGGGTGAATACGCCGCCGGTGATGGTGGTGATGAGGGCTGGGGATCGCAGGAGTGAGAGGGTTGTTTTGGATGTTGTTGAGTAGATTATGTGTCTTACTATGTATCTTTGGGTTGGGACTGGAGTAAGGAAGGGTGGATGGAAGGGAGAGGGAAAGAAAAGGAAGGGAGAGGAAAAAAAAAATGAAGGGGCTTCGATTCAAAATGCGGGTCATCATCAAGCGGCGCTGTCTGGGATGGCGTGGCTGGTTTCTGTCGTTTCCGGTTTCGGGCCGGTACAGAGTGCTGGTTGGCGTTGGTTTGCTAGATTGTTTTGACGTGATACCTGTGGGTTTGTACGGTACGGTACTGTAGTTTACGGAATTCGTTTGCACATACACATTGTTGGATCTTGCCTTTTATCTGACGTATCGGTGTGCTTGTCGAGTTTGATGGCGATTATGGATGTAGCGCAGGAGGGTGTGTAAAATAGGTTCACGGTGCTAATTTCTAACAATAAAGCGGTTCATGATGACTGCCCGCTTGGTCGCGCTTTTCTAAGTCTCGGACTATTTACATTTTTATGCAGCGCTATCTTCACACACAGTGTTGTTTGTTCCTTTCCGATTTTTTATTTTACAAGATACGGAACGGAAATACACGTTCCATCTCCTCTCTCTCTCTCTTTACACCCACAAAGTATGTTACAAACCCTATACATGTCTATAAATCCAGACACACTACCACAGCATAGCCGCATCAACAGTCATCATCCTCCCCGTCCTCGCGTCCCCCAGCTCCCGCCGGTGCCACGCCCGCGCGAACCGCCGGCCCTCCGCGACATCCGCCAGCGTGACCACAAACTGCGTGTATCCCACTTCCCGGCGGCGGATAGGCCTTTCCATCTCATCCACCACCTCCTTCTCATTCCAATCCTCCTTCCCTTCTCCCTCCTCCTTCCCTTCTCCCTCCCCCTTCCCAAACCTAACCCACCCACTCCCCGCCTGTAGCGGATACACAGCCGAATACCGCATCTCTCCATCAACATCCCCATCACTCCCATCAACATCCCCACCATTATTATTGCTGTCCTCATCCCCCAAATCATGACCACCCTCCTGATGATGATGATGATGATGATGATGATGACTGTTCACATTCCCGTTCACATCCACGACCGATCCCTGATGGTGGTCTGACCCCGACCTACCTACATGTACAACCCGCTTGGTACTGGCCAACCTCCAGGGCAGGTTGCGGGCGACGCCGTCGGCGGCCAGCGCGGCGTTCATCCCGGCGAGGGTCATTTTGCTGCCTATTAGGCGAAGGCCGACGCGGGCGGTGCTGGTGTTGGTGGGGGGGTTTGTAGTAGTCGTAGCCGTAGCCGTAGCCGTAGTCGTAGTCGTAGAAATGTGGGGAGTGGGACGGTTAGGGTTATGGATGAAAGGGTTAAGTGGAGTTGGAAGGGCAGTGAGGTTGAGGGCGTTGTTGTTGGTGTTGTTGTTGGTGTTGTTGTTGGTGTTGTTGTCCTGGCGTTGGAGAGGTGCCCGCAGACCCGGCAGCTTCTTGCTGAGCACGCGACAGGCATAAAAGATGGAGTTGACCAGATACACCGGCACCGCGCTGGGCTCGCCATGGAGGCTGTACACCCGACGTGGGTGCATCCGCTTGAAGGCGGCCAGGGAGACGGGGTTCGCTGCTGCGTCGCTGTCGTGATGAGGAAACCGCCGTCGGAGTGAGAACCTCGGATCTGGGTTCTCCAACTCAAACACCTCCTCTACCAGCGTCCACAGCCGCGATGTTGACAGCACCCTCGGCGGAGCGCGCAGTTCCAGCGGCGGATGTCTCGCTGTGTTTGCCCCCTGTCCAACTTCCTGCCTCCTTACACCACCAAGACCATGCTCCTTCTCTGCCAACAGCGTAGCCTCATAAACCTCCCTCAACCGCGCCGCATACCCCCGCGCAGCATCCCACGTGTCGAAAAACACAAAGTACTGGCCGCGTAGGGCACGGGTGTTGAAGGAGATGGCCTGCAGCGTGCGGGAGATGCCGCCGGCCCAGCCGGCCATGTGCTGGCCTTGGGCGGCCCAGCGGTAGAGGTCGGATTCGCTGAGGGAGCGGGAGGCGGAGGTCAGGATCACGACGGCGCGTTCCGTTATGGGGGGGTCGAGGAGGTTTGGTGGTGCCGTCCAGGGTAGTGGTTCATGCGTCCAGGGATCGGGGGAGGGACTGATGGACGCGGTGGTTGGGAGGGTTGGGGGTCCATTTTCGTTGGTGGTGGTGTTGCTGAGTTCTGGGGGAATGAGTGCGTGAGGCCGTCGCCGTGGTGGTCTTGGGGCTGTGGGAGGTTGTTGAGAGGGGAATAATTGTTCGTAAAGAGTGGTTTGTGGTTGTTGGGTCCGTGGTGGCCGTAAACGGCGTGATGGTGGTGGTCGTGATGATTGTGGTGGTGGTTGTGGTCGTGATGCTGATGGCTCTGAAGTTCTTGGTGTTGAGAACTTTTTTGGACTTGGCTTCGTCTCCGGCGGCTGGTCTAGCCATGGAGGCCGCGGGGGATGCTCAATCGAGTAGTGGTATTTTTGGGTCGCGCAGCGTGGTGGCCGAGCACGCCTGGCGAGCATTTGGGCGGTGGGATGTCATGAGTTGGAGGTGAAATAAATGCGTGAGGCCGTCGTCTGCAGTGGTATTTGTATGTACTGTAGTGAGTTTGAGATGAACACTGTGGGGTTATACAGTTGCCCGCAACGGAGGCCCAACAAATGTGGGGGTCCCAGGTTTTCAAGGGGTAACCCTTTCAACTCTTATACCTGAATATATCTGCATTTCCTTATCAATGTAGACTAAAACGTATGAAGATTTGTATTCAAGTTCTATTTTAACTATAAGCCGTCGGATAGATGCGACTAGTTCTGGATAGTTTTAACTTTATGGTTTTGTTCGTAAAACGGGTCTCTTGTATGCGAGGAAAAAGATGGTTCCACTCACTTAGAAGCAGACCCCTTCAAATCTCACAGCAGTACCCCACCATGGAGGGACCTCAAAATGTTTATGAAAGACCTCCATGAAAAACGCTAGCGGAAAGGGTTCTCAACAATCATGCGTGTGCCTCTAGGTAATTTATCTCGGCAACTAATTTCTTTTAGCTCTCAATCATCAACCTGATTTGAGATCAAAACTTCTCACTACTTCCTAATTTCACTACTTCCCAATTTTGGGGTACATTTTCGTCTCGGAAACCCACCATGAAGTCGCTGGAATTCCGCATCCGCAAGTTGCACGTCACCAACGACACAGACAAGCGGCTACAGAAGCGGCAGCCCTCCCGACTATACGTCAACGAGGAGGCCCTGCTCGAACTAACCGGCTCTCGCGATGGCGGTTCCCTCGTGTACGTTGAGCGGGCCTCGTCTGCTTCAGCCTCAGCCTCTGCTTCTACCCCTACAACGCCCACCCCCCGCGAGGCCACGCTCTGGAAGGCCCCCGAGAAGCTCGACAAGACCGTCACGCAAATGTACGACGCCTTCCGCGACGCCTGCGGATACAAGCTTGGCGAGCAAGTCCGTATCACCTCGCTGAAGGCTCCCTTGCCGGACGCCGAGGAGGTTGTCATCGAGCCAGTTCCGTCTCCAGCCCAAGACGATAAATCCGCCCCCACTGCCCTGGCACCGGAGGACCTCGCCGGCTGGGAATACATGCTGGCCGGCCGGCTGTCGCAGATCGAGCACGTCTATGCCGGCCTGGCGTTCAAGAACCTCTTTCTGCGCGGGCCCGAGCGGTCGTTTGTCGTGACTTCTGTGAACGGGCGGAACACGGGGAACGCAAAGTACGTGGACCGGAAAACCGCCGTCAAACTTGCCACAACACCACTCGGAACCTGGAGTAGTCATGGTGACAACAACGGCACAACAAACACAACATCCCCCACCGGCAAGAAACTCCAAGTCACAGGCATCCGCGGACTAGACCCCCAAATCCGCCAACTCAACCAAATCCTCAGTTACTTCAGCACCCCCCTCCCCTTTCACAAACAGCTCTCCTACCGCGGCATCGTCCTCCACGGCGGCCACGGCACAGGCAAAACCATGCTGCTCAACCACATCGCCGCCACGGGCTGGGGCACCGTCTTCCGCATCCAGTACAAAGACAAGCTCACCGAGATCCAAGAGACCTTTCAGCGGGCCACACTCCAACAGCCCAGCATCGTGCTGGTCGACCAGCTGGAGCGCCTCATCGACAAGGACCGCAGCAACCGCGCGGCTGTGATCCTCGCGTTGTGCGAAGCCCTCGACGCGCTGGCTGCGGATGCGGCAGCGAAAGGGGTGTTACCCCGGGTGGTAGTCGTGGCGACTTGTTTGGACTATACCGTGGATGTGCCCGAGGATCTTAAGGAGCCGCGGCGGCTGACGAGTGAGGTGTACTTGTCGCTGCCGGATGCTAGTGGACGGAGGGAGATTTTGGCTGCGCTGGGGTTGGGGGTTGTGCCGGAGCAGGAGGAGGAGGTGCTGCGGGATTTGAGCGAGAGGACGCATGCGTATAATGGGAAAGATTTGTGTCGGTTGGTGGATGAGGCGGATTTGATTGCTCATGCTCGGGTTTTGACGATATCTCCTGAGGGTGCCCTACCCAGCAACGACACGGCCTCATCAGACAACAACGACAGGGAGGACAAGGATGGCAACAACGGCAACAACGGCAACAACGACAACAACGGTAACAACGGCAACAACGGCAACAACGACACCGATAACAGTAACAACAAAATCTATCGCACCCCCTCCGACTACCACTCCGCCCTCCGCCTCATCCGCCCCTCGGCAATGCACGACATCAACCTCAAACCACCCCCCATCCACTGGTCCGACATAGGCGGCCAAGAGCGCGTGAAACTCTCTCTCCGCCGCGCAGTCCGCCTCTCCACCGAACCCCCGGAGACCCTCGCCCGCTACTTCGACCGGCCCCCGAAAGGTTTCTTACTCTACGGCCCCCCGGGATGCTCCAAAACCATGGCCGCCCAAGCCATGGCCACCGAGTCCGGCCTCAACTTCTTCGCCGTCAAGGGCGCCGAGCTCCTAAACATGTACGTCGGCGAGTCGGAACGCGCCGTGCGCCGTTTGTTTCAGCGCGCTCGCGAAGTTAGTCCGAGCATGATTTTTTTCGATGAAATCGACAGTATTGCCGGGCAACGCTCCGGTTTCTCTTCCGGTTCCTCTGGTCCCAACCGCAGCACCGGCGGATCCTCTACAGGAGGAGGCATCAACGTCCTCACAACCCTCCTCAACGAAATGGACGGCTTCGAAGCGCTACACGGCGTCGTAGTACTAGCCGCCACCAACCGGCCGCAAGCCCTCGACCCAGCTCTGCTCCGCCCCGGTCGGTTCGACGAATTGATTTATGTCAGCCCGCCCGACACGGCTGCGCGGCGGGCGATTTTTGCCCAGGTGGCATCCCGCCGGTTGATGCATGCTGATGTGGATATTGACCGGTTGGCGGGTGCCACGGAGGGGTTTTCGGGGGCCGAGATCAAGGGGATTTGTGCCGCTGCTGGGGTGGTGGCTTATGATCGGAGCTTGGGAGGTTTATTGACACAAGAGGGAGAGACAGAAGGGGAAGAGGATAGGGAACCGGCGATTAGGATGGGGGATTTGGAAAGGGCGATTGGGAATCAGAAGAGGCAGATTACGCCCGAGATGTTAAGGGGGTTTGAGGAGTGGGAGAAGCAGTTTCGGAAGTTTTGATCTTGGGAAAGAGGGGTGTGGGTGTCGGGATAGATAAAATACGGGTGGGAATGATATGATGTTTAAGTGTTAAACATGAAAGGTTGGCTTAATTGGTTTATTGACAGACCCTTTTGACCGTTGTGTTCCGACAAGATAGCATTCGCCTCGCTTACCTGTGAACCTTTTCTCCTACTTATCACTTACCAAACTTACCCCCCACCCTCTCGCTCTCGGTCTTACTCTCCCCGTACGACGGGACGCAAACACAGGCGCGCGCACACACACTCGCACCGAACAACCACTCCTTCAAAAAACCAGCGTCTCTTGATTATTCTCAAATCCAAGAGTCCCCCCTCATCACGATATCACTGATAATGCTCCATCCCCTCCACCTTATATCCCATTCGCTCGCTGCCTTAACGGACCCTGCCTTACAGTAACACACATATACCGCAAACCCACGCCCCGCAGCCCCGTACACACGGACACACATACAGCAACAAGGGGAACGGAACGCGAGGGGAGAAAAAAACACCGCCCAAGTTAAAAAAAAAAAACAAAGTAACAAGCCGTCTAGGCTAGACATAGGTGAATTAATCAGTCATCAACTCCCCATCGTTCCCCCCTTAACTCCACCCCCCATTCTTCCTACCATTGGCCCTGACCCTTTGCCCTCCCTCCTTCCTTGATAGATACCCAGCCCCTTCTTAGTCGACAGGGTATTTATCCCCTCCCTCACCCACAAGACAGCCGTTGTTGATAACCCACCCCAGGACCGAACCACCTTACCCATCCGACCAATATCATACCATACCATACCTGAGAACCCATATCCCCATACACGGAACACCAGAACCCCGGGAACCCTTTGTTCCGCCGGATGTTACACCCGATAAATAATAGTAGTAATAACAAGAGACAAAAAGAAAGGGAAAAAAAGAAAGGAAAATGTCATTAGCCGAGGGGTTGGGGAGGCCCCTGCTGTGTTAACCTGGTTAGGTTGAAAGCTGGGGAGGTCGAAGTCGGGAGTTCGAGGTCGAGGTCGAGGTCGAGGGCAAGGCCGAGGTCTAATCCGGGGGGTTGGTTGGGTTCTTGGAGATTTTCGGTGTCAACTTCTACCATGAAGCTGAAACGGGGTGGGTAGTCGCCATGTTGGTGGTCCAGAGTCGGTATGTCGGTCAGGGCATATCACATCACATGAGCAAGGGATGTGTTTCGTTTCAAAACCCGCTGCCTTATTCCGAGACAGTAGGAATAGATTGATCTTCAAAGCCGGGGTCGGTTGATTCCTTGCGAATAACCTTGCAGGGTAGGTAAACTTCGGTTGGTCGAGCAGGGACGTCGGGTAACCCTGATAGTAGGAATATACTGGTTGATGTCCATCGGAATCGGAATGAGGCTGGGTCAGACAACCAAGGACATGATACTTGGCGGGGAGAATAACGTTGGATATCATGGCCAACAGACACGGCCAACCGCTGCCGATATCATTCCCCATCAGTGATCCATCCATCAACCCGATCCAAGCCAGCCTGAGTCAAGGACCAACCAGCCCATCACAATGCCATGCGCTTCACTCTAGTCCGGCACCCTACTGACCCTCCCTCTCCTCCCCCCTCGCAGCAACAGCCTTCCCCAAACTAATCGCAATCTTTCTCGTCCCACCATTCCCACTCCCCCCACCGGCCCCCCCATTCGGACTCCCCGTCCTTGCGACAAAACTCCGTTTCTTCTTAAGAATCGCCGTCTGCTGCTGCTGCTGCGGCTGTTGGCTCGGGACCATCGATACGGCTGCATTCGCATTCGCCGCGACACTGCTGCTGTTCCGTCGCTTGTGCTGGGTGAGCTTGTTCAGCGCGTCGTCGTCATCGTCGTCTTCTTCGCGGCGGCGTTTTTCGGATAACCGCTCTGGGGGCGTGACGGAGGCGGCTGCGTTGGCTGCTGCTGCTGCTGCGGTCGGGGGCGGAGTGCGGGGGGATCGTTGTGGTTGTTGGTGGTGTGAGTGTTGTTGTCGGGATGGTGATGGGGATCGTCGTCGTGATGGGCTGCCGTTGGTGGTTTCATCGGGAGCGGACGAAGAGAGAAGGGCTGTTGATGGTGTAGCGTTGGATGGGACAGTAGTCATGGCGACGTCGTTTTCGTCGACTTCCTCGTCCGAGTTGTACTCGACGAGCGGTTTCGAAGGGCTACGGACCATGCCCAGCGACCGGCGCAGCTCGTCCTCGTTGGCGTCCTGCACGTTGGCCAGTTCGTCCTCATCGTCGGACGTGTTCCAGTACTCCTCCTGTTGCGGGTCGACCGTCAGGTGCTCCATCATGCCGCGGGCCGCGCCGTTCGGGGGCCTGCGGCCAAGCTCGTCTTCGGACTCGAAGTAGGGGTCGATGTTGAGCGTGAAGCCCTGGGTATGGTCGTAGCGGTGCAGGATCTCGTTGAAGGTGGCGATGTAGGCGAGCGCCGTGACCTTCTCGCGGTAGTTCTCGACCATCTGCTTGATTAGCTCCTTGAGGTGTTCCTTGTGCACAAGCATGAAGAGCTCTAAGCAGGCCGACGAGAGCAGGTTGTCGCGCGGGAGTGTCCGCAGGAGCACGTCGAGGACGGGGCCGACCACTTGCTTCTCAACCATGTGCTTGATGTAAAATTCGTCCTGCATGACGACGAGGTGGCGGAAAAAGCGGACGGCCACTACGTTTTTGTGTCAGCAACAAAACAAACACCATCCCCTGAAGACGGGAGATGACCTACCAAGCTGCAAGTGCTTCTCCTTGCAGGCTAGCAACTGCACAAACCGCGACGCAATGTTATGCGTAAACACAAAGAACTTGCTGCGGTGGTGGTGCCGCTGGATGTAGAAGCACAGAATGTCGTTGAGATAGCTAAAGAGGCCCTCTTCTGCAGGGGTAAACGTCATGTCGGTCCGTTTCTCGAGATCTAGCAGTGGCTTGAACAACCGGACCGCCGAGTTGTCGTAAAAGTGCGACAGAAACAGGTCCTGCTGCGGGTCAATCGCGACGGGTGCCCTCTGCCTCGGCTGACCCGCGAGCCCTTCCTGCTGCCCCTGTTGCTGTTGCTGTTGCTGTTGCTGTTGCTGCTGCTGCTGCTGTTGTTGTTGCTGCTGCTGCTGCTGCTGCTGCGGCGACGGGCATGGGTCCAGAAGCACCTTCAGCGCCTCCGAAATCTGCGACTTGACGCCGAGATCAACCTCGACCAGGAGCAGGTCAATCAGGGTATCCGTCAGCGGCTGTAGCCGTTTCTGGATCTGCTCGTAGATTGTTTGGCGGACGAGCGACGGGTCGTGGTCGATCATCGACACCAAAATATCCGTTGCACCCACCCTCACTGCCACATCGCGGTGGCGCATGCCAAAATTGATGGCTGGCAGCAACCCTTCCTTGAGGAAGTGCACGTAAAGGCCCTGGCGTGCCGGCGGCTGCAGGTTCTTAGCTATCGCGCAGCACTGCTGGATGAACAGAACGGCCTCCTTCTTGCGCAGCGTCGGTTGCTGTGGATCATGGAACACGGCGAAAAGTTCCTGCATGAAGCCCGGGGTAGTGTGCAGGTGCTGCACGATATCGACCTGGTTGAAGAAGATGAGCGAGTTGAGCACCGAGAAGGTCGGGTCGTCCAGTATCCTGGCCAGCACCACGTCCTTGAGGTACTGCAGCCGGTATGTGATGTGGATCTTCCGGCGTACGTGCTCGTCCTGGATCTTGACAACCTCCTTGTACCGGCCTTGGTTGTTCAGCCACTGCCGGTGGTTCGCCTTGTGGCTTGGAAAATCAGGGTCGTATTCCAGCGCGCCCACCACTCCCAGCACACACTCGTCTGACACTGCATGTTCGATGATGCTAGTGTCGTTGAGCAGCAGCACCGTCTTCATGATGTTGCACAGCCGGTGTAGGTCCGTCAGGCTCTCCAGGTCCTCCGCCATCTCCACTAGCGGGATCAGCTTTCCGATGTAGTCGTCGTTCATGATCGTCTTGGCCAGCGCATCGCGGCCAGCGGGCGACTGCGAAAGGCTCCGGATCGCAGTATCCAGTTCCGGCAGCGATCCCAGATCGGCCGGCGGGAGCTGTATCGAGGGCGCTTCCATGGTGAGGTCTTCTTCCAAGTTCTCGTCGGGGCCAGCCATGCCTCCGTTAAAGGTTTGCTGCGCTTGTTCGATGAATTTCCTGTTGGCAGAGACATGAAAGGTCAGCATGCACGCAGGCAGGCAGGTTCGGAACAACACTCAGGTTCCACCGGTGGCACAAACCAGACCAGGCCGCAGCCATCGGCTTCTTGGAAGCTCAGTGCCATATCAACGCCATTACTTGTCCAGACTATGAGGGTTTCTGCAAAGCCCAGTTAGACACGAGACCAATGAGGCGCCTGTGCGCGGGAGTACAGAGGGAGGTGGGGGGACAGATAGATAGAAAGCGGGTGATCGCGTGCCTTGCTGCTTCTGGAAGCCGTCGTCCTTAACAATCTTTGTTTCCAGTAACCGCCGATTTGGTTGATCCTCGGACTCGACTACAATATGGGGTTCTTTTGGTTGGCCATCTTCCGACTGATATGCGCAATCCAAGGGTTAGCGAAGACACATGGAATGAGAGAAAGCATGAGTAAGCAACGGCGGACATACCGGTGCCCAGCAAGTATAGCAAAACCCGGTGCCACGATCGAACCAGTCATTATGGCGGAGTTCGTAGACCTTAACTCGCCTCCGGTCCGGCGTCTGATGAGGCACCTGCTGTGCCATCATCAACGGTTCGGGCGCCGCGTCGGGGGCGTCGGAGTCGGCGATAGCGCTAGCAGTAGTGGTCGCAAGAGTAGTTGTAGTTGCAGTGGTAGTGGTAGGGATAGTCTCCGGGGTTAGGTTTTCGAGCAGTGGGTGATCAAGCTGATCAAAGTGATCAAACCGACCGAACTGATCGAGTAGGTCGAACTGGTCGAACTGGTCGAAAGAACCGGATTGGTCGGGATGTTGTTGGCCCTGCTGCTGCTGCTGCTCCTGCTGCTGTGGCTGCTGATGATGGGCCGAAAGCGACAGGTCGGGCTCGGCCGGGACAGGCAGAACAAGGGCCGCCAGCGTCTCGGGGAGCAGTGCGCGCGTTCCCGAGGTGAGGGAAGCGCGTTCGTCGGCAGTCCGGATCACGGCCAAGCCAAGGCAGGTGGAACAGACAGGCAGTCAGGCAGACAAACGGCCGTGGGCGGGCGGCTCGGTTCGATGCGCCGGAATGCGATGCGATGACAATGCCGGGAATTGCGATGCGATGCTCTGCAATGCGATGCGATGCGATTGCCGATGGAAATGGGATGGGATGGGATTGTTTGGTGGGGCCGCCCGTCGGTCGCGGTGTGACGTCGAGTTGAGGAGAAAAGGTCAGAAAATCGGGTTCGGGCGAGTTGAGGGCGCGTGCGCTCGTGCGTTTCCGTTGCGTTGCGTGCCTGGGGCCCCCCTTCACGCTTTTTTCCCCGACCCAGTTTCCTCGGCAAAGATACGGGCAACGGCAGCTGCGCGGTTGATATTCGCTTTCGCCCACAACCGGAAATCGTCTCGGCCGATGCAAAATTCGTCGCCGGCCGGTCGTCAAGCGCGTGGCGATGAATGCGCGGGCGCAACGCGGGCTTCAAAGATTGCGGGCTCCCGTTTTCGCGGGTATGGATGTGCGTGCGGGTTGCGGCGGAATGGGGTCGCGCGAAAGAGAAATTCTTGGGTCCCGACGCTTGCTGGCTTGGGCTGGGCTGGCTGCAAGGGGGGCGCCGGGGTCTAGCGCCTCTCGGGGGAAAGTGGGGGCCCGCTGGAAAAGAAGAAAAGCGGGCAGCAAAGTGCGTGATCGCTGGCACAGCACCTGCTGATCCTGAAGCAGCTTAGCGGCGCGGCCAGGCCCCGGCTTTTTCCTTCGGTGCTAACATCAAAATTCAGCGCGCACTGATGTCACAGAACCACCCCGCCGACCTCGGGGCGCCCCAAATGGCCCCCACTCGCGCCCCTTTCCAGCTCAATCCTCGAAAAATGGACAAATCCGGAAGCCAACCTTGAATGCATTTCCCTTTCTGTCGTTGGCGACCACGGACATGCTGGTCCCTGAGCCCGGGACACCGCCGCACGGCGGATGGGGGAGTTTCCTGGATCATCGGCCCGAGCCGTTCCGTTCTTCAGACAACCTCCGAACTCTCCAGATCCTCAACGGCCATCGTCAATTTAATGTGATGAGGATATTCTCCGTTGACGGAGAACCCCACTCTCGGCATGAGGGCTCATGTCTCGGGTGTCTGGCGCCACGGTTTCGGTCGAAGGCGAGCGTCGATCGGCGAAATCCCCCAGATCAAAATGGGAGGAGAAAAATAAAAGTAAAAGACACGAGCAGTTCATCAACTCGACGAGTCGAATCGATTATGCCAAGCAACTACAGAGAGGCAGGCCACTGACCAACACGCCAACTAGATCCTCGGGAACATATTTTAGGCGTTTAGCGACCAGTGTCTTCCGAGCCCTGTTCTCATTGATTGTATCCCTGGAGCTCATCTAAGTCCGATAAGCAGGTTTGTTTCAAAATGCCGAAACCCGCGCTCAAAGATCAACACCACAGCTAGTGTACAGTGCTGGGATGCTTCCCATGTCAACAACGCACTCAACTCACAGATATGCAAAACAAGAGCTAGCCCCGCAAATCAACCTAAATAGAACCGATTCTGTCGACGATGAAGAGAAATTGCAGAGCATCAGTAGTCGGAAGAACTCAAAACGGGTTAGACAAAAAGGGTGCCCCCGTCCTTTCCCTAACACCTCCCGTTCCAACATCCCATCCCATTGACAACTCCTCCCACAAGATGTACCGTAAATATGTAGAATTCCAACCGTCACGCTCCCCACGCGCCGGTCACCAAATACTACTCTATAATGTCCAGCTACACCCAGGACGCCAACTGACTGCAACACGCCCCTCGACCGGTCTGGCCCGGCCCGAAGCCACACATGAGCTTAGGGTTAGGTTGGTGCCAAACCCCCCTCCGTTTTCCCAAAAAACTACGTGTATATATTGGTCCCAGCACACATCACACACTATTAAAATGAATGCAACTCACAGTCCGCGCCACCATTTATAATGTCCCCCAACAGGTGCGGTACGCCACGCCACGTGCATGCAAGGCCGTCGGTCGGTCCCGAAAAGCCATGTGGGTGGTATTGGAGGGGAGGGGGTGCTCGGAGGCAACGCCGAGTTGGGGGGAAATCTAGACTTCTGCAACCTGGGCCTGCATACTGTGAGAAGCTCAGATGGGGAATTACAGAAGTTCTGCGCCTCTTCTTCGTAAACTGTCCAATACTTGTTGATGTCGCTTCATCGAAGGAACCTGAAATGCTTTGGTGCAGTGAGTTTTCAACAGACTAGTGATGCAGTTAATAGGTATTGAGACCGTGTTCTTGATCTTGTGGATATCGGTACGGTTCGTTGGTTTGTGGCATTACAAGTACATGGTATGTACCACAAGCCCCTCCTCAACTTTGAGACAAGACTTGGTCAAACGTCAAACCGTTGAACTGTCTCAATTTCCAACAGCCGAATCCCGCATCGTTTGACCGACCGACAACTACGAGGATCAAAACTGGAAAAGTTGTGTTTCGAACGATATTGATGGCCGTGCGGGGGCGGCCCAGCCCAAACCAGCACGTTGGCATGTTGGCTGCCCCAGCTGAGCTGTGGCTCGTCGGATTTCGCTACTACATGAATTATCGAAACGATAAATCTTCGGCAACCTGGGTGACGATAACGAAGCGTGTCGTTTTTCGACCCAATCAAGAGGAGTAGTGAATATCCTGCGTAACCACAGTCGTGATTATCATCAAGGCCTTCAAATGTAGGACCACACAAAAATCTTATCATCGTCGTCCTCGCCGTCGTCGTCATCCTGTGGCTTTCAGCCCTGGCGAAAGGGACCCCCCCTGTCTTTATTGAAGATCCCAGGCTCTTTTATCAGAGGGATCCACTCGATTTTCGGCCGTCCCGCACTAGCCAGACAGGGGTCTCTGGACCCGGCCAAGAGCCGCATGATCGGCAGGGCGGCAGCCACCCAGCTTTTGGCTCTTGATTTTTATTTTATTTTTATCCCATCGCCGCGCTGGTGGTGCCAGTACCCGGCCAGTTATCAGCCCTGTTGTGCACCGCAAGACTCCAACCAAGGTATGCTTATCTTTGAGAAACACGAGGTGGAAGAGGACAACGCCGGCTGGTCTTCCTCAATGAATTCAACCGTACCAGGCGCCCAGGTGGTGCTCGTGTCATTTCCTCAGAGGGAAAATGAGACAGAAAGAACGGAGGAGTGAAAAAAAGGGACTCCGCCGTCAACTTACGTTCGCTGTGGCCCATGTCCCTCTCGGACCGCCCCGCTACTTGCCTCTCTTCGGAGGTGTGGTGTTCTGGACCTTTTCTGGCGCCCTGGTGCGGCACTGCGCAGCCCGCTTGATCCAGATTAGCGCCCGCCCTGTCTCCTCTCTCCGTCGCGGCTTTTTCGTCACGGCCCTGTCCACGACACCGATAGGAGCCATGTCAGAACCGCTTGCTAGCCACGGCGCTATTGAATGGGAAGCGGCAGCAGCACCAGCGGGCTATCAGAGACAGCCAGCCTCTTTTATCTTTTGCTTGCTTCATGGAGCTGGAGGCCCCCAGGGGCTGGGATTCGGGCATCAACAAGCGAGCGGGCGAGCCACTTCTCATCCTGTTTGGGAGCGTTTCTCCTTTGGGGCTGTTGGTGGAGATGCCGGAGACCGCGCGGCAAAACGAGAAAATTCCTGACGAACAAAGCGGCCAAGAGCCATGTTGCACGGCGGTTCGCTGGCCCAAGTTTCTAGCGCGACTTCTTTGACATCCAGATCTGGCGCATTTCAGAGCTGTAAATCCCCTCGCCCAACGGGCCGCCCGACCAGTGCCACCTTTCCGGAAAGGCGTTTGAGAAACGGGGCGGACATATCCTTTGCGCTCTACGAATACCAGGGTGGTGCGGCTGGAACGGGTTCCTGGATCGAGCTCCGTTTGTCATCCGCCACCCGTTTTCCTCGTCCGAAAAAGATTTTGCGTGGCCTTTTTTGAACCCCTTCGTGCCCCCACGATCCGTGAACGTCTTCCGAATTTTTGGGCCATGAGTGAGCCGCTCCATGGGCGATCGGTTGTGGTATCAGCAGGTTGCACATCGGCAATCGTCACTAGTTGGCGAATCTTCTTCCAACGCAATCGGGCGACGATCGTCCCGGGGGGAGGGGGGTTCGTGCTGATGCGCTGCGAAGTCTGCGAGCCGGTCTGGCGGTAAGACGTGTTATCGGAGAAATTCCAGGCCCCCCGATGAATCATGAATCTGTCCCAACACACAATGGGGAAGGAGATGCGGTTGGGGGGCAGGCAGTTCCTAGACGCTGCCGACGAGCCGTTTGTCTGGGCTCCCAGGAATACGAGGCCCCGCTTTTCTACTGGCTCTTCTGCGTGCGTGGCTCCAAGGACCGCAGGGAATGGGTCGCCCAAGCATGCGAGTTTGTGAGTCGGTGACACTGTTCCTCGTCTTCGATGAGACAACATCGAAGCGAGCGATTCGTCTTGGGCAACCGAATCCGGGGCGACGTGCTGCCGCGGAGTGTTCGGGTTCGCTAAACGAATTCTCTTGACATGTCTTGTTTCCCGTCAATGTCACAACTTAAGGCGCGGGAGATCGACTTTGGTTGGTTGAAGGGGAGAATAACTATTCCGGGCAGGCGAGTAAAGATCGGCTGACGGTTTGGGGAAATGCCTCTACATCGTGCTCTTTCCGTTTTGATAAGCCGCTGGTTGGAGGAAGGAACTGTGTGCAACATGCCAACCCCGCTAACCTTCTGGCCGCATCCGTTCTTGCCGTTTACCTTGCATGATGGGATGTTTTTTCCTCGTTGTTTGAAGTCACACCATTAGCGCACGGCCTGTACACTACTGGGCTGGGCGAGTCCGTTTTGACCCCCGATGGAAGGAACGGCATAGATGTGGGTGTCAATGAACCCCCGCGTGGCTGCGTTTCACCCCTGTCTGCTGCCGCAGACGCCATGTTTCCATGAAGCGCGCCCTCGCCAGATCCAGTCCAGCTGAAGGCTGAAAAGATGCAATCGCACGGTTGCTTGGACATCTTGGCGACCCTTAAAAATGCTCGGGCGCCGCTTTTCCTCTCTCCCTCTCCCCTCAGGGAGCGAACCAGTTCAGCTCTCCCCTCAGCGGACTATAACCTTCCGCCTGCTGTAACATTGTGTCCTTCCATTCTTCCACAACACGTTATTGCTTGTTGCGGGGCACCTTCACTCACTCAGCTCCCGCCCGCCTCGACATCGCCCTCAATCGTCCTCACAACGATCACCAACGTCATTACAACAAGTTAACCGTTCCGGACACACCAGCCCCCAAGCTCGCAATTCCGGCCTCAATTCCAGCCTCTAGACACACTGGTAGCCCTACTGTCCCGAGCACCTCCCTCAAGCTGAAGGGCATCACCTGAGTGCCAGGGGTCATTCATTGCTTTCGCCTATTGTCCCGTCCACGGTCCCATTGACCCGGACCGTCCCCAGCTTTGGTTCTCCTCGCTTCCTAGCACCAAATATAGGCAGCCTCGCATTACCCACTAGATCTCGCAGGGCTTCATGTACCCCAGCCCAATATATTAACCCGCCGTCTGCAACCTGGTTACCATCTGCGGTTGTCCCCACGCTCACTCAACCTCATTCGACCTTGCCCTTGGAGCCGCCGATATCTCTGTGACCGCCGGGCTGCGGCCATTTGACGGCACCGACGCTCACGATTTGCCATGTCGGTGTTCTCGATGATCAAACGGGGTCGTCAGGCTGCCAAGGACCATCGCGCAGAACAGGCTAAGAAGGAGAAAGAGGAGGAGCAGAAGCCGCCCTACAAGCACGTACCGAAGCATGCTGCCATTGACGCGATGTCGGGAGGGCCGGCGGCATGGAGGGAAACGGACAGGGCCAGGATCGTCGAGCAGAACCGAAGACGCAGCGCCATGACGGCCAGCGGCGTGGGCATGAGCGGTGTTATTACGCCCATTCACCCGGGCGTTACCCGTGTCCACAGCTCGCTCTCACACGTTTCCTACCCTTCGGCCTATGCCACCCCGGTTGTCCAACTCCCCCGGGGTTACAGCTACAGCAGCATGCCAGCCGGCTGGACCCCGCATAGCCGTGAGATGAGCTACAGCCCTGTTGACACCGGTGCCTTGTCCGTGAAGGGAAAGGAGGTCGAAAGGGTTGCCGATTCGTCCCGCACAAGTCGATCCTCAAGCAAACTATCCATGGCCCGAGTACCGCTCCCCTCCATGTCTGCGCCTGAGGTCAGGGATGTCGCACCATCCCCGGTGGAGAGCTCCGGCGGCTCGACAAGCTCTCAGGATGATTTGGAGATGAAGCCAGCGGAGAGACGCAGCGTCATTACTCCACTTCCCGTCACGACCACCGCGAGTAGCCCAAAGCCGAGCCGACCCACGAACGACGTCGAACGCATTCATCGACTCCACCCGGGACGAGCCCGTCGGATCTCGGACCCCAAGCAACCTGTTACCCGCCCCCCGTATGGGCGGCGCACCAGCTCTCTAGGCGGAGATATTCCTCCGGTGCCCGCTCTTCCGCCCATGGAGTTTGGCACCGCCATAACTACACCCGACGTATTCTCATCCGCTGAATCCAGCGCTAGTTCCATCACCATGGTCCCCGTCGGTTCCAGCGTGTCACTCTCGTCACCGAAGGCTGGTGCCGTCCCGACTGTGATGGTGGCTCAGGAGGTGGAAGTCCCCCAGCAAGCTGAGATTGTATCTGCCGAAAAGTTCAGCGAAGAGAGAGCCATAATCCCCAGTGCCGTCGCTGCTCCGGTCTCTTCGCCCGGAGCTGCCAAAAAGAGTCGGAGGATATCCAAGATCGCGCGGTTTACAGAGCTTGAGCCGATCAAGTCCAACACAACCGTGGCCGTCGAGCCGAGCCCGCCGTCACCGGAGGAACTGGAACAAGAGAAAGGTCGCTCAATCGTAGATGTCACAGCCCTTCCGACGAGCTTTGATGACTCCGTCTTGTCTGCATCCAAGGCAGCCTCGAAAGCCACCGCCCCACCCTCTTCATCTCGGTCGGGCAAGCTCACCAAGAGCGCGGGTGCGAACGTGAAACCTGCAAAGAAAAACAGGTGGTCTCTAAGGACTAGCAAGACAGCCGTGGCTGTTTAAATTTCTCTTTATTCTGAAGCATTGCTTCGGCGGCTAGCTATCGGCGCAGGGAGGTACACATAGGCACATCTGGCCATCATTTATTCCCTTTGTTTCATCGACAACACCATCACGGACACATCCACGCGGCGAAAGCGTCTGCTGCGTTTTTTTGTTTTTTTTACCACTACTTCCATAACTATTTACTGCGGGGCGTTGGTTACTTCTTGGGTCATCAAGCGTTTGTTTTTATCATTTTGGCTTTTCACGAATGACGACATTCCAAAATATTTTTTTCCACGGCTGCGGACTGACAGTGTGGTGAATTTTGTGCAACAAGAGATAGAATCGGGCAGGTAAAGTTTGCGGTCTTATTTGCTGGGTTTACATTTCGGGTGAATTTTGGGCATTTCTCCTCGCTTTCTCCGCTGTACACTATCGTCAGCTTCCCCATCTTAGATGGGAAACAGTGGCCATATCGGGTACCAGTCTAGCTCCTTTGTCAATATCACTTGCGACGGGCCTGTTCCTCATCAGGTGCAAATGACAACGTCTGCAAACGTCAGCTGATTCCAACTTTGTGTGTGAATGTCCGTCTAATTCTAACATTCCGTGACTGTCCATTCTGAGAGCTGCCTTGGTCACGGGGTTGGGAATGGATCGAACGGGGCCAATTAACAAATAACTAGTGTAGATGGGGAAGGAGGAGGGAGATAAGGTGTTGATGGGGGTCACGTCACAGATCCCCCACGTATGTAAGACATGGCGAGACGATGCGGGACGTCGATCTTTCCCGCCTTTTTATTCGGCACGGCATTTTGGTTCGGGACACAGAAGAGCGAACACCGAGATGCGCAAGAGACTGACGTGACGGGACTGACGTGACGGGTTGATGTGCTATGTTGTGTTGTGCTACCTGGCCTTTGGTCGGGTGTGGGAAGGCGCAGCGAGAGCCAAGAGTACGTGTATGCAGGACTGAAGGGGGGGGAAGATACGAGGTGGTTTTGAGGGACGGTAGGTATGTACATGTACTTTCCCCCTTCGCCCTGTGGGTATCTGACTCGTGGTTTCCGCTCGGCGCTTTCTAACTTGTCGGTGTGTTGTTTAACTGATGTGCACAGTACCAAGTCCCCGGTCGGGATTGATGAAGTAGGCAGGAAGGGGGGCGGGTGGGTGAATGTGAGGTGAATGCCAAAACAACAGTGTCAAAGTGGATTTAACATCGTTGGCGCCGTGGCCCTCCTCGAGTACGTCCAAACCGTACTAGGGGGCTCGGGTAGGAGGGTGGTAACTTCCTTCGTAGCTGCAGAGCGCACCTACCAAGACAAATGAAGCCCTGGAATGGAGGAGCAAGAGGAAAGTGCGTTCAAGAGAACCCACCAGTCGTCGAGTTCCTAAACCCCCCCCCCCCCCCCCCCCTTCGGATTCCTGTTTCTCTTCATCTGTCGTTTTTTTGACGCGCGCGTTGGCAAAACTCGCAACGTCAATGATTGTCTACCACATCATCCCAAGAAATCTTAGATCTCCAGTCCTGATCAGGGGCCCATGTACAATTTTAAAGCCGGAATTATTTATAGAAGAAAGACTGTGGCTCGAAAATGCCACCGGCGGTCACCGCTTCAACTAATTAACCCACGATCCGAGGCCCTCTCTCATCTTTATCAACAAGGAGGACAAGGTAGGGATTCACCTTTTCAGCTGTGAACTAACTTCTTGCTACATGACTCCTTGTAATTGGAACGTATGAGACCTACAATACCGTCGTCGGCCTTGACTTGACGGGTTGGACGTCAAGGAGTTTAAACGGGTGTGGATAAAACAGCGGCCTGACGAAAAACGACCCGTTAGGGAATAGCTATTCAGATACTGAGACAAAAGATGACTGTCACTTTCCGCAGGACAAAGTACCTTTTGAGACCATTTCATATGGTCAGGACGATTGAGAGGGACCATCGGCTGTTTCACTATCTGGTAAAGTAAAATCGGGTTGCCTTTGTCGACACCGTTGTGACTGCGACATCGCCCGAGGCGACGTACACGGCGGTGGCTGGACTGTGAGACCTTGAGGGTAACGTTGTCACTCAACCCTGCTATCATGGACCTAGTTAAAGCTTTTGTCTCTGAGGGGGGCGTCGTTTTGCGTGTTTGGTGTCTGTTTTAAGGGAGTTATTGTTGGGAGCTGTAACTAATTATGGATGAAGCGCGGAGCGAGACGATAAAAGCTAGCGTGCTGTCATAGTGGAAGTATAATTATGGGATGATCATGACCCCAAGAATTGAGCTAAACTTGTGTACCCATTATTTTACCCGCAGCTCCCAATCTTTAGCCGGATAGATCGCCACAGGTCCCGTACGCAGTCTCCGTTGGTAACCATGTCCCTGGCATATATTCAGGATAATTATGCCCTGTTCGATAGCTAACTAACCTGTGCACCCCATCCTTAAACTGCTTCAATGTTTGTGTGATTTCTTTTATGTCGCAGGGAGTGAATCATTCAAACTAATTTATGGTATATTAAGATCCGAGCCCGCCCGGGCAACATACCTGACTCCCTGAGTCTTCAACGACCGTGTCTTCTTGAGCCACGGGATCTCATTCCAAGAGCACCATTTCCTGCTGAGATCTATTGACATCGCATCTTAAAGCTATATGTTACTTATCACCCCTCCACCCCGAAACACCCTACCCTGACTGACATGGAAATTCGTCCCCAGTTTCCCTTCGCCGGGTGGAAGGGGATTTATTCAAGTAATTATTGTTCTCTCATCTAGCAACAGCGGCACAAATTCCGTTAATTATGTGGTTGTTTGGTCGAACTGGTATGTATAAGGTATGTAAGTAATTGAGCATTAATTATCAATTCAATCCAAGAGCCGACGCTGGACTCACTTTAGTTGATGGGGACCTGTTATAAAATTCATCATTAAACAATTATTATTAGATAACTTCACTGTAGGTGTGAATGTTTCTACCGAGGTCGTTAAATTTAAGCTTAGTTAGATTAAGTAGGCGGGTAGTATTCTCAACTCTTTCAACAGATCACATAAAATGCAATACCCCGAACTCAGCTCCGAAGATCTTGTGACACAACGTTGGTTGGGGATGGGTGGGTGCACTTTACCATATTTATCGATGACGTCGACCCGATCCGAGTAGCCCGAGCCGTGTCTCTGATGTTGTCTCACCTGTGAGACATACTGTGTTGGTGCCAGTGTTTCGGGTTGAAACCTGGATGACATGCCAGAATATAATTACACGTGTAGTGAACTAATATCATCCATTTTATCGATGTGAAGTTTGGGTTTGAAATATCACGAGGCAGCGGTATGGGAAGGCATGAATTCAAAATCATGGTCATGATATATTTCTTCGTCCACTTAAGTATTTGACATCATTCTGAGTTTAGACTACGGAGCTCATTTCCTTCATACCAAGCGGAATAATACCACACCAATTATGCGTAGGACGCACGACACACTAACGCGCTCCCTCCACAGCCTGGGCCTGCGGCCCCAACTGCTCGGCCACATCCTTGGTAAACGAGAACTGGTTCTTGAAGCGCTTAAATAGCAGTTGTCCGATACACTCAGTGTCGCCGTTACCCGGGTTCAGCGGGTCGGTGGCGTACAGGTCGCCGTGCCAGAAAGTGGCGCACGATAGTCGCTGCACATCAGCCTTGTTAACCACGCGGTGACGGGCGCTCTTGTACCGCCGCGTCGACCACCGCTGGATCATGTCGCCGCAGTTGATGACGTAGACATTCTCGATGGCCGGGACGGGCACCCAGCTGCCAGTGGTTTCGGTGCTCTCCGGACGGGCCTCCTCGTGCCAGACCTCGAGCCCTTCCTTGCCGGGCTCCTGCAGCAGCACGGTGACGCCACCGAAATCGGTGTGGGCGCCAACGCCGAACTGGCCGGGCAGGTGCTGGCTCGCGGGCGGGTAGCGGATCATCTTCATGGGCACGAGGGGCCGCTTGGCGAAGACGTCGAGCACGGTGGCCGGGTGACCAAGCCCCTGGAGGAGGATCTCCCAGATGGTGCGGCCGAGCTGGAAGGTGGCCTCGTAGTAGGCCCAGACGGGATCGCGGAAGGTGGACCCGGGGAGGTTGGTCGGCCAGACGTTGGGACCGTAGAGTCCGGGCGGCTCGATCTCGGCGTCCTCAGGGCCGATGTAGAAGGCCTGTCTTTTCGTTAGTCTGGGCTTTTGCTGAGGTAAAGCCTCCCATACATAATGATGATGGACAAGAGAGACAGAAAAGAACACACCTCCTTCGAATCAGCCAACGGGTCCCCATCTCGGATGGACATGCCCGACGCCTCATACCCGCGCCGGCACGAGTTGCTGAGGAACGACAGCTTGAGCTTCTCCTCCTTGGACTGACCAAAGAAGGTGTCAAGGCTCTGGAGCAGGCCCTTCTGGAGCGCTAGGTCGACGCCATGGCCGGTGGCCTGGAAGAAGCCGAACTGCTCGCAGGCGTCGCGGACCTCGTCAATCACCCGCTGCCGGGACTCCTCGGTCGCATCGGGCCGGATGTACCCGCTGAGGTCGATGAGGGGGAGGGCGATGTCAACGCTGCCCATGATGGGAATAGTTACGGTGGTGATATACTAGGGGTTGGGGGATCTTGCACAATTTCTGTGCCGTTACGGCTCAGCCAGCGGTTGTTCTGCGCTTCGCGATGCCTTGACAAGGAGTTTATATTTTGAACTCCCCCATGTTGCAGCAACACCAAGAAATGGCCCGACCCGACCCGGCCGAAGCCGAACCCTCTGACATCTTGTTTCCCTCTGGAGAGTTCAATTGTTCTCACATGTCTCGCCAACTTCCCCTGTGGTCAGGTTAGTCGCCGATAAAACTGCCCGAACATACGTTGCCCCGTTGTTACCGCCGGCGAAAAGGCAACCTGCGGAGGCACACTTTTGCAGTTGGGGTCGGAGGCCATCCATCACCAGTATTCCGTTGCGCGTCCGCACTTGGCTGTGTCCTTTTTCTGCAGTCTCCAGGTCTCGCGCTGCCTCACCCTCGGATATCCGAGGACGAGATCGGCAATTGTTAGCTCCGTAACTCCGTGGCTCCGTGGGCTCCGTGGGCTCCGTGGCTCCGTGGCTTCGTCCGTCGGCGACTTTAATCACGTTCTCTCCTCCCACCCCACAACCCAAATAACCAGGACGCAACTCCGGTCCGCAGTGACCACGCAGCTGTGTTTGGATGCGGACGCACGATATCCACATTCACATTCACATCTGCGTCCACATCCACATGTATGTAATCCATAGTTCCACACCTCAAAGGCCTAATCATGCTTGTCAAGGTATCAATCAGGGTGGTGAAGTGGTATTTGAGGTCCGCCGTATGGAGACCTTTGGTCCAATAGCCCTTTTGGCGATAATAGACGAGGAGGTCGCTCGCGGCCCCCACCTGCCGTCCGCGGTCAGCCCGACAGGGAAAGGGTTAAGGAGGTTGAAGATTCAACCGTTCAAGAATAGTTCCAGGTTCAAAGCAAAGAAGGTAGGGATGTCAAGGATGTGCAGGGGAAGAAGGAGGGTGTGGGGTGCGACCCAGGCTCCATACCCCACCTTTGCGGACTCCCCTTGCGAACCCCTGCGGACATGAGCCAGAACAAGCATCTGCCAAGCGGGAACGGCTCGTGGGCCGGGGTATTATTCCCGCGGATATTCCGCGCATCGCTGGATCGCCAAGCTGTGCCGATCCCCGCGGGCCTGAACGGAGCCATGCAAGCAATGCACATCAGCTCATCAGAGAGACGGCTTTTGGCCGGGGCGGAGCCGGGAACTACGCGCTAAGTCGGGGGACGAGGGGACGCCTCGGTGGACGATTAAGACAGGGACCCGGCCGCTTGCAAAAAGTCCCGATCGCAATGTCAGAGTGGCACTTGCGCTTTTCCGAGCGCGGTTGTTGGAATCTGACGGTTGCTGTGAGTGTTGTGAGGAGGTTGTGCGGTTTTTTCCTTGTTGCGACTGCTTGTTAAAACGCCAGCTTTCCTCGCATCGTCATCGCAAAACCCCACGAAACGAGCTTCCCGTCTTTCTTTCCGGTCCGCCATCTATCGCCACATTGTCGAGATCCCCAGCATCGGGACAAAAAAAAAAACCAGCCAAGCCCCTCCAGCACACCACCATTTCGTTTTGCTCGTTTCTTGCAGCGACGCCCTGCAGCCAAAAACGATGGCGCCGGTCGGAATAGTGCTTGTCCCAGCAAATGCGCCCGTAAGACGGCATCGTTCTTCACCTAGAGCCCGGGACATCTTTGGGCCGGGGGTCTGCACCTTGACGTCAAGACAGCTTTGGAAAAGTTAGGGCGAAAGCAACCCAGCGCCACTGCGGGAAGCCACAAATCTTAGCGCCCAGCTTCGAACCGAACGTGTTCGATATCCGTCTTCGATCTGGACTCGGCTTTTTCCCGCCTATATCCCGAACGGCCATCTTTTCCGGTTACTCGTGGCGATGCTGGCCGTCCACACACACGCACCCACGCACCCACGCACACACACAGATACACACACGCAGCCTGACAGATAGACAGACAGACAGGCAGGCAGAACGGATACGCGCACTCAGAGAGCGGCAGCATTTCCGCTCTCAGGAACCGTTTTGTTGATGCGCACAATGCACACGATGTGCTCGGCATGTGGGGGTTCTAGGGTAGGGGTCATGGTGGACACATCCCCGGCCAAGAACCCCCCGGCCAAGGCATGATGCCATCTGTCCTGGACGATAACGATCTCTAGCTAAGGGGTCCCCAGAAACCGCCTTGGCAACCCGATAGGATCCGGCAGTTGAGGCGGAAAATAGCGACACAAGCGCTGACGGCCGACCACGAGTTGCTCTAGGGTTTCACGGGAGCGTATCGACACTGGGATAGGCTTTGGTAGCGTCTTTGGTAGCGGTCGGCAGAAACTGGATCATGATGGCCTCCACCCTGCAACCCGACATAGAAAAAGTTGACGACGCCTCGATGGGGAGATCTGATGAAGATTTTCCCGGTTAGCGAGAGGTCATCGCGGTCCACGGTCTGGTTTGCCCCGGAAAATCCGAGCGAGATCGGGAATTGCAGCTTCATCGATATCCACGACTCCACGAACTCCGAGGCCCGTTCGTCCGCCAACTGGTGGATGTCAACGGGAAAAAGGCGCGACAGTGACTAAGTGTAGCAAAGCCCGGAGAATAACCTTTCGAGCGAGGTTGGATGTCCGACGACGAAACGACCTCCCGTCCTCGGTAAGTAAGCCACTTCATAGTTCATCCGTCAACAACAGAAAACCCACTTCGTTCGCCTTCCCCCCTCCACCCCCCTGGCATCGCCATTCTGAACGTGAACCCCGCGATGGAGTACTCCCTGGTGTCAGGGCTTTTTGTGATGCACTGAGGTTGGAGATTGCGATTGCAAGGCCCCGGACCTGGTTGCATCGGGGTTCGCCGCCCTGTGGTCTCTTTTATGGCGCGCAAAGGCCAAAGGTTTGAGTGAAAACGTTAGGCCGACGGTGGTGTGTGTCCGAAATGGGGAAAGTTATCCCATTGGAGCTTGGCCTACCCTCCCTCGGCTTTCCCTTTCCCCCACGCGAGTCAAGACACACCAGTGACCACTGTGACACCACACCTGGCCACGCACCCCCATGGTTACATCGGTGGCTGTGGAAAGTTCGTTTCACAGAAACCTTCCACGGATGGTTCCACCGGTTGTTTCCGTGATGCAGTGGATGGATAATCATGCCGTTTGTAGAGCAAGGCATGTTGCTCTGCACGCTGGGAGGGGGGCCGGCCAGCATGACTGCGTCAAGTAAGCTTAATCCCCCTGTGGAACCAAGAATAAAGTTTGGATGGTGCCCCTACCTTTTTGGCATCCTGCCCAGCGAGAGCTATCGTGCATTCCATGTCATCATCATCTGCATCCCGAAGTGAGTCGTTGGTGTCCGATCGGCGTAACCCTCGGGCGGCCAGTTCGACAGTTTTCAAATTCAACATCTGGCACGGCGCTGCCATGTCGCCGTCGTCGACCACCACCAACACCCCCGCCATGCGTCAATCGTGCGACCGGTGCCACCGGCAGAAGCTGCGATGCACCCGCGGCGGGACCAGCAACACCGGAGCTTGTGACCGTTGTCTTCGCCGGCGTACGCAATGCGTGTACAGCTCCAGCCTGCCCAAAGGGCGCCCCAGCATTTACCACTCACCCAACAACGCCAATACCAGCAATAATGCTAATAACAACAATACCACTACCACCACCGCCAATAATGAGTCTTCCTCGAGCGCCCAGCCTGCTGTGGTTTCCCCGCCTCCTGCTACACCGGTCACGCCTGCTTCATTATCAGGCAGTTCCGTACCACATCATGCTGGCCCCTCAGACGACATTCCCCCATCCAGCCCAGATGTTCCTGGTTCTGCGGCCGCGGTGGGCTGCGGGCCGTCCGCCGGGACGCCTGCCGCGGAGATTTCAAATCCCTATGGAAACATCATGCATGAAATCAAAGCCGACCCCGGGACCGCCGTCACATCTGGTGTCAGCTGCGACGCGATGATGGGCACATCCATAGAAGACTTTTCGTCCGACAGCTGGCGGTGGCCGGCTCCGTCTCTTGCGGGAGACGACTCGATGTTCATGGACTGGAGCAGCCATGATGCAAGCATTTCGACTTTCTCCTGGGAGGAAGCTCTTGATCCGGTCACTACTACCACTTTTGCGCCCCCGGCTGTGGCGCCCCTGAATACGTTTGTGAACGACCGACACATCGAGCCAGGGCCTGAGAGCCTTTTCCGTCCACATCATCATTACCACGGGAGTGTCGGCGGAAATGGCGCTACAAGCGGGTATGGTTCATCCCACGCGTGGCCCATTGTGGCCGACAACAACGATCCGGATGCGGTGATTGCTCAGCTTTCGGAACTGAGCATGCGCCTCGCCTCGCTTCGCCGGTCCGGCCAGGCTCTTTCTCAGCCCAGTCTTGGGCTGGGCAATGAGATTTCAACGGAGTCATCTGAGAAGCAGTCCTCTCGTGGACCGGCTTGGCACGGCCGCGAGCTCTTGGACGACGCGGCGTTTGAGTCTGTCGCATCTTGGCTGGTCGGCGGCGGCAGCGGTCACGGAAGTTCGGGGACATACGCGCCGCCAGTTCGGTCGATGCGGTCAGCGTCGGAGCCTGCATCCCGAGGTCGAGGAGGCGAGATTCTCCATGACATCTTTTCCACCTCACATCGGTTGCTCGAGATTCTGCACGGTTTGCAGCTTTCCGTGACCGCCTCGGCGCCTCTTCCCACAACCGCGAGAGCATCCACACCACCGTCACCACCGCCGCTCTCGCCGTCTTCTCCTTCTTCATCCTCCTCCTCTTCCTTTGGGTCTCGGAACCGGTCCGGCACCGGCATCATCCGTCACCTGATCATCGCGTGTTACACCTCGCTCTTGAGCACCTACTCAGCCGTGTTAATGGCGCTGGCACGCGATGTACTAGGGCATGACCAACCCCGCCAGCCGTCCAACATGAGATCCCCAACAGGAGAGGGGGCGCGGCCAGGATCTGGGATGCCGCTGGGCCAGATCCGGCTGGTGTCGGTGGTGCAGCTGTGCTCGTATCTGGTACGGCGGCAGCATCAGGCTGTGGATGCATACTTGGCGAATTCGGCTAAGGAGTCTGGTGGCAAAGTACCGTCGCCGTCGATCGCATTGCGGAGCAGCACAGGGCCACCGAGCCCGCCGGATTTGGCTGGTGGTGATGCGGCTGCGGAGGAGAAGTGGACGTCATCGTGTGGCAAGTCGGGGCATCACTCTCATCCCTCTCTTCCTGCGCTGGTGCCGTCGATTTGTGCGTGTAGTGATGTGGATGAATTGAAGCGGGAGATGGCTGAAGTAGAGCAGCGGTTAGCGCAGCTGCAGAGTGCGCTCCATATTTGAGAATTGAGGCGTGGAACGGTTCGTTCGTTTTAATAGGTTCTAGGGTCGGCTCGTCGGGAGCTGGAGTTAAGTTGACAGATATAAAATTAGCCGGTGAATCAAACATCATGTCCAGGAAGTAGATAACCATAATTACCACGTACGCTAGACTATCTGTTTATGCCTCTAGCCTGTGTAAGCCGTGTGACGCATAAGACCAGCCGTCAATTGTTATGGCATTCGACTCGTTCTCTCACGTAGCCCCATGCGGAGTGGTTGATGCTTGGTGTGAAGTCCATAGAGTGTTTCTGAATTTTCATGGGTTGGTGGGGTGGAGTGAGGACAAGACAACCAAAATTGAAAGGTTGAAGGAAACTTTTGATGTTCTAGGACAAATCCAACTTTGTGGATTTTAGGGCACAGGAAATTCCCAATGTACAAAAACTTTAAAGTGCAAAAGAACTCCATGCATAAAATATGTACTAACTTCAACGTGGCTTCCTCGTGAGCACTTTTAGATCACAACCGTCCAAGGGTAACTCCTTCCTCGCACTGCTTGCCTTACTTAGCTAGAGGGTTCTGTACCCAGAGTGAGCAACTGTCATGTGATCCACCCATTGTCCTTGCCGGCTGGAGTTTGATGGTGTTATCGGCAGTGGGGGAAGCTACGCCGGGAGGGTTGTTCCTGCATTATTTTAATACACACAGATCTTGGCCGTGCAGCCAACGGCATGTCATAACCCCGTGGGGTGGGACCTTTTGGGCCACTGTCCTCCCCGATATCTCCACAGCAAGGCCGGAACTGGAGGGTTGGGTAAGGTGTTTGATTCTGCGTGTCACTGCGACATCTTATCCCCGGCATCTTGTTCGAGAAGAGCCCGAGAAGATGGCTTCCCGGGAAAGGACAGGATCCCTTCTGCACATGCAATCCTGCGTCCACTGTTGCCGACCCATGGATCTCAGGTTTCATCTGAGACCGGGGATTCATTGACCAATCTGCCCTTCCCAAGCCCGGGCATGAGGAACAAACCACAACAAGCAGCTCGGTCTCAAAAAAGTATCCATTGGAGGATCGCGAAAGCATATGCCCTTAGCGCCAATCCAACATTCTATTTACTCCTAACCGTTATCCCTCTGGATGGGTAAAGAGTTTAGGTGGGGTGAGCCTTTCGGTCAGTTGAGGGGTGCACGACGCTGTGAGTACCTTCCCTCCCTCCCACTATATAGACCCAATCCCGAAGCAAAACAGTCACCGACCCTCCCAATTGGGCCAATCCAACGGTGTGTTTGGCCCAGCGGCATTGGGAGTAGGTCTGGGCGCGCCAACTGCCGTCGTAAATCGAAATGGCCCCGGGTTCGATTCCCGGGGCCATCGGAGTAAAACCCCCAACGTGGGGTTTTCGTAACCGCCGACCGCTATCCTCCCGGATGGGGATAGGGTTCGGGGTGAGCTTTTTGACCTTTTGTTGAATAAATAATGTATGGTCTCTTGCCTATTATTTCCTTTCTCTTTTCTCGGTATCCTTTCGTTCTACCTCGACGGCATTTTTATTTCATCCTTTTCATGATGATAATTTATCAGAACACGATCCCATCCCTCTCTCGGTAAGACATGATCGACAGTGACATGTGTGTGGCAGCACAGATAGACTCGAGATAAGGCAGCAAACGGCTAGGACAGTCAGGTAGCAGCTGGCCAGCTGTGGCCTTGACATGACAGGCTTTGACAGGTCACAGCGGATGGATTCCGCGCGGTTTAATCGCTTGGCTTTCGGGTGGAAATAAAGCTTGGAAAGCTTGACAGGTCGCTCTAAACTCGGCGACAGAACCGAATTGCCGGATCTGGTGTCTATCGGCACAGTGGAGACGTTGAAATCACAGGCATGTCGGACTTGGTTTGGTAACCCATTCAGTGACCTGCTAACTCCTTAGGGACTTGCGGGTGAAGTCGGGGTTGAATTCCATTGCGCCATCACAAGCTGGACGAGAGGAGGGACACCCCCGACGCCCCCAAGCACGTCAGACTAAGTACCGCAGCGGTTCCCGCACCACACACCAAACCAAGCGAGCGATGGGGACAACCCAGTTGGCGATGGGAAAATGCCCGATGCTGGGTGGCGGGCGGGAAGTACCGTCCCCGCAATTTCTAGGCGCCCAGGTACATGAGACATGACTGAATTGGCCGGCCCTGCCAAGACGGGCTGATCGGCGCCTCCCGCGGCCGGGGTCCGTCCCACTCTAACCACTCACTTCATGTACTTCGTACTGTACTAGGGTTAGGAGACCAAGTGCGACGTTTTTATTTTCGGTGATAAGGCAGTGTAACTGGCAGATATGCTCCGGCCCGTCCATTCGCGAGACGGCGCCAATCATTTTTCGGTGGACGCTTTTCGGCTTTGATTATGCACACGCCCACGGCCCGTGTGTTTCCGGTCAATGGTGTTTAGTGTCTGATGACTGATTACAAGGGGCGATTACTGATTACTGACGATGCACTAGCACCATCCGTTCTGGGCTTGCCGGTCCGAAGAATCTGGCTACATGTGTTGAGTCGGCAGCTGGCACGGGAGTTACTGGCCAAGAGTTACTGGCCGGGGATCCACTTGTTCTATCACCGAAGCCGATGTACTGTCGGCGAAGCGGCCATGCCATCGGCCAGCTGTTGTCGGCCGCCATCTCATCGGACAGCCGGCCGCTTGAGATTCGGTGGTTTACGTTCGGTGTAAGTCGTGTAAGGCAGAGTATTGGGCGGCCGGCGAGAGCAAGAGACCACAATGGGTTTATACTTATGTGTTGATCGATCCTGCGCTGATGCACACCCAGTCGTACTTGGCAAGCATTGGTTTCTTCAACTCATACCACCAATACTAACAACCAACAACTTCAACATGACCAACCCAGGCCGCGAACCCATCGCGCTGGTAGGCAGCGGCTGCCGCTTCCCCGGCGGCGCCCACTCACCCTCCTCCCTTTGGCGTCTCCTGGCGGAGCCCCGTGATGTCTGCCGTGACATCCCCGCTAGCCGGTTCGATACGCGCGGCTTCTACCACCCAGACGGCACGCACCACGGCAGCACCAACGTGCTGCGGTCTTACCTCCTCGAGCGCGACGACGACCTCCGCACCTTCGATGCCGGCTTCTTCAACATCAGCCCGCACGAGGCCGAGTCCATGGACCCGCAGCAGCGCCTCCTGCTCGAGACGGTGTACGAAGCGCTCGAAGCCGGCGGGCACACCATTGACGCGCTGCGCGGGTCGGATACCGCTGTGTATGTGGGCACTATGGGCGTGGATTACTACGACACGCTGGTGCGCGACCTGCAGACACTCCCGACGTATTTCGCCACGGGCACAAACCGCGCGATTCTGTCGAACCGTGTGTCGTATTTCTTCGATTGGCATGGCCCCAGCATGACGATTGACACGGCGTGCTCGTCCAGTCTCATCGCCGTGCACCAGGGTGTGCAGGCGCTGCGGAGCGGGGAGTCCCGCGTGGCGGTCGCCTGTGGCACGCAGGTGTTGCTCAACCCCGAGATGTACGTGGCCGAGAGCAAGATGAAGATGTTGTCCCCTACGGGGCGGTCGCGGATGTGGGATGCGGGGGCGGACGGGTATGCCAGGGGTGAGGGTGTGGCGGCGATTGTGATGAAGAGGCTGAGTGATGCCATTGCGGATGGGGATGCGATTGAGTGTGTGATTCGTGAGACGGGCGCGAATCAGGACGGGTTTTCGAATGGCATTACCGTGCCGAGTACCGAGGCGCAGGCCGCGCTGATCCGGCAGACGTATGCGCGGGCGGGGCTGAATCCGGAGCAGAATCTAAAGGACAGGCCGCAGTTTTTTGAGGCGCATGGGACGGGCACGCAGGCGGGAGATCCCAAGGAGGCCGCGGCCATTGCGGGGGTGTTCTCCCCCCAGTCTCTGGGAGAGGGTGACAACAACGACACCAAAACACCCCTGTACGTCGGTTCGGTCAAGACCGTGATCGGCCATCTGGAGGGTGCGGCCGGACTGGCGGGTTTGCTGAAGAGCGCCCGCATGATCCGGGCCGGGGTGATTGTGCCGAACCTGCTGTTTGAGACGCTAAATCCGGCGATCGAGCCGTACTATCGGGGTTTGTGCGTACCAACGGCGACAACGGCGTGGCCAGCGCTGGAGGAGGGCGTGCCACGGCGTGTGAGTGTGAATAGCTTTGGTAGGTGCTGTCCTTGTGTTCCCCTGGTTACCCCTGACCTCTGACCTTCATCAACCATACCCAACCCTAACCCTGTGTTTACTGTTTACTTTCCCCCGAGCCCCTGAGCCCGACTGACTAACATGACGTGATAGGCTTCGGCGGCTGCAATGCCCACGCCATCCTGGAGGAATACCAGCCAACCACTCAACCCTCGCCTTCTTCCTCCTCTTCGATTGCATTCACACCCTTTACCTTCTCCGCCATCTCCGAAGCCTCACTGGTCGCCCAGCTGCGCGCGTACCAGTCCCATCTTTCCACCCACCCCGAAATCAACCCCGCGGACCTCGCCTGGACGCTGCAAACTCGCCGCACCGAGTTCCCTATCAAAGCGGCCTTTTCCGCCACGACCATCGACCGCTTGGCCGCCAAACTCGACACCAAACTCGCCGCTGTCGACGCCAGCCCCGAAGCCACCGTTGGCACGCGCACTACTACGACAGGCGCCCCCCGGATTTTGGGAGTATTCACAGGCCAAGGCGCACAATGGGCCACCATGCTCGCCCAGCTCATTCACACCTCCCCATTTGTCCGCGCCCGCCTGGCCGAGCTCGACACCTCACTCGCTACCCTCCCTGACGCGGCTGACCGGCCAACTTGGACCTTGGCCTCCCAGCTCCTTGCCGAGGGGACCGCGTCCCGACTGTCCGAGGCTGCGCTCTCCCAACCGCTGTGCACAGCCGTGCAGATCGTTCTTGTTGACCTGCTCCGCGCAGCCGGGATTTCCTTCTCCGCTGTAGTCGGGCATTCGTCTGGCGAAATCGCAGCCGCATACACCGCCGGTTTCTTATCCGCGCACGACGCGATCCGCGTGGCGTACTACCGCGGCGTGCACGCCCGACTGGCTGGAAACCCCAGCGGGAACGGGCAGAAGGGTGCCATGCTGGCGGTCGGCGCGTCATGGGAAGAAGCCCAGGACTTGGTCAACAGTGAGGAGTTCAAGGGCCGGTTGGCGATTGCGGCGCATAATTCGCCTGCTAGCGTCACGCTGTCTGGTGATGAGGACGCCATCTTGCTTGCGAAGCAGGCGTTGGATGCGACCAAGACGTTTGCCAGGCTGTTGAAGGTTGATACGGCGTATCATTCGCAGCATATGATTCCTTGCGGGGAGGCGTATGTCGCGTCGTTGAGGGCCGCGGGGGTGTCTGTTCTCCCTGGGGATGAGAATGTGAAGTGGTTCTCGAGTGTCAACCCCAACAGTGTTCCCGTGAAAGGGAGTGACGCGCTTAAGGACCTGTACTGGCGCGATAACATGGCCAACTCGGTTCTGTTTACCGATGCGGTGCGAAACGCGCTGGCCAGTGATGAGCAGCTGGGTCTGGCAATCGAGGTTGGGCCGCACCCGGCGCTCAAGGGGCCGGCGACGCAGATTGTTGCTGACGTCCGCCCTTCCACCATCCCTTACACTGGTGTCCTCAGCCGCGGGGCTGATGACGTCGAGGCGTTTGGGGATGCCCTCGGGTTCTTATGGACTCAGCTTGGCAGCAAATCTGTCAACCTCCAGGCGGTCCACAATCTTCTCCAGGGAACAGACACACCACAAACCCACCAGTTGGTCCTCGACCTGCCGACCTACCAATGGAATCACGACCGCTCCTACTGGGGCGAGTCTCGCGCATCCAAACTCGACATGCGCCACCGCAGCCAACCACCCCACGAACTCCTCGGTGTCCCCTCGGCCGAGTCCACACCGCAGGACCTGCGCTGGACCAACGTCCTCAAAGCAGGGGAGATCCCCTGGCTGGACGGACATCAGCTGCAGGGACAGACGGTGTTTCCGGCTGCGGGGTATGTTACCATGGCGCTGGAAGCCGCTCGAGTTGCTGCGCGTGCGAACCCAGACAAAGAAGTGGAAGTGCTGGAAGTGCACGACCTCGCCATCCCCAAAGCCATCACCTTCGACGAGGCGGACAGCGCAGGGGTGGAAACGCTTGTGACGCTCACGGGCGTGCGGTACTCGGCCGAAGACAACAGCACCACGGCCGACTTCTCCTGCTACGCGCTTCCCGTATCCACAGCTGCTGCGGTGCTTGATGAGCGGTCCATGGAGCGTATGGCGCATGGTTCCGTCAAGATTGTGTATGGCCAACCCGACGCCAACGCCCTGCCCTGTGTGGCTCCGGAGGAGTATAACATGGCCGCTGTCGACACAGACGCGTTCTACACTACCCTGCGGAAACTCGGGTACGGGTACGACGGAGCGTTCCGCAGTGTGTCTGGCCTCAAACGCAGGCTGGATGCGGCTGTTGTCAAGGCGGATTCGTATGATTATACCGATCCCGCCGCTGGGGCTGGGCCGCAGTGGACGGCTGAGACGGTGTATCTGGTGCATCCGAGCACGCTGGATATTGCCTTCCAGACGACAATGCTGGCGTACTCGGCTCCCGGGGACGGACGGCTGTGGTCGCTGCATGTGCCGACGGCAATGAGAACGGTGCGGGTGAACCCGGCTGTTGCGGCTACTGTTCCGTTAGGGAAGACCCCGATTCCGGTGTCGGCTGTTATTGAGAATGACATCACTACGGCTGGGGCAGCTGGACCGGGAGATGGCTTTGCGGCCAGCATCGAGCTGCTGAGCCCCGACGGTCAGCACGGGCTCATGCAAGTGGACGGGTTTGTGATCCAGCCATTTGCGCCGGCTTCTGCAGCGGACGACCGGGCTGTCTTCCGGTACACCAAGCTGGACGTGGCCGTGCCGGATGGCAACCTCGTTGTGGGCAACACCCGCCCGTCCGCGGCCGACACGGAGCTTGGCATCCTCTGCGAGCGTGTGTCGTACTACTACATCCGGAAGTGGAATGACGAGCTGGCCGAGGCCGACTGGGAATCCGGCCAACCGCACCATCTTTCTCTACGCGACTGGGTCATTTACACAGTCACCAGTGCCGCGCGCGGCCACCACCCGACGATGAAGCCGGAATGGGCCGCCGACACCCACGAGCAGATCCACGCGCTCATGGCCAAATTTCCCGACAGCGTCGACCTCAAGCTTCTCCGGGCCGTCGGTGAGCACATCCCCGCGTCTGTCCGCGGCGAGACGACTATCCTCGAGCACATGCTGAAGGATAACGTCCTGGACGATTTCTACAAGTACGGTCTCGGGTTCCCGCGGTATAATGCCTTCTTGGCTGGCGTGGCGCGGCAGATTGCGCATCGCACGCCCCGGGCCAATGTCCTCGAAATCGGCGCTGGTACAGGCGGTGCGACCAAGTCGGTGCTCGCTGCTATCGGCGACAGTGTATCGGCATACACGTACACGGATATCTCTGTTGGCTTCTTCAACAACGCCGCGGAGATGTTCAAGCAGTATGCGGCGAAAATGGTGTTCAAAACACTCGATATCGAAAAGGACACCACTGCCCAGGGGTATGTCGACCAGTCCTTCGACCTCATCATCGCCTCCAACGTTCTGCACGCTACGGTATCCCTCCACGCGACCCTGGAAAACACCCGCCGTCTGCTCAAACCGGGTGGTTACCTGCTGCTTCTCGAAATCACCAACCAAGGCCCCACTCGCTTCGGCAACGTCATGGCCGGTCTTTCGGGCTGGTGGCTGGGTGCCCCCGACGGGAGGAAATACGCGCCCACCGTGACACCCGGACGATGGCATTCGGCCCTTCGCAAAGCCGGGTTTTCCGGTGTCGACTCCATCACACCCGACGTCGGTGGTGTGGCCTGGCCGTGCTCGATCATGGCTACCCAGGCGGTGGACGACCGGGTTCAGTTCCTTCGTCGCCCGTTGGCACTGCCCGCGACGTCGGCGGCCACGGTGCATTTTGAGAGCTTGGTTGTTGTGGGCGCGCAGACGCTTGATACAGCGCGGATTGTGGAGACTCTCACGGAGCATTTGTCCCGGTTCGCTGCGCAGGTTACTGTCCTCCCTACTTTGCCCACGGAGGATGAGGCGGAAGAGTATATTACGCCTCTGACGACGGTTATTCTGCTGGCTGACTTGGATGCTCCCCTCTTCCGCAACATGACCGCTTCGCTTTCTGCTACGGAAGAGACACTCGCGGGCCTGCAGCGTGTACTAGACCGGGCGGGTACCGTACTCTGGCTCACACGCGGCGCACACGTCGATGAGCCGTTCCATGGCTCCAGTGTGGCGTTCATGCGCAGCGTGCGCAGTGAAGCGCCGCACTTGGGGCTGTACAGTGTGGATGTGCATAAGGAGTTGGAGGATCGGGTCGTGGGACGGGTTGTTGCGGAGTATGTGTTACGGTCGACTGCGCTGTCCGAGTGGGAGGACGGTATCGAGCAGGATACTGAAGGGGGTAGCAACATCCTGTGGCCGCGGGAGTTTGAGGTTGTCGTGGACGCGCAGGGCCGGTTGACACTGCCGCGGCTGATTGCGCACAAGGGGCAGAATGCGAGACATAACGCGGGCAGACGGGCAGTCACGAAATCTGTCGCTGGGCCCGTGGCTCTCGCGTGGAAGGGGGGCAAGCCGGTGCTGGTTGCGAGCCAGCGGCTGGCTTCGACGACAGAGGACCGTGTCAAGGTTGTCAGCTCGAGTGTCTCGGCTGTTCGCGTGGCCGAAGATACCTTTTTGTTTGTGGGAACCGGCACTGGAAAACATGGCGATGTTGCGTTTTTGTCGACCACCAACGCATCTGAGGTTGTTCCCCTCGTTTCTACCCCCCTGGCAGGCGCAAGCACAAACACCCCCGCTATCATCAGCGCACTCCTCGCAGCCTCCATCCTCTCGGAAATCCCGGCCTCCCAGAGCCTTCTCGTCCTCGCGAACCTCGCCAACACCTCTCTAGCCACTGCTCTCATTCAACTGGCATCTGCCCAAAACATCCGCGTCACAGTAGCTGTCGACGCCTTGCAGGTGTTTGAGGACGACGTGGATCCGGACTGGGTGCGGATTAGTCCGCGTGCGTCGAGACATGCTCTGCGCGGAGTGTTGAAGAGCGCTGGGGGTGTGACGCATTTCTTGGATTTGACCACTCGTGAAGTGCCGAGTGCGCTGGGGCATTTGCTGAGGGGAGTCTTGGGGGGAGTTAAAGGTGTGGAGTTGGGCGGGTTTGTCCGGAATGCTTCTGGCGTTGGCTCAGTACAGTTGACGGAGGAGTTGACCGAGAAATTGAAGGGCCAGGTGGACCAGGCACAAACACTGTCACTCCCCCTCACCCAGCCACTCGACGCTTCCACTCTCGACACCTCAACCGTCGACACTCTCTCCGCCATCACCTGGCCCACTACCCCGGTCACAACCCTCATCCCCACCCTCAACCCGTCCACTCTCTTCACCCCCAGCACCTACCTCTTGATCGGTCTCGCCGGCAGCATCGGCCAGTCCCTCGCCGAATGGATGCTCGCCCACGGCGCGGGGTGTGTCATCCTCGCCAGTCGCACGCCCAAGGTCGATCCGCGCTGGCTGGCCTCCTTTTCCGGCGCGGTCCGCATTTTCTCGGTGGACGTCACCGACCTGTCTGCTGTCGAGGCTCTCGTCAAGAAAATCCGGGAAACGGCTGACATCCCCCCCATCGCGGGCGTCGCCAACGGCGCTATGGTCCTGCACGACGCGCTCTTCTCCAACATGACACCTGCCCAAATGCACACCGTCCTGCGCCCCAAGATTACGGGGTCGTACAACCTCGACCGGGCTTTTGCGTCAGACGACCTCGAGTTCTTCATCCTGTTCTCGTCTGTCATTTGCGTGTCTGGCAACTCCGGCCAGGCCAACTACGGCGCGGCTAACGGGTATGTGCAATCCCTGGCTCGGCAGCGTCGCCGGAGAGGGCTGGCTGCGTCGGCGTTGGATGTTGGGCGGGTCGTGGGTGTTGGGTATGTTGAGACTGCTGGCGAGACGGTTGCCGGGCAGTTGGAAAGGATGGGCTTGGATACGCTGTCTGAGGGGGATTTGAGGGTGGCTTTTGGGGAGGCTATTCTTGCTGGGCGTCTGCCCGTTACCGGCACTGCGGGAGAAGAAGAGGAAGAAAGCGGAAACGGCATCGTCACCACTGGAATCCGCAACATCCGCCGCGACGAAGACATCCGCGGCCCGTGGTTCTCCAACCCCCTGTTTGCCCACTGCATCGTTGACGCCATTGACGCTGTCGACGCCCGCGCGGGCAACGACAAGGAAGGCCCCGCGCTGCCTGTGAGCCAGCAGCTCGCTCGCGCCACTACTGCCGAGGAAGGCCTGGAGGTGTTGGTCTCGTGTTTTGAGGCCCGGCTGCGGGTAATTCTGCAGATTTTCGATGGCGAGTTGGATCGCGATGCGCCGCTTGTTCAGTTGGGGATTGACTCGTTGGTTGCTGTCGAGGCACGGTCGTGGTTCTTGAAGGAGTTGAAGGTGGATATGCCCGTGTTGAAGCTGGTGGGCGGAGCGTCGGTGAAGGAGGTTTGTTTGTTGGCCTGGGAGAAGTTGCCCGAGGGGTTGGTCGGTTCCCTTGGTGAGGCCAATGTCAATAAGGAAACCGTTGCCGTGGCAACGGAAAGGGGGCCGGAGACAGAAAGGGGCTCGAAGGACCTGGGCTCGACCACCCGCTCGCCGTCGGATGCGGGGACTATGGACGACTCGGAGGATGTTACTCGGTTGGCGTCGAGTGCTACTACGCCTGCGACGGTCTCGGAGGCTGGCGATGAGCCCGAGACTGTCCTTAAGCAGACCGAGGCCGAGACCAAGACGGACACCAAGGCCGAGACCAGGACCATCGAGACTCTCCCAGTCGAGACCAAGACAGTTACCCTCAACGAGAAGGACAAAACCCCCATCTCCCTCAGCCAATCCCGGTTCTGGTTTCTCCACCACCTCCTGGCCGACCCCAGCACTTACAACGTCACCCTCCACTACCACATCACCGGCCCGCTGCGCATCCCCGACCTCGCCCGCGCCGTCCGCACCGTGACCGCCCGCCACGAAGCGCTACGCACCGCCTTCCTCGCCGACCCGACCGACCCCAGCCAAGCCTACCAAAAAGTCCTCCCCACTTCCCTCGTCCGCCTCGACCACCGCCCTCTTTCGTCCCCGTCAGACCTCGACGCGGAATACGCCCGTCTCCAATCCCACCCCTTCGACCTCGCCAGCGGCGACCTGATGCAACTCGTCCTGTTAAGCGACGGTCCCACCTCCCACCACCTCCTCATCAACTACCACCACATCATCATGGACGGCGTCTCCCTCCAAGTCTTCTTCACCGACCTCGACAAAGCCTACACTCACCGTCCTCTCGGCCCCCGCCCCCCGCAATACCCCGCTCTCTCCACCGCACAGCGGACAGCCTACACCTCCGGCGCGTTCGCCACTGACCTTGCCTATTGGCGGTCTGTCTTCCCTGCTGATGACCCGCCGCCGGTGTTGCCTTTGCTGCCGATGGCGAAGGGGAATGCCCGGTTGGCGATGGGGCTGTTTGATACGCACCAGGTGTCCCGCAGGTTGGAGGGCGGGTTGGTGGGCAAGGTGAAGGCGCTGGCGCGCGCGCAGAGGGCCACGCCGTTTCATTTGTATTTGGCTGCTTTTAAGGTGTTGTTGTTTGCCCTGCTGCCGGAGACGACTGATCTCACGATTGGTATTGCCGACGCGGCTCGACACGAGGATGCTGTCATGGGCAGCATCGGGTTCTTCCTCAACCTCCTCCCGCTGCGGTTCCGTCGGGGCGGTGCTCCCGCAAACGACAAGGGGGAAGGAAAGAAAAAGCAGACCCTTGCGGAGGCTGTTTCGGAAGCCCGCGACACCGTCTACGCCGCCCTCGGCGCCTCCCGCGTCCCCTTCGACGTGCTCCTCACCGAACTCGGTGTCGAGCGCTCGGCGGGGCACAGCCCGTTCTTCCAAGCCTTTTTGGATTACCGTCTCGGGTCGCAGGAGAAGCACAGTTTCGGTTCTTCTGGGACAGGAAAAGAAGGAGAATGCGAATTCGAACTCACCCGCGCCCGGCCTGGACGCACGGCGTATGATGTGACTCTGGATGTGATGGAGAACGCGGCGGATGCGCTGGTGGTGGTGCGTATGCAGAAGGGGTTGTATGAGGAGGGGGCCGCGGGGCTGGTGTTGGATTTGTTTGTGAAGGTTGTGGAGCAGATGGTGGGGAATTCAGAGGCTGAGGGGGTGGACTTGCTGGGGGGTGTGGTGGATAAGGTTGGTGAGACGGTGGGAAGGGGTGAGTGACATTTTGTCTCTTTGTTTTGGGGTTGTGGTGATTGGTGTTTACTTGGTGGCGTTTACCCCTGAGTGCATACCCTAACCCTGACCCTAACCCGTACTTTGTCCCTACCCTAACCCTGTTTACTATGCATCTTCCCCTATCCTCACTCTTCCATTTTCTCTACTTCCTGTCGTCCTTTTCCTTGCTATCACTGACACACACAGGCCCTGCTCTTGAATCCAACTGGCCGGCAACCCTTCCCCACCGCATCGACGCCATCGCGCAGACACACCCGACTAAGCCCGCCGTTCAAGATGACTCGCGCACCCTGACCTACGCCGAGATGACCGCCCGCATCGAAGCCATTGCGCACACCCTAAAGGCCCTTCCCGGTTTCGCTCCCGGTGCCCGCGTTCTAGTCTTTGAACAAGCCACGGCCGACTGGGTGTGCTCGATGCTGGCCATCATGCGCGTCGGGGCCGTGTACGTCCCCCTGGACCTGCGCAACCCCCTGCCGCGTTTGGCTGCGGTAGCCAAAGACTGCGCGCCGTTTGCCATTTTGGCAGATAGCGTCACCGTGGTAGACGCCCCACAGCTGGAGGTCCCCGATGCGCACATCGTGGATGTTTCGACGGTCCCCCGGCAATCGGAGAAGCCAGTTCCCAATGAATCCTCCGCCGACGCCACGGCCGCCATCCTGTACACTTCTGGCAGCACGGGCACACCTAAGGGAATCGCAGTCACTCATGACGGTCTGCGCAACGAGATCGAGGGCTACACCAAGACCTGGAACCTCGGCGCCGAGCGCACCCTCCAACAGAGCGTCTTCACCTTCAACCACTCGTCCGACCAGATCTACACGGGCCTTGTCAACGGCGGCACAGTTTACGTGGTCCCCAGTCACCTCCGCGGCGACCCGGCCGAGATCACGCGCATCATGGCCGACCACGGCATCACCTACACCAAAGCGACCCCCTCCGAGTACCTGCTCTGGATCGAGCATGGCGCCGAGAATCTGCAGAAAGCGGGCCGCAGCACCTGGAAATTTGCCTTTGGCGGTGGTGAATCTCTCACTACCAGTGTCCCATCCGGCCTGGCCGCTCTCGAGCTGAGCCCCGACTTCCGCTTCTTCAACTCGTACGGCCCGACGGAGATTTCCATCTCCTCCCACAAGGTCGAGATCCCCTACCGCGATTCTGCTTCCCTTTCCTCCGTTGCCCGCATCCCGTGTGGGTTTTCCCTGCCCAACTACCACACCTACATCGTCGACCCGTCTGACGCTGTCCCGGCCCGGGCTTACCCGCCTTACATGCCGGGTGAGGTGTGCATCGGCGGCGCTGGTGTGTCACAGGGGTACTTGAACAACCCGGAGCTGACGGACAAGCACTTCGTTCCGAACCCGTTTGCCACTGCGGAGGATGTTTCAAAGGGGTGGACTCGTATGTACCGGACCGGGGATATCGGACATTTGACGGCGGACGGACAGTTGGTCTTCCGCCATCGGATTGCGGGCGACACGCAGGTGAAGATCAGGGGGTTGAGGATTGATTTGCGGGATGTGGAGAGCAATATTGTGGGTGAGTCCGGCGGAGTGTTGCAGGAGGCGGTGGTCACGCTGCGAGACGAAGAAACTGGAGTGTTGGTTGCGCATGTGGTGTTCTCACCTGCGCAGGCCGCCGAATGGAGCGAAAGCCAGAAAGAAGCCTTCCTCGAGGGGCTACTCGCCAAACTGCCGGTCCCGCAGTACATGATCCCCGTCCTGGCTATCCCCCTTGCCAAACTCCCGCTCTCCGCCCACGCCAAAGTCGACCGCAAAGCTGTCCGGGCTCTGCCTCTCCCCGAGCGCCAACTCAAGGGTTCGTCCGAGGCTGAGTCCGAAGAGCTGACCCCGACAATGGCCACCCTCCAAACCATCTGGCGCGCCGTCCTCGGTGCCCCGGTTTCTGGCAGAGCTATCACTCCGTCGACTAGCTTCTTCCACGCCGGCGGCAACTCCTTGCTGGCTATCCGTCTCCAGGCCCAGGTCAAGACCCACTTCCGCGTTGTGCTGCGGCTGATGGATATTCTGGAGGCGCATACCCTGCGGGATATGGCGCGGAAGATTGAGGAGAGCGCTGTCGAGGGGCTTTTGGATTGGGAGCGGGAGACTGCTTTGCCTGATCTCGACGCTGTCCTGGCCGATCTCCCAACACTGAGCGAGCAAACCAAGAAGACCGGCACAACCATCCTGGTGACCGGATCAACAGGTTTCCTAGCCCGGCACATCCTCCCCCACCTCGCCGCCAACCCCACCATCACCCAAATCCACTGTCTCGCCGTCCGCACCCCCTCCAAGATCCCCACTCTCTCCTCCCCCGCGCTTCAAGCTAAACTTACCATCCACCCCGGCGACCTCACCCTCCCCCGTCTCGGCCTCGACGCCGCAACTTTTGCCTCGCTAGCCTCCCAGGCCGATGGTATCCTCCATCTAGGCGGTGGTCGTTCCTTCTGGGATCACTACCATGTTCTGCGCGGGGTGAATGTCAACTCTACCAAGGAGGTCGTCACGCTGGCTGCTGCTGCGGCTGGGAAGAACGTGCCGGTGGTGTATATCTCCAGCGTTGGTGTCTTGCCTGATGGGAGTGACGTCGCGGAGTCGGCGGCTGCAAACCCGCCTGCGGTGGATGGCACGAACGGGTATGTGGCTTCGCGGTGGGCGAGTGAACGGGTGTTGGAGAAGGCTGGGGAGGCGTGGGGGGTTAAGGGGGTTGTGGTACGGTTTTTGCCTGCCTCTTCTGCCGCTGGTACAGAGAATACGGAGGAGGAGGTTCTGAAGGAATTCCTCCACTTTGCTCGGCTGAGCAAGACGCTTCCGGATTCGACAGGTTGGCATGGACGCGTGGATATGAGTCCTGCTGGTGAAATTGCTTCGCTGCTGTCTGACAAGCTGTTGGCCCTTGCCTCGTCTGCGGACAAAGAAGGAGCAAAGACGGACACGGAGTTTGTGCATCTGCCGAGTCAGTCATCGGTGGATGTGCAGGCACTACAAGTGTGGTTGGAGGAGAGGATTGGGGAGGTTGAGGGAGGAAAGGTGGAGAGAGTGCCGCTGGTGCAGTGGATGGGACGGATTAAGAGACTGGGTTTTGGCCAGTTGATGACTTCGCAGGAGGTTACTGTCGGCGGGCCGGGGGCGGGGTTGGAGTCGAAGCGGTAGATGTTTCTTGGTGGTTTCTTATGTTATGGTGTTAGGAGCTTGATTTGTTTTCGTGGGACTGGTGGTCTTCCAAGGGGGTGGTGGTCTCTGATGGTTTGAGTGTTTGCGGTTTTCCTTTTGAGATTCTTGGGTATTTGACATGAAGGTTGGGTTTAAATCTGTTTGGATTTATTTTGATTTATTTCCTTTGTTACGGAGTTAGAGACTGGCGTTGGTATTGATTGAGTTACGAACGACGCGTTTGATCTTGCGATACTTTACATGCTACCTGTTTTCCTGAAATTTTATTCGTTATTTCTGACCCGACAGCTGTTTTTTGCGTCCACCAAGCCCAGCGATGTGTTACCTGCCTCATTTTCTGAATCAACTTCAACGGTTGTGTCTCCATCCAGAGCTTGCAGGCCATCAATCAGTCAATACTGGCACTCGCTTAACCTTTCCGCTTTCATAGAGCTCTCGTTACAAGTCTGTAGGTGGTGCTATAATTATCACATGTAACGGCCGGCCCCGCGGATACTCCGACTTGTCCGGCCCCCGGCCAGGCGGTAGTTGACTCGACGGAGTGGATCGTGGTCAGTTGAAAGCTTGCCCCAGCACAAAAGCAGAGAGCACTGTGCTATATAGCTCTAGTTCTAACGACACATAGTTACATGGCTGTAAGTTACTCGAATTTCAAAGGAAAGCTGAGCTTAGAAGCTAGGCTCATTAGGCAGAGATGTAAAGACGAAAAGATAGCCAACCAACTCAGGCGGCTACGGAGTAGCTAATTAGGCCTTCCTGAGGAAAGTCCAAGCTTGGCATACTCATACGCACGGCCTATACCGTCCTTAGGCAATGGACGCACTGCAATCGATCAACTGATGCACATATATGTATTGATTACACGGTTTACGCCCACTCGACCGTCACCGAGCTATTACCACGGAACACCCGTCGCCCGACACCTCCGCGGAAACCCACCCGGAGATAACCTAAACCGGATGTCAATCAAATGCACAACCAATAATAAACGGCCCGTGATCACACCGTAGCAAGCTCTGAATGCGGCAAACCGTTCGCTAAATCCCTTCAAAACTGCATGTGGTATTGGTTGACTAGCCGCATACAGTCAGGGCCGGTGTTGTGAAAACTCTGTGTCCTCGCCATACCTCCGACTGATCGGTCGAGCTGATTCCAAGATTCACTAGGGAGTGTTGCACATCGACGGCGGTTTTCTCTTAGCCTTGCGGTTTTATTTTCTGTTTTGTCGGAACAAGGTCGATTCACCGGGGCTTAGTCAGGAAATGGCCGAATCCAAGGATCTCCGTAGTAGTTAGCGAGAAACCATACCCGCCCACTTATATCCGTCACCTCAGCATTCATTACTCACCATCCTACATTCATTCTCATTACTTCAGTCACGCCGAACCAGAAACACAACCACAACCACCAGACCCACTCCTACTCCCACTCCCACTCCCAAGATCCAGAACCAAGAACCAAGAGTCCAGGACCCAACTCCTGACAATGTCGATACCTCCAACCCAAAAAGCCCTCCTCAGCACTGCCATAGGTTTTGCAGCCGTACGGACTGTTCCCGTCCCGCCCCTGAAACCGGGGCAACTACTCGTCAAGACAGTTGCCGTGGCGCTGAACCCGACCGACTGGAAGAGCTTGTATGCACCGGACGGGAGTGCGGTGGGGACTCGACTGGGGATTGATTTTGCGGGTGTTGTTGTTGATGTCAGGGAGTCTGAACCGGGACAAGCTGGGGAGGGGAAAAGAAAGTGGGAAAAGGGGGAAAGGGTTTGTGGTGCTGTTTGGGGAGGGTAAGTTCTAATTATTTCCTTTTTTGGTTTCGAGTTGTTTATTTCTTGCCCGTAGATGGGGCGTTAGCAGTGGTTTGGTTGCTTGTTGTCAGCTTGCTTTTACCCGAGGTTTTTTTGTCCCCTTACAGCTGATTCCAGAGGAGCTTTTATGTCTCTTTTGGTTATGTTTCGATATTTGTTGCCCCATCTTCCCACGTCCAATTATTTCTACCTCTGTCTTTTGAACCTTCTCTTCATGTTATTGTCTTCTCTTCATCATTACGTGGGGCACATCATATTGTTACTTCGACTGACACCTCCCAGGAAAGACGACCGCGGCGCGTTCGGCGAATATGTCGTAACAGACGGCACCCTCCTCTTCGAGATCCCCGCCCATCTATCCTTCGAGCAGGCCGCCACCCTGCCCGCCGGCATCATGACCTGCGGCCAGGGCCTGTACCGCATCCTCGGACTCCCTCTACCGTCTGTCTCTGCCCCTCCAGCTCCCCCAGCCAACTCCGGAAATGACAGACCGCAAGACAACAACCTCCCCGGCCCGTACATCCTCATCTACGGCGGCAGCACCGCCTCCGGCCTCCTGGGCATCCAATACGCCAAACTTTCCGGCTACACAGTCCTTACGACCTGCTCCCCGCACAACTTCGCCTATCTCCGCTCCCTCGGCGCCGACGCCGTCTTCGACTACCATCCCCCTTCCACCTCAGAAACAGACACACCGGATTCCGACCCCATCGCCACTCTAGCAGCGCACATCAACCGCCTAACTTCCAACGCCCTCACCCACGCCTGGGACTGCCGCCCCACGCCCGACGCCTCCTCCTCTCGTCTCTGCGCCCTCGCGTTAAGCTCCACCCACCCGGGAACCTACGCCACGCTCCAACCGCGCATTGCCACCAACGCCGTGGAACACATCAACCCGCTGGTTACCGCGCGGTGTAGTATTGCGTACACGGCGTTTGGCGAGGAGTTTGAGCGGTATGGTCAGCGGTATGGGGTTGACGAGGAGGAGGTGGAGTTTTTGGGGGGGTTTTTTAAGTTGGCTAGGGAGTTGTTGGAGAGTACGGAGAAAGACGGGGGACGGGGATTGAGGCCGGCGAAGGCGGAGGTTAGGGGGGGCGGGTTGGAGGGGGTTGTTGGGGGGTTGGAGGATTTGAGGGGGGCAAGGGTTAGTGGACGGAAGTTGGTTTATCGGGTGGGAACAGAGTGATGGGATGGGTATGTGAATATTAAACGCCACCGACTACCACTCTGTGTAAGATAGACGAGATGCGACAACAAAATGATTTCCCCAACGTACCCTAACCTAAATAAACATCTTTTTCACACAATAATCACTGGGGAGAGTGGGAAAGTGATGGGATAGAGTATGATGTATTAAACACTATCAGCTATCAACCTCCATGGCACTCGAGTATCACGAAGCTAGCCGAGATACCGATACCAATATCATTACCAACACAGCCCTAAACAAACACCCTCTTAACATCCACCTTCGCACACCCCGGGGTCTCCGGCTTCCCCTCGCCCAGCGCCCACGTCAGAGCCGGGTACTGGTACCCCGCGTAGTACGTCGGGCACGCATACCAGCGATAAAACTCGGTAGTATTCCCCGCCTTGGGCGGGTTCACCGAGTAGTCCACATACCCCTGGACAGCCAACAAATCCTTCTCATCAAAAACCAACGACTGGGAGCCGCTGCCCGAGCCGGGGTACAGCAGCGGCAGGGCAAAGTTCGCGATGGGGTCAATCCAGAACTCAACCGACGACGGAATCACCGGCTGCGCGGGGAGGTCGTAGGTCAGTATGCCCCAGGCAGGGGGTTCGCCGCCGGCGTTGGAGGAGGTGTTGAAGCGGAAGGCGACGGGCTTGATGGGGTCGGGCTTGGAGGGGCTGGCGGTCTCGGTGAGGCAGAGGGACTCGATGGCGGCGCCGACGTGGCAGGCGGCGAGCTTTTGGCCGTTGACGGTCTTGTCTTTGGATTGGAGGACGAGCTGGAAGGGCTTGGAGGCTTGGTCGTATTGGGCGCTGGCGAGGCCGGCGAGGGCGAGGGCCGCGAGGTTGGTGGTGAACTTCATGGTGGGTGATGAGTGGGTGGGTGGGGGTGTGTGTTGGTGGTGAGGAATGGATGGGTTGATTGAGGTGTGAGTGAGTTGAGGACTGAGAAAAGGGAAGATCAACTTAACGACGGGACGACCCTTTAAATATTGTATCGTCAACACCAAAATCCCAACATCCACAATGTCCATAAAAATCCCCAATTCACCGCCGATCACCTCCCAACGTGACGTCAAACAACACTCCGCCGCGTTCTAGCCCTCGTGTTATCGTTGGAGTGGGCGGCCGGGAACGTTAGGAACGTTGCAGCGGCTCGTATTCCATTTTGCCCGCCTCGCCCGACCTGTGCATTCACGGAACCAGGAATCGCAGGCCTCCAGCGTGCCGATACACCGAGAATCTTTAACGACAGGTCAACACCCCGGCACTACACCCAGCACTGCGTCTTGGCGGCTGGGGTCGCGGCGGCTCCCCGCGCGCGGCAGGAACCCAAAAAAACCTTCTTTGCACCTCCTTTCATCTCGTAACCATGACATGGGATTGTTTTTTTGGGAATGCGAGAATCCCGCAGGAAGCTGAGGAATGGCTGTGTCCGGGGTTACACAGGTCGATCATCTGCTGTTCTGGGTTATTAATCAAGGGCGAATGGCCAGCTGCACGTGATAGGAAGACCAGCCCTGACAGCCGGCCGCTGCAACTGCAGCTGCAACTGTGGGATCGCGCGGCCGGATTGGGAAGAATTTCCAAGTTGGTGGGTTTGGCCACTGCAGTGCTGCGTCGGTAAAGTCGGCGTGTCGGCTCGGTGGTGACACGGAACTCTGAGTTCGGAGTAGTTCAGAAACGAGTATCTTTGGATATTACATCCTGGATACGAAGATAACAAAAGTAGTTAGGTATTCCAGCTCTCCAAAGACCTTTTGGCAAGGCTGCGCCATAAGGTGGCTGGGGGCGTGTGTAAGTAGATGTGGGTCCCCACCTCTCCGGCAGCCGGCATGTTTTTTCTTGTCCCAGGAGTCCAAATGATAGTTAGGTACTAGGTACAAGTTAATTAGTTGTGTAAGGTCCATTGTATGTTGGACGACATATAACGGGATGTGGTGGGCGTTGAAGCGATCGGGGCGAAAACGAAAAATGAAAAGCTGAAAAAAAAAAATGAAAAAAATCACAGGATGTAAAAAGTTAAAACTCCCAGGAAACCTAAGATACAAAAAAGAAAATAAAAAAGAAAACCAAAAAGCAAAACATGCAAAGCCGGACCGACATAATTATGACAAAGGACTACAAAAGGCCGAGAACTCCCTGACATTTTGTATCATTTCCTATTGTTTACACCGGTTTAAGAGCGTGGAATGTCTCATCTTTATCAACGTAAGTCTTCCTAACTACTATTTCGTCTTTTAGGATGACCAGGTACGGGATAAATCATAGTGCATCATAATGAAACTCGTTGGGTAGACCGCCTCAAATGTGGGGGCGAGGTCTCAGAAATAGAGCCCAATAAATAGGTACCTAACCAATGTTACCAATCGTCTCGGCCTCATGTCGACCTCTCAACTCACCATCTGGTTGTACATATTAATAACTTGTACCCAAATTCCACCATGACCATGAAGCCATTCAACCTCGACATCATCGGCCAGCGACCCCACCTGAACATTTACACCCAGCTCTCCTTCTGCTATTCCCTCGCCGACAACCCAAATGCAGATGCAACCCGCCAATCAGCAGCTGACACCCTCGCCCAAGGCCTAAAAGCCCTAGCACGACACATCCCATGGATCGCAGGACAAGTCATCCACCAGCCGTCAACGGAGCCGGGAAACTCTGGAGTTTACAAAATTGTTTCCTGGCGCGATGCTCCGCCCTTGCTCATCCGTGATCTCCGTGTGGGGGAAAACCAATCCGCACCAACGATGCAGGAGCTACGGAAACGGAATTTCCCTATGGAACTACTCGACGAGGGACTCATAGCGCCCTATGTGACCATTCCCGGTGGGACGGCGGGGGGGAAGCGGGATGAGCCAACGGCTGTGTTTGCAGTGCAGTTGAATCATATTGAGGGGGGGATATTGGTTACGTTTGTGGGGCAACATCAAGTTATGGATTTGGTGGGGCAGGTGCAGGTTATGAAGATGTTGGATAGGGTGTGTCGAGGGGAGGAGATACCGGAGGCGGAGGTGGAGGTTGCGAATAGGGAGCGGGAGGGAGTTATTCCCGATTTATTAGGTGACAAGGAGGAGGAGGAGCAGTTGAGGGAGCATTCTGAGAAGCAGACGGTGAAGATTCCACCTGCAGCTGCTGACACGGATGCGGCTCAGCATGATAAAGAAAAGGTGAAACCAGTGGTATCACCTGCGGTTTGGGCGAGCTTTTCGTTTTCGGGGCAATCTCTTGCTGCGCTCAAAGCAGCGGCTTTGGAAACGGCCACCAGCAAGAACATCTCCACCGACGACACCCTCACCGCATTCATCTTCCAGTCCATCACCCGCTCTCGATCCTCCCGCCTTCTTCGATCTCAAAACCCAGGCACCACTACGCACTGCACGCTGGGCCGCGCTGTCGACGCCCGCCGGTACCTCAACATCCCCGCGACCTACCCGGGCGTCCTAAGCAACATGGTCTACCACTCCCAATCCGTCCAAGAAACCATCTCCATGCCCCTGGGCGTACTCGCGTCGGAGCTTCGGCGCGAGGTGGACCCGGCCGCATCTCAGATCGGATTGTACACGCGCGCACTTGCCGCACGTATCCGTCAAAGCCCCAGCAAGGGAAGTATCTCCCCGACAGCGGCCTTCAGTTCCTCCCGTGGCATCATAATTAGTTCTTGGGCTGGTGCCGGTGGAGATTGCTATGGGATGGATTTCGGGATGGGGTTGGGGGTTCCTGGTGCGGTGAGGAGGCCAGTGTTTGTTCCTGTTGAAGGACTGGGGTATATATTGCCGAAGCATCCGAGCGGGGAGATTGGGTTCGTGATTTGTTTGAGGGAGGAGGACATGGAAGCTTTGAAGGGGGATGAAGAGTGGAGGAAGTGGACGGGTTAAGTTGAGTAGTTTTTCATTACCGAATTAGCCAAGACGAATTAAATTCGTTGCCGTGAGGTTGGGAGGACCGGGAATCTTGTAAACAGCGTGCTGCCTGTATTTTGGCTTAAGGTAGGCTTTTACCTACACCCTAACCCCATTGCCGCGCGGTTCTCGTTCAGATTTCGTATAATACATTGGGCATTATAGTGGTTATCCGAGGAGGTGCAATCGAGTAGGGTTAGGGTTTAATCAGAACGTTTGCTTACTTTCCCCTGTTTCCTGGATGTCGGACTATAATAGCAGCGCCCATCGGCTGAAATACCCATAGGGCTCACTGGCTATCGTTTAAAAAGTCTAACAAAATGAAGAAAAACAAAAAAGAACAACAGAAAACAAAAACAATAAATGACAAAAACATACAACACCGGGGATTCCCCAGTCGTCACCGACCTGAGTACTGATCCGGCCGTCGCCAGTTTGACTAGGGGAGAGCGGACGGGATCCCGTATTTTCTAGCGCGTATGGTCGTATGTGAAAGACGTCCATTGCATAGCGGTCCTATAAGCCAGCCACCCAGGTCGGTTCTGTTACAGGGGTGTTATTTCTGAGAACTCCCCGGGTTGCTGCCGTGTATTAACCACTCCATCGTTGGGGATCGATCTCTCTTCATGTCCACACGTGTCATGTTTGTGAGCTACACCAGTTTCCGATCCTAAGAGTTTGCTCCGCCAAGGGTGTGGCGAACTGGTCTGACATCTCATAGATCTCGGCGCCTCTCTTTGCTGGCTCCCCCATTCCCGTGCAGCTGCCAAGGGAAGGGGTCTTGTTGGTTTGGGTGGGACAGTGGCAAGTAATCTTGCTCACCGGCTGAAAAGCATCTTGGCAGCCGGTTCTGTTGGTTCTTTCTGCAGCTCGCAGAGGGAAGAAGGGTATAACCTGTCATCGAAACCTTCCACCCAATCGAATGGGCATGTAGAAGAGTGACGAGATAACACCGACTCAGATGCAGCACGTCAGGGGATGAAATGACCCACTCAACCATCTGAATCTGGGAAGTTGACTTCGATGTGGGTGTAAAAAGATCTGTTCCCGGGAGACAAACCAACTGCTTAGAAACCCCTCGTCCTTGCACCCGCGGAAAACCGGTCCCATTCCCGTGTGATCTGGTGACACCCGAACAGGAATGCGGGCCGTCGGCGTGCATGAAAAACGGTGTATGGGAATGGTGGGTTGAGAAAGCGAGTCCTGCCCAAGCCCAATTCCTATTCCGTTATTACTGCCTCCATCAGTATCGGTCTCGGGCTTCAGCAAACAATTTAATCAAAGCTTCTCTTGCTACACAACGAAACAAAGAAGTAAGTAATTAGTTATATTTATCAAGCCTGGGTTCTTGAAATAAGTGTACTTACATGTAAATAGGTGCAGCATACAGACCCCGCTATGGAACCTGCCGCCAACACCAACCCGCCGGGCACAAACGATTCCCTCGCCGAATCCGAACCTGCTGCTAACGACGGCGGACGCCCGATCCAGAGCTGGACTGTGGACGGGTACTCAATCGTCGACGGCAAGTACCTCGGCCTCTCCACGGGCGAGCTCAAGACACACGTGGCTGGTGTGGACCGGTTCAGGGGCGGCCCGCCGTCGGTCTCCGTTTATTGGCAGAACCAACTGGCCACGGGCCGCGGTGACCAGTTCCTGGTAGTTGCCAAGGTCGTCACACACGTGAGGGACCTCACCGAGTACCTGGCGCGCGTTGGTACTTTTCTTGGAAAGGGCCTGTGCAAGGTACACTCGTTGAATGCGACGCGCTATGAAGTGTACGTGGTCGTGTTGTCGGAGCTGTCCCAGGGGGGATTTCAGGAGGCTTTGGCGAAGGATGGGCTTTTGTAGTGGGATGCTGTTCCATTTTGATTTAGTTGTGCCGGTGCGTGGCGGATGAGCCGGCGCTATATGTGGGAGTCGACTGGATCTAATACGTGACAACAAGTGACTCTATTAACAGTCCGCGTCGTTTATGGTTCATCAAGCTTAATGGCCTGATCCAGTGTCAGGTAAGGTATCAGCTATCTATGTCCTGCTTTTCTTCTCATTTGGAACGCTCAGGCACCCACAGATTGTTCCATATCGCCCCTTGCAGTCGGACTTGAACAAAGCCTCGCAAAGAGATGGATCCGTCAGTCAGAAAATATAGAGCTAAAACAAGAATCAACAATCAAAAGGAATAATGTCACAATCCTGCTCCGCAACGAAATGCTCCAGCTGCCCTTCCAGTGTTTGCCGCGGAGCACACATTGACGCCCCTACTTCTCCCTCCCCATTCGAAACAGGGACCCACCCTCCAATATCGTCGTCGCTCAAGTACACAACAATAGGAGGTGCCAGGAATCGGCCATATCTGGGCCCAATCACGACGGTGGAATCCCCCCCTGGCGTGCGCGGAGGGAAGTAGTTGACAGATCTGTTTTTGGACGACCGGGGCAGGTAGATCCTCTTCGAAGGCGTACTTGAGACTGGATTGCCAGTTGTTTCCTTTTTCGAGAGCGATGGAAGGTCGCTGCCCTGTGGATTCTCCCCGGTTGGAAGTGTCACGCGGTAGACCCGGAGGTGAAGATCGCTTAGCGTTACGAAGAGCTCAGTGGGGCACCAAGTGAAGGTGAAAGGGAATTGCTGGACGATGGGTTTCGAGCAGGGGCCGATGCGGAAGCTGGTACTGTAGAGCAGCTTGGGTGGGCTTTTTGTCGGATTGCTCGACGATAGGCGCAACACCATGACGTGGAGGTTCAAACATATGCGGAATCCGCTGCGGGTTTGCCCTCTTGTGAATTGGGTGCCTTTGGGCTTGACTGGTCTCCGGACCTCGGCTTCCATGCTGGCCACGCGGAGATGCTGTCCGCAGGGAGAGAAGGAGAGGTTGACGCAGATCTTTCGTGCTGTTGAACTGTTAGTCAATAGGTGTCTTACGATGTCTGTTCCCGATTGTATATAATTAGGTACTCACCTCTTCTCCCACTGCTTTTGACTCTCTGTTCAAAGAAGTTGTTTGCTTTAAAGTCCGCAAAAAGAAGGACCCTGCCCGCCAGAGGCCAAACTGCCAATGGGTGCTGAGGGTGGATGACGGGAGGGGATTGGTAGAGGAGCGAGGTATACTGCTTCCTCAGGTGGAACAGCACCTTTCCTCCACTGTCACCATTTTCGTAGATCTTGATCTCCTGCCTAATACGATGATCCCCTCGAGTTATGACGCCAACAGCCTTCCCTTTGACCATTCGGAAAAGCTGGTGGCTCTGATCCAAACACCACCTCTTTCGACGCTCACATCGGTGACAGATATTAAAGCCGTCCTCGATCTTGCACCTGATGCAGTGGTACCATTTCCGAAGTGAATTAGCTCCACAACCAGCGCAGTCGACTCTCCTTCGGCCATAGTAGATCCCCAACTCATGCTTGAGCTCATCAGGCAGCATTGTGACTTGGTTGAACATCTCGTCATCTTCGACATCAGACTCGTCGTACCCGCTTTCCGACCCCGACTCTAGCAAGGCACCGGTGACATGAGTGAGACTGACAAGGGATGTGAAAGATTGATCACTATCTGTGCCCGAGTGGCTCTCCACATCGCTGCCAGATTCCTCATCCGGGAAAGACTTGGTATCAGACCCTTCACTGTCAGATTGCAATGATTGGAGGTCCAGTTCGTCATCCTGGTCACCCCGCTCATAATCGCTGGGTAAATGGCTGGGTATGCTATCGCCAGAGGAGTCGCCGTGTTCCGAGGATGTTGACCCTTCATCCCAAGATTCCTCAGCAGACGGTATGTCGAGCAGACCGTTGTCCGAATCGGAGTCGCTGGAATCGGATGATGATGTGCCTGCAAGCGAATCTGAGGATGCCGAAGAGGACGGGTTCGGAGAACTCGAATCCTCAGGGTCGGATTTCTCCAGGAATCTCCTGAGAGGACCATCTAAACGCAAGCTTCTAAGCATCTTTACAGTTTGAGGGTTAACACCGACGATGCGTTGATTGGAGCCAGGTTTGCGATGTTTTCGGTAATGTTCCTGTTGTCGGTGCCAAATCCGACTTTTCATAGCGTGAATTCTTAGCATTTCCTTGAATACCTCGGCTGCTGGAGGCTGTGGTCGTGGTACTCGACGACGACAGAGCACGAGATACGGCCCGCGGGTAATAACATCCTCCCACGGCCCACCTAAAGAGGTGTCCTCGATGTGGACGAAGCTGGGGGTCACGCTCTCCGAGGGTTTGAGATGCAACAGCTGTGAGCCAATTCTCAAGGCAGACCAGTGGTGATTCGAATCCAGACTGAGTGCGAGAGCATTTGGTGGTATCACGCATTTGACATTTGGCACCAAAGGCACTGAGCGAAATGATTCCGTGCTTGGTACCCAGTATCGCTTGAGGTTGGTGTCGCCAAATGTGAAGGGAACTGGAGTGAAATTCTCCATCAAGGAGACAGGCTCAGCGCCGTCTAGCGTCCACTTCTCGAGTTTTAGGACACCGTCGGACTCTCTGGATAGTTTTCACATTGGTTAGCATCGAGATGTTGAGCCGGCACATGGACACTTTCTTACCCTGCTTCCCCAACGGAGCATAAGACCAGAACGGTCCCGTCTGGAGACAACTTGATGAATTGGCAGATATTGCTGCTCTCCGCCGCTTCTTTTGCAGCAAAAGACTGAAGTTGAAAGCTTCGGTATCGGCCAGTGTTCCTCGAAAGGAAGTTTGCGGGACCAAGGGCGCTTCAGAAACATCGATCGAGCTCCCCGCGAATCTCTGTCTGTTCGGGAACAAGAACATGACACCATTCGCTTTGAAACTCGGCGTACTGTGGGTGGATTTGTGGGTCGAGCTTCGGGATCCAGTTGGGCAGCGCCCTTCCTATGGCCGTGGCTTCGTCCGTGATTCTATCAAACTTTTGCATGAAATGTCGAACGACAAATAGGCACTGGATTTGTAGGCATGTCCGGAAGTTGGAAGAGCACAGGAATGCCTTGACGCAAGCCATGTCATCATCCTGTGAACCCCTGAGCTCAGAAGAGCTGCGATGGAGGGCGAATGGGCCAGAGAATGAGTGCGAGTGAAAGTGCTGGTACCAGTATTTTGCCGCGTACGTAAGAAGCTGGTGGTCCTCGAGGCTCTCCCCACGATGGGTCCGGAAAGTGCCGTTTGCGTACTCTAGAGGGTGCCGGTAACGTGGTTGCCTCGGGTAACGTAAACAGCAGTTTTTGATAATCTGGCTCGTCACGAATTGTTCCGCATCCTTTGAGTTTGATTTTTCCACGTCCGAGTTCTTGATCAGAAACGCGCGGACCGCCGAGTGTGAGAGCCTCAGAACTGAGTTTTGGGGAGAATCTTGTCCGTATCCAGGATTTGCCTGCTGCCTGACGAGAGACATGCAGCTGGAGAGAATCTTGTCAGGAGTGGTGATTCTATTCGTTCTCAAATTGTGCCCGTCGTCCGTCTTTGTCATAGCGATGGCTTCAATCACCTCACCCATTTTGAGCGGGCGCTTGGCAAAGGTGACAAGGGATAGGATAATGCTGCGAAGGCGATGAGTTAGTAGGTGTTGTTTGCAACCTTCATGGGAGTTTACTCTTCAACTCTTGTCGAAAGGGCGGTCCGCTTACCTCCAAAGTGGGGGCCCATCAGATGCTCTTTTCCGCCTTTTTCGTAGTCGATTGATGACTTTCATGTAGACCTCGCTCATCTTGGTAGGCAAGCCCTCCTGAGCGAGTTTGAAGAGCTCAGAGTCGTCGTCTGCTTCATACTTCAGGTCTTGGAGCATGGTATTGACCCACAAAAAGCTCCCCTCGGCCTCAGACGCCAAGGACGCAGTAACAAAGATGCGGCCAAAGCTGTCGTTGGCATTGGGTGTTCCTATCGCGGACGCAAGATAGCTCAGGATATCCTTCTCTGTATGCCGGGTTTGCAGACTGAGCTCCTCCACTTGTGAGGCCCACCGCGGCTGGCAGATATATTCCCGAATTTGCGGGAGCGGTTGGCTGCTCAGCCAGAGTTTGACTTTGTTTCCTGGTGAACCCGTGGTGACTCGGATCAGGAATTGAACAACCGCCTGAACATCGTCTACCTGAGCTGGAGCCGGCAGACGGTCGTCATCCACATATTCCGCCTCGTCCAGCCCGTCGATGAAGATGAAGGTCATGGGAAGCTCAGATATGATGGCGCGAATTAAATTTTCAACCGCGTAGGAATTGTTCACATCTATTTGGCGGAAGCCAGCGATGGAATCCGGTACCTTCTTTGGAGCAGGCGTCACGTCGGAGAGAGCCAAAAGGAGCTGGCTCGCGAGATGTCGGAGAATCTGGTTCCTCGTGATGTAAAAGTCCTTCGTCAGAAACCGAAACACTTGCCCATAGGATTTGCCCTTGTTCATGTCATTGATGTGCTGGATGGCGGAGGAACAGAGGAAGGACTTTCCAGCGCCGTGCTTCCCCGATAGCCAGAAGACGGACTTGTCCGCGTTCTCAGTAATCCACCTTTGGAACTCAATTGTGTCGAAAAGCCACTTGCATGTCCCAGCATGTCGATTGTCAATCCCCTGTTGATATACGTCGTAGTTCAGTTCGTTGTCTTCCATGAACTGTACTTGTCTTCTCATCGAGTCCCATGTCCGTTCTTACTTGAGTTAGCGTTGCGATGGCTGGAAGCAGAACCTCATGGTCTTACCATTCTGTTGCTCAGCCTCGGCAGACCGACGAATCTCAGCCTTTTGTCTTTCCTCCTCTATCTTTTCATCGATCTTCCGGAATGCTTCTTTGGTTAGATGTCTTGCCGCTGCTGTTTGGACGTGCTCCGCAGATATGGCTTCCCAGAGACCCTTACCAAGGTACGCCTCAAGACCGTCACGAATTCTGGAGAGAGAAGCGGAGTTGCTTTTCAGATCGTCCACCAGAAGCTGAAGTTTTCTGTTGGTGGTGAAGACATGGCTGACTAGAAACAGTTAGGTTGTCGAGCATGTATTATCAATGCTAATGGAAACAGACCTGGACTTTCGAGGATCTTGGTACACCGGTACCAGAACTTGAACAAGGTCTGGTATGGTGAAGATATCACTCGTTGCACCATATCTCCACCATAAAGACAGGATTCGTAAAGCGACTCGAAGTAGGACAGCTCCCATATCACGTCTGGCAGCAGCTGGACCTCAGCGGTTATCAACTCAAACTGTTTCTGGTACCGTCCTTCGCACTACTTGTTTATTAGAAGTGACAAGATTTCATGCAGCGGTCTACGCCAGGAGCACTCACTTCGAAAACGATCTTTAGTCCCCCCCAGATCAGCGATGTGGGAAAGGGACATGCCTGGGCTGGTTGACGCAAACAACAATGATTAGCCAAGGCCGTGAGTGGCGGGAATGTGATTTCCACATAAGTCGGACCCCCTCCCCCCCCCTTTGGAACACATGGCAAACCCACACTCAAAGATCCACCCATCTTCTTCAACACCATATATTGCAACCAGTTCAACACTACAATACAGGAAGCCTCGGAACCACCACTTTCAGACCCGCTCTCTTCAGCTATAGTATCCTCGATGCGACCGGCTTCAATCTGGGCCCTGTGGATCTGTTCAATTGAAGCAAATAGGGTATTTGGGTCCGTTTGGACCCTCTTCCGTTTTGATGGCCGGGCTGCTTCTAACTGGGCATTTAGAGCCTCGTTTTCCTGTTGCAACTGGGCCAATTTGACGTCTTTTTGATCAAAGGCCTTTTCAACCTTCTGGAATAGTAGCCGTCGGGTGGAACTAGGCCGGTTGTGGCTCGCCAACTCGGCCAGTTGACCACGTAAGTCTGATCTCCTCTGTGGAGTGCCGAAATGGACCTCTATTGAAGGCTGGGAGTGTTGAAAAGGTACTGGGGTCTTAAGAGGCTTAACTAGGTTAACTAGGCTAACTGGGACCTTAATGCTGGCTACTGGGTTTCAATTTTCTAGCAGTAGCCAGCTTATCAGGGGCTTGGCTATATTGACTGGCCATAATCCAGATGCCTACCACCTAGCCTTGATATTATAGGCTATAATAGCCTCTTTTCGAGACTCTATAACGTATTTGGTCATCAATTGTTTGCCTTGTACGGTAGATTCGGTCCAGGAGATCACTTAGTTAAGCCGCTTACGGTATAAGTGCTTAAGAGGGCTGAAGACCGATAAATCTAGTGGTTGGAGCATATGGGAGGTATGTGGTGGTAAAAAGAGCAACTGGATATTGTTGTTGTAGCAATGCCATATAAATTCATCGGTAATATGGCTATTATGGCCATCCAATATCAACAATCTTCTCTGGGAGGGATCCTGTGGTTTGGTCCAGGGTATAAACACCCTTTGTAGCCATTCGAGAGCTACTACCCTGTTGATCCAGCCTTTATCGGTTGTAGTAAATAGCCAATACTTCAATTGAGCCTTGTCGATTGGAAACCATTGCTGTTGAACGCTCTGGCCTTTGAAAATGACCGCTGGAGGTAGTGCTACCCCTGTAGCTGAGATACATTCGAGAA